AAAGGGCGACTACGTTTATCGTGCTGCGCCTTCATACGCTGCTGAGCAAGTTGCGTGCTCGACGAAATAATTTCCTGAGCATCTTCTAGTTTCCGCACGATCCGAGCACGGTGTTCTGCCACAGACAAAGAAATGTTTTCCGAAGATGGAATCAAAAAAGCTGCATCAATCGGGAGGCGTGGTTCGCGACCATATAACAGATAGAATGGTGATTCGTGGGTGGTTGCGTGTGGTGACACACGATACGCGAAGAGAATCATTGGCAAATGCTTGTCCCAGTCTTTTTGGTTACTGCTCACATACATGGAAAGGCCTTCAGGGAGAGTACCGTTGAAACGCTCAACCAAGCAATCAGTTTGTGGGTGGTAGGCTGTAGTATGGGTGCGACGCGTGTTCATTAGTCGGCAAGTTTCTTTAACGACGGCTGCTAAAAATTGGAACCTCTATCCGACAAGAGAGTTCGAGGAGCACCTCGACGAGCAAGGATTTCGTCGAGAAGCAGGTTGACTATTCGAGAAGTTTCGATAGATGGTAAATCAAAAGCTTCAGGCCACCTTGTATAATAATCGGAGAACACGATTATGTATCGATTACCATCATGTGTAGCCGGAAAAGGACCCTAAATATCCATGGCAACGTGATCAAAATCTCCTTCAACTGGTTTAGGCAAATGAGGCGCTTTACCACGTTGGCGCGGAATTTTCTTCATGGCGCAATTGACACAGGAGTGGCATCAATGCTCAATGTCTTTGTACATGCCATGCCAATAACATCGACTTCTACCTTTCTCATACGTTTAGATTAGACAGTACTTAAGTGGCCAGCAGATGGATCATCGTGACATGCAACGAGAACATCGTGTCGTAGAGAAGCGGGAATCACCAACTGGGAGACAAGAGAATGTACATGGCGTTTGCCAGGCGTCCACCAATGGCAAAGAAGGCCTCATTTATCAAGATAATACGAATCAATAGTAAGCAGCAAATTGCGAGCTTTTGTGTCACTTGAAGGAAATTGCGAAGTTTCGAGATATGCAATAATCATAGCAAGATCTTTATCCTGACGCTGCAGAAAATTGAGTGACTCTGCAGGTGGGCAAGGTGGAACAAGAACAGCAACAGGCACAGAAAGCATGCAACCTTGTTCAACAGCGGACAAAGGAGCATCATAGAGACGACGAGAAAGAGCGTCAGCATTACCGTTTAAGCGTCCTGGCCTATGGACAATTTCAAAATCATATTGCTGAAGCTGTAGTGCCCAACGAGCTAAACGACCAGTTGGATCCTTGACATTCATAAGCCAAGAAAGGTTACCGTGATCTGTATGTACATAAAAGTGATTAGCGGACAAATAAGGCTGGCACCTCTTTATCCCGTTAACAACAGCAAGAGCTTCCCTCTCCGTAGTGCTGTACCGTTTTTTTGCACTGCACTGTTCACGTCCACCATATGCAATAACGTGCTCCTTCCCATGTATGACTTGACCCAGAACGTATCCTAAAGCTGATTGACTAGCATCGGTATACAAATGGAATGGTTCTGCAAAATTTGGGTATTACAAAATTGAAGGAGAGCACAAACAAATCTTCGAAAGCTTGCTGACATTCAGCAGTCCAATGGAAAACAGTATTTTATGCGTTAAACGATCGAGTGGAGAAGCAATAGCCGCAAAACCTTTAACAAAACGGCCTTAATAGTTGCATAGGCCAAGTAAACTATGGACGTCCTTAACACATTTAGGCACTGGAAAAGACTTTACGGCAAGGAGTTTATCTGGGTCAGGCAATATTCCATCTGACGACACAACAAATTCAAGAAAGTCAACAGACCTGCTAGCAAAGCGACATTTCGAAGGCTTTAATTTTAGATTAGCTTTGCGCAAACGATCAAAAACAAGGTTTAAACGTTCAATATGTTCATCAAATGTTGAAAAAAACTGGATTATATAGTCGATATAGATAAGGCATATCTTCCAATCAAGTCCGTGCAAGACTTTATGCATCAAGCGCTGATAATTAGGTGAAGCATTTGTTAGCCCAAAACTGAGGACATTGAATTCGTATAACCCTGAATGAGATATAAAGACAGTTTTCTCCTTAGAATTTTGATGCATAGCAACCTGGTGATAACCAGATTGAAGATCAAGCGTTGAAAACCTGCGAGAGCGTCCAGAGCATCATCAATACCAGGCAGAGGATAACTATCCTTACGCGTAACAGCATTAACTTCCTATAGTCCACGCAAAAACGAGTGGTACCATCTTTCTTCTTAACTAATACTACAGGAGAGCTCCAAGGACTTGTTGACACACTAATAATGTTTTGTTCAAGCATATTAGAAATGTGACGGTCAATTTCCACTATTTGTGTATTAGGGACTCTGTATGGCTGTTGTTTTATAGGCCTAGCATCACCAGTGTCTATATTTCATTTTCGATTATTTGTGCATGTCCTAGATCTAAGGAGGACGACGCAAAAATATCAGAATAACTTTTCCAGAGTTCAACAAGTTGAACGTTTTCTGCTACTGTTAGGTTAGGGCTAGGCAAAGGTTTAAACTGCATATATAAATTTTTAATAGACTCAGGAGTCGTAAAAGACTGCGGGCTAAATTGACTCTGTGAAGGAGCTTCCTTTGTTGAAAACTTGCTTTGATTCATGATGCTTGTAAAATTGTCAGTGTTCCATGGGCTTCGAGGCAGGATGGAAAGAGGGGAATTGGTCAAGGGATAATTTAGCAATCAAAACAAAAGATTTTGAAAAACGCTCTCTTGTTTTGCAAAAAGTGGGGGGGGGGGGGGGGGGGTACTTCAGACTCTACTGCTGCATCTCGAGGCAAAGATAAACATATGCACGTCGAGCTCGAGACAAAAGAAAGAAATGTATATATGTTGCTGTTGCTTGCCTCGTTTCTGTTTTGTTTTCCAAACTGAGCGGAGATTGTAAAAAAGATAAGGGAAAAGACCACAAATTAAAAAACCACGCTGGGGCAAAGAGGAGCAATTGAAGTGCGACCTAAACAAAATTTCCTTATTTGCCCGACCCATATGCTGGCAGCCATGAATTTGCCCAACAAAATCTGTTTTTTTGAGGATTGGGGGGTGCAGCACCACCATATAAGACCCCACAGACCTCGGCTTATTCCTTGGAATCTTAGCAATAACAGATTGATTGCACTATTCTTTTTATCTATTTAACTATATATTTTTTTATTGTTAAAACTGGTTTTAATTGAGTTTCACACGTAGGTTGATTTTATTTTCTCATTTGACTCTCGATTATAGTTTGCACTCATTTGTCTTTATTCTAAAAACATCCAAATCAGTAGTATTTGAAGTATTTCAAGCTGAAAAGTGAAGTAATTCATCCCTGCACATTTTTCAATTCATCAATGCACACTTTTGATTCCTCACTGGACCTTAAATTAATCCTTGAATTTAAGTGCAATATAAGGCCACTCACCAAATTTCACATCAATATTCAAAAGAGAAGTGAATGCAAAGGTCAAAGATTGCTTCTCTTACCAAGTACCTACAAATTGGTTGTGACAAAACGTGGCCTACGCCATTGACGTTCCTTTTGGCATAGGGTTGGCGTACCTTCTGGCGTACCTTTTGGTGTAGCAACATATCAATTTGGCATAGAAATCGCTTGCCATGATTCGGTCCAAAATGCGGAAAGTTCAGAGCACTAGTAGTCCAGAGAGACAAGGGGGAGAATTACCGCCCGACGAGGGACTTTACCAGACCAACTTTTTCAAGACCAGTTTTTGGTGTAGAATTCAAAAATAAATATTGATCGGGTGCGGAAGAGGACACTTTTCCGAGATACAGGGAACAGTGGAGTCTGGTCAGGGTCAAGGAAGGTCAACGCTAAAATTTTAGAAAATTACCCTCAAATGGTAGTGCCTTTTGACAAAACCCCTCAAACGGTAGCAAAAGAACCGATAATATTTCCTTGCTAGTATCCATTTCTTTGTGCTCTCCTGGTCCTTTTTGCCAAATTTCTTCATCATTGATTGTTGTTGTTTTGGGAAAGTTAAATCTTGTTAATTTTCTATAAGAAATCGCAAGATAAACTGAGCAGTTCAGTTATTATCGAAAATGGGCCATTTGGTAGCCATTTGTTAAGACCCTCAAACGGACTGGATCCTCCTATCAGGCCTTAATGGGAGTCCTCCCCCCCCCCCCCCGGGACATAGACTAGCACTGCTATCAGCACTGGGGCTCTTGGCTTAGGGAGGGGGATGAAATAAGGGTCATCTGGTTTGGAAAAAGTAATTATTGAATCAGTTTGGTCTGTGAGTTATCTCTACAGCATTCAAACTTGAAACCATAACACATTTACATTAGCTTATTTTGCCCAGATAACAATTTCAAGATCATACCGGGAGGCCGGGGGCATTAGTATTGGTAAATTGGTAAATTTGACGGGTTTTCGGAAAAATCATTGGTATTTTGAAAAATTTGCAAACTTGAGCTGTGGGTCACGAGAATCAAAGCGAACCTTTAGCGACATAAATCATTCGCATTAAAGTACATTACGTATTGTCGAACTGTCAGGGAACAATTCACTTTTGTAAAGAAAACACTAGGTGTCAACAAATTCAAAATGATTTCTCAGGGTTCTCGATTTCTACCATAGAGTGATTTATCACTTAAAATCCGAATCTTCAAGGACCAAATTTGGTTATAGAAACTATTCAGTATTGGTCATAAAATATTTCTTTATTTAATGTTGAAGACCGGAACAGTGCCAATTTTGTGCCCAGATTTAGAAATTTTGTCCTCTTGAGAAATCAGGCAAATTTTAGTGTGCTCGACGATAGCTTTATAACACAAAGAAATGCAAAGTCTCAGCAAAAGAGAAACACTTTATTCTTCTAGTCATTTAAACTTTTTTGCTAATTGCACATCATCATATGGTGGGCTTGTTAGCATAATATAGTGGAGTGGAATTATTGCAGGAAATCAAATGAATTGTCAAACAGAATATCACTGCATCCTGTTTCAATCATTTACTATGAATCAATAATTTTAGACATGTAAAGAAGCACGACTTTTTTCTGCTTTAAAATTTTTATTTACTGAAGGAATAAATCAAATAGAATAATAGTTTCATGATTGTAGGATGTCTCGTGTTTAGCTCATCCAAATCTTAATAACATCACTCTGGCATAATTAAAAACTTCACCGTTGTTGCAGATGCGGGACCGATAGTCATCGTATTCTATGAAAGCCTTATGTGGGTATGTATGTCCATTCTCGTTGCAAGACTTCCCCTTTTTAGCAAAGGGAGGGCAGTTTCCGCCAACCTTGTCGTGATTTTTTGTAGATGCTTCCTGGAGCGCCATGTCACCTTTGGTCCCCGAATCGTCTATAAGAAGCATTTCCCGTAGGCTTAGAGATAAGCAGCATTCAAAATTGCACACATTGCCTGATACTATAAGACCTTCGTTGAAAGTGTTACACGTGATCTCTTTAGAACCCACACAGGCCACCAAAACTGAAAGCAGCAGTAAGATCATCTTAGCCTTGTTCGGGGGAAATTCTGAAATGCAAAAAAAAAGACTCGATACCCGCATTGACTAAAAGCTGCATTCAAATATCTATTCATTCAGCCTATAATGTTAATAATGGTAATATCGACTGTTGCTTTAAACTTGTTTATTATCATACTTTAAGCTCCGTCACAATTTTTAAGAAATATCATAATCAATTGCAAGAATTTACCTGTTTGAAGCAGCCAGCAGAGCACCTTGCAGAACTGTAGTTGGTGATGTTTGTCACCTGTTTTTATACCCAACAGATATGCTATTGTTGTTTTATCAATATATTTTGATCTAGGATCCGGGGGAACGGTAGGTCTATAATATTACGATGCACGTAAAATGAACAGAAGAAAAGCTCTCATTTATCCAATGTATTTTTAGAGCTTTCTGAAACATATGAGGATCCTAGTGACAAAATGAAAAAAAGGTAGCTCAGTTAACTATATTTGCATGAAAATGTTTTGCTTGATTTTGTTGTTTGATTTGTAATTAGCAAAAGTTGTTTTTACTCCATTACATAGAAAGATTTTCCATTACATAGAGAAGTTTTCAGGTTTAAGCTGACAGCGCACCCTGTGTTGTGCCAAGTTTCCACAGCTACCTCAGAGTCAATCTGAAATTTCCTTTTGTTTTCGTTTAGGAATGACTGGATAATACCAAAAACTGTTATTTCAATCTGCTTGCAACTCAATCCCGTTACATGTCAGTATTTTAACCCGCACCCCTTTCTATTGCCTTAAATGTTAAATTCTAAGACAGCTCAGGCGAAAATTTGTGGAAGATTTTTTTTTCTCCCAACAAAGGACACAGTCTGAATATTTCAAAAGACTACAATTAAAGACAAGCACAGAATGCTTTATTACCAAAATAGGATGATCACTTTGGCTGCTTTTCAAGATGTCTTCTTTGCATCTTTCAAAATTTACTCATAGACAATTTAAGGATCAAGCTAAGTGGCCAGCCTTTACTGAGTAGGACAAGAAAAAATTCATTATCATCTAAAACGAGGTATGATTTTAAAAAAGAAAGCCTTAAAAAAGATTCTTGGTGGATCTCACTTCCACGAAGCGATTTTCAGATTGAACTATTTTATCGTTTTTTCGCCGCAAGATTTCCTCCGGAGTCCGTCGAGCAGCCTGCTATCGTGGCCTCTCCTTTATTCGCACACTTTAAGATGGAATGTTGTGACCACTAGCAGGTACGACACGTTTCTCTAAAAATATCTTTCGAGGAAATGCCCCGGCTAGGGCTCAACTGAAGAGCGCAACCTCAACTGTGATCATGTCACACTGATTAAGTGAATCATAAGGATATGTTGTAAAAGAAAAGAAACCGTTTCTATAAAAGAAAACTGTATTATAAGAACGACACGAGATGGCAGCTCAATGCATTTCATCATGTTATAACAATATTCAGGCTTTTTCCTTAATATCAGCAAAAAGCTATACCATGAACTTATCGTCCTAATCTTAGCGTTAACAATGATTTTCTGGTACAAGAAACGCAAAGTTACACAATTTTGTGCTAACTTTTTTATAGGGTTTATATACTATGCTACAGTTTTGGGCTTTTCGAGAATCTCCCCCCCCCCCCCGCAAGAGAGCTACCCTGGCCTTGAGCCTGTGACTCTTTCGTGTATTCCAAATTGAGGCAATCCCTCCAGCATCCTGTTCTTCCGTGCCATCATTGGCCTCCCTCTCTCACTTCAATCATCCACATTTTCAAATCTTATTTTATGAAAATAAGTAACTGAACATTGAATGAATAAGAACACGAAACAAAAGGCCTGCTTATCATATTCTCGGGCCCGGCACTCGAAATACTTAAGAACCCCTGCTTTACATTCTGCTAAGTCATGGAGTAGAGATTCCGGAAGAAAGCAAGCCTAGCAATCTGAAGTAGAGCTTATGGCCCTTAGTGTCCACATAAAACTTTCTTTTTATTGCCAAATATGTTACTTAGTCAAGGGGCAGAGTCGTGGCTTATTCTGAAAAGATGGCTTATTCTGTTCATAGAGGGATCCGTCCCTCCAAATTATAGGAATATTTTGTTTTCAATTAACAATCACAGAGAGGGGGATTGCAGGCAGTGTGTCCCCAAAGGGAGGTGGTGAGGGGTGTGGTACCCCCCAGCACCTCGTCGGGCAAAGGAAGCAATTTCCTGAAACCTTCATGCAGCAATTGCAACGTAGAAACATTTCTGTAGAACAGGCAGGGCCGTCATGAGGCAAGCCTTGTTGGCGGGGGGGTAATAACGATTAATGTAAGTAAATTTTACCAGGAAAAATTTTTTTTCAAAATAATTAACGATGTTTCGAGCATAGTCCGTTATCAGGTAAAATTAAAAACGATGATAGAACTAAAAAACGTTAAAGGAATATGGAATTCGACAAATTGAATAGGAAGACGGATAAAAGAGCATGGAAAAGAAATATATGGAAAGAGCTAATAAAAATAAATATATATATATACATATACGCAAATACAGAATTTATGTATATGTAAAAATATGCACACTAATATGAAGAAAAGAAAAAACAAAGAAAAGGGAGGAGGGGGGGGGGGGTTATTGAAGATACGTAAACTGTCTATTAAGTCCAGAAGGATATAAATTTCCAAGTCTAAAAATTATCTGTTTTTCCAGTGACATTCTCTTTGCACTGTCCGTTGGGGCAAACAAAAGGCCAAGAACTACCATGTCATCTTCTGTGTGATTCGCCAGGTTAAAATGTTTGGAAATGTTGCTATCAGGATCACTGTCGTGTTTGTTGTTGAGGTGGATTTTGTTCCTGGCATTACGTAAATGCTCGCCAAACCTGTTGTTAATCTGGCGCGATGTTTCACCAATATACAGAACATTAGATTTGGTGCAATAGATGCAGTATACGACACACGAGGAAGAGCAGGTGAAGCTTGATTTAACAGTAAATGACTTGTTTCCATTAGAAATGATGGTAGATGGGTTGATGTGGTTGCAGGTTTGACAGAGGTGGAGGTAGTCTTTTATGCATTCTGTAGGCCAACAGAGGTGGAGCTTTGAATATTTCCTTTTGTAATTGAGTCGTTGTGTAGAATAGAGAGATTGTTGTATATAATTTCTTTATTTGTCTGTTGAGTGAGTGGTAGGTGAGAGCAAAAGCTATACGGTTATCAGCATTTGTTCTGTTGACTGGTTTAAGGGCTTTATCCTGAGTGATGTTGTTGACTTTAGTGATAGCAGACATAATTATCTTTTCAGGGTAGTGATTGTGATGGAAAAAGGATGTCATTTCTTTCGCTTTTTCTTGAAAATCATCGTTGCTGGAGCAGATGCGACGGAGATGACGTAGCTGGGACTATGGAATGGAATTTCTGCATTTTTGTGGATGGGATGAAAAGTAGTCAAGAAAGCTGTGTGAATCTGTTTCGTTATAGAAGATAGAGGTAGTAATAGAGTTGCTTTGGATGGTGAGCAAGATGTCAAGAAAGGGTACACTGTATTCGGAGATGGTGTGTGTGAATTGAAGCGCTGGATGGAAATTGTTAGTGTAGTTGATGAAATTTTGTAGAGATGCAATTGGTAATGATGTAGCTCCGACAGTATCATCAATGTATCTCCTGATTAGACAAGGGAAAGGACCATCATATGAACTGTAGGTCAAGTGTTCCTGATAACCAACAAAAAGGCATGCATAGCTAGGACCAAGTTTACTTCCCATAGCAACACCAGTTGTTTAAAGGTAAAAATCACCATTAAACGAAAATGCATGGTAGTTTCTTGGCCTCTTGTTTGCCCCAACGGACAGTGCAAAAGGAAAGTCACTGGAAAAGCGAATCTTTTTTAAACTTGGAACTTTATATCCTTCTGAACTTAATAAACAGTTTACGTATCTTCAACAAACCCCCCCCCCCTCCCCTCCTCCCTTTTCTTTGCTTTTTCTTTTCTTCATATTAGTGTTCATATATGTACATATACATAAATTCTGTATTTGAGTGAAATTATATATATATTATGTATATATATATAGTGACCTAATTTGAGGTGGTTTAGCCGGACCCGTGTAAACGCAAGGCCTAAGTGACCAAATATTCGGCCGGCCCCGTGTAAACGCAGCCTTATCAGCTTTGAACATCCCAACGGCATGAACAGAACCACCGACCGTTAACTTTACAAAACAACTTATCACCTATCACGCCGCCCTCACAATCCACACCATATTTTTCCTACCACTATTGATCGTCATCACCACCATTACTATCATCAACATTACATTATTCTCAGTTCCATAACAATTATTATTATTATTATTGTTGTTTTTCTATATTCATATTCATAGTCATCATTATCATCCCCTTACATCACCCACCTCCCTTCCCTCCCCCACTTTCATCATCCTTTTTTTTCTCCACTGCGCTGCATTCACACCATTCACATCTCACATTTCAAATTCATTCACTCGTTCGTTTCATTTACTCTGATGACGCCCTGTTTGCCGGGGCGAAATATTAGTATATTCCTTAAATTTAATTTATTTTGGAAAATGTTATCTCGTGACATTGGATTCTCGTCGTCGTATTGCTTTGTTCCTGTATATCTTTCATTTTAAAATCCCATTGCAAGATTCACAGAATCTGGCGGACAGCCTATTCTGCGGTTCCTCCTTCTTACACACTTATCAGCTTTCCCTACTTTCGTTGCTAGTTCAGTGTCATTTTGTTTCAAGAACCAACTATTAAAACAAACTAGGCCTTATTTGTATTGACAATATCTTTGGATTTGGTCTAAAAGAGAAGCAGATGATTCTGAGGAGAGTATGAAGTCTTTGTACGTTGGCGGGAATTTTGTTATTCTTTTGTTGCCCAGAGAAGACTTCATTTTGGTTGTTCTGTGCATGATTTAGGTCATGTGACTGCAGTTATCCGGCACAGTGTAAACGGGAGGGCAAAATGGACAAAATTTGTGCGGCACAGTGTAAACGCAAATCAATCTGAACAAGTTTTATGCGGATAAATTTTATCCGGCACAGTGTAAATTTTATCCGGCACAGAAGAAACTTGTTTTGGACAGCTCCAAAAGAAGCATGAAAATTTCCATATTGAAAAAAAGGAATACAATGAAAGTGCTGCTCTTTTGTTTTGGTGTTGTTTCATGCAAAACTAGAAGATAATATTGAAATAAACAACTCTATTCTTCTGCATTTCCTCAATTTAATCCATTAAAGGACAAGTGACACACTTTTCACCCTATCTTTTCTTTTCATTAACTTGTAGATCATCATTTAAAAGCAAGTTTTTCCTGGTTTAGAACAAAAAATTCTAATCAGGGGGCGCAGGGGACGCGATTTTGCTTTTTATCACGTGACCCTATGACGTACATTGTGATAACTCAGAATTTTCCTGTAATTAATAGAGAGTTTACGAAACACGACGCGACAGGTCCAGACGAACTGAATTCGTTTAGAAGCGTGCAGTAAACGTTAATATTGCACTGTATACCAGTAGCAGCAATAACAAATTATCACAATCTACGTCACGGTGTCACGTGATTCATTTCCCGCCATAATTTGAAAAGGGTTTTTAAGTAGGAAAATGAAATCCGAATAGAAAAATATTTCAACAACACTCTCATACAGCATTTTACTTTTAGTTAAAAAAATTTGGCGCCAAAAGCGTGTCACTTGTTTTTTAAATTTCATATCAGTAACGTGTATGCGTAAAGAGGAAAGTATTTGTTCAATATGAGAAAGGAGGTTGAAAATATTCAGTTCGAAGAGCATAGAGATCTAAAGCTTGCATAACAACTTTGAAGAATTTCACGTTGTTGGATAACTGGTTAATACTTTCCCGTGCAGTGAAACTATTTTATTTTATTGGCACAGAATAGATTCTGTGATATTGGGTCTGTGAAATAGATTAAAAACGAAACATGGATAAAGGTCTGTTTGTTAACACAGCAGGCTGTACCTGCTTTTGCTTTCACAACATGTCAAGCTGCTTGAACAGTTGAAATCCCAGCGTAATATTGCTAAAGATAATGACATCTACGCCCATGCCTATTGTTTTTGCGATGTTAAAGGGTGTACCGATCGGATCCGGGCGTTTTCAAGGATTTGAAGCATTGGAAGACGTTCAGCTTCTTGTATCAAGGTTTTTTCAATATGGCTGATCGACCTGATGGTTATGGTTTCACTGCAGAAGTGAGGGGGAAGCTGAGCAGCAAGTATGATTCAGGAAGGGAGAGAGAGGCATTGCAATGGATCGAAGCTGTCCTTGGTGAAAGGGTTTTTGGTGGGGTGCAAGGCTCTGATGCTGTGCACCAGAAGTTGAAGGATGGAGTTATACTTTGCAAGTTGATAAACAAAATCAAACCAGGAAGTGTGAAAAAAATCAACGACTCGAAAATGGCATTCAAAATGATGGAAAATATTGGTAATTTTTTGGATGCATGTATGGCAATAGGGATACAGAAACTTGATACATTTCAGACAGTTGACCTGTATGAAAACCAAAATATGACGCAAGTGATTGACGGCATACATGCCCTGGGCAGAAAGGCTCCGTCAGTTGGTTACAGAGGACCAGGTTTAGGCCCCAAGGAGGCAACTGCAAACAAACGTGAATTTACAGAACAGCAGAGGAGAGCAGGAGATGGTATCATTGGTTTGCAGGCAGGATACAACAAAGGGGCAAGTCAAGCTGGGCAAAATTTCGGAAAGACGAGAGCCATAATTGACTGAGAAATTTCTTCGTTCCGCTGAAGGTATGGTTATTTCTTTACTTTCCTATACATTTCAAACTTCCGGGTAGTTTATGAATTCTAGTTTTTGAATAAATGTATCAGACGGGGAATCCTGATTTCTACTCTGTCTTCCAGAGCCACAGAATTTCGAGCGCGTAAACAGAATGCAAAGCAGAGGACACGCTCCTCCGCTTCTCCACTCCTATCTTCTATTTCCGCTCTCGGAATCTATTTGGTTCTTATACTGAGGGTACCAGATTTCTACTTTGCATCTGGGATATTATCAATTAATTTCATTTAAAAACACAATTACTTACAATATAATACGGTATATATGAGTATCAAGCATATGATTTTAACAATGATTTTAATTACAACAGTATTTTAGTAATACTCTCCGTTCCGGGTTGACGTCATTGATTTTGTATATCGCTATCCATGGATCTTTCGCAAAAATGGACTTCAGAATTGAAATCTTCATCTTTGAATTAGCCTATACTGAAGAAAATTATGTTATTTTGCTATTTTGCGAGTTACTTTGTTTTAAATATTAAAATATTTCTTTAGATTTGACCGGAATTTGCTGCTTCAGTGGAAAAATTTCACTACAGCAACAAATTCCATTGAAATGTATAAGAAAAACTAAATCTTGAAAATGGGTTAATTCGCTGTCTAACAGCCCAAACAACTTGAAATTTCAGCACAGACTAATTTTAAACATGAAGATTCCAATTCTCTGATCCATTTTTACCAAATGTGAAAATAAAAATTGCCCGGATCAGAGAATAAAGATAAAAGATGTTGTCTTGGACACCGCGATAAATCATAATGATTTTCGAGCCCAGTGCCCTAAGGCTTAAAGTAAATCGGTAATAATTGTAGTTATTTCATTTTGATAAAGGGGGGAGACCCGTCGCTAAAGGGGGAGGCATGTGGGGTGTTACATATAGGGGGCTTAGTTGGCAAATTTGCAAACTTGCCGGCAAAGAAAGGATCGCCCACCTACTTGGAAATGTGCCTGGGTATAACTACAACATAAAGCAAGGAATAAACAGCGGCCACAAATGCAACAGCGACCAACCGAGCCCTTATTCGACACGTGCGATATTGACGTTTTTGGCAGATTGTAGATCCCAAGAGGAAAGCAGGGACAGGGGTAGTTTTAGTGACTGAAGCGAGTCCAAGACCCTCGAGATTAATTTTTGGTTAATTTCTGCTTTTTAATTCTTAAGTTTCAATCTTATTTTTGACAGCCTCCTTTTTGTGATGTAATCCTATGATTTTCAAACTGCCTCCACGTAACCAAAAGTTAGTCATGGACGTTCTCCTTCGGAAAAAATTGGTTTCCCTGTTGGTAAAAGGGCGTTTTCTGGTGATAAAAGGGTGTGGTCGAATTTTTTTTGGCCCCCCTCAGTGCTTATTGGCTGGCGCCGCCATTGATGGTGAAAGCGAACCCAAGATGCTGGTATGGTAGCGCTAAAAGTGAAACTTATGTCAGGCAAAATTCAATTTTACCAAAAGCCTCTCATATTGATATTGTGGATTATATCCAAAATAGTGTATTGCTCTGCGTTTGAAGAAGCCAATAATTTCATTTCCAGCTTTGTAATTTTTCTACGTTTTAGGTCTTCTGCAATTGTGAAGACATCAGAATAGATGCGCCATCAAGAATTGGACTGAATTGTTGATAGAAAGAAAAACTAAAGAAATATTATTAAACATGATGCAAAATACAATTGTTTCCCCTCTATTCTGTTTTTTTTGCCTTTTCTTAACCGTCAAATTACGATACAAAAAATCGTCCTAAAGGCCTAAGAGAGAATACCATGTTGCTTACGCAATTTTCTTAAAAGAATACAATTAATTTTGTCCCGCCTCGATATTATTGACAAATGTTCGGTAACTAGTGTTCTTAAAGTTAAATTCATTCTTAAAGTATTATTTTTCAAATCTGATATGTTTTCAAGAGAACATCGCATTGCCTCGTTCCCGAATAGAAAACCACGTTTTTTTGAAAAAGTCAACTTTTCAACATCGAGACAGAAATATGCGAGTATATTTCTTATAAAAATGAGTGTATCTGATATCTTTTACATTTTGTATGATTTTAATGGAAACAAAACAATATCTGTTTGCTTGTTGTTTTCCAATTTCCAATATCAGCAAGTTTTGTTGAAATTTGCAGAATATCAAAGGCTTTTAAACTTTTCGATTTGAGGAGAACAAGCAAGGCAATTTGGGTTTACTTACAGCAGCAATATAACTGTAACAAGGACAGTTTTGCGCAAAATAAGCCTCGTTTTTTGTATAATTAGGAGTCAAAACGCAAAGATCTTCTTCAAAAGAACCCGTTCTTTGACCCAGATCAAGTGCAATTTTTCCGCGCGACCTTTTTGATTATTTACCGAAAATCAAATAAAGATTTTCAGTCTTCTGGATGAAGTTTGTGGTCTTGACACAGCACACCCTTGGCTTTTCGTTAAATAGGCCAATGTACTACGCATTTGCAAGTCAGGCTTTGCAAGAACATCGTAGTGTCAGAAATGTAACGATTTGAAACAACGCAAGAAATTTTAAAACAGTTCTAAGATATGAAAATTGATTGGAGCTTTGTTATAACGTCTATACTATTTTAACAACTTTCCAGAACTACAAAGTAAACGACGCTGGTTATTTGTCACTTCAAGGTCCGCTTTTATTTGTATTCTCCAGTAGTAAAGAGAAATTGAAGATAAAATTCAGTGACAGCATGTGTTGTGAGAATATTGGCATAATAATAAGTATTGCATTGTATTGTATCGTACTGTATTGTATTGTAGATTATTTAACGTTAGTTTTTACAATAGTGAATATACACTAATTAAGACTAACATGAAGCAATTTCAAGGATTGCATAAGACAGTTCATTTACTGCAAAACGAGCAAGTAGATGCAGTCAAAAGCCGGGTTATGTTCCAAAATGTGGAGAGTGTGTGGTCTTAAAGGGTAGAAATCTTCGGACTTGATTAATGGAATAACAAGGTATATAAATTCATAGAGCACGCACGAGAATCTCAATTGACCGCATGTTCATGAAAAGCACGAACGGTAACTTCAGAATTCTCAAAACTTTTTACGCTGTCAATAAACAGGTTCTTACAAATTTTATTATCAACATAGAAGCTCTTTATTTGAGTATAGACTTTTAATGTAAAATGTCTCTTGTTTTACCGTAATTCACACCAGAAGCATTGGCACCTCTATTTGAACCCATTTGTAGGCCAATTATACCCTGACCAGCTTTGAGTTGCTCTTCTGAAAATTCTCTGACATTTTTCTCGGACTCTCTTGGGCCTAATGATGGCCCGTCATAGCCATTAGCTCTAGCTTTTCTTCCAAGTGCGTGAATAGCACAAATCACTTGATGCATGTTTTGATTGTCATAAAGATCAGCCGTTTGAAAAAGATCTGTCTTAGAGCAGCCATATTTCTCGCATTCACTCAAAAACAAACCTATGTTTTCCATCATTTTAAAAGGCATTAACTTCTCTTTATCATTAAACTTGATTTTCTTTGATTCTGGGTTTAACGCGTTGATTAATCGGCACAGAATTCGCCCATCTCTCAAGGCACAATGCACCTCCTTGGCGCCGACTGCTCCATTGAAGGCCTCTTCGCCAAGAACACTCTCTATCCACCACACTGCCTGCTGCTCAGATTCTTCTGAGTATTTCGAGTTAATTTTACTTTTAGTTTCTGCTGTTAAACCATAGCCAAAAGGCCTTGACGACATTTCGTAATATTCAACGAGTAGCCACGATAATGAGAAACTGCAAGAGGCCTTGTGTGATGAGCCACCTGTCTACATGTGAGCTTCAGTCTTTGTTTGGTTTCTCTAGATAATTCGCGGCAGGTATTGCCATAAGTTTGTGTCAACATGTACAAACCAACAAAACAAAGACGATATCTCAAACACATGCCTTAAACGTTCGAATTAAGTTTTTAATTGATCAAGACTCGATCACGTTCAACTAAATTTGGCATTGCAATGACTTCAGTCTAATATAAAAAACATTGCTATGTCTCTTAACATCAACGTCATTTCAAGCTTTGCAGTTGCTTCTTTATATCTTATATTTGTCATCAATAGGCTCCCCACCACAGAATAGAGATTCTGTGTCCCCATTTTATTCAGTAACAACACGTTACTGAATAGCAAAAAACGTTAAAAGAAAAGAAATCAGTTAGGGGCAGGAAAACAGGCAAATACATCTTGAAATTCGATGCTAAAAAGTACGCTATTTAAACATGACTAATGAAATTGTTTATGCAGCGTCGTAAACATTTCACAGTTTGCTGTAACCTGCTCGTATTTGCAAGAAACAAAGGTTCGGGAGACGAAACTATCAGTCCTTTGTTTTGAAACAATACCGTCTTAAACCAATCAGTGTTGCGGGGTCACAGCACATGCGCATTAATAACAGTATTCCCAAAGCTGTTCTGCGCATGTGCGATGACCCCGAAACGGGGGCTAGTACATGTCTGGAAGACGGGCATGATTCCTCTCCAGAACAACCCTTACTTACACAAGGGGCATTGAAGTCCTTACTCAGAGGGTGAGGAAAGGGGGAAAGGGGGAAAGTGACTATCGTAAATTCTCTTTTTAGCCCCCCCGGGGGTTTATTGTTTGTCAGCACTTATAAGGGGGCTTATAAGAGAGGGGGGCTAAATTGAGAGAGGGTGCTTAATAAATATTTTGTAATAAAAAATCATTATAGTGATAAAATAATATTTTGTTATAATGATTAGGCTATAATATAACGATTAGGCGTTTCAACCATAACATTAATGTTACCCTGGGTGCCAGAGCCTCAGAGAGTCAAAGAACTGAGAACGGGGAAAAGAATTGCGAAGGAGAATGGAAGAGGAAAGGGGATTTCTATTTGGAAAACATTTATTTTGAAAGCAGACCATACCATTTCGGGATACAGCGAGCTTCATCTGCTGCAATAAGTAGAATATTCGATTGATATGCAGTCAGCTGTAGCATACTTCACCATTTGTCAATTTTAACCCCAGCCTCTGGACCGCCAAATACCAACTGATATTCGCCATTTATTAAGCCTTCTTCCTCGAATGTAGATATGCCCGTACTAACAACTGATTTGACTTGTACTTTCATTAGTGCACGCAAAGATGACATTTCCATAACAATGTTTCTTTTTTCAAATTGCTTGCCATTAATGCGATCCAAAGATACTAATTTTGTGCAACTACCAGAGATATTCCGTGGCCCATTGGGAGGATTGCAAAGACGTCTTTGATATCAGTAAAATTGATTTCATTTTTTCTATCTGCTGTACCAAAAGTGTCCTAATGTGAGGAACAAATTCTTTTAGAGCCTCGTTCACTGCCATACTCAATTCATCTTCCGTAACAAAGTCAGAGATCATATGATTCGATCGATGATTCTTGAAAATGATTGTAAAAATATTTTTCTTTCTGGGACCCTAGGAAACAGGACAAAAGTTCTGTTAGGTGAAAGTATTGTGTACTATAGCTCTACCAATTGTTACGCAAGGGCTTTTGATTTATTGGGTTTTGCTAGAGAAATTTCCAATGAAATCACTAATTTGGTTGTTTATTGCATCTTTTTGTCTTTGGTGAGGATTGACTATGCGAAAAAGGTAAAACTGATTTGTGAACCAAATGGGGATATATTCATTGATTGGCAGAAAACTTCAACATGGTGCTCTCCACAAATACCTGATGTTTGGGAAAGGTAACAGATGCCAGCTTCAAGGAAGATGAATCTCCGTTACCTGTTTATACTTATCAGTCAGCTTTTTTAGCCTTTCATTTCATATGATGGGTATACATGTCAACATGATATTTTACATTAAAAAATGGTGATATCTCAATATTCAAAGCACAAATATGATTTTAAAAAAACATCGGAATGTAATTCAGTTTCAATCAAAAACTGCCAAGTCAGCCAAGAACGCAATCAAGTCTCAACACTTCGCCAAGTCTATCGAGGCCCCAATCAAGACTCAAGTCAAGTATTGTATTGCTAACAAGAAGAAAACTCAGGATACATGTAATTTTCGTAGCTTTTGATTTTTGAAGATCCAAAATCATAGCTTGATATAATGCAACTAAAACAGCACTTTTCGAAGCACAAAAAACAAAAAAGCCTACTTCAAGTCTTCAGCTTTATCTGTTAAAAAAATCCTGGACAAGGAAGCTTAAGGTTGCTTCCAAGTTTTACAATTTTTTGCGATATTTGACAGACAAATATAAAAGTTTCAGAAATATATGTATAAACCTTTGTATATATAGACTTTTCATTTGTATAAATGTTTGAACTGTTTTGAAAAAGTCAAGAAAAACAGCTGTTTTTTATCAAGTTCTGCTGAAAATTTTCTGCCAGGCCAAAAATTTTCCTGGGAATCTAGTCCCCAGGCTCCGATACTTTTTGCGGCTCTGCCGATTGGTAGAAAAGTAGAATTTGAAAGGAGGTTGTTGAACGATGGATCCAGAGCTTCGTCTCTCCCCTTTCCTCTTCCTTTCTCCTTCCTTTCCCCGTTCTTCATCTTTGACTCTTTTAGGTGCTGGCACCCAGGGTACATTAATGTGTACCTGTGGCCTAGATAGAAAAATTCATTGGAGGGGCAAGAAATTTAGATTTTCAGACAAAATCTGGTAAGTATTTTTACTTTTACCTATATTTGAAGATAGCATAACGACACAAGAACTAAAGTAAGACCAGAGATAAAGTCTTATCACTTATTCAAAATCAAGTGTCATAAATCATACGAAATAAAGATTTTTCTGGTCTTCCCCTAAAAAGTATCATACCTTATCGAAAGAGATTGCCAATCTGATTCAGAACAGCGAAGAAAATGGTTATATTAAGCTTTAAAATCTTTTCTCTCGAAATGTAATACCTAGATACAAAACAAACAGCAATGTTATAACAATGCTATAAATTTTTTTCCAGCCTCTATATTCTTAATAAATATTTCGTTCTGAGCCTGACTATATTCTTAAAGTATTCTTACGTTTTTCAAATCTGATACAGTTTTAAGGGGAACATCGCCCGTCCTCGAATAAAAGCCACGCTTCGAAAAGGCGAGATCGTCAGTCATGCGATTCTGACATATCAAGCAACAGACAACTGCTAAAAAATGAGACACGAATTTGCGAGCTGAGGCTACTCAGCCTCACTGGGAGACAAGTCCTAAAACTTTCAATTCAACTAAACTTAGTTTCATGTAACTAAACTCATCTGTTGAAAAACCAGATGAGTCTGCGCGCAGGCTAAGGCTGAGCGAAGTGATCCAGATACTGCACCACATTCCTGTTGTGTTGTGTAACCACCAAATGGATCTCTACTTTGTGCCGTAACTGCACCCCATATCCGATAAGAAATCGTTGGGGATACGACCTGAAATGGCTCTTGTCTTTCCTATCACAATGACCAGTAGATAGTGGGAGACATAAGGGTGGGCAGACCACTTAAGGAATTCACAGTTAAACAAACATCCCCTAAAGCAGGAGCGCGCACCAGCCAGGGCGGCTGAAATGGGTGTACCTGAAAAATTGTTGAGGCCACGCTCTCTTCTAGAACGCCGGAAAAGGCCCCTTTTAGAAATTACTTGCTTATTATACTGAATTTTTATAAACAATCTGGTTCAGATAAGATATCAATAACTATAAAAAGAGTAATAAAACACCAAGCTAACCAAGTTAAAAAATACTTCATGCCATTGAACAAGATAAAACACCTAGCAAATGAACAAAAAAGGTTCTTAACTGCTACTGCATAGGAATAAACTATCCAAAGTTGCGTTAGAGTAAACTTTGCAAAAAAATTTCTAGCCATTTATTGCAAAAAAGTGGTGGGGGGGGGGGACTATAGCCCAATGGCTGAGCGGTGTCTGCCCTAAATCATGCTCGTGCGTCTGCAAAATGAGAAATGGTCAATCAGATAACCCCAGCAATGTCATACATGATTTATTAGGGAAAAAGGAGAAAAATTCAAGAAATAGAAACATAATTTATTGGTTCTTATGCGGGTAACCTAAATACTTGTTTATGTCTGCTAAGCTTGTAAAAATTGCATACACAAAGCATGCAGCATTTTTCAATAGCACAGAGAGTGACAGACTTCCACTTTCTAGCTTTTTGGATAAGACTGAAGCTTTGTGCCTTCCTTATTGTGAACTGGTGTTACAGTGTTGTTGGAACAAATACATGTTAGGAGGGGGGCGTAGTAGTACTTTCCATTGACCAAATGGTTATAAAGGAAATGTAGGACAGCATAAGTGAAAATTCACTGCTTTTAAAAAAACCCAATGCTACAGTTATAAAAGGATGTTATGCAGTCAGTAATGACCAACGTTGTTTCAAATTATTTATAGCGCGGGAAAGAGTGCATTGAATTGGCCAATTTAGAATAAAGTCTACTGTTGGATATGAAATAAATTTTAGATACTTTGACCAGTGCAAAAACATCCTAGTGTGCACATACATCCCTTGGTAACTTTCTAACTGCATTGATACAGCAAAATATTTTTCTGAAATTTTGCCAAATACCCACTTTGTACTTAGGCCATTTAAAATCAATTAGTTGATTCTCATCAGAATTGCGCCGAAAAAATCAGGCAGGCGGCGGTTTTATATTCTATATATATCCTAAAGCTGTTTAGCCTTATATATGGCCCTAAGAAGCTGTTTTGTCCTCCGGTTTTCCGTCGTAGCTTTTTACAAAGTGAACGCCAATTGGTAATGGAAAAATCATAATATCATTAAGATTTTTAAGAATGGGGTGCTGTGGAGGGGGCTGGAAGAGGGCCTCAGCCCTATGTTGTTGAAATTCAAAGATATTTTTTAAGGGTGCAGCCCTCCCTTAGTATGCGAAAACATTTTGGTAAGGCAAATTCTGTGTTTATAACCCTTTATTACGCCAAAACTTTTGCGTGAATGAGCAGTTTCGTATCCGACTTTGAGTTGGTGAATAGTTGGACTATTTCACATCCATAGCAGAGAATCTTTGACACAAATGCAAGTACCGTAAAAGCTCTGAAAAGGGGGGCTTATTTAGACTATTTTAGAAAATTTAATATTATAAACGAACGACTTTTTTGTTTTTTTTGTTTTAATTGTTACTCGAAATTTCAATGAAAATAGCAAAATTGTTCTACAAATTCATCTTCAGCATGATTTGAGCCCATCAGCAAATCAGAAACATTTTCAAGACTGATTTCTGGAATTGATTCAAAGGCTCGATCTCCGTCTCCTCTTGCCCTTTGAGACAGTGTCGTGGTGGCTGAGGAGGCAGGGGGCACGTGCCCTTCCAGCGGCGCCGAAAGGGGATCCAACTCTTCAAAGGGGCGCCCATATCACGTGGAAAACAAATGAGAACGAAGAAGGCCACTTGACATAGCAGAGCTCTGAAAAGGCGAATATTTCGACCTGTTTAAAACCCTTGAAGCTCTGGAACCGCGGTTAGAAATGGCATCCCAGCATCCCTTGACAATCCACTTTAGTCACCAAGACATAAATACTATGGGAAATTTTAACGATCAAAGTTTAAAAAATAATGCTTCAACTTTACAAAGATACTTTGCCTCGTATTTTCAATAGAATTGTTCTTTTGTTGATATTCTTATGCTGATATTTTATTGTTAAACGTCTTCATTGTTAAACTATGGTACATAATGATAAAAATAAGCTTATGAACATTTTTTATATCTCCATTGAGCCTAAAACGACGCATGTTGTAGAAATTTTGAGTTTCTGATCATCCCATACATTCAAAATTTTTCTTGCCGCCAACCATGGTTGCGGCTTTATTTTTCGTAATGTTAAAGAAAAAGTTATAAACATTCCATAGGTCTTCCTGGTTTCTAAATCTATGTTGTAAATATTTTAGATGAGCTTTTAGAGTTTCAAGAACGTCATATTTGTAAAAATTTTCTTGCTGCTAAAAATGGTGACGCCCTTCAGTAAACCCATGCACCACCTAACCATTATGGCATAATGATAAAAGACAGTTGATGAATACTGCCTAGGATTTATCTTCCATTCCACCATGGTGGCGGTCTTCATGAAACCCCTGAATAATGATACTATTGTGTCCCCCATTCTCAATTACATTTCGCCCACCCGGATAGAGTTGTACCATGAGCTCGACTTTAGGCCCCCCCTCCCCGCAGCCAATTTTGAGGAACCACGCCACTGCTTTGAGACCATCAAGTGAGTTCTTACAAGGGCAATGACAATACTTTATAAACATGATCTGATCATCATCGGAGCCATCATATGAGATATAAAAAATGATTATTTATGCCTAAATAATGCATTTATTGCACGTCACTTCAAGTGTACGAGATCGGGGAGACTAGCAAAAGAAGGGGGCGTATTGGAGAACTATCTTTTTTGAGACGACTGGACTTGGGCAAGGATATGGCAATGGGCGTAGCTTCTAGAAGTTACCAACATCAAAGCCCCTTCCTCCTAACTTTTTAGGATAAAACCCCTGTGTAAGAATAAGGCCAGTTCTTCGGAAAATCGACTCTAGTGCGACGTTGCACAAATTTCTTTCCACGATCATTGCAGAAAAAGCAGCAGGGAGAGTGTTGCAAGCTAGTTTCAAAACTATCGTGGGATCCACAGAATACGCAGATGTCTTCACTTTTTGCACTGTAGTACGGGAGTTTCATACAGCTTGAAAATCATCAACATCTTACTAATTGCTTTCGTTCAAACAAGATTTCAGTCTTCAGCCTTTTAGACCAGGCGTATATTACGGTAAGGGTAACATCTCTCCGAACTTTTGGCCACCATGATATTTAGCTACTCTTACTCTTTGGCAATGAGAAAATTTTTGGTAAACGGCGAATACCTGCTGCGTTTCCTAAATATGGAGATTTTCCCAAACGGGGGGTTGCGCCCAATTTTGAATCATGTGCACTGCAACCTTTACTGTTTCTAGCCTTTACTAACTCTACGTATAAATAACATGATTCTATTATAGTTACGAAGTATTTTAATGCAGTCTGATAGTAGATTATATAAAATCTTGAATTGACACCTGAAAAGACGGGGGTCAAATCTTTAATCAGCGCCTTTTTAATAATACAATTGTCAATTACAAATGGACGAAAAAATTAAAAATACGTAATATTAAAATGTCATTTTACAACGAAAAATTTGTATAATCAACTAATAGATAATTAAAATAAGGGGTTTGAACATTTTGGATATTAAAATTGTTCTACTGTTAATTTCAAGCAACGATTGTGGTTTTGAAAGGGTGTAAAAATATCAACAATTATATCAAATCAAAAATTGGTTGCTATATTTAAATTCTGTTGTTAATACCCAAACATTATAATCTGCCCTATTTTCGGCTCTTTCTAGAATTGGGCCTAGATATTTCATCGCAGTTTCTGTAAATCAAGAAAGAAAAAATAACTAAATCACATCTTTGTACAAATATGTTGAGAAAATAATTTATGGAGTGGCTAGAAGTTGTTGCTGATCCGTTAGAAGTTGATCCGTTTTAAAACAAATCAATCATTATTTTCTAGAGTTTCAATAAGGCAGAAAACACCACAGCAAGCATCGCGACTGTAAATGCTTGGAATTTGCAAACGACGGCTTATATTCCAAATATTAACATCAATTCATAAATTTAATTGCAATATAAGGCGACTCACCAAAATTTACATCGATATTCGAAAGTGAAGTGAACGAAATCAATCCTTACTTTTATCAAATTTATAGGGGCTCATTATGGAGCTAGTTCCTTTTTGCTACTATCTAAAATGGCGAAAGTAAACAAATTTGCCTCACAGCGTCTCTATTTAATTGTCGTCTGTTCCTATCCCCAACAAAAAGCAATCCGGTGTAATATGAATCCAAAATCCAATATTCAAGTGTCACTCAATGATATAGAAGCGCCTATTGTCAGTAGGAACAACGTGTCACAAGGTCTGGTTTTCTATAATGGCAGCTATGCTTTCGTTAATAACTGTGGAGCCTTTCTTGTTTCTATGTATGAATGTATTCTTCCTTAATATATTTGCACTGCCGCAGGTCATACTAGAGAACGTGTGCTTAAAGAAACATAACGGGACGAAATGCTCAGCCATGTATACTGGATTTTACAAAGAAGATTACGATATTGTGCAGGAGGAATCAAGCTTATGGTTCGGTGGATATTTGGTTTTTAGTACTTTCATATCGGTTTTATCCTTGCCGTTTATCGCAACTATGTCAGATGCATTTGGAAGACGAAGAACCATGGTTATACAACCATTGTGCCTGTTGGTTCAAAGCATTGTCATAGTTTGCATACTAAGTAGGGGGTTAATTTTCCCCACTTGGGTTATGGTGTTTGTTGGGTTAATTCCTGGTTTAGCTGGCGATGCGAGTGGCCTTTACATGCTGACGTGTTCCTACATCACAAGGATAACAACAGCGAAAACAAGGACTTTGCGACTTAACCTCTTGGAAGCATCCTCGATCCTATCTTCGTTCACAGCCACACTCTCGAGTGGGTTTATTATAAAGAGGTTTCGTTACATAGGTATCTTTGTTGCTTGTATAGGGTTAGAAACGTTGGCCATACTTTACCTTGTCCTATTCATAAAACCAATAGGAACACCGAAAATGACGGATGAAAAGACAGATATGTTTAAAGATGAGACTGGACTAGATTGCAAAGAAGATCAAAATATTGACATTGATGATAAAGATAAAAATGAAAAGACATCTATAACACAGGAGCTTGCCCATCAGCACTTAAACAGCGAAAGTGTGCTAGAAAATTACTCCAAAGAGCGTGAAAAAAAGCAAAGGCGAGCGGAAGAAAGTATGGTGTATAGGGTCATGTTAATACTGAAGGCCTCAAACCCTGTGGGCAGCTTCAAGAGAGTATACGATCTACTAAAGATCTACAAGCAGGTAAAATATTCCCTTGTGCTGTTCCTTCTCTTGATACTTGTGACTATAACATACTCAGGAGAACTAGCTGTGGTGGTTCTGTATTTGAAAAATAAACCATACTACCTCAATTCTGTTGATATTGGCTACTTCCTTGCATTCAGAAATGCATCACGTTCAGTGCTTGGCCTTACGGGTTTTAACTGCATTCTTACACGTGTTCTTAAACTGAAAGACCACACAATTTTGGTAATGACAGCATCAACCTTTACGGTCTATTACATTCTCATTGGATTCTCCAATTCAACTTGGATGCTTTATTTGACTCAAGTTATTTTAGCTCTTTCGGCACCTAATGTCCCCACTATTCATGCAATGATCACAAAACTAATCCCACCGTCCAAAGTCGATACCATTTTGGCGGGAACTCTTATACTCGAAACAATTGCTTTTCTGCTTGGCTCTACAGTCGGCCCTCTTGTTTACTATGGTTTTGCTTCAGTGCATGCAGGATCTGTTTTCTTCCTTGATGCTTTGTTTATGTTTGTTACTCTTTGCATGTCTCTAAGTCTGTTTCTAATAAACCATTTTAAGAGTAAGAGACAAGCGGAAACAAAAACACCTGATACTGCAGCTCAACTTCTTGGCGAAACTGAATTGAACGTTAACAGCTGAGTGGCGGTATGGTTGCCTTCCTGTTCTTTTATGGATTATTTTCTGGACACATTTAGCCTGAAATTTCTACAAAGCTATGTTTTCAAGTAAATATGAGGGTTTCCCAGGGGTTTTCGGGAACAGGGGAACAACTTAAATTTTCAACTGGAAACACGGGAACATTATTACTAGTTTAAGTGAATAAAGGAACATCTTTTTTTTCTTTAATGGGAACACAGGAACATGGCTGTTTTTTACAAAGGTAGGGTAACACGGAAAGAAGTACACCCCTAACCCCCCCCCCTTTGGGGACCCTCAGATATGCTTTATTTTGTTCACTCTTTCGACACGTAATATGAAATAGAGATCTGACTTTGCGTGACTTCGCAAAACAGCTAATTTTATAAACTTGTGTAAATGTTGAAACTTCATAGATGTGGTAAAATATCAAGTTATAATTTTTTTTGGCTTGCAAGAATGATTTTTCGAAGGTTCACAAATATTGAATGAAATCTATCGATTCAAAATTAGAAAATCTAATATTCTCATCAAACCTGGGAATCATGGAAAGATTTTCTCACAATCCTTTGTCACGAATTCACAGGACAGCAGAATCTTGGGACTGGGCGACATTTAGCAAATGCAGCAAGAACGAATCTTACTGGGCCCACTCATGGCAGTTGAGCAGGGAGCACGCTTGTCCCTTTTTGTCATGTCTCAGTTGCTAGTGTGTGCCGGGGGTGGCTTTATTGGATAAATTGGTGTTTATTCTTAAGTGAATGGTCTGAGCTAAACATGATCGGTGGATAATACTGTATTTCCTTGCTAGGATGATTTCTCAAAACCTTGAATCACATCCTTTTTAATTTTGTTGTTTTGTTTCAGTTTTGCACTTACGATTGTAACAGTCTTATCTAACGTTGCAAACTATCTATGTAAAAGAGAGGTTTGTAGTTGTAGTGTAACTGAATTAAAATGAAAGTCTTTCTTTATTATTATTATTATAATTTTAGTAAACTATCGCATTCGTTTTTCTTAGTACCTTTGGCCCGCTTAAAAAAAAGTTTGTAGGATTTGGCCTAGTCTACAAATAGGTTGCCCACCCCTGTGTTAGAGCGAGGGGTTGCGGCAGTTGCGGTTGTATAGGGTTTCGATTTTGGCGTCAAACTGTCCATTCTTCATGAAAATTTAATATTGTATGTTCAACAGTGTCTCAGCTTGTTGATGAATGAAAACGTGCGTGAGGAATGAAATCTAATAATAGAAGGAAGTACTTGATCCTTTTGGCCTTGTGGGGAATGTAAACTGACCACAACAAAAGAAGAAAAAGTGAAATAAACCTTTGCAGGTACAGCCCCAAGAAACTGTTGAATGAATTATCTAAATGTCATAATAATTCGGGGAAAACAAAAGAAATCGATACAACGTCTTTTAATTGACCCAGAGTGTGCCAAAGTCTATAATGACGACATGTTTCAGAAAACTGGCAGAGCCTGGTCGTCTTTTCATATGGAATTTCATATGGGGCTTTGGAATCGATATACATACAAACAGAGCCGTCATTTTGTAGACAGAAGGAGTTCGTTTTTTCCAGATGGGCATATCACTTTACAAAATTCTCGTATACCTTTGAAAAAATCCAATTCTCTTCGAGAAAAATCTTCTAAAAATCCCTAAAGATCCTTTAGTTTTATCGTATGGTGTTTGGCTAGAGCGATACACCGCGCGGTTTCTCTCTTGGACTCCTGTGGTAATTTTCCTATAGACACACGGTACTGATTGGACAACTTTACTGGTCACGTACTCGCGTTTTGCTGCTTGGCCTACTTCGATCCATAACTGGGTATATATTTTCCATCTTTTTCTTTCGGAACCTTATTCTGACGTTTTATACTCTGAGGAGTGTCAGACGAAAAGGCTTTTAGCATGTTGTGAAATGTTTGATTTTTTCAAAGCCATTTCCGATACAATGTCCTTATATATAATAACAAATACAGCTTTTCGTATTTTGAAAATGTATTTCAGAAATGTCCCGAACGGTTAGGTTGTTCGAGATTATCACCAGTTTACGTTTCGTTCATTCCAAAGTGACTTTTTCCTACACGTTCATAAGCCACATCGATCAACCCTAGTTTGGGGGCTATCAGGGATTTACAAAAGAAGGCTAGACGGGCACAGTGGGCCCAGATCACGTACTTTTTGGAAATAGGGTCATAAGTCAAGAAATAATTGTTTCTAGAAAATGACTGATACCTCGTTAGAAGCGTATAGGTGAGAGAAACAATTCGAAACTACTATGCGCTTTATTTTTTGTAATTTTGGGGTCCTGGCCCCCAAATTCCTTTTTTGGGAATATTTGACCAAAATTACATTTTCGATATATCTCGACTAATAATCATCACAGGGAAATCATTGAGGGCTCATTAAAAAAGTATAATTAAGACAAATTACATGAAACTACTATGAGCTGTATATTTTGTAATGTTGGGGTTCTGGGCGAAACTTTCCTTATTTGGGAATTTTAGACCAAAATTACATTTTCGATATTTCTCGACTAATAATCATAACAGGGAAATCATTGAGGAGAAAGGTATAAGTAAGACAAAGCCTAAATAAGACAAATGCTATTCAGAAAAACATTCAACATAAGTGTCAAATTCGTGTTTGGGTAGTCCAGTATTTTGACCATGTGACCTAATTGTATGATCTTTGGAACCACAAACACTACATAACTTTTTGTTTGTATCATTTCGAACTTGATCATTAATAAGGGGGTCTGATCTCTCCAACAACCTATGCATGACATCAAAGAGTTGCTCTATTGGCGATGTTTTCCAACTGTGGGTGAGAAGAAAATTGCGAATATCCTTGTTGTTTGCTTCCAGGCCTTCCTCTGAATATGCTCCTAATCCGTATCCACTATTTAACCTAAAGTTATCAACTATATTTAGCGAGATATCCATACTAGATCAGAGGTGAGAGGGGGAGCATTATCACCTGAGCTGGCAATTAACCAGACTAACTTTTTCTGACTCAACTTTTTGCGTAGATTACGAATCCGGATGTTGCTTTGGCGTTTAGGAGGGCGTTTTCTAGATAAAGGGGTCACAGCCCCAAAAACACGCGATGTGACCTAATTTGACTGTATTTAATTATTGCACTTTAAGAAATGTTTAATTTTATTAAAAATTGGTTTCTTGATCAATGCTCTGTCAAATTTGGCCTTTTCTGGCATTGATGGGGGGGGGGGGGAGGCAATTACAGGGAAGGGGAATTTCACTATTACTGTATTCTTAAAGCGTTTAGTTTAAATTCGCCTTCTCCTTCTGATTCGCTTTATTTTTCTTCGCTTGCAAACAATAGCTCCGCAATGTCCTCAGGATAGTATAGTAGGGCTCCGTGAACCAATCAATTAACAGATCATCTAACCAGCCGTGATTGGCTGGTTCTTTTTTGTTGATTATGCTTTGTAAAGCTTGTCTCTTTACTCTTGCTACAAAGTTTGCACGCTTGAAGTGTTTTTCGAGGCTGCTTTTACATGAGGGCAGCAGTGACCGACCAGTTACTTTGTTTTCCTTTTGAAAAGTCCACCAGAATATAGCATATCTTGCTTCATTCACTGACAGCAATCGTTTCTCTCCATACAGTGTGCAAACAAACCTTTCTAAGCCGAGTAACAAATTACCACAAGTAACAATTTTTCTTGCCAAGCTCTGATAACATTTTTTGGAATTCTTCATCGCCTCCAAAAAGCGTTTCCAAAATGCAGGCTTTCCTTTCGCAAGAAGGATGAGATGTAGAAATTTCCCAAAAATGCATGCAGGCCAAGGAGCGCTTGCTTTCGCAATAAAGATAGCGCAAAAGCATTTAGACCCAGTAGTCTCCTGTATTTTCCTCTTCCGTACTACATAAAGAAATGCAAGTTTTTAGCCTCGTTGGCTAAAAGGATAACAAGAATATCAACATCTCCAGAGCGCACAATGCAAACTGTCTCCTGTCCATTATTCATCCGTAGGGCATGGTGAAGTAGGTAGCAGATTTTGGTATCTGCTTTCCCATGGTTTGTGTTTGACTTTCCCACCTGAGTTACATCTTTGCTCTTAATCTTAACACAATAATTTTTTCTTGCAAAGTATATTACTCGATCGTTGAGTTGAGACTACTTATTGTGGCGCTAGAAATTCTCTGACGGAGGGGCTTGACCTTCCGATAGGGGGGGGCTATGCAATTGGAGAGAAAGCGTGGAATCCCAATTGCAAAAAGACGCACAATCATTAAGATTATGACAGGACATGAATATAACAGACAAGAAAGAACAGCTACTTAGAGCGTGATTAATATTCTTTTGTGGGGAACTCGCCTTTATAACAAAATATCCCTAAAAAGACAAAAGACATATGTTAAGAAAGTTCTTTGTAGGTCTTTTTCCATGATTTTTCTATATTCACAACGCTGTAAACTTTTCTGAGTAATAAAAAAAGATTCCATTTAATCATTAAACAGAATAGAAACCATGACACGAAAGTTAGTACCTGAGACGGCACCATGGTTGCCGCAAAAGGTGGGGGAAATTTTCGAACTTTGATGCTTCCAGTTTGCTGGAAAATTCACTCATTCAAGACATTTTTACTACTTTACAATACAGTCTCATTCCTAAAATAAATATCCGCGGGTGGAACGCTATTTGACTGTTTTAATCGATTTTCTGGTAGTCATTCTCATCATTCGCGCAACCAACGCTGAAAAATTGTAATGTGGAGTTTCGCTCCCAGTGGTTTCAGTTTGCAAATTAACGGTTGAAATATTAACGTGCCGAGGAGCGAAGAGGAACAAAGCGAAATGAAAATAAAAACAATCAAATATACCATCGACTATTATTTATTTTTTTAACTACCACCACCAAGTTTGCTGAGTAAGTACCAAAAATGTCGAATCTGATGAGAACAGATTCAGAACTCTTGGGGGGAGGGGTGTTATCCATGTGTCCCAATGTCTGTGTGGGTTATTAGATCTCTTTATGTCTTTTTAATGCTATCTCTTTATCTTTTGAAATTATGTCCCAGTGATTTAAAATTTTCCTTACATTGATAGTTCAACTGTCTCTTGGTATGCATCAAAGTATTCGATTTTTGCAATTTTTATGATTGTGTTCCAGATAATTCTATGTTGAAGATAAAAACTAGAAATAGCTCTTGCTAGTACTGCCCGCAAACAATTAGTTCCTTGATAATGATTGTTTTGAAAATGTAGGTCAGGATATTCGAAGAAGACACCATCTTGGGTTTTCACAATTCTATAAAAACAGCTGCTCTAGTTGATGCTAAACTATTCTTTTTATCAAGAATTTTTGGTGTTCAGTTTGCCTTTGATTTAAGTCCAACGCCCTTTTGAAAATCATGAAGTTTTTCGAGGGTTTGACATTTATTTTTCGATAATCACGACAATCATAACTTTTGCTCGTACGGTCCCGAGTTTTTGGGAGAAAAGTGTGGCATTCGACTGGTTTTGATTCCCAAAACTTCGAATCAAAACTTCAATCCATTGCGGAGAACAGAGCTGTGATGCAGCACCGTTTTCGTGCCAAAAAAACCGAAGGCCTTTAACAGAGTCTTGGCAGAGCAACGCTCCGAAGATAATTCCCTTCCGCACAAAGAGGTGGCGGTTAACGACCTCCTCGACAAAGCCGATTGATTGACAATGAAATTGATTGACAGTTGTCATGGCAGCAGAAAAGTGACAAAATCTGCTGAAAAAGTGCTGACAACATGAACTGAAGCTTCCATATGCTACTTATACGCGGGGCAGACTATAAGCCCTTCACTCGCGCGCTATCGCGCGCGAGTTGCGGGCAATAACTTACAGAAAGTTTTTCGATTCTTTACTCCGAAGATTTTTCAAGTTCTCACCGAAATTTCACCGATTATTTTTCCAGATTAATTTTTGGCACCGGGTTTTTTGGTACTATGATTGATTTTAATGCAGTATGTAGTAGCATACTTTTGGCTGTTTGGCATCTGTATCTTCAGTTGTTGCAAGGGCAAAAGGATTAGTAAGAGCTTTGTCTATATCAACGGATCCCTTTTCTTTGAACGATGTTGAACAACAAGTTTTTAAAACTTCTTAAATTTCAAGAACATACGTAATTTAAAACTATTATCACTGTCTTTTCGTTTTCGTAATATTACTACATCACCAGATAATAACAAAAACTACCAATTTTTAAAGTGTGATAGCAGAAAACAGTCAAATTAGGTCAAATCGCGTGTTTTTGGGCTTTGACCCCCTATATCTAGAAAACGCCCCCCCTTAATGCCAAAGCAACATCCGGATTTGTAATCTACACAAAAAGTTGAGTCAGAAAAAGTTAGTCTGGTAAATTGCCAGCTCAGGTGATAATGCTCTCCTCTCACCTCTGGTCTATAGTGGCCGTACTGCATTTGAAGCATTAGATGCATCATTTTCCCACATAACTTCATCAATGTTGTTTCTAGAACGAATCATCTTCAAAGGAACCAAACCATATTGAAAGATGTGTGATTTGGAAACAAACATTGCTTTGCTATGCATGATCAAATGTTGACCTGATCCATCTCCCCCATCCTTGAAATAAAATTTGTAACAGTCACCTTCATGTTGTTTGTACGCTCTTTTATGTCTAACCATCTTGAATGATTTAAAATCACATTTTACACCTTTTTGGTCTAAAGTAACTTTCAGTTTCGCTTGTGTTGGCCGCAACTTTTCACGAGCCAAACGAATTTCATTTGTAGTGGGAAATATGATTCCTTTTGTTTGCAATGTTGATCTAATTTTTCGTAATTGTTCTTTTGTTAAAACTAGCGTGTGCATCATCACAACTGCATCTTCAACAGTGAAATCATGTTTATCGTCAAATTCATTTTCAAATATTTTTTTACCAACCATGGACAGACTTTTATTTGACTGCACATTTTTTCTGTAGATGATATAACCCATCAATTCAGTGGCAGAAACATCATCCATTCTTTCATTATCCATAAATTCATGATTTCTTTCGATAAGTTGATTCGTTCGTTCTTTTTTTGCTTTGAAAGATAGTTCCCTAAATGGTTTACGTGGAGTAGAATATTGGGACAGATCAGTACTTTTTCGTTTTTTGTTAGCATTATTTCCAGTGAACCTAACTTCATCTGACGCCTTTCCTATTTCTGCTGCTAACTCTACTCCAGTTCTTTTCTTTTTTAAATTTCTGTACTGTCGCAAACTAGCTCTCATAATTTCTTTCTGGCTATCTGTCAAAGCATCTTGGGCCTAACAAATCTAACAATACAGGTTCTAAATCATCTTGCTGCAACTTTCTTTTCTTTTTTACAACTTCATCATCTTGACTTGTAAACAACTCAAAAAACCTTTTCTCTGATACCTCTAGAGTCTAATATATCTATAGTTGTATGAAAGGTAGATTGTAATTTTCCATGGCATATAAATCATATTATAGAACAGAAACCATTACAATACAGTAACATGTGTTCATATTATAGAACAGAAACCATTACAATACGGTAACATGTGTTCATATGATAGAACAGAAACTATTACAATACGGTAACATGTGTTCATATAATAGAACAAAAGCTATTACACTGTTCTTACTGTAATTTAGTCAGAAATCATTACAGTGTTTCAAGGAAGGTTTCGATACTACACATGTGCATAGAATAGTATCGAAACCGTTAAAATGCAATAAACTATCTGAATAATCTATCCATCTATCTATCTGATGAATAATAAACTATCTGATAGACATAATGAACTTATTGGAATAATAACATCAGAAGAAAGGTTAAAGGTAAATGGTGTGGAAAAGGAATTGTACTGAAACTTAAGGTTTCGCCACAGAGCTAAAATTATCATTTTTAAGGTTTTTACCTGAGGGTCATGTTTTTAAAGTCAAAATGCTTTAAATCCTAGGTTTGGTTAAACAAGTATTCTGTGTTATTGTAAAGAGCTTACTTCATAGATTTTAAAATATATAGGGTTTACTATTACCAAAATAGCCATTTTTGCTCAAATTTCAGATTAGGATTAAAAAATACCATCAATTTGTGCACATGTAATATTATACACATATAATGTATTTTCTTGAATATTAAGCTATAGTTTAGAAAAAAGATATCAAAATGAGTTTTTTGGATGAATTTTTTACAATATATCTACTATTTTTAATTATGGATGGCAGTTTCTGCCAAATATCAGACAGAAAGATCCCACCTAAGATTTTTGTCGATTTAAACAGACTTCAAATTATCATAACTTAAGATATTGACATAATTATTTTTGTGTTTTGTGGGCAATTTATTTGGCTTTCAGAAAAATATCAATTTAAGAAAGCTTTGATAATTTTTTTTGAACCTATTTCCACCTCTGGGCCCACTGTGACGGGTGACTAACTCTGGCCAAAATGCACATAAAAAGGCCAATTTAAAAAATTCCCCAAAATACACAGCGCAAAGTGAAGCATATATTTCCATGCATAGGCCTGTTGATAATCTCTAAACTCAAGCAAGAAACTGAGAAATTTTCTCCTTCAAAACAATTCCTTTGCTGATCGTACGGTTAGCTGATAATATTTGACATTTGAGTTTACACTGTGTAGTATTGCTATTTCAATTCATAATTTGTTTGTTACTTAGGGAGTTAAAGTTTATATCAAACAAAGGAATGACCTCAAAATGTTTAAAAAGGCCAAAAAAGGCCACATTTAAGTAGTAGACCAAAAACAAAGTTACCAGGAAATTTTTTTTATGAAAAGGGCCAAAATTTGAAAATTTGGCCTGGAAAAGGCCAATCTGGCAACCCTGTAGGCTATGTGGGATAGTCAGAAGATTGAAGACTGAGCAGGAACGCTTTCGAACAAGGAGCTGAATGAAGATCGGTACTCTCCCGCAAATTCTATTCCATCATTCAATAAATTATTTCAGTTAAAAAAATCAATAACGATATTCACACATTTAACCATAAATTACATAAACAATTTAAATTCAGTAATTTTAATCAATTCAATGACAAAATAAGGTGCTATGATCTAATATAAATCATAAAAGAAAAAATAGAGGCATGAAGAAAAAAATTGGACAAAAATAAAATTGAAACCATTTTTGAAGCCAATTTTCCTACATATACATATTTTTCTGGAAAATGTAATGATATTTAGAAAAGTTTGTCTCAGAGTTCTACCTTATAGAGAGCGATGCACAAAATCGTATAAAGATCATTTTCCATAGTGAAAACTCACGGACTTTTCTCAAGCTTCTAAATCTTGCTTGAAGCTATAACTTCGTTTCGAATGCAACCGATCTCATCTATTTCACATTCTACAACATCTCCAACCTGTGGATTAAGTGATAGAAGGGAATATGCAATTAGCATTGCAATAAATTACAAATAGAGCGAAGAAAAAAGGCGTTTAAGTGTGATTCTTATAGCTAGACAATAGAATTGACCCCAGGGAAACGATGTTGAATAGGCACCCAAAACATTGCCACCTCCATCCCTGAGGTTATTCTGCAAATAATATTTGTTATTGCAAACAAGTATTTAACTTAGCTACAATGACGAATTTGCTATAATCGACTTAGAGCAGGACTGCAAATCTCTCCGATAGTTTAGCATAGAAAAGGAGAAAAAACATCTTGATGTCTACATGGAAAAGAAGGCTGTGGATTTCCTATCTGTGTTTAAATGTAGCATTTTTGGGTGTTAAATGTAGTTTAAATGTTGTTTAAAATTGACTGAGCAATATATTGTTTAAATTCCTTAGTAAAAAAGAAATGCTCGTACAAGCATTTTGCACAGTTTTGGATTTTGCAATGTTTTTAACTTAGTGTGCTCAATCTCTCTTTTTCGTATCCAAAGGAGGCCCATTCCTTCATAGAAATGCTCGCCAGGCACTTTTAACACGTAGATACGTAGGATTTTCAGTTACATCCCTTACAACTGCGTCTACATATACGGTCTAGTTTCTGGGAAGTTGACCTTTCCATGGACCATCAAACACAGTGAGACCTATTATCTAAGGATGAGCAAATAGTGTGAATTTCCCGATGACTGTATGAACAGATAATATTGCAAGTCTAAATAATGCTCAACGCCTTGAATTTGAACTGCAAACGGCACCTCTGCTTTGGCAAGCAAGTTATTCAAGACTCCCAACCGACAAAAATACCAGTTAATAGCATTGTCAAGAAGGCATAAACTCTAACGTGTATGCTGCACAACTCCTTCAAATTCCCTCAAAACAAAAAATGAGAACAAGAATTGTCTATTAAAGATGAATTTTATTATTGTCTTCTTCACGAAAAAACACACCAACATCAAAACTTAGTTATATAACACCGGTACAGGATCTTCCTACACAAACACGCCTTCGCTCTGTCATTGCACGAGAAAGGAATCGATTGCTATAAAGTAGTGGAAGTCAAACAGTCAAATAAATTTCGGAAGGAAGCCGTCGCACGGCAAATGCAAACAAGAATTTTGCAATTTATTTGACTTGCATGGTATCAACTGGGAAAAACTGCTTTAAATAACTGAGATTCTTTCTTTGAAACAGAGTTAAAGAATTTTCTCAACGATTCTTGCGATAAATGCTTCCATATAGTAATAAATAAGAGTTTTTTATGCGTTTTAAACCGTCACAACGCAGGAAAATCTTCTCTTTACTGTTCACCTTGCAAAATATTGTCTGGTTATATAATGGCATCGTTATGATAACAACATTGGAATGGGATTTTCTGAAATTCACGCAGTCATAAAGTAATTATTTTAGAAACAGCTGATGCATGTCAGAAGTTTGCAAAGCAAGCCTTCAATTGAAGGTTAATATTTCTCTCTATTGCAGATAGAGAGCACGGTACGAGGATATGAATAACTTATATGTAGAAATTCTACTCCTGTCTTTACACAATGTCTCCTGTTATTTTTAACACGCAATGTTTTCCACACATTACGACATAGATTCGATACACTAAAAAACATACAGAATTAGAAATCAGAATATATAGGTCAATTGACAGCAAGCCATCACCCAATATTGCGATATTTTCATTGAACTCGTTTAAAAAAGTGATTGATTGTTCAGCCCGAGAGAAGCATTAATACATTTGAAATAGAAAGATTTGAGAACAGTACACCCTTTTTCAGCGAAGCTATACGCGTTTTTAGCGATTTATTGAAAACTTGAAATTTCTATTCCGTAAACCGTAAAACGTGCTTTCAAATGAACGCTACCTCAAATGAACGCTACATCAAATGTACGCTATCTCAAATAAACATCTCTTCGAAAAAGCGTTTCTTACATTGAAATGCAAAAAAGAGCCCCCTCTTTTAGAAAACAGTCTTACCTTATTTATCTCTTCAGTAAAGACATTGAAAAGTTTCCTAAGACAGATTTTACTTGACGTGATGCACACACTAAACATGTCCTTTCACAAAATACCATAATTTTTGCTGAGCCCTTAGGACATGTTTGAAACTCTCTTCTCAAGCTTCAAAAGCCTCTCACAAAAACAATAAGCAGATGGTTTCTTGGTTGACTGCGCGTATTTTTCATGTTGTTAGAATAAATCAAAATAAATTAAACGGAATGCATACCTTCAAATAGGTTGGTGGTTTTCTAAAACACCCGACTCCAGGTGGTGTTCCAGTGACTATGACATCGCCAGGAGCCAAAGAAAAATACCTGAAATATACAAAGGAGTATTGGTTGTTTACATCATGCCAGTGAACCTTTCAGATGGTGCAGATGTTTCATCTTGAACTTCCAAGCAGGGATGAAGATAAAACATAATAAAAAATAATTATGAATTTTTAACAATCATCTTCCCAAAAGATTGGAAGCACGTCCCTTGAGGCAAAAACCCCTCAAGGGAGAGTTGTGTACGTAATTGTTTAAGTGGCATTATTTTTGGATGTCCATTTCATCAGTGTCCCAATTGCAAATAAGACATTAAACGGACATATTTTCAGGGTCATCATGAGCTATAGTTTTGAAACACAGAATTGCAAAGAAAAGTATCAAACCAAAACATTGAATGTTAAAGCAAATAAAACCCAACGCTATAGGAAATAAAGTCAGGTAATACCTGCAAATTTAACCAGGAAGTCAGTAAGGCATTCATTAGGAGTTATGTCGTAAACAATTAAAAAGAGGAACTCTATCAATAGATAGACAAACTGAGAACAGCGTATTAATGATGCATGGAAGGGCATTTATACTGGTCACTTTAACAAGTGGTAAAACATAAACATGGCAATTTCCTACCTGGATATATATGAAATTATCTGTGGCGTTTTGAAAATCAAATTCTTCGTTGTAGAATTTTGCATTGTTTGACCATTTACACGACATCTAATGCCAAGATTGTGAGGGTCTTCAAGGTAAAAAGTTGAAGCCTTTAAAACATATCAATTTTTTGATAATTCATTAAAATAAAGTTGTAAATACATACTTAAGGATGATCAATTTCGAATGAGCCATCATTAAGAATATATAAAGAATGAAACAAAGTCCAGATTTTCAGGCATTAATGATCTTTGTATTTGGTTGATGCTTCACTGCATTGTTGTGTGCTTTATAGTACTTGTAGATGCTACTACAATAATCAAATGTAAATAAGTAAAATACAAATATGATTTATAAGAATAGCCTAGCTAATAATAATTGAAGACTTCTTAACACATTTATGAATTTATGCAACAAAATATACTGTAACTCTACTAAATTTACACTACAAAAGGGTCTAAGGCGGTTAAATGGTAGCATGAATAAGAAAATAGTAAAATGGCTAGCAAATGTTATCTGGCTAAAAATTATAGTAATGCCTGGATCAAAGAAAATATCTCAGGCAGCAGAATTTCTCTTCATATATTGTTATAAATAGTATTTCTTGCTATTTCTTTGGGTTTTACAGGAAAACCCTATAGAGTGACTACTTAGGCTCTAAAACATGACTCAAATTTAGATATGTATTAAGTATAAGGGCCCAAAAACACTTTACTTTAATTAATTAGGGCCCCACACTGTTGGGTTACACCACTGGGTTCAGCTGTAAATACTAAAGCTATTGTGCAACAACAGGTTCGTTAGCTGGGAAATTTAAAGGTACAATTTGCACAGATGAAATAACAAAAGGCCTCTATGATTCTTTCCACATTTCCAAATAATGCATTTAAAATATCAATGCCTATCCACAAATGAAGTTGCAATAGTCAGGATTTGAAATTCAATGTTATTTCAAAACAAATTTCACTAACCAGAGATTTGGTCTGGGGTAACTAAAGCTGGTCCAATTGGACAAAAGGTATCAAAGGTTTTGCCAAGAAGCCATTGGCCACCATTTGAATGCAACTGTTTGTCCCTTGCACTGACATCATGGGCAACACAATAACCAGCTACGTAACTCGATGCATCAGTCTCCTGTTAGGAAACAATGTAGTTTCTTAAGGATAAAATAAACAATAAAAAAACATGGTCTAAACCTTAAAGTATTGACATAGGACAGCACTGAATTAATGCAACAAATCAACGTTCTGAATCCACTTGCAAGCACAGCAAAAAGTAGGTACCTAAACAAAATCTAATGCTAACAAAGAATCTGTATAGAAATCAGGTTTTTTTGTGCGCAGGTTTGAATACATATTGATGAATAGCATATAAATATATAGCTTTTGAACAAAATGTTGTCTGATGACCACATTTAATGTGATATTTGGGGTTTCAATATAGATTTAGCAGCTAAAGACAATATCATTGGACATTATCTGATGCTCATACTGTGACAAATGTCTAAAAAAGTACTTTAGTTTGATATGATATGTTTCCAATTTTCTGTGCATTTAGCGCATTTTCTGGAATTTTCAGAAAAATTTGCTCCTCTAAGAGGCTAAAGCCCCCCTTAGCCTCCCAGCCACTGTACCTCTGAAATCTTTAAGGAAGTCCTCTGATGTAGGAAATTTCTTGCAAAGTTTTAGAATAACCCTGTTAGTGCAGCGAGTAATCATGTTTTTCATATATAAAGTTAGTTAGCAACCAAAATAGGACCAGGAAGATAAATAAACCAAACAAAGTTTAGCCATTAAACAAAAGAACATAAGAATATTAACAGAAGAACTACATAAATCAAAACTAAAAGATCCGAAATAAAAGGATTTTGTAAAGTTTGGGTATCATCTCTTCCTAGCTTCCTCCTCTTTTTCCTTGCTAGGGTTTAGCTATATGTCCAAAGGTATTTTTCAACACTACCAACCAAAGAAAGCTTCCAGGAAATTGGAAAAAACTGAAAAAATGAATGAACTTGTACCTTTATGTGAGTGCCATGCTTTCCAATAACAATTGCCAGCTCAACTTCCCAGTCAACAGCCTGTAGATGAAGAGACAATACATTTTTATAGAGAAAATAAATTCAGAAACATCCCTAAGCAAAACAAGGACATTGTTAGGAGTTGCCATTAGCAGGGGTGTATCTAAAGGAGGACTGGGTAGTTTGTGGGTTAAACTATTTCTGGGCTGCATTAGTAGGTCAGTGAAACCACATGACAGTGGGTCAATAGGCACAATATGCCTGCACCTATTACTATACCAGCAATTTATTATTTTCATAATTGTCATTATCAAAGCAAAATGCAGATTTGCTTACTATGACTTAGGCTTAAGGTAATATGGTAACCAATGGACAGGGGCTAAAATACAAATGAGCTCTATAAAGGTTCTGGACACCTTGGGTTTGGCCACTTCCCACTTCTTCTATTTTGCTTATTGAAAACGAATTTTTTTAGGTATTTTTTACAGTATACTATTGATACCTTAAATCCATCATCATTGAATAGTAGAAATTCATGACAGGGCAATACTCAGCTTTGCAAAATCTCCTACTCCATTTACCCTAAAGAGAACACAAATGTTTCCCCTGGGTGACATGAAACCCTTCAGGCTTCACAGCCTACTACGGGCAACAAACTAATGGAGACATTCAGTGTTAACTATAGGATTGTTTAAAAATAGCATGAGTAAGTTAACCATTGCAAAAGATTGACAGTCTGGCATACTTGCTTAAGACAAAAAATAATCCAAGATTTCCTTGAAAAAATTTGAGGCCTTCGGCTGGTCTTGAGATGGGCAAAAACCTCACATGACTTGGTATGGCTGTTGATTTCTAAGACCTGGCCATGACTTTTGCCTCTGAACCAAAATTATCGATAATAAAATTTTCATTACTTTGATGTAATGTAAAGAAAAATATAACTGAAAAGATAACAAAGCTCTTTAGTCCTAATAATAACATTTTCAATGATTTAATTCCCTTATTATAAAACTTCCAAATACAACTACATTGCTATGGCTACATACATTTGACTCTGTTGGATAAATAATTGGCCCAAAAGGATCTTGAATAGTATTTGGAAACTTTCCAAAAACTATTGGTTCTTTTGGGATTGGTGCATTTTGCTCCTCACAATGATCAACATAATTCATTCCAATGCCAATAACTTTTGATGGATTAACAGGTGCCTTCAGCTCTACACTTGATCTTTCAACCAAATTGCTTTTAGAATCCAGTGCCCTAAGATGGAGTTAACAGAGATAAAAAAATAGTGCCTAATCAAAAATGAGAACTTAGTCTGTTTATTGAATTTTAAATGAAGGGAATTGTTACATGTTAAACAACCCTTCAAAAAAGTAAATTTTTTAGATTTCTTTGAACTCCCTCATAGCACACTAAAAATATGAAAAAATTAATTGGGCTAGATCTATGGAGGGAGTTGGTAGCCCATCAAAAGCATACCTAGCAAAATAAATAAATTAGAAACACATTAAACCTCCTTACTAAACAACCTTCCTTGAGAGCTGAAAAATTAATTGATGGTTTTAACCATATACAACTAAAACCATATATAACTTTGTATATTATTGAGAAAACAACAACATAACAACAACAAAATAGATATATTTTTCCTGCTAACAAGGTCTATATGATGATCTCATTGTCTCTCCTTAGCATGTCTTGTTTCACAAATTCAACTCAGCATTTCCTTGTTGACTCTTTTTCTGCTTTTCTTGCATCTCCAATCATTGCTTTTTATTCCAGGTCATTTCTTTTTTCCTACCATCATAGCCCCTGCTTCTGTCACACTACTATGACACCTTTCACTTTTCTGCACTTTCTCACCTTTTATCATGTCCTCCAGTTTATCTCAAAACAAAATCCAGTGCATTTATTTTTGCAATCTCTCTATTTCCATGGCTTAGACCTTTGAGTAGCTTTGCACACCACATGCTACCAGACATATGATGTTTACATCTCTCCCTGGGCATTCTTCTGTTAAAAAATAGGCCACATAGTTCCTTGTGATAAAGGCCACTAGGCTACTCAGAATTTTGCCAGTTGGCACATATTCTCTACCTTATAGCCAGTGGTATTCTTGATGTTTGCTCCAGCATGTCTCTAGAGTATCATTTTAACAACTTACTACTCTTGGCTACTTCAAATCACATTGTGGTTATATTTGCATGGCTTTGGGTGTCAACAACACGTGTGGCATTTGAAAGTACCAGCAGGACCTTTCAAAACTTCTCTAATTTTGCTGCACCTCTTGTATATGCACTAATTGAAAAAAGACTATATCGTCTAGATAAATTTCTAACAGCTTGAGGTCATTTACGATCTCCCTATATCATTTTATTTTGAAGCATTCAGTACTGTCTGAATCAAAGATAATAATGTATGATGCTCACGGGGAAAAGCTATACACGCGGAATAAAACTTAAGATAACACTGAAATCGTTAATAGAGAATAAGTACCTTTTAGCAATCTCGAGTGTCCTTGTTCCTTGCTCGAGGAACTCGCGCATGTTGTTTGGGACGGACTCGTCAAATTTGCACAAGTCAACGATCGCCCCATCTTTCTCTACTTCGACGCCAACACTTTTCTTTCCCTCTGCGACAAACTGCACTAGTCTCATGTTTCTTTTTAACAAAAAATTAAAGCAGTTTGCTCTTAGACGCCTTGAAACTTCAAGATAACCTCTACACAAGAACATTTGTGTTCGAATCTCCTGGAGTTGCCTCGTTTTGAAATCGGTCACGAAACTGTTTGTATGGTACTGGTTTCGCTGGTCCATTTGATAGAAAAATTTGCATTTATGGAAAGCAGAGCAGTACTTTTTTCTGAAAGAAGCGTCAAATTTTAAAAGTACTTCGTTGTCGCAAATTAATTGATACGCAGATCATTAACCTTTTCGGATCCAAGCAGAAAATAGAATCCAGACTAATGTTGGTTGCTTTGAAATTTGGAAAAGTACTGCAGTCAGCTTACAAAAATTGTTTCCCAGGTAAAAATTAATCCTTATCGTACATCTTCGAACTCACTGAAGTCAATTGAAGTTTCATATATAGAACATTTGTGAAGTGGAAGGTTATGTGCCATTTTTAACCCTAGTCTTGCCTACAGCCTGAAATTAGCACTGCAGTCATGAACTATATAAGCAAAAACAGAGCAACGATTGTGGTATTACTTTTCTCCATTTTGAATGGTTATGTAGAAGGTCTATTCCATGAAAATGCTTGCAGATAGAGAACAGGGGTCGAAATTTTATTAATTTAACAATGAAATGAAAACTTGTCCCATTTTTCAATGGCTAACAAAGCTGCATCACGTGACTGGTTCCCGCCATTAAAAAAATTTGCTGACGCTATTTTCAGGGCGTTTATTGCAGCGATAAAAACACAATAGTTTATTTTTCTGCTGTAAAAAAACTAGGCTATTCAGCAAGAAAGACATGAAAATTGGTCTTTATCGAGTGTTGAACCACTAATATATGCTGTTTCAATACGTATATCTTTATAGCCACCAAATCCTCACGACGATCAACTCGGAAAGCTTCCACCACCAACTCAAAGGGTAGTCAAGATTTTTAGATTCGAAATGATTTTTTGTGTTTATTTCCTTCTGGTCGCTCTTGCTGACAACATGTTTTGCAATAATGGAAACTCAATTCAAGCAGCGATTGCTTCTACACAGCCAAATATATCTTGTTCAGTTATTCATGGGGAAGATAAAAAGATATTTTCATGGAATCCCAACCAAACATATCATATAGATGTTATTTTATACGAAGCAGCTTGGAAAACTCTCATCAAATGTGTTAGTGACAAGATTCTTGCATTCAAATACGAAATTAAAGTATTAAATACCGTTTCTAACAACAGTCTTGAATCAGAAACAGTCCTCTCAGCAACCTCAAATACATCGGACACAGTTTTATTTTCTTTCGAAAAACAGTTCCTTGAAATGAGTGAGGGCACAAATATGCCTTTCATAATGAACATTATTGAATCAAACACGACTTGGCTGTTTTTACAAGGAAACTTCTCTCGCCTTGCCAAGCTTCCAAGTTTTTCACAGCTTCCTCTTAACCAAAGTTTTCTTGAGTCTGCTTACAACAGAACCTCGTGGCAATTCAAACCGTATTCATGCAATCCCAATTTGGTTATTGTTCTTCCGGCAAACCTTTCCAATTTCAAGAATGGTAGGTTGCATTTTCGGCTATTTTTGATTTAATAAATTTTAAGTTTAGAGGCCCAATTAGTCAGTATGTGACATATCTTCATGAAGAGAAACCCAAAACTCCCACTTTCCACAATAATTATTCATTGCTGACTAACTCAGTCACGAACTACAACAATACTCAGCACTTGAATGAATTATGACTTTTTAAATTACCAATAGGCCTAGTGTTAAAGTTGTAAAAAGTTTAATAACCAATAGGCCTAGAGCAATTAGCGGCACCTTGAGCTTCAAAAATATCTAACAGAAAAGGTTTGATTGTCATCATAATGGAAATATCTTATGGAGAGATGCAAGAGCCATGACCCTCTGCTCATTCTTAGAAAGATTCTTGCTTATTTACTCGCAAGAGGCTCTATCCTTTCATAATGCTGAACGTTTGGAAGATAAGAAATCATAAGAAAACGTTTGAAAGAGTGTAGTTTTTAGTTATTCCACAATTTCAAAACGTTTTGCAAGGTAATTTGAGACATTCTTTTAATGAAGTTCGTAAACCAATGCGCACACGATCTATTTTTCGTTTTTCGTGCAAATTTTGAATATCAGGTGTGATCTAGCGGTACAAAATGCTTATTTAGAATATTTTTGAATCAACTGAAACGCTTTTTCTTGTTTTCAAAGCATTACTCTCAGGTGCAAAATTTTTTACAATAAAAAGTTTTTGAACCTTTTCAACAATTAATAGCACTTTTGATACCCAATCCCAATTTTTATATAATTTCACATATCTTATCCCTTCAGATAACAAAACCTGATTTATAAGCAAAAAAACACAATCTTAAAATGATATCGATCTTATCAAACCTTATAATGAACCTTTTTCATTTAAAATTGTATTCAGTAGACTCTGTTTATTTCAAGGTTTCCCTTTGGGCTTCGCATTTACTGCAAATCAACTCACGGTGTTAGAATGGGAAAACATTACATTGAAAGATCTTAATTATGAAATGCTAGTCACGGTACAGAATAGCAGCTTGTTGCTACACAATGAGACACAGTTATTCTTCATTCCAAGCATCGCTGAAAGTACTTCACCGGAAAGCATAGTTCAGGTATTCAAGGTATGGGATAGATTTGTTGGCACAAAAATGGGTACCGGTATGAATTTTAATAAATCTGTTTTGAATGTAAACACTACAGTTTTTTTTTCAATTTTTGAGCCTACATATGAAGTACCAAGAAAACGAGCTGCCCAGCGACCAAGACAGCTCGGGTTCGAGGTTAAAAAGTATAATGAGCCTCTAAGCACGGGAGAAAATTGTAATAAGCAAAAATGGCGGCCAATTACGTATCACGTGCAGTGCAGTGTGTTGCTGCGCTGCGACGCGTAGAGACCAGACAAGAAATACAAGATTATATCTACAAAGAATATGCATTACTTTGCTTTACATTCAAAACTAATAGAATCTTCAGTACATCAACAGAAGCAAGAATTATTAATTTTTTAACACCAGTCAATATATGTTTGGGAAACTAGCAGCTTCAACTACTTATTGCTTCAAAGCTGAAAAGACAACATCTCTGGCCTTTAACGATGCAGTGAACAAGGTAATTTTTATGGCCTCTGAGCCTCTATGGCGTGGTCAAAAAGAATTTGTTGACAAAGTCTAGCCTTAACATGTAATCAAGATTTTGACTTTGCTGACGGATTTCTGATATTCTAACATGGTTCATAAAGTTATGAAACAAGACCAAATTAAAAAAGGTTTGATGGGAAAAGAGCATGTGCTATGTGGCTGAATCTCAGTCAAAATTGAAAAATTCTAAAAATAGATTTTGGTGACATCATCACTTTGGAACTCTGTACAGCTTGATTACATCCCTGTCCCCTCTTCTCCTTATTCTTTCAGTATGTTTGATTTTGAAAACTTGCCTATCGATTTAAGCACGTTAATTCTTTCTCAAAACAATCGATTCTAGTGTTTTATTTTCTAGAAAGATGAACTGTCTTCGCTGCAAATTTCCAAGATCCTTTCAATATCATCATCACATAGATGTAATGAAAATATCCACGTCTCCTGGTTTGATGTTCTTACCCTCGTTCAACTGAGCAACAAATCCATTAGAGTCTTGATAGGATCAAGCTGGAACCAGCACCAAAACTGGAAGGCCTATAGTCTACCGGACTGGCTCTCACAAGTTACGTACATTGAGACACAAATAGATTTTGACAGACACTCCTTCATCCTTGCGGCAAACATAGGCATGGTAAGCAATCTACCCGTTTATAATCTTTGATTTTGGTTAAAACTTACTTCTAAGCATAAAATATCCCCAGGCTGATAAAGAATTTCTTCAAGGAACTTCAAACTTAGCAAGTTAGGAAAACTAAAAAAATTAAATAAATTTGAGAAAAATTAAAAAATAAAACAATGAAAGAAAAATAAAGACCATCAAAAAACAATTAAAAGAATTAAAAAAACCTAAAAAAAATAAATAAAAAAATTAAAATTACAGTGTGTGTAGATAATGTAGCCTGTGGGTCTGGAGCACAGGCTAAGATAATGGGGCTCTTGAAAGCTTGTTTTTGTCTTGAATGGGGTAAGGAGAAATTGATGGCTGTCATAACAAGAAATTTTAGAACATATATAATTATTTTTAGAAACCTCAGTTAAAAATTGTAGGAAAAATCTTCAAATTATTTTTCCATGTGAAAACTATCTTATAGCTAAAGTGTAACTAACGTATACTTTTCATCCAGCTTGACAAGGAGGACAAAAGATAAAATAATAATTAACAGTATAACAGAACATCGCCCCCATTTTGAAAATTGTTTGTTGCTATATATTTATAGTAATAGCGGTTCACAAACAGTGAGATTATTGTACGAGGGCTTCAAATAAAAAAAGATCTATAAATAAAAGCATTCAAAATTTTCAAGCAACTTGCGTTACGCAACGAGACTGTTTTTATGCTTTAGTCTAACTTTAGTCTCAACACAAGAATAGACTAGCCAAATGTAAAGCAACACGTGGAAATTTTAGAAAGATAAAAACACTTTGACCTGTATAAAGAACATTTTGATAGCAAAAAAAAATCACCATGCTTATCACTCAGTATTTACTTTGCAATCTCTCTATTTCGACCTTCATTGTTACTATAGCACGTTTAATTTAGCGCTTTATCGGCCGTTCGTTTGCACTGTTGTAGTATCATCTTATCGATGACGTAACTGAAAGTCAGTTTTCATAAAAAACAGTTCTCAAGAATAAATCCAATCTTGTTTTCAAATCTGCAGCCCAAAAGAACGATTATTTTGGTTTATGACCTTGCTGATTCAGAGAGGAAGGAGCTTAAGTTGACCTCAACTCCGTTTTTTCTTGACCACGCCTTAGAAAAGCCGAAGCTTAAATTGCTAGCAAAAGTTCCAGCAACTCTGCTTTATGACCAGTTTGAGGTATGTTTATGCTAAAAATAATGCTGAAATTTGTAAACAATAAAGAATTACAATATTCTAGTGTTATTATGATAGCTATATTATGTTATTATTTTTTTGCCAACTTAAAGAGAGCTTCCTTTTTATTTCCACTTTAGGACTAGCAGGAAGTTCACCCTCAAAAATCTTTTAAGTAAGACTTTAAGAAAGAGCATCATTTATCATTCCAGTCAACCAGTTTTTTCCTTTCGTACATTTTCATTGTTGAAGACAACATAAATTGATCTGGTATTTGCAGGAATCTTGCAAATTTTAGAAATGTGATTCAAATGCAAAATAGAATTAGATAAAATTCTTTCATTTTTGACTATGTTACTTTGTTTCGATAATTGTTGTGTTAATTGCACACATTTTGTTTCAATAAATGCCGTTACATCTCTTCACCTGGATAAAATGATACTTAATCGCACAGTGATGCCATCCTAAAGATGCGACAAGACTCGAATTGAAATCAAAATTAAGAACTGCCTGAAAGTTAAACTAATAAATAGCGCCAAAATCTACTACCTCTGACAGAAACTATTTCTTTGACTCTTTTAATGGTCATGTAGTGATTTGCTAACCATTTCCCATTTTTAAACAATTTGCTGAGCCATGCTATTTAATATTGAACATGCACTTTCTTGTTAATTGAACTATTGAACATACAATCTCTAGTACACATTGTTGAAACGTCACTAAAGTTAGCATGTTGTAAGTGGTACTATTTTGCACAATTTCGATACAAACAGCTTCCAGTCTACACAATTTCCATACAAACAGACATGTGCGCGAATTCGAATCTTTTCACCATATGTGCCTAGGCATTTCAAAACATCCCCTATAAACTAAACTTGAATATTTGCTCTTCGCTTTGATTCTTTTCTTATACTTTGATAGGCTCCTTGCTTTTGTCTTGAATACAATCAAAAGATGATTCCATTGGAAATTACTCTTATTTCTAGATGTAGTACCTGCTTCCCTTTTGCCTTTTCTTTTAAGAAAACTTTTCTTATTCTCGATTTTTACTGAGAAAAACATAAGCCTTGTTCTTGCTATGTTTATTTCGATTTAATTCATCTACCGCGTTTTCGCTTGCTCAGAAATATTTCTCGCGAAATAATTTGAAAAAAGAAATTGAAGCAAATCCATGCTCATTTTTGATTTGAAACAAAAAGTATATTTCAAGTGTGGAGTCCATGACAGCAAATGTAACTTCGTTACGGTTAAAAACTTTTACTATTTATTTGAATTTTCACCACTTCAAACGTAAATCTCATCTGTAAGGAGTGTTTCTCAGTGTTTTGTTTACATTATGTGAAAATTTCTGGTAGGAGTTTCTTTTCTTATCCTGTTCTTCCCGAAGTCTCATCACTATCGCAATCTTTTATCTTAACTGAAGACTAAGAGATTTTCTAAAGCAATGGTTTAACCACAACAACTTTGCTATGAAGAGAAGAAAAGTTCAAGCTTCGAAAATATTCAAAATAGAAAACGTTTGCTTGAGGATAAATTGTAAAGAGAAAATTAGATCATTAGATCATTAGAATTATTAACACGGATAATTTTGAAGAATTGACAATAACTTTGAACACGGATATTGTCTCTGAATGAAGAGGAATTATTAGGTGGTCGAACTATCGAGCCATGACTGTGAAAAGCTGATTTGGTGCTTTGTTTTGCAACGCTGTATTGTTTTTAAAATCTCTGTAGACGTGCATGTAATGTGTGAATGGAAAATCATATAGTAAACCGCGTTGTAATATCATATGGCAATAGCGTTACTAGTAGCCTATGTTCTGTTCATTTCAGATATGGCTTTCAAGAGATGCAGGACACAATTTCAGGCAAATATTTGGTGTCCAAAGAGACGAGAAAATACTACAGGTAGAAACAGCTACAGAATCTCAAAAAGAATTAGTCATTATAACCACAAGCAATGTCTTTAGATACAGCTCATTTGGATTGCGAAGGCAGTTGATCAACTCGGATCTGCACTGCTTAGCTACAAGCCAATCCGTATTTATTTCAAATGGAAGCGAAAAGTATACATTTTTTTGCAGTGACTCAGTCTTTGGTCCGCCAGATATTCCGAAAATTGTGAGGTTTGATACTGACAAGTCTCTTATTTCTTCCATGTCAAGCAGCATTGTAAGTGATTTTGAAATGAAAGTGAGCCTGCCAGATGTGTATAACAATGTGCACGACATTATACTAAATATGAACATTTTTTGTGAGATTTCCAAGTTTCCGAATATACATCTCTGTAATGCGAAAGGAGAACAACCTCAATCACATACACTTAAGCTCCACCCAGAGATGCAGTATTACCCAAACTGTACATATAAACTCAAGAACTACAACAACTCTATGTACATTATGACAGCAGCTCCAAACCAAGAAGGACAGTTGTGTAAACTTTGGACTGCAAGCATGATTGGTCGTTCTGTAATACTTTTGAAAGCTCAAGCATCATGTTGGGTGAAATGGCTACTGAATGATACGATTGCTATTGTCAACTGCTCAGCCTACAACCTGAAAGAAGAAGAAGAATTCTTCAGTTCCTCTGATATTGCGATTGTTGATTCAAGTGGTAGTGAGAGATGCCAGAAAAGCAGCTCACAAGTTTACATGGCCGATTCACCTGGATTATTTGAAATAAATTCTACTTTGTTTTCCTTTTATGATCAGGTAATAGAGATTGGTGCAATATATGTTCGATTGGATAATGCGGTTGGGAAACTGTCATTCCACGAAAACAGAACATTCTTCGCACTACTGGGCAATGTTACGTTTGAAAAATCAGCATTTACCTATGTCTGCTTCATTACTGATCATGATAGCGATGATAAAAGCAAATCGCTCTTTAAAAATAGTTTAAAACCATGTCATTTTGATGTTGCATATCAAGGCCTACAATCTGCAGATGTGTTTCTGGATGCAAATGATGAAACAGAATTCAATTTGACATTGTCAAAGATTCTCAATGAACACCCTTACTTGGACCAAATCCCGCCTTTTGCAATACAACCGATTGAGCCGACACACGTGAAAGTCCAGATTAAGTCCCGTATGAAACTCACGCCAATGACTGTTGAGGTTCTGATCAAGCAGAAACCGTACAGCAATGGCACTTCACTGCTAAGTATCTACGCTACTACGCAACCCGCGCATTGCAAAGGATCTCATAAGCTGATCACTATTCACGGAACTTGCCCACCTGGTAAACATCTTACCTTTGAGTATCCTCTTGTTTATGACAGAGACACGTGGTTGTATGGGAATCCAAATGACCACGAAGGCTTTACTCGCCTTGCTACAATTCCGTTCAACTACCAGCCACCTTCAATACTCGGTAAAGCGATTCCATTGACGCCCAACATCTACAATGCAGACCCAAGCAAACCTATGCACAGGTCTAGCTACAAAATCAGTAGGGATATTGCCAAATACAAGCAATGCCATGGGAAACAGTCAAGGTGAGCTTTCCTTTTTCAAATTATAATGGGAAGAAACAGCCTTTTTGGAGAAATCCGACGTGTTTCTGTTTAGTGAGTTTTCCTGCGCACTTATAAAGGCTTCGTCTATACTGAACTAGGCATGACCAACTTACAAAAGCATGTCAAGATTGCAATGGCATTATCTTCAAATGACCCATATCACTTTCATACCCAGTCACTCTTGGGTGAGACATTTATGCAAAGTCTAATGAATTTAGTTGCAAAAATTGCTTGGTATCTAGAATTTTGCCAAAATGCAAGAGGAAAAACGCCACTTTTTGTTTCAGTAGGTAGAATAGAACTGCAGCTTAAAGGTTTTAGGACGCTCAACAGCGTTTTGCAACGTTTTCTCTCCACTACCCCATTGCGTTTATGCCTTGTATAGGCATCCTCCACGTTTTTTGGCTTCATCAATTTGTCTAGAGGCTTCTTCCATGTTAATAGTAGCTTGTTTTTTGTCTCTTCCTCTTCATTCTTTAAGGCTTATTTAATGCTTTTAATGGGATGTTTTCGGAGGGTTCTTTCGTGCATTTCGAATCCTTAGATCTCGAATCATTCTCAAAGTTTTATAGACCTAGGGGCTTCTTTAATACTTCTAGGAACTTCACGCTTCCAGTAGGGGCTTCCTCCTCGGATATTATCAAATTGTCTCTTCTCTCATTAATCAAACGGATGAGAATGAGCCATTTGAGATCTTGATTCGAGTATACTGGAAATGGACTGACATGACCTTTGCCCCATCCATAATACAGTATTTGTTCTACCAATCCTATTTAAGAAATATCAAATAACAAAAATAAATATCATTTTGAAAAGTTAGCTAAAAAAATTGTCAAGGAGGAGAACCGATTTCGTATATTCCTTTTTCAGATATTCTCTTTCCTTTACCAAACCTTGAAAACCAGGGTTGATGTAATGAGTTGAGAATCAATAACCAACAGCATTGTAAATCGACAAAAAACAATCCTTTGTGGCCCTTTGTCCTGGCAAATGAACTTTAAATGAAAATGCATAAGCGAATTTACAAGGTTTGGTGCGTAGAACAGGACCAATCAGGCAATTTATTATTGCATTTAACCAAAATTAAAATAAATCTTTAAATATTTTCTTTGCTAAAGATTATTTTTTCTTTATTTCTATATCTTTATTTTCCTATCTGCTTCAGAGCCAGCTGCGGTTGCACACTTAACGCAACCATTTCATCACGGCCAGATGAAACTGACTGTATTCAGAGAGTGTTTAAAGTCTATTTCATGGAAGAGTTTACGCCCAAGCTGTTCGTTGTAGACAGAGATGGAACAAGGACCGACCTAAAGTTTCCTTACTGCATCACAGAACTGAATGAACGCAAAGATTATTCGATAGAAAACAAAGTCAGACCTGGTTGCATGTCAGCTGCGAAAAAGAGCGCTCTGAAATTTGATGGTTCTGGTCTATTTCACTTCAGAGTAAATGTTATTAAATCTGGTTACACGTTTTGTGACTTGCAAACCTACTTTATCATTTTTGTTGCTGATGCACCGATGCCTTACCCTGCCCAGGAGCTAGTGAGAGCGATGACGTCATTTTGTTTTGGGTCAATCATACTTTTCGTGTTTTTGATTAACTTTCATCTTAAATGATCGGGAAAAAGCATTTATCTCCAGTAAAATCCGGTTTACTCTGTGATCAAACACAAATGTTATTGTCTTTGCAGACTAGGCTTCGCAAATGCACTATAAATAAAAGTATTCAGCTATCCAAAGAAATCACCAGCTGTTAATGTTTCCTTTTGATGATAGGCTGCTTAAACGTACTTGCTGTTCCTTCTACCAATTAAAAAGTTTTCAACTGAACTTTCTTTTTAATCAATCCACTGTTAGAGTAATCTATCAAGTAATTACATGATAGGGCGTTACTTATGAATCAAATAATTTGCATTAACTCGACTCTCGTTTCTGCAAACTGTCTCTACTCCCGCTTCTCATTTCTTCGCTCCTAGGAAGAGGACAAGATGGAAAAATCGCAAAAAGGGTGTATCCGATTAGGGAATGGTTTATTTATGATTTTACAAAAAAAAGAAAGGCGTAGCAGTGTTTGCTTATTTAGTAGGAATTCAATGTATTGGAAGAACACAATTTTAGTCCATTCTCCAATCAACTTTTAAACGAAGGCTTATGACAAATATAGCAAGCATTACACGGGCTTTGTCTGAGGAAATGGCACTTCGTCCGCTTGTTTACACGTTCTTCTGAGAAATGTCCATCCACTTGAATATTTACGGTCAAAATAACTATTATCCTGTTGAATAGGCCTAAATCGAGGTATCTCTAAAATGCTGAATATCTTGAGTTATTGACGGCGAACGGTTAATCTAAAAGACCATGCTGTAATTTTTTCTTTTGCTTTCTTCGCTTCAACTGTTAATTTAGTTAAAAACCCTGCATCCCTCAGCCGCAGTTTTTCCATTAACTTACGATTTAATTTTCACCAGGCTAATTGTATAAATTCAAAATGGTAGCGCTTCAACAAATCAAAAGATTTTTCCAAGATGCTTTAGTAAACCCCGTTAACTAATAATCTATCATTTATTCCTAGTACAATTTTACCAAAATTCTAGTCATTTTCTGTATCAATAATTATTAACTTTCAAAAACTTTAAATTCATTTCTAAAGATTTCTTCATGGCGCCATTGATTCGCCTGGAGCTGCATGACACAATGATGCATGGTGCGATTCTAATTCCCCACAGGTCTAAAATTTCCTATACTCTGCACATTTTGAATGAGATTGGACATTGAGAAAGAGACACAAAAATGAAGCGATGATAACCCGAACTATTTTTACCATAATACTGCACAATTTCGAGTCATTCTTTCTCTGCACGTTATTTTCTTGTATTTACATTTATAGAATCGATTTGCCAAAAGAGGAAATATCTAAGAGACATTTTGGGATCTTATCATTAAATGTACGCTGTAAGTTATTTGACTTTGAGAAAGAGCAAAAATTTTTTGCAGAAAAAAGGAAATTAAATGAATCATTTTGCTACACTTATTATTATGAGCCAAGCAATTATATTCGAAGAAAGCTTTGTTTTATACCGACTGTCAAATATAATAAAACCATCACTTTCCATTACCAAACATCTTTCATTACAAGTCGTTTTACCTGATTCTTGAGTTCACAGGGCACCTCCCATTACAGGGCACCTTCTATTAATGCTAAATACCAATAGCTGGACATCTCATGTTACCGTATTCCCCACCCTACTTGACACTTTCCATTGCTGGACACTTCCAGTTACTAAACAGCTGCCTTTACCTGATACCTAACTCTACCGGACACCTCAAATTTCCGGACAACCCCATTAATGGACACCTAAATGAAGCCGACGTAAACTTCTATCCTACATTTGTTATCGTCAAAGCCTTCCCGACAAGAAAAATCAGTTTTCATCCCACGGGTGTTCACTCTTCAAAGCGTGTTTCCAGTTGATGCTTGCGCAAATGAAACAATTAAAGTTTGCCTCTAAACCTTCTTAAGCCCGTTTACTTTTTTAACATTGTAAATTTCGTACGTTTTGAAGTAAAATTTTAATCGGGATAAAATCTTTCATTAGGGTTTAATCGGCTTTAATTGAGGTTTATCTCCTTCTTAGACTGTAAGATCTGCATTAAAACATGTACAGCATAGATAGTACCAAGGACACGTGACGTATACAGACACTATTCCCTCTCAAAACCTCATTACAAATTAAAGTCCGTTTTTAAGCTAACCTCTGCGGAAATTTTTATTCAAAATCCTAAATATATTTAAAGCATTCTCGGTTTTGGATTGTCTTTTGTCACTGCCGGTCATAGAAGGGACTCCGGAGCACATTTTGGAGTTGGGATGCTTTAGATGAGTTGACAATCTCCTAGATTAGTCAGGGCCACCGATGAAGGGGGGCCACTTTTTTGCAAACCAGTAAATTTTTTCACGAACTTTTTTTGTGGGTGTTAAATTTTCCCTTGGCCTCACTTCCCAACTGGTGTTGGAGTCCTTAGTAGCGTGCAACCATTGTCTTTGATGCCACAACCTCTGTATCATGCTTCAGTAAACATGTTTTGGGGGGCATTAGGCCGCCCGGCTCCGGCATGCCTGCATAGGTCCCATACTGTATAAGAAGAAATATAAATCGTTCCCCTAAAAATTCACAATAGTGCTTTCCTCTGATTTTATGCTTCCTATAATTTCTGCTGTCCTTTTTATTTTTCTGTTATTCTCGTCTCTTATTTTTCTGTTTATACTTGAGCAAGAATAAAGATACGCTAGAATAAGACCCTATCTATGAAAATTTGTCTTAAAGGAAAGATTTTGGCATTCGATCGTTAAACCTCTGTTATAGGCTCGTTGCGATATCCGTTAACATTAAAGGATAATATACGAATTAATTAATTTAGTTGAATTATCTATGAAGTCTTTTAGTTGAATTTTATAATTTTTTTAATTGTTGAATAGTCACTTGTATGTCAAGCCATAACTTGATTCATTTCAATGGCTCTACATTCTTAGTCCCTTGTTCACCTTGAAATTGCGATTTTGTCTTTCTTTTGCCGCTATGTCCTGCTGTAGCTCTGCAACACGGGCTTCCAATTCGTCAATCATTCTTGACTCACGATTTCTGTCATCAGGTTGCGCTTCCTCCTTACCTAGTGGAGCACCGTCTTCAGAAGATCTAGGCCGGCCTTCAAACGCTGCTGCAGGCACTGACTTGCTATCGATTTCTGGTTGACGGTGCAAGTCGTTTCTCACGACGTCTGTTTCTTGCATTGATGCCTTAATCTCTTGCTGCTTTGCTGCGTTTGTTGAAGGTCCTTGACCTACTCTTTGTCCTTCATGTTTCGAGCTTTTTTGAAGCTTATTCAAATTTGGAAACTTGTTCTTGTCGTGTCGAACTGAGTTAGATACTTTAGGGTGTTTACCACTGATTTCGTCCTCAAGGGCTGCTGCGAGATTTTCCAGCTCATCGGCAAGTCGTGTGTTGTCCAAGTCATCTTTATGCTGGTACTTGACACTCTTCTGAAACCAACCATAAGGAGGTTCTTCTAATTTTCCACGTCCATTTAGATCATCGTCTAAGAAAGAAGCATCAATACTGACATATATGAACAATGTAGGATTTAACATTCAACGTAAGGGTTTAACATTCAAAGACAACATTCAAATGGCAATATTGAGAACACTCTTCAGGTGTGCAAAATTGGGTTGAGTCACTATCAAACCTCCAGAGTAGGCGTATTCTTTGAAAATCGTCAAAACGTTATAAAAGGCTCTATTATAGGGTATTAATGAGTCTACACTGCTCTGTAAAGAAGGAAGTTCAATTGAGCTCTGAATCAAAAACGGTAGCCCATTTGATGCATTTTCGAACTTATCAATTACTATAAAATGAGGTCCGGCAAATGCAACCCAGTTATTGTCACCTATTGGCTATGAAACTTTCTGATGACTGCGTTTCTTTATCCTTTCTTTATGGCTATTTTATTGTACTATGAAATCTCCATAGATAAACAACTTAAAGTCAAGACCTCTAGTCTTAAGCCTTATGAAAAGAGAAAAAATTTGCTCCTAATCTAAAACTGAAAGCATTAAATGTAAACTCTGCTGAAAATCTGCCGAAAAGTATGAAATCTTTTTTAATAGAGTTCTCCATCAATGACATCACAAAAAAATAGTTTGAAGTGTTTTGAATTTTGACAACAAAACCTTTAATAGCATCACAAAATACTACTAAATGTACTAAATCAGTAACATGAGTTACAAATTGGCTAAGAAATGACCACAATAGCGGAGGCTCTTTCTCCATACAGTCACTGTAGTTTGCAAACAATCTTTTAGTGGTACAAAACTTGAAAATGGCTTTGAAAAAAGGAAACGTTTAGTAAACTAAAGCTTTTCGTCTGACCCTCTTCAGAGTTTAAAACGTCAGAACATAGATCTAAACTTCTGTTCATAAGTCTTTGAGCCAAGGCAAAATAAAAGTAACCTATTAGCAAATTACAAATCTATCATCGACTATATACCAAACTATTAACATATTTGACTTATTTTCCACATTCAGAGCTATTTTTGGTGTTCCTTACGTTATGTGATCAGAAGTAAAAAAATCTGTTTATGACGTCACACTTAAGGGCTCTATAGAATTCGTCCAGCAAGAGATTTAAAACAATCAAGAAAGAATATAGAAATTTAAAAATATTTTTACACTCTGTCTCATCGAGTGGAAGGGCTGAACTTCGACCAGAATCACTTGGTTCAATCCTCGCGTCATGTTGCAGATCTTCATAAACGTCGCTGAAATATGGCTTGAGCGAGCCAAGGTTCCAGCCATTGTTCATTTCATCGCTTGCTTTTGACTTGCTTTTCGTTGAGCCATGTCCTGCCAGCCTAACTCCTTGTCCTTGAATCCCTTCATGTAGACCTGTGGCATCTACATCATGAAAAAGGCCTTTGATTGCTTTGAGGAATTTAGCTGAATAGGGCCCATCACTTTGGCCTACTGTTGTCCCATCGGCGTACTGTCTAATCTTTTCATAGTACGGAAGGCGGGCGTGCTGTTCGTGGCTTTCCTTACCACCTACACGACGCGAACCTAATAGTAGAAGTTCGTCCGCCGAGTACGGTCCTTGCTCATTACTACCATCATTATGCACCATATTAGCATATGAAGGCAGCAAGACACCCTGTTTTATTGCCCCATTCTTGCGAGATGTACCTTTCTTATTTGTACTCCCAGAATGCAATTTACTTCTACCAGAAGAAATTGAGTGCTCTTTTGCTGCTGCTTGATCAGCATTTTCGTTATAGAAGCGATTGGCTTCCAAATGCCCTGCCTCGTATTCATCCTCAAGCTCCTTCACAGCAGCATCCAAAAGGCTTGCGAGTTGATCAGCGCTAGGTTTGGCGTGGCCTCTTGCTGGTGCACCATTATTGTCAATCCGTTCACCTGACGATTTTCCCCTCAATGCATCTTCTAAAAGGATTTTCGCTTCATCCAGTGTAGCTTTCATATTTTCCCTATCTGCCAAATGACGAGCCTCGAATGCTTGGAATGAGCAAGCGAATAGAGCAAAACTCAAGAGGGAAATCCGCAGCTGTGCCATTTTGTAGAGAGTCTGTTTCTAGAATGATAAAAGTCAAGTTTATTTGCATTCATTAAATTCAACATTTTAAGCTGTAAACAGTAAAGAACAACCGAAATATCGAGGAAAAACCACTTAGCATGTTGAGTTCACTTGTATAGTAAGTAAGATATAAAACAAAGACCTGCTTGAAAAAAATTGTCGTTTTCATTAAGACATTTCATTGAGAAAACAGAAACAACTTTAGCATAAAAAACTTCAGACACCACAATTGTACAAATATATTATTCCTTTCTATCAAAGCAACCATAAGAAAACCCGTGCCCCAGTCAGAAAAGTGCCGTGGCTTTGAACACCTTGTTGCCTTCAAATGGTTTAGTTTGCCTTCCCGAGGTTTATGAAACGAGTTTCTGCATTCCAAACTCCCGCTCTTGATTAATAGCAACGAATAATCGACAAAAACACACAAACTCAGCTTTTTGAAGAAGGCTAAACTTATCAAAGGTCCCGTTCACGCGGTAACGATTGCATACGGTTCAAACTCCATTCCAGATATTGGAACGAAAAAATTAGATGTTCACACGGGAACGGAATGGTTACCTACCAATTTTCGTTGCTGTTCACACGGGAAGGGGATCGTTCTATTACACTTTTTGCGCTCCAAAACAAAACAAAAAGAAACCATTGCGCATGTCAATAATGGAAGATTTTGCGCGCCACGATTTCAACCAAACTTTACTTAGCACGAACAACAGAAATGTTAGCCGCCGATGCTTTTGAGTTACTTCTTAACCGCATCAAAATGAAGGAAGTTCTAATTCTAATTTGAAGGTAACAGTTATTATCAAGCAGGAAGATCTAATTCTTTTGAATGGACTGGTGATGAAATACGTCTCTGTGGACTGATAATGCTTTTAAATTACTGAAAATGAAAGTTTCAGAAAAGCAGTTAACAAAAGATAAGATGCAAAAGCAGGACAACACGTGCTAGTTCAAAATTCCCCATTTTGTTTGTGTTTTTGTCTACTAACACGCATGCGCCCATACTAAATGAACTCATGCTCCTATATTTCAGGCCAGTTCTCCTGTTCACAAGGGAACGGAACGGAACGATCGCGTACCGTTCCACTTTTCGTATCTCTTTTGAGAGCGATCCAGATTTTGGAACGGAACAGAACGATTAAAAGCGTTACCGCGTGAACACAACCCCTGGGCGTTTCACTTTCTTGAACGGAACGATGTGGAACGGTACGCTATCGTTCCCGTGTGAACCTTCCAAGCGCTACTTTTTGAGCTCTTATAAACAGCTTCTGTTGGCAAGGCAACAAGCCGTTTACAGTTATTGTGGTTGAATTGAATTTGTACACATGATGAAAAGAGCCTACTTTCCATCATTTCAACTTCTTCCTTTTTAAGCAGATCGAGAAAATCCACGATTTTGAGAAGCAGCTGCTGTTGTTTCAATAATTAAAAACAGGCTCTTTTATTTGCTCATTGAAATTAAAACCAGTCCATGCTGTACAAAAACCTTCCTTTTTCATACACTTGTCAAATATTTCTATTTATTGTAATTCTTCCCTGTCAAGAATTTCTTTTTAATTTCCTTTCGCTGGAATGGAGATCCACGAATTAAATGAAATCCTTCAAATTGGAATTTCATATGTAGAAAGATACCATGATGTTCATAAGATTCTACGAACATGAATTTCGTCATGATAGTTTTTTCAATGCTACAAGCTCCGTGATTTTTTTTCTTCACTTTCTTTTGAGTTGGCAAACGTACACTATTAGCTATACTAAAGCTAATTAAAATCAACTAAATATATTAACAATAACCGATTTTAAAACGCAACAAAAATAGATGAATAACTAACAGAATACATCAATGTACAGTAGGTTCCTCGTTATCTTATATAGCCTACTTGTCCTATAAATGGTTTACAAATGCTTCATGAGCAAGAAATCGCAAACATAGTTTTGATACTTGCCTTGAAAGTTTTTATGTTTGAGCTTAAAGTTATTTTTGTGGAAAAAGGGTTCAATACTTCTTGACATCTGTAGGATACAGTGTCTAATTCGCATGCTATAGTGTTTGCATTAGTGATAGTGAGCCTCCCTGAGGCTATGAGGTGCTTCAGTTATGCTAAAATATCTTCCATGAAACTTCGTGATGAATAGTTTTGTAAATTTCTAGTAGTTGTTCAAAATTGACAGTATTCACAAACCTCAGTTAAGGATGAAATGCCAAGGTTTCTCAAACTCAAACTTAAACTCAATACCTTTTTTAGCAACCAAACAAATTAATTACAATATTCTGATTTAAAATACAATTTCTAGAAATTTTAAAGTTAGAACCGTAAGCAAGATCAGAAAATCGATTGTTAATTTATCATGTTGAAGGACACATGGAAAAAAACTCGCGAAGAGCTATCGAGTGAGATATCATATAGTTTTGGATGCCATGTTACAAAAAAGCAGTAAACACAAACGAGTCTAATCGATGTGAACGATGCAATAGAAATGGCAAATGACCTTCATATCTCTTTTTGCCATGAAATTCATACCCTTTTTATATTTCTCAGTAATGGTATCATGACATTATTTTATGATATCTTTTTGCTAACGATATTATTTCAAGGTTTGTACAAACTTAAGTTTGTACATGGACTTCGAGCCTTCGAAATCTATCTTCCGCATCGAAAAGTCTTTTTCTATTTCATTAAATGCCAGTCTTCACACAATGTGTGCTAACTAGTAATTTGTGGTGGGAGAGCACCATTAGGGTCGTAGCCTTGTGCTGTGTGGTTTTACAGTTTCTGATGGACAAGTGTGAAATCTTGTGCAATTCTATGGAGGAGCAATGGCAAAAGTTGGCAAAATAGGCCAGATGCAAAATGCTGAATAAACAGTACGGTAGATCATTCGAGTTGGCGATAAAACAATCATCAAGGAGGCAAATCGTTGTTACTTCAGGCTATAGACCCACCTCTAATCATTTCACTCAAGACTTCAACCTTTTATTCATTATCATCAACTTCATGAATATAACTGGATTTATCTGACAAGCTTTAAAGGAAGTTACAATTTTAGAACACATTTTGAATTGTTTACTTACTTAAGTACTTCGTATCGATGTACCTTTGAAACATTTGGTTTGAAAAGGCTCCTGATTCGGGGTAAATGAAACGAAGGGCACAAATAACCTACATTTTTTTTAGTGTGTCATCATTGGAAACCAACTCTCGACAAGAGTGGATCGGCTTCTCTAAACGAATGTAAGGCCCTAGACGCACCGCACAAGATTTCAGGAAAAACTTCTGACACACTTAATCTCTCTTGTTCAAAGAAAAAGGGATTAAGCCTGTTAGTAAACAAATGCTGAATTTCCACTGCGCCCACCCAATTTGTTACGGAACCAAATTCACTAATCCCTCGAAAGTTCCGTCGTCCTATCCCAGAGCAGGACGAGCTCTGGAGAACGGAAATGATTAGCAATTAACGCATTTTTCTGGTGCAAGAGAATACCGAAAGTCAAATCATTTTTTGTTTTAAACCACATTACATTTATTTACATTACATTCTTACAAACAACCACTTCACACGCGAACTGCAAATTTCCAACCGGAAATCGGATTATCTTTGTCAAATTTGAAAAAGGGTTCTCGATTTTCCACTTTGACAAAGATAATGAGTTTTATATTAGAAATCAGTGCGTCTAGGGCCTTAGCAAGTAATAAAGTCTACAATCAGCAGAAATCAGGGCGATTGTTGCCTAACCTTTGGGAGATGTGACCTCCCTGCACCGCCATTGTTTCAACCCCTGTCCAAAGATGCCTTGTAGAAAGACAATTGTCTTCTATTTTCTTATAAAAAACACCATCTATAGGAGAATGGACCATTAATTCTTGCTCATTCCCATGCTCTTAGTGAAAAAATATCTAACTGCTCTTGAAACTAAAAAAGCAAACATTCATAAATTGATCTAAAGTGTAGCATTATATGATTGGAGTTGATAGTTGAAAGTATAGCTCAAAGATTAAATTTTATATCAAATATTTGTCGCATAGCTAAAGATTGGTTCGTCTTCAATTGCAGTTACGTGCAATAAAATCATTGCGGATAGCAGGAAGCGAAAATGTTTTTCTTTCAAGATTTTGATGAGATTTGAACTTTGATGAGACTCAATCCATCGAAGACACATTTCTTCTAAGATTCCTTTTTGTTGTGGCAAACAAGTCAAGTTCTAGGTATCAAAATCTATCCAAAATCAGAATAAAATCGAGTTGAATGCTAAAAATGAAATAGACCTAAATGCATACCAAAATCTGGAGAAAAATCTTGACTCGAACAAATGGAAGTCGGTTTCTGATCGCTGTCTTCTTTATAGAAGCAAATTCACCTGTTATCAAGGAATTTATAGGCACTAATATTCTGCGGCTATTAAGGACTTATTTCGAGAAAATCCCTATTATTTATCGATAAATATATATTCTACCACGCTAACACCACCCCGTCTTAACTTTTTTAAAGAAACTACCCGTGCAAAAACATCCGCGGAACAAACATTGCGGATTTTGTGTTTTTCTTTGAATCACGTCGACCCGCCATTTCGTAAGTTTCCGATTGATATTTGTACACGGCTAAACTAGAAGGTGCTGTGAAAAAGTTTCTGCGAAAGTGGTTGTTTTATGATTACCATTAAATGCTACAAGTTTTTCAAAGGTAGCGATTCGTTGTGTAGAACTGTTACTGTTGAACTTGACATTTTGCAATTAATTTCTTATTCGGGGAAGAAACATAGACAAAGGAAGTCTTCAAATTTAAATGACATAGCTCCATCAGAAGACGTTACGACATCTCTTATCAAATCAGATCTTGAATCTACATTCCCTCATCCTGGGAAGCGACGATTGGCCGTTGGTGCATCGGCACAAGTCACTCTACCTAGCCAAAATACCTTAAATGTAACTTGTTCTAACCCATGTACCTTAAATACAACTTGGTCCAGCGGTTTGTTTGTTTTAAGGACACGATTTTGTCCAGATGTATGTCTTATGGATACAAATACCTTGAAAAAGGCTAGATGCGAAATTATTGTTTCATTTTTATTGATTAACAAATGCTAGCTGCTTAGAATATGATTTCAGTTTTTATAACTATTTTTGGACCAAAACAGTCTGAGTTTGGTTATAAAAGATTCCATTTGGTTACCAATGAAAGCTCTTATGTAGCCAATTTTCCATAATATTATGTGGGCTCGAATTTTCGATCAATTTTTCAAAGCATTCAGTGTTGTGACATTAGGTTTTAGAAAGTTTCAGGAGTTTGTTAAGAAAAAATAAGATAATCGATTCCAATAGTTGTTTTCATAAATAGCAAAAGCAAATAATTTTTAAAGCAAAAATTTTCACCTTTTCCTTGATTTCAGAAATGGCTTTTGTGCTTGAGTGCATTTGAAAGTATACCGTCTTTACAATTTGAAAATTGCTTCTATGAGTTTTTTGGGAAGAAATTAAATGAGCGCCAAGCTAAAGTCAAATGAAAGGAACTCGTTTTTACCAAAACAGCTGAAAACCATGACTTATTTATATTCAACAAAAAAGGATTATTTTCTTGCCTAACACCGGCAAATACGTACTGCTAAAAGCTTTAAAGAATTCATTGTTTAGAGAGAGAAATGGTCGACAGAAAATCCAGATTTCACCTGCTCCAAGAAATTGATGATAAAATGTGATAAAACGCAGAAGTCTTTATTTTTCCCATATGCAGGTCAGTAACGTACGCAAATAAATATAAATTTACCTTCAAATTTCGTGAATTCGCTTATCAATCACACTTGAAATTAAAAAACAGCTCTTTCTTTAGTTAGTCAATCGCTACTGTGCAATGATATCTTCACGCCAGCAGTATACTGCAGAAATTGTGTTACTGAAGAATTCTCGATGATACTGCTTTGTATTGCCTAAAAGACTGCACCAGCAATTTCATATTCTGTCTGCACCCACTCAAAACACACACAGAAGAGAACCTGAAGCAAGCATGTCATTTTATCAAGGCAGCTGAAAGGTAGGCAGGTGATGGTAGAGCGGAATTTCATTACAACGTCATCAAAAATAGATATCGTATTTGCTTTATCAAAGTTCAAAAAGACCAATACAGAATAATGAACAATATATTTTTAAATTTGATATATAATGTGAATTAAATACATAACCCCACAGTTCCCAGTTTTTGGATGTGGTAATTTTGATGTCTTGTTTCGTGCTTAATTTCTTCAGAATTTCGTCTCAGAATCGTGATCTCCGCAGGTGTGCTAATTTGTATACTCAATTAATAAGCTTTCTATATCTTATTAGAAGTATAATACAAATAATTATAACGATTATTGTAAATGTCAATTTAAGCAGCAGTTACCTGAAATTATAACAAATATATTTGAATAAAGAAGTAATAATAAGAATCAGCTTAGCAAATGCATATCGCAGCAAACATTTGTGCGTTTGCTGAAGAATATTATCAAAATAAAGAAAGTTAAGCAAAATTATAAATTGGAGAAATAATCTTATAAAACATGCTAGGTACATTAACAATGTTCCTTTTCCAGTCTTGAAGATGTTGAAAGATTTCGATATTGATGAAGTTATTGCAAAGCATAGTTATTCCAAGATTGATTGAAGTTTGTATACGATCAGTGCATATGCAGACATTATGGGGGTTTGGGGGCTTTCAATCTGATATACCTTGGAAAAAGTATAAAAATTGGATCCTGTAATCTAAGAAATAGAAAACAAAGAGCTGCTTTAAAAGAGGTTACTGCCAATTCCTTCCCATAAAGCTCAATTTAAGCCATTAGGTATCTTGCTTATATCAGGAGCAGCACCTTCCATTTGAAAGAGAGGGTCATCATAAGAAGAATGGGTTTAGACATCAATTTGAGCAGTGAACATTGATGGAAAGTGTAGATACAGTGCCTCGTCGCCCTTGAGGCATGCCTTTTGTACAACTACTTTTACAACAGAGCTTTTCAAATATGCTTCCGTGAAAATAGCTGTGCTAGGGTTATCTCGTGAGAGGTCACGATAGTGTGCTTGGATTTCATTGTGTATATTATAGTTTGATAATAATTACAGTTTTTAGATGTTGATGCAGGTGAGCAGATTGGATTTTTTATCGTTTTAATAATATTGATAAACAATATTAATGGTTGTATAAAATTATTTTGAAAGACAGAAGTTTCACTAGCATGAATTGTTTTGATAATGTCACAAGTGACCCATTCCAGTGTCATCGGTGATAAACACAAGCACTGAAAATATAAATGATGCAATTCGACCTCAACAAATGATAAGTAAAGGAGTCAAAGAGAATCTACTAAATATTAAACCTTGGTTTTTCCTTTTTTTAATACAGCAAATTTACTGCTTTTTGCTGCATCACAGAAACGGCGGAGCGTTGGAAAAAGTGGAGGAGGGGCAAGGTCGAGTGAAAAGGGGCTTGTTTTGTGATCAATTCCTAAAAAAGTCGGAGGTTATGGGGCTATAGCTCCCACGCCCCCTGCTCTTCGAAGCCTGTATCATGAAGCTGCCAGGCGTGGCTGGGTCTCCTCTTAAGAGTACTCGGGAAGCTGGAGCTTTCAAGTAGCTGACTCTTTTGGTTACAAGTTCTGTTGTCCATAAATTATCATTTGATTCAATCCAGTTCTAATATTTACTTAGCTCATTAAGATCAAATCTTATAAAAAAGGCGCGATGGAGTGATTTGATTGTTTACTGGCTTTGCTTTTCTCATCCTCGCCTGAAACACGTGTGTGTAAATCACATTTGCATTCTTTCATTTGCACCTGCATTTATCTCCTTCGAAACGTCTGTTCAATGCCATTAGGGAATCAGACCTGCTAGCTTATGATATACTTGCTGGGAATTTATCGATATTTATGTGTTTTATTTAGCAATATAATTTTTCCAAATAAGTATTAATGCAAAAAGGTTGTTTCTGGTATGGTATCCGAATTTTGGCTTTCATTGAGGAAATGTGTAAGAATTCCTGGGTTAATGGAACGCTTTATCTCCACAGCTCTGTACCAATCTAGTTGATATTCATTAACGTTCTATGAATGATAATGAAGTATTATTTAAAGAATACTTACGATTCATATTACTTACGATGAAATTGTAAAATAATCTAGGTTAAGAGAAAAACTTTAGAAATTCTATCGTTTAGATCAGTTGTCCTAGATACACTGAGATAGGGCGTACAAACCCTAACAAAGGCCTTGAAAATTCTATGATACTTTTGGAAAACTTCAAATTTTCCAAATTCAATTGATACTCTTCTAATTCCATGGGAATGCGTTAGTTATTAAATAAAACTGCTTCCATTCTTGTTTAGACGGGGAGAGTAGGACTTATTAATTTGAGTAAAATCTTGTATACATTGGAAATGCAATTGCAGTCAGCATGTTCCCTGGGAACCAGATAGGTACATACTAAGATGCCTAGCTAGAGCATTCCTAGATTAGAGAGCGTGGTTTTCGCCGCAAAAGTGCAATTGTTATTGTTTATAAAGTTAATTCTATATTTCCGAATAATGTATTTGCTATTTTTCATCAGAGAGCTATTATTATTTCGGGGGCTCTTCCCCATCATTGGCTTCAAACATGTTATATCTCAAGATTGATTTTCAATGACAAAGCATTCCCTACGTTTTAGGAAGTCGTGGTAATTTTTTCTGAACTCAGATTAATATTTTTCTAAAACCCGATTAAACTGGAAGAAGATTGCAAACACTTGTTTCCCTTTTCCACAAGGAAGAAAAAATCAGGAAATACTTATGAAACTTTGGGCGCATCTGTCACTACTGCCACTAAACTTTGGTTTAAAGAATAATTGTAATAATTCAGAGAAGCGACAAAAGTGCATTAACTACTCCTGCTTGTTTACCTACGAATGAAAAATTCAGTCGTATCCTCTAAATATTTGATAAAACAATCATTCAACGTTTGAAGATAACCAAAGTAATATTTTCCTCCATTTAACGTTGTATCTTCGATGTTTAACTTACTCAACTAGAGAATGTTTCAAGTAAATGATTTATAGGCACTATTCTGCGTGTGAAAAAGCAAGGAAAGAAATTAAAGCTCATTCGAGACCTGCTCACCTCTCGACTTGGTTCAAAAGTCAACGTAATTCGTACAAACCAAAGGGTCGTCTTAACAACTTTGGAAATATCCACTGAATTGATGCCAAGTCTACTGAAACCTAATCATACCTTGGCGGGAGAAAATATCCACCCAATGAGTAAGGTCACACCCCTAGTTGGGATCCAGTGATGAATAGCTATGAAGCATTTAATACTCACTATGATGAATGTACCGTAATATTTCACAAAAACCTATTGACACACAAGAGCTGTTCTAAACATGTTTGATTTGAAAATCAGTTACAACTGTTCAGAAGTTTAAGTATCCTTTGTAATAAAAAAACATGGTTCCAGAAGAATAAACAAGCCTCACCGGACTGGTCTTTAATACAAAATGCCCAAACGAGAATACATTCGACATCTGTTTGAAAACATAACATATTTCTACCACAACATAGCTCAATGCCGAATACATTTAAACAAGATTGTAAAAACTTCCTTATGTCTATTTTTGTCTTGCTAATATCAAGCAGGTAGTTTTTTCAGGACACTGAGAAGCTAATGCTTATCAAGCAGTGTCCTGGTCCTTCCTCTTGATGTAACCACACCTTGTGATACCTACATCTGGAATTACAGAGAGCAGGCGACTCTCCTCACTCTGAGAGAAAGTTTGGTCATGCCAGGGACTCGAACCCTAGACCCTTGGGCCCCTAACCACTAAGCCATCCTTGTGATCTTTCGGCCCTAGTATTGATGTTTTGTACTAATACTACTGAGTGTCAGGCAGAAAAGCTTAAGGTAGTAAGTTGAGAAATGTTTGCTCTATTCAAAGTCATTTTCAAAATATAATTTGCAAGACTTCACAAAAATGTCCATGTTATAAGGTAATAATGAATGCCATTGTAAAAATACTGGAAACAAGTTGGCATGAAAAGGAGTTTTATTTCACCAAGAAACATGACAAGTTTGAGTCCTTTAAATTGTTATAAAGATCTGCCTTTTTAAAACATTAGAGCAACATATTCAAAACAACATAGTACAACAATCTCATTGGTAAATAATACAAGAATTTTCAATATAATATTTGATAACGGTATTCTGAATTCATCCAAGTTTTAAATAAACACTTTAAACCACATTTTTTCCAACATTTGGTGTTAAAACAAAAACTACTTTATTGAGCTGGGTACATCCTTCTTTTAGACCTCATAGCTTCAATTTCTTTCTCAAGAATCTCAAAGAATTCTGATGTTGTTGTCTGTCCCCCAATGTCAGGGGTTCTGGCTCTTCTGCTAACAACAATATTTTCAATTGCTTTATCTATGACTTGAGCATAGCTTGACAAACCAAGATGCCGTAGCATATTTGTACCAGCAAAAAGAAAACTCATTGGGTTGGCAATATTTTTATCAGCAATTGCTTTTCCACTGTTGCGTGTTCCTGATTCAAAGACTGCAAAATCATTGCTATAATTGGCACCAGGAGGAATGCCAGGCCCACCAACTAAGGCTGCTGCAATGTTTGTGATGACATTTCCATAAAGGTTAGGCATTACCATTACATCAAATTGCTTTGGATTTGAAACAAGCTGCATAGCACAATTATCGATAATCATGTCACTGAACTCAATGTCTGGGTATAAATGAGATATTTTTCTGCATGTATTTAGAAATAATCCATCACTCATTTTCATGATATTTGCTTTGTGGATTGCTGTTACTTTTTTTCTTCCATTTTCCTTGGCATATCTGAAGGCAAAGTCTGCGATTCTTTCAGATCTTTCTTCAGTAACAATTTTCATCATTTCAATGACTCCACTTACATTTTCGTGTTCTAAGTGGCTGTATTCCCCTTCAGTATTTTCACGCACTATACAAACATCTACATCTTTGTGCCTTGTTTCAACACTTGGAAACGACTTGCATCTTACAACGTTTGCAAATAGATCAAGGTTATGTCTCAACTGGACATTTGAAGACATGTCATGTGGACCGTCCATTATTGACATCCAGTTTCCTTTCAGCGCTACACCATTTCGTTGCACTGACGTAACCGCATCTTCAATTGTTTCAGAAGATTCTTCTGAGTTTAATGGACTAAAAGTGACTACCTCAAAATCTATGGGCACACCAGCACTCCTAAAAACCTCCTGGGTACCCTGCATCAGTCGCGGGCCTATGCCATCTGCAGGCAACATTGTTACTGTGTGTCTACCTCCATACGTCCCAGTCGGCGATCTGCTATTGAAGTTCGCTACTTGAAGTTTCCCATGGAATTTACAAAGGTTGTTTCTGCTGATAATTCGTCGAAATAGCTGGATCATTTTGCCTTTTTGAGGACAAGTGAACTTGAAGTTTGATTTTCTAGGCCTATGCCAAGTCCAAATGGCCGCAATGTTGTCTGGGAAATAATGTTTACATGAAGCATCTTGGTTGTATTGGGAAAATAAATCAGAGATGGAGTCGGATGCGGTAAGTAACTTTCCCTTGTTTTCAACTACTTTTGTTCCTTTTAAAGGCTTGTTTTAGTTTTAAAAGAAAATGCATAATTTTGAGCTTTAATTTGATTGCTCAAAATGCCCGACAGCTGCTTTTAAACTGGAAATTTTCAAAGTTGATATTTCAAATTTAAGTTTTGTCTTATACAGTGTGGACTCCAAATAAGCTAGAACCTTGAATTTTGTGGCTTACTTTTTATTTGCCTTTCTTAAAAATGTAAAAGGCCAATTGATAGTTTTTTATTCAGATTGGTTACGTTTACCATCATTCAAATGCCCTGATTTTTAAGGGGCACTGCGGTAATAGAACTATCACTTGCCTACCCTGGAATACTAACTTGAAAGGCTCAGAAAGAGCTGTCAGTTCAAATTGTAGCTTCATTGCTAACTAACACTACCAGGACAAAAGTATTGCAACACTTGGGTAATTTTGAGCTCTTAGGCCTATTTAAATTGGTAAATTGTCAACTACCAACGTGTGAGTTAATGCCAGAAATATGTCAGAAGAATGCAAAACAGTCTCTTTAGTGAAATCAAATCAATGCTAGGGAAATGAGGGAGGCAATATTTTTCATAAAAAGTAATACATCCCCCCTACAAGGCCATTTTAACACAAACTCCTTGAGAATCTGTAAGCTTCTTGTCCTTCTTCGGCCATCACAAATGCCTAACCTTAAAATAAGCAATTATTTTGTGTTGCCAATGAAAATGATCGGATTTGAAATTCATGAGGTTCTCTGAGGTCCAAACAAGAACTGACTTTATGCAGAATGAAGGAGAATACCAGTGCATTTCATCAACAAATTTTTGCATCAATTCCAAAGCAATTTTCAACACTTATCAGTCAGAAGCACCTCCACAAAATGTTTGTTTAATTAAAATTGTTTAATTAAAAGTTACTTGAATTATTGATTTAAAATTTTGAAAAATGAAAATGGAAATTCAAATTAAGGCTTCATTGAATTTGCAGTTTTATTTGCCCGCCATTGGCTGACAAAACAATAGCTCAATCAGACAACAACAAAAGATTTTCCATGATCTTCCAGTTATCGCCTTCGCGGGTGTTGCAATATTTTTGTCCTGGTAGTGTTTATAAGTATTTATTCAACAAATAAGAAGGTTGAAAATAGTATTTTACATAAATAAAAACCATTTTCAAAGATTTTCACTTCCATTAAACAGAGACATTGCCTAGTTGAAATACATTAGCCCACATAAATTATTTTGTGTGTGATTGAATAGTACATTTTGGTGTGTATGTAATTTATAGATAACAGAGAATGTGTTTCATTTGTTGCAGAGATCTGACAGATCTCCAATGCAGGCAAACATAAGACGAGTGTTTGTGCAAAGGGATTTCACACAAGGCACTGCTGTTAGATTCCAAGTCAAATATCCATTAGAATTGGAAGGAAAGGTGAAAAGAAGTGCTACTTTTTCTATACCTTAAACCACAGCCTGTACTTTCTAGGTATACATCCTGCAAAAGTATTCCCTCCCCCCCCTCCTCACCCCAAGAATAGCTCTTATTGTAACAATAACAATTCTCTGCTGCATTTATAAATTTTAACCTCTGTGGATGACTCACTCAACCATATTTTAATGCTTTTAACGTTTCTACTAATTCCAAATAATTTTCAAACTTTCTTTTATACATACCAATGCATAAACAGCATAGAATAGAGGCTCTTTTTTAACATGATAATTAGGGGGGCAATTGTACTCAAGCCCTAATGACTTACCGTTTTGTTATGATCATTTTTAAAATGTATTTGCTTGATCTGCCATTTTAGCTTCCCCAGTCATACTTTGAAGAAACCTTAAAGAAAGTCAATAGCATTTTTGATAATGCTGAAAAGATTGGTCTAAGAACCTACACTCAAGGATGTTTCGCTTGCGTTACTGCATATCTTGTTTATGCATGCTGTAACACCCATTATGATAAAGTAAGTTTTCTTTTTGTGTCAGAAGAAGTTGCTTTATCTTATTTTGATTTTGTTTTAAAAATTGTTTGTAATAGATTATAAAGCAAGTGTGCATAACCAAAGACAAAAGTTTGCCTATTTGAATGGCAACTGATTATTGAATAATAGAAAAGTCTCATTTAGTTTCATTTAGCAACATAGCAATTACTTTATTGAATGGCAAAAGGAAAGCACCATATTTTAGTTTATTTAGCAGCAAAAAATTTGTTTGTCATTTTTAGAACCAATTTTCATCAGGTCTTTTCGAAACCTCAGCCATTACTCACCAAGGACATGATTGCTTTTAAGAAACTCTTTATTTGTAATCTTTTGCTTTTTAGTGCATGAAAAAACTGGCTGCATACATCAATGAACAAAATGAAAGTGTTTATGTTCCGAGAGGTCTAATGCTTGTCAATCCAATGGAGAGGGGTCTTCGTGTTGTATCCTTTTACAATGGTTGTTTGATTTGTTGTTCTTTTGCCATAAGCTTAGGGAAACAAGAAACCTTGTAGTTATTTTACCACTTTCATTTTTGGCAAGTATAAATTTAGCATTTGACATTATGCCATATTTAAAATATTGAGAGTTCAGTTTATCATTAGCTTATCTTTTTGGGTTTCAGCTTACTAAATCTGGCACTGGTTCTTTCTTGAAATAGCTGAATGTGTCTGTTTATCACAGATAAGTTTCATATACACTTGTTTCTTGGCTTTGTATCATTCATCTTCACTGGCTCCAGCTTTTACATTAGCAGCCTCTCCTCAATACACTACCAACTATAATAGGAAACTATTATCAAATTGAAGGTACCATGAATTATATTATGACTGCAGTTTTTGTAATACAATTATTTTTATGTACATTGTGCATTAATATGAAATTTTTCGTTTCTCATATTATCTAGGAGATTATGATTTGCATGAGATATGTTCCCTTTGGTGTAATTCTTTTGTTTTGCCCAGATGAATAATTTCATTGTCAAAAGGAAATAGATGATAGGTTTGCTGAAACCAAGAAATCTTGAAACAATCTGTATTTGGAATGCTTTTTGAGGGACCTTTTATTTTTAATGTAGTAGGTAGTCGATCCAGGTTCGTCGGAACTGGAGGAACCAGGGACACATGCCCCCACATATTGCTAGAGCTCCAGTAATTGTCAGACTGTACTATGTTTATAAGGAAACTATTTAATTTCATTGTTTTTGAGAATAATTGATGAAAGAGGAGCTTTTTAACCAGTGAAACTAATCAAGAGACAATCAAATTGCATTATCAGACAAAGAAACATGTTTTATTGTATTGAGATAAGATTTATATCATTCAATTAAGCAGAATATTGTTGTCTTAGATTAAAAACTCTGTAACATGTTTCTAATTAGAATGCCTGACAATAAGAATGCCTGGTCAAAATAAAAAAATGACAACGTTGAAATTTTTTATTTTAACCATAATTATAAATTTATGATGCTTTTTTCATCAACTAATTATCTAGACTTTCCTTGACATCACTTTATAGATAGAAATTTGTGTACAAATGTAAATAAAAAATTTACAGCCAAGGACTGGATGGCTGTGGCTTTGGATTGATTTTCTACCTTGGGAAAAAGTGAACGAAGACATTCCAACAGATGTTAAGATTGCTGCTTTGTACCTATTTGATGTATAGTATCAATCCAAGATAGGTTGCCAAAGGACACTTTTTAGTTTAATGAACCACAATGTGTCATTGAATTAACTTATTTCTAGTGCATATTCAAAGCTAGGGAACTCCAAAGCCATGTTTGCAAAATCTTATAATTTATGCTAGTGTGTTCTTTGGCACACATCAACAATTATTAGCATTTGCAATTATATCTCATGCAACAACTGGCTTTAAACATTTTTGCCGTATACTTAACTTTGTCTGAGTCTTTGCTTAACTCTATCTCTGTAATTTGAATTGCTATTTTTCTTTCTATAGCTTGCAATAAATCAAATAGGTATTACTTCATAAGGTGAATATTTGTAATCCATTGCTCTACGCTATTCCTACCCGTAGCTTTTTTCAAAGGGATACCAGCTTGGTGGTCGTGCCTTTGTTTATAAAAAGAAGTGGTAAATAGTCTGTTATCTTAAACAATGGGCGATCACTGGGGCTTGAGTGGAAATTGCCCCCTCCCCCTAGTAAATATGACAAAAATTGCCTTGGATACCTGACAAAAGCCCTTTCTTTGGTCCACCTGGAAGGTTTATGAAAGAGATCCACCTGAGACCTGTTGTGGTAGTTGGCAGGGCGCTAGCTTTTGTGGAAATTTTCTTTAGCTGTGAGATGTTGAAATCTATCAAGGAATTTTGGAGAAATTGGAACTTTTGAGGAAATATTTAGGAAATTTCAGGGAAAGATGATTTAAAATCAGAACAAGCCATTTTATGATTTCAAACTATGAGATTTATTATAATCTGTATCATTTGATCATCAATCTAACATGACTTGAATACAAATATAATATGCTTAGTCGGAACAAATTTTAGCCAGTTTTGTCTGCAAAGCTTTGTTGGTCTCTGGATCAGTCGCATCAAACGTACAAATTCTTGATCAAGCTTTGCAATCCGATGGCTTTCATTACTTCGTGGATGTACATCATGCCCATCTGTGTCGCCGTCCTCCAGCTGTATAAAAAGGCAACGAGAAAGCAAGCATGTTTTGTTTCATTGCTTCATTTGTTTCATAGTCGTGGCCCAAATCCTCCACTAGGTCCAGCTTTTTATTGGAATGGACCAACTTTCTAAATTCATGCCAGCAACGAGAGGAAAATCCTACCGTTATCAAGAATTACGAACGGCTCTCCTTGTCTCTCCATCATTATGACGTTGGGACATTTTGAGGCTTTTACATCCACATCTGCTTCAAATTGCGCCTCTATTAATTGTACCTTAATTTCACAATGACAGACCCAAAGAATTTTGCAATTTCAGTAGATTTTTTCTTGTAGTTATTTGTTAGCTTTCAATTAATTATATTAATTAGAATAGATTTGCATGCAATTGTATATTATATTGTCTTTTTAATACTTTATTTGATGTTCTTACAACGAGTAAAGTATTATTTCGGTTTTAATCTTTGAACAATTTCTTTTTGTAAGCCTTTTACTCTTGTTTTCCATAATGGTAGTGGCTACGTTAAATATTCACACCCATCTTCAAAATTTTGTAGAACATTTCTAATATTTTATTCTAAAACCTTCCTGTAGCCATCATTTCATCGACTGAAAAAATCAGATTACCAAAATGGAAAAATTTGTTGCGACTTGGTCCGAAAAGGAAAGAATTTCACACATTTGTTGTTTTCTTTTTAAAGACAATCTCTCTTTATTTTGAAATTTTCCTATCAAAACAATCCGGAACATCCAGAGCCCCGGCAATATTATACTGCAGGGTCTATAAAAGCTGTTTGTGATCAGGGTAACTAGGTTCACGTGCTAGTAGTAGGGCCCCTTCAGGCATCGGATGATTTCTGATATAACCAGCCAGCTTATTGCTAGAGGTTAAGAGAGTATTGTAAGGGAGAGTCTGTTCAATATTCTAAACAGAACTCTTGTTTTCAATTTGCTCAGCTGATAGATAGCCTTGAACGACATGACTTTTTTCATAAGTAAGACGTTTGGTATGCAGTTGAATCCTCGATATATTTTCAAGCAAGATGAAATAAGAGAACTGCAAGTGAGAGAAGAGCCAAAAAGATCTCTTATTATAGACGAGAGCTCTTATTTTATCTTGATTCAAGGGATGTAAGGAAATGGCGTGACTAAAAGAATGTCCGACTTATTCGGGGTCCTTTGACTCGAATAAGAAAGAAAATCTATTAGATATTAGAAATCAGTCTCAGGGCAAGTTCATTTTATCTGGAGTACGACTTTACGTTGTTCAGCAGTATAGAAAACTTTTATGTAAATACATCAGACGTATCAAGTGACACGCATTTTTCGTATTCCCTCATGCCAAACAGGAAACTTTGTCCTTGAAACCTTCCTTTGAAACTTAACAAGGTGGTGACGTTTTCTCTTATTCTTCAGCCCAGTCTCAATTCCACAATAAACAAAAAAGAACAAGTGCCATTGACACCTTTCCTAGTTATTTTCGCCTCAAATGTAAAAGAAAAGACATGCTTTTCAAAACAGCTCACAATTTCACTCCTCAAGTGAACCAAAAACAATTTAGCTGACGGAGTTTTTTATACTTTGAACAACTACATTGGCAACTTGTTTAACACCTCTGTGGAAATTTGGCAAATATTTTTGACGGCATACGTAAAATTAACATGCGTTTGAATTTCAGGAGATTTGGCATTTCAACATCTGGTTTTGAATTTAGTAACATTGGCTTAACTATTCTATATTTAGTAAAACTTTCAATATAAGTTTTGGTTTTTGCCGAGGTTTCTTTAAAACAAGATGCCGCATAACTTGCTGGGACGAAAGAAATTCAGATCGTTTGTCGATGTACGTGATGCTCAGGATTTGTCTGACTGTTCTGGATCCGAGGAGAGTCTTGCATGCAGCTCTCTCGGAGCATCCGAATATGATTTTGCGCAAGATATAAAGAGTTCATCTGGGGGCACAGTGGTTTTAAAAAGGGCATTTTCTCGTACCTTCTCATGGAAGAAGAAGAAGGTCCCCTGCAAACCCGAGGGTGATGCAGGGTCTCAAACTGAGAAGCTGAAGCCCAAAGATCCCTGTAAAATCTTTGTTATTGGTAATTCAGGCATTGGCAAGACAGGTATGTACACTTTTCTTTGTTATTGAGAGACGTTTCACTATAGTGAGAATTGTTGTACTTTTGTGCAACCACGAAGCCTTGTTTTTTAAGCTGGCTTTTTAACATAAGGGGTTTGAAATCTGAAATAATTACAAAGTCAGCTGTGGAAAAGCATATTTGATTTCGGTTTCTCAGAGATCTTACGGCCCTGTAATTTCCTCCTTCGAAATTGCTGCAAAGCCACTTTTAATATCGGTAATTACTTGTTTTGATTTTTTGAAGTGATTTTTTAATAAACAACCCAGCCTTCATAGTACGGCAAGTGCACGGACGAACTTCGGGCTGGGGATGTGGGGCCAATATTTTTCAAAATGCCACTTTCTGAGATTGGAAAAATATTCTTCTTTCTGAAGCAAAGTGCCCCTCGCTTCATGCACCTCTACCTTCGAAATACTTCAGACGTAACAGGGCACAGGCACCGCGGAGCAGGGGGGCGGGGGTGGTGGGGGGGGCTTTAGCATGGAATACCAAATATTAAGTACAAAACTACCAGTAAAGCCTCTTTTCATAAGATTTTAGCCCCCCACTTTTCTTAGACTACCCACTTTTCTCAACGCTCCGCGGTGCCTGGGACACTGCACAACGAGATTGAGAATTTTTCCTGCACGCCCTATGATCAATGTATCTGGCTGTAGGCGCTCGATATCTCGTAAAAAATTGGTTTATTGATCTATGAAGACCAGAAAATGTTAGTGCTTGTACCTTTTACTTATGAGCTCTCTTGAATTTCTAAGAACGTCTCTCTTCTTCCAATAGCTGCAGTTGTTCGATTTTTAACAGGACGATACATACATGAATACCAGTCCAGTGAAGGCGAGTGTTATGAATCATTTTTTTAAAAATATGCTTCCGTCCAATATCACCCTTTATTGGAAAATTTGGTGGAAATACCATACAACCAGTGCTGTTACCCCGGGGGTTTAGTTAATTCACTGACTATCCGGGGATGTGCCTGCCAACAGGGTCTCATTTTCGACTGAAATTCCGAAACTGCAGCAATCTTGCTCAGGGGCGGATCCAGTGGGGTGCGAAGGGGGCTCGAGCACCCCTCAGATTTGAGAAAAAACTTTTTGGGGATTAAAGCTTATTCTACCGCAATTTTGTTTATTATTATTTAAACCATTTTAATAATACCGGGAAGTATGCACATCTCCTGAAATTGTTATTTCCGCTTCAATGCCCCGTCTCACAACTGTTCAACATTGTTATTTCAGTCCATGCATTGAAGTGTTATGAAACTCCCCCTGGTTGTCCTGTATAGCATTCTACAGACTCGGAAAGCATTGTCTCCTCTTATATCCAGCCACATAAGGAACCCGTGGCCTGTAAATTATACGAGTTTCTGCACCCGTGGAAGTGAATCTAGCCAATCACGGTGCCAGGTCGAGGGGTTCTAAACTTTGGCGCGAGAACCCATGGATTTCAAAAATCCAAAACATCAAAGAATACCGACAAACCAGGGGGAGTTTCTTCGCTTCAATCTACAGTCAAATGTATAAGTGGTTTTATGACCAGGGGGAGTTGAGCTTGAACAGGGGGAGTTGAGGTTGACCAGGGGGAGTTGAATTATGATACAGCACGCGACGAATGCTTAGGCGCAAATTTGCAATATGTTTTCGTGGATCTTTTGACGATCTTTACCTGATGCTCGATGCTGTAACGGCAGAACTTGTAAACGCTGTGGTTTATATAACAGAACGGTTTCAAGTTTCAACTCCGTGTTTCATGTCTTATTCATAGATCATGAGGTATGATTTATATTCAGAGGATAAAGCTTGCCCGAGCCCTTGTTATTCTTTTTTTAATCATTCAAGAACTACATAAAAAACATCTCAAAAACTTGCCCTTACTATTATTGACCAAAAGGGGTTTCCTTTTTATACCTACTTATATTCCTGCGAATCCTTTTTTCTCTAAGAATTTCAAATACATAAAAATACTCAAAACGCCAGGCCCATAGCGAAACGTTCAGGGCCTTCTTTGTTTGGTTTGAATGCTGTGTTTGAATCCCTGTGTTCAACTTTTGCACTGCACTTCAAGGGCTTCATTCCACCAGCCACGTTATTTTTTTGGTCAAGCCGATCAAGTTCTAATAAATGGCTGCAAAGAGTCAAAAATTAAATTTTGCTTTGAAAATTGGTGGGCTCGGGCCTTTTGCCACTGCGGGCCATCATATCATCTTTGACTACAGTTTCTATACTTTTGTACCCTAAGTGAATATAAGAGGGGCGAGCTGCAAATTGCGTTCAATTGGCATAAAAGCTGATACAAAAAATTACTATATAAATCAAGGCATCCAGGCTTTTTAGTTTATGGAAGGCTTTCATTTCATTATGGCTTATTAGCAGGGGGTACGGAGTTTGTGCATAGCAACACCCTGGGTTACCAAGCCTTACGTTTTAGAACCCCTCAGAATAATTTCTAGATCCGCCCCTGTTGCTACATGATTTGAGGTCACCTTAATCCACAGTGACGATAACTTTCAAGTTGGAGCTACGTAGTTTTAAATTTTGTTTTCTCTTCTAACAGAAGAATGTTATCGAAGAAAAGTCAATTTAGACGGAGGTATTGTTGATCTTCAAATTACAAGTATGACCTCTTGGGTGAGTTTTTATAGCTTTTGTTATAGGCCAGGCGTATATTACGGTAATGGTAACATCTCTCCGAACTTTCTGACACAATGATATTTTTCTACCCTTACCCTTAGCCCTCAGGTAATGAGAAAATGTTTGCTAAATGGCGAACACCTGTTGCGTTTACCAAATATGGGCATTTCCCCAAACTGGGGGTTTCGACCAATTTTGAATGACGTGCATGCAGATTTCACTTTTCCGACCCTTCCTCTTCTTCAAAGCAACATGATTCTATTATAGTTACGAAGTATTTCAATGCAGTCTGATAGCAGATTATATAACATCTTGAATTGACACCTTAAATGACGGGGGTCAAATCTTTAATCAACGCCGTATCGGTCGCATTTTCTTTGTCATTCATTTTAGGGTAGCCTCTCCATGAAACCTTCGCGCAGATTTTTATGACTTCTCTGTTCTTACCTACTTTAAAGCACATGGCACATTGGCAAAAGAATTTACTGAAACAGGGGTCTTGTTGGTTATTCCAAGTTATTCCAAAATTTCATATTCTTATGTTTCCCTTTCCGTATATTACGCCTGGTTTATTACCTCATTCTGCTTTTTCATCCTATTTCACTCGTTGAAATAATCATACATAAGCGCTACCTTTTGCCATGCAACACACAACTTGCCTGCGATGGTGAAAAATCCGGTATGGATATTTCGATTCACCTCGTGCCATACGTGTCAAGGAGTTTTTTAACTGCATCAACGAATCACAGGTCGCCTAGGGTCAGGGAGTGATCTCCTAAAACTATGACATCTAGTAAAACATGGTACCTGTCCGGATTCTTCATATCCGCCCAACTTGCCTTTGTAGGTATTGAGAGGTTTTTCGAGACAACCATCTTTGGATAAAAATTTCCAATTAAAAAGGAGTCCTAAAAAGCTTTCTTAATATTTCAAGCTCCATATTTTGAATATTAAACTAATTTGTAAATGAAACAACAAAACTTGATGATTTTTTTGCGGAAAACACGCACTATCGATTCTTTACAGATTGCCTAAAGTATCAGCGGATTAGCTTTAAAAATTGCGAACCAGCAAAATAAAAGTTAAGCTCTTCGACATAGCTGTTTGATATGATTGTGAATGAGCTAAAGAGTGTGGCGGAAGCTGGAACAGAAAACAACTTTCTCATTGCATTTTGCACCATTTACAAATTATATTCATTCTTGAGTTTTGAATTAAAGCCATGGGAATCGTGCATGCATATCTCATTTTTGTGAAAATCTGTTTCACGCACTTTTTCGTAGGCTGGTTTAATAGGAAACATCTTTCCGAAACTTATGAAACTTTCTAATTGTGCTGTTGTCATTTCAAATTCTAGTTTTTTTATTCATTAGGCTGTCATCTACTGTGCTCTATTTTTATAAGAACACTGAGGCTCGTTTTGCCCAAAAAATAAGATCGAGGCTAGAACATGCTCAGCTTGAGATGAGAAATTTTTAGAAAAACAATTCGCATTTTGAGAATTGTGTCATGTCAACAGAACAAAATTACGAACGTTTGTCCATAAACGCTAGCAGTCATTGATTTATCTTTAAACTTCACCCAGTAAAACGTCTGTGCTCTACAGGAGTCACAATGCACATGCTTCCGAACCTAAGAAGCAATTAGATTTCTTTTAATACTTGATGATGTCGCTTAATCTATAGATCTGTTTATCTTTGTAGGGGAAAAAGTTTGACAGAATATTAAGAGAAGCTGGGAGCTGCATAATATTGGCATATTCGATCATCGACTTTTTGTCGTATTGTTATGTCCAAAAAGTACTCGAAGAGATAAACAATTTAACTGATGTGCCTGTGATTATTGTTGGCACTAAAGGTGATATGGACGAGCGAAGGTGCATTCTCAAATCCGCTGCAGAAAAGCTTGCAGGGGATTATGGTTGTGTCTATTTTGAAGTTTCTGCTGCGGCGAATGTTGCTGTGCAGACGAGCTTTGAACACGCAATGAGGGAAACGCTGCTTGACAGAAAGAAGAGAGCTTTCTCTACTCGAAGCAGGTCAGGCAGCCAAATGTCAGTTCGACGAAGATCTTCGGTTTCATAAAGAATTACAATTATATTCAAACAAATGTACTATTCAATTCTCCAGATTTGACTGACAATTATTGCTTCAATTTCGTTAGTAAGACATGAGAGGGGATTGTACGGTGGAAATTTTAAATTTAATGACTACAAATTGTTCATCTTTGACGAACTTGAATTAAAGGACGCCTGTGCCATGGGACAGCGGGGGCAGTGGCACCCTTGCCCGCGCGAAACTGAGCATTTTTCTTCGTTTTACTAGTGTGATGCCTTTTTCTCGGCGCACTGTCCCTGTTCCCCTCTCTGAGTGCAGTCTACCCTGCTTGAATTTCAAGTATTTCTACATAAATATTTCATTAATCAACTTTTGTACAAAATGTCAATAAATGTAGCACTTGAAGTGAATTAAATATGTAATAAGAACTTTAACACATGTTAGAAGCAATAATTAAGTGAGGGATTTTTTTGGTGCTTTCGTGAAATAGTTGCCACAAGCCTGAGTGGTTTGATCGCTGCAAATTTCCAAAAAGTGTCCTGAAGTCTTTGGTTTAATTATAGGCATCCTCGTTACCAACTGCTCCTTTCAGGTTAACTATTTAATTCCACTTTGTTCTGACAATTTAGCTAAAGAAGGATTTAATCAATCTTTTGGTTCTTCTGACAAAATACACAGCCACCAAGACTGTCGAAAATTTAACAAGGTACTTGTGGAATGCCGTAGAAAGGATAGAATTATTGAGTTGGCACCATTATTTTAGAACAATAGGAATAGAAGGTGCTGTTCATTGGAACAAAGAATTTTTTTAATCTGTGCGACACTAGCCCCCCCTACCCCTAAGAACAGTCATGGCTATAACCCTATAAGAGTACATCCCGGGAGGGGGGGATACTCCCATTAAGGCCTGACAGATCTTGGCTCTTATGCTACCATTTGAGGGTTAATGTAAAAGACCACCATTTGAGGGTAATCTTTTAATACTTAAGATTCTCTTTGACCCTGAAAAGACTCTCTTGTTAGGCTATAATGGGAGTACCCAAGGGCTGTTTATTGTGAGTATTTTTAGTGATACAGTTTGCATGACAATTTAATTTAAGTTGTAATGTAATTCAAGAATTAAGAGTTGTTGATGAAAGTTTACAGGGTTCGTGAAAATACTGAAGATTTGACGAAATGCGAAAAACAATAAACTTATAGATTTTCAAAGTCTGATGGTATTGTTTATGGCTTATTGTAATTTGCGAAATTTCGCCGAAATTTCGTACGAAATTTCGTTACATGAAATCCACCTTTTATACCTGAAATCGAAGCACAAACCAATTGAAAGCGATATATAAACCTTACATTCCTTGTCTACCATCATAAGAACGCATATTTATTGCATTAAAGCGACATGTTTCTTCTCAGTCTCCAGCGGTAGAAGCCATGCTTTCCGAGCCCGTCCCAAAGAAGACGGGGGTTTAGTACATAGTATCTGGTTAGCGAGACACAACGTCAATGCCGCTGTGACTGCAACAGAGGAGACAAAGTGTAATGAACAATTAGGCTGTCATTTGCGAATGCAACCTTTCAATCGTTCCAAAATTATCAACAAAGTATTTACGAGAGGTCTGTCCAAAATAAATTTTTGCAGTGGAAAACAACTTAAGTCATATTGTATGCTTATTTTAGTTAGAATTAGGATCCAAAAGATTACCATGATCCACGGGAGAATCAAATGTAGCAAAATCCTCGCTTTAAACTGCGTTTTAAAAAATTAGTAATTTGCGAAATTTCGCAAAATACAGTTTTTTTACAACTACTCAAATGGGGCCGTATCAACATAAATCACGTCAGTAGGGTATGATGTGTCTACAAAATGAAGGAACAAGTCGCCATTGCCATTAACAATGTATGCCCTGTTGCTGTTTAGTCCTGCTTTAGAGATTTTAGGTTTGACTCTCGGCCCTTAGGAAATCGACCAAATTTTCATGTGATAAAGATCATATCATTTTGGAAAAGAATAGAAAACGACTTTACGATCAAAAGGGAACACAAATACGGCCCCATTTGAGTAGTTGTAAAAAACTGTATTTTGCGAAATTTCGCAAATTACTAATTTTTTAAAACGCAGTTTAAAGCGAGGATTTTGCTATATTTGATTCTCCCGTGGATCGTGGTAATCTTTTGGATCCTAATTCTAACTAAAATAAGCATACAATATGACTTAAGCTGTTTTCCACTGCAAAAATTTATTTTGAACAGACCTCTCGTAAATACTTTGTTGATAATTTTGGAACGATTGAAAGGTTGCATTCGCAAATGACAGCCTAATTGTTCATTACACTTTGTCTCCTCTGTTGCAGTCACAGCGGCATTGACGTTGTGTCTCGCTAACCAGATACTATGTACTAAACCCCCGTCTTCTTTGGGACGGGCTCGGAAAGCATGGCTTCTACCGCTGGAGACTGAGAAGAAACATGTCGCTTTAATGCAATAAATATGCGTTCTTATGATGGTAGACAAGGAATGTAAGGTTTATATATCGCTTTCAATTGGTTTGTGCTTCGATTTCAGGTATAAAAGGTGGATTTCATGTAACGAAATTTCGTACGAAATTTCGGCGAAATTTCGCAAATTACAATAAGCCATTGTTTATGACAAAGAATTTTTCATTCAAATCGTCAATTTGAGTCACTGTCTTAAGAAACATCTATGAAATATGAATACTGATCCAGAATTGATGCGAATAAAGAATTTAGATACAGTGATAATCTAATGTATGACCGGGAAGTTTTCCAGGGTGCAAAGAGGTGGACTTTGATCGTTTTTTAGGGTGGGCAAATAGTTCAAATGTTTCAACGAAACTCTTAAATACCTGTTAGTTTCTTTTTAGTCAGCTACACTAACTTTTAGTCATCTAGTTTGTCAATCTTAGCTTTGATAGGAAGACCTACCTTATTTAAATTTTAAGTTGAAGTTTGATGAGAAAGAATAACCCATTTGTCAAAAGGAAGTCAAAAGAAAATTATCCAAGTCAGTGCCATTTGTGGAAACAGAAGAAAAGTCAGTAGAAAGTTGTCCTCAGATAAGTTCCATCAGCAAAGGAATGACAGTTTATAAATAAAGCGAAAAATTAATAACTGATGAAAATAATGAAGAATACAGAAGATATGACAGAACCCTGTAGAGCAACAGCGCTAATTGAGCGAGGAAATGAGAAGTAGCTATCAATTCTAATAGATGTAAACTCATCTGAGAAAAATCTTTTTTAGTTAAATAAATTAGTGGAAAAGGATCTTCTATCGACACCTCCAGAACTCCATCCAGGCACCGCGCAGCCATCGGGCTGGCAGGGGCTATAGCCCTCCCCCCCCCCACTTTTTTGCAATAATTGTTTAGAAATTCTTAGAAAATTTACTCCAATGCAAATTTGAAAAGTTTTTTCTAACAGATCCCAAGTAGTAGCAGTTCGTTTTGAATAGGCACCCTTTTTCGTTCATTTTCTTGGAGTCTTATCTCGTTAAATCAATTTTATAGTAATTGACATCTTCTCTGAATTGGACTGTTTATAAAAAATAAGAGGAAAGAATCAATTTTTTCTAAAAGGGGCGTTTTCCGGCGTTCTCAAAATTCTCGATCAGCCCATCAACTTTTAGATTGGTGCGCGGTGCCTGACTCCATCCCTTGACATGTGGATTATAATTGATAATTTTAATCCTGCCTCGATCTAGAGTTGAAGTTTTAACAAATATAACTTTTGACAACGTATATAAACATGATGAAAAGGGAAGTCGTTTTTCCTCAGAAGGAAATTGAATCTAAAAGCAATGCTAATGGGCAATGCTAACGACTTTATTGCTCAAACTGTGAATTAACACATTTTTAGAGTATTGGGTCCTCTGCATACAGTGGCGTCGCGTGACCTTTCTCGTTGGGGGTCGGGGAGGTTTGTAAGAGATACAAAACCATATTTTACCGACAGAAATTCTTTTGTTACATTAATATTTTGTTATAAATTTAATTCTGCCGACGAGTTCTCTGAAAGTTAAGAGGGGTGTACACCCCCCGCACGCTACGCCACTGTCTGAATGAATTAGCTCTACTCTGATATCTTTAGATGTGAATTATGGAATATGACCAAACCAATAAGTCATTCGCAAATACTGGTTATAACTTCATATCAGTTTCAAAAGGTTCAGATGGCGCTCTCTATTGAAATACGCTAAAAATATGAATGAGCCTTAAATGCTTTTTTACAGACACCATTTTGATGTCATCCATCTGCGGTTGCTTCTTCGTAAGGAAGATCGATAGTTTATAGGGATTGCTGTCCAACAAAGAGAGGACCAAAAATGAATAGATGATATTTATCTCGTCCTTGTAACCCTGTGAGACAAGTTTCCCGCCACTAGAGAATGGCCTAACCAAACGGAGACACCAAAACATGGCTCAGTCAACGAAAGATAATTTTTTACAGTCTTACTGGAGCGATTTGAACCTTCCATGCACTACGAGGGGTTCCTCAAAAGTTGATGTAGAGCCTGAAATAAATAAAGCTGAAAGATTACGGAAGATGCAAAAGTTCTTGGAAAAAATGAAGCAAAGGTATGATGTTTCAAAATTTTGATCTGCAACTATGAACTTCAGAGACCAAGTTTTCATAAGAAAGGTCGAAGTTTTCTGGAGCACAATATGTTTTGAAGTTTGGAAATGGCATTTATCTATTCTTTCTTTTCGTTTCAAATGTTGATCTACGATGGCCTATTATGATAAATTTAACCCTTTTGTTGGTGCGGGTTTTCAAGCTATCATTGATCAAGACCGGGGCCCCCACAAAATAGAATTTATAAAATTAAAATTGATTTATAAAATAAATATTTAAACTTCTCTATTCTATTTACAATTTACTAATGTTTAGAGAGAAAGGATGCACTAAATGATATTTTCAAAGTACACCCAAATGAGAAAAAGATTCTTGGCCATTTGAAATTTTCTTGGGATGATGCCTGAGGTCTTTCGCTGTAAAATGGGGACTGTAAGAGAAGAACTGTTTTTGAAAAGGCTAATAGTACAATAGAAAAATTTTAGCTAATTAGTTGAAACAACATATTTGTCGTATCTGGGAACAAAAACTTTAAAGCTATGCAGTTGTGGTAGGCAAAGGAAAAACAATTATGTGTCAATGTAATGTCAATTTGTTTTTAGAAATTGAATATTTTTCAACTTGCACATTTCTCAAATATTGAAATATGGTAAAAGCCAATTGGATTCTAAAAAGTTAGATGTCTGTGAGTTTAAGAGATCTGTTTGATGTCTTTGCAGTAATCTGATCAATGAAGATTTGTATCTTGCACTTGTTGCCCCTATCCAAGAACAATATGCAAAGCTTTTTGACAGTTTGGAAGCAGAAAATGGTGAGCACCTTTAAGTTTTTTTGAAGTTGCCAAACCGGTATTTTGATTGAAGCATTATGCACTGTTTTTTTAATTGTGTCAAATGTGTAGATAATTTCTTAATTTATCGACTTTATAGATATAAGGCAACAATTATAATTAGAGCTGGGCTGCCTAGTCTGGTTCTTATTGAACAGAAAGCTTTTCTTTCTATCAATCTACCCCTCTCTTTTTAAGCTTGTCAAGATATGTTTGCTTAATGATAATAAATGCCTAAAAGACTGTTTATATTATTTCATTTCTAGGTCTAAACAATTTTGCTGGGGCAATAATGAACATAGTGTCAGGAAGAAGAAATGGTAAGAACAATTGATTGGAAACTTTTATGTATTGAGTCAATATTTATGTATTTCATTTTTCATTTTATCATATTTATACACAGAAACTCTATCAGCTACTAAGTTAGAAAAGAAAAAGTAAAGATTACCCTACATATAATGCTGGTCTTCCTAGAGATCGTTCTTCGGGAAAAGATGCTAATTTTCCAAAAATTCCTTTAATTTCTTTGAATTCCTTGAACGTGGCAATCGTGGAGCTCATTCTTATCTGTAATGGAAACACTGAAGATAATTGAGCTTTGTGTTTTACAATTCCTCCATAGTTCATCACTATATCTCAAATGGCTCTCGAGCAGTGCCTTGTAGACCTGATCCAGTTTAATACATATTGAGTCAGTTTTTTTAGGAGAGTCAAGACTTATTAGAGTTAAGTATTGATAATTCCCATAAGACTTGGTAAACCTACTAGTAAAAACCAGCTCATCAGAATGAATAGCCCGATACCAGAGTTAAGGTTATGGTAAACTTTCCTTGATAAAAACATCCTTTTTTCGATTTGTCACATTCAAGTAGCTGAACTTTCAAGGCACACAATGATACCAAATTTGAAAAAAGCAGAAATTTTGAAAATAGCAAAAATCACATGTAACAAAGGTTTCCATAATTTCTTTATCAGAACTTTTAGTTGAGGCCTGAAAATCTCTTGACCTGTTCCCTGATCAATTTTTGACAGGATATACTTTCAAGGGGAGGATGAATTTGAAAAATCTGAGACCCTCTTTGGTAGCTAAGGATCTGTGCTTTCTGCTGATAAAAATCAAATTTTGTTGCCTCAGACGCGGCTTGTTTTTCAAGACTCAGTATCATCCATGTAATAGACTTTCTCTACTATATCGATGAAACCCAACATAGCTGGGATGTCTTCACTTCTGTCATGAAGAAAAAAAGGCAAGGATACCCCTCTATGAGCAAAGCTTCTAATTTTTCTAAAAAGCACCTTCAGATGCTTGGTAGAAACAAATACATAATACAAATACCGTAAAAGCTTTATTAAGCGCCCCTCTCTTTTAAGCGCCCCCCCTCTTTTAAGCGCCCCTCTCTTTTAGGCCCCCCTCTCATTTTAGCCCTCCTCTCTATGAAGCCCCCCTAATGAAGCCAAAATTTGAATTAGGCCCCCCTCTCTATTAAGCCTGGTACACAGAAATTGTCTTTGATTATTGCCTTATGCAAACTAAGATTTAATTTTTCAGTATAAAAACTACTTTTCTTGCTTGCATGTTGCAAGTGATAATTCTCCTTTTTGTGATACAGGATCTGAGTCCTGGTGCAGCTCTTGGAGCTTAGCTGAAAGGTCTTCAAATTCATCTTTAGTCAAGGAGATTTTGAATCATGCCAAGGTAACTTTTTGTTACAGTATGCAAATTTCCTCTTTGCGGGTAACTATAAAGTTGCCCATGACACTGTTGTGGTTGAATGAAAGATATTGATCAGATTTTTATCTCAAAAAGAGAAAAGAGATTTTAACTTGGTTTAATTATAGGAAACCAATAAATCAAGTCATCCACCTGGTTGAGCTTTTTTAAATAGAGACCTAGCGGCTGCTCCATCATACAAAGGGCCCGTTCAAATGAAAACGGAGTCAAACTAATGCGTTTTTGCCTTGCGTTCACACTACTCTTCTATGAAAACGGAGTCGCTTGAAAACGCTAATGAAAACGGATACTTTCGAATACTGTGCGTATTGAATACGCTCCGTTTTCAGTGTGAACACCAAAAACGGAGACATTTGAATACGCTAACAACGGCAACAAAATACGTGCTTTCTAGAGCCCTGTCCACACTACACAAACTAACCCAGGTTCGCCCCAGGTTAAATTTAACCTGGGGCGAGCCCTGTTTTGTCCACACTTGATTTTCATGTTTTGTAATGTGGACACAAAATCGGGGCGATCCCAGGTTAGCTGACGCTACGCATGCATAGTTAAATTACAACAACAACAAAACAACGACACAAAACAAATTTTCCATAAACACGATCAAGATGGAAGTTGCCGAAGTTGCAGTTTCGCGGCTCCATAGTGATCCACGATCTTTTTTGCAAGTTTCTTTATCTTGCCTGGTGTTTGCATGTAACGTATTTTTATTTTTCGGCGCGCAAAATGAAAACATATTCAAATATGCGCATGCGTTAAAAAAACTAACCCAGGTTCGCCCCAGGTTTTGTGTCCACACTAGAAATTTAGAACACTAACCTGGGTTCGACCTAGGTCGAACCCACCTCTGGAGATGGGTTGAACTAACTCAGGGCGAACCCAGGTTAGTTGTGTCCACACTGCAAAATCTAACCTGGGTTAACTAAAACCTGGGGCGAACCTGGGTTAGTTTGTGTAGTGTGGACAGGGCTTAGCACACCAAATCTCAAAATTTTATAAATTGAGAATTAACAATGGACTGGTAGCTGTTACAACAAAGTTTTTCACGATTTGCTTTTATTTACTTTAATTCATAATGACACCAATTTGTTGAGGTTTCGTGAACGCCTCTTTCCAAAAATGAAGCCACCAACAGCGTTTTTGTTGGAGCAGTGTGAACACTAACCGTATTCAAATCGTATTCATTTGAAAACGGATAAGTGTGAACGGACAGCGTTTTCATCGACGAAAACGGAGCGAAACGAATATGGAGCAGTGTGAACGTAGCCTTAATTGGAGATGAATATACTTCATTTGTGATTATACTTCAAACTCAAAAAAGTTTTTTCATCATTTTTATAACTTTTGTCAACTGATAATAAAAAAATCCTTTTAATTTCAATGCTAGTTTATTGTTGTAACACCCTATCTTCTTTATGCCTTACGTACTTATCATACTTATTCTTTAAGTAAACGTGGTCCATGCACACCGAATATAGGCAACCTACAAATTTAGAGTTCTAAGTCTTCCCCATGTTAAATTTCACCAAAATTGAATTATATTCCTTATTTTCTTTAAGAATCTACTTCTTCAGCATTTCGCTTAACCATAACCATGTATAGTTTAAAATGATTCTTTGAAAAAGCGAAGCAAAAGAAATAATTTTCCAAAATTAAATAACTCCATTGCGATTGCTAACATAGTGAGTATATTTTCGCTTTGCATTCTGTTATTCCTAAGCACATTTGCTGTAAACGGTGAATTGACTCTTGATATGTGGTTGGATTATGTATGGAAATTTAATAGTCTATGATAATTTCAGAGGCAGGTGAAATTGTTCGATCTTTGCTCTTAAACAGCGAAGATAAGTCCCTGAACTAAACTGCGAGCTGGGAAAATACCACATGAATATATTAATTATTGATATTTTCGAAGTCAAACTACCTACTTCGGAATATGTCGGTCCAGATTATTGCACAGTAGAGGAAATCTTGACTGCAAAAGGCCGTGTTATCCTTCTCCTGTCTAGATTAGTCCTTTTCTCATTACATTTCCCGATTGCAATAGCTGGTTTTATGCTCCTAAAAGTATGCGAGGAGATGTTTTTTCATTTACAGGTGCCCTTTACACTAAAAACCTTCACGAAAGTTTGTTATTATCGCTTGAAAACTGTGTTTTACGATCAGCGCCAGCCCGAAAAGGTCCTTGAAAACTTTGCGCTATGTTGATATCAACGAGGGAATCCTCTACAATTGTTTAACATGTTTTTGCAGTGTGTTTTTTTCTGGTGCTAATTGTCACAATTTCAGTCAGGTTGTAAATTATCTCTAACCAATATTATTGCAGGCAGTGTATTCTTTTAACCTTCCGCTAAACGTTTTAACGAAATTTTCTATTTTACCAGTCTGTCAAAAGTTCTTGATGCGTTATAGGATAGATCTGTATACGCTGTTTAGTGTAAAGGAGGACAGTTCCAAGTTGCTAGCCCAAGTTCCTTGCTTAAATAATGCAATCGTCATGCGACTGTTAAACTACTCTTAATAGGCACTATACATTTTGTATCTAAAAAATAAATGCAGGATTTATTTGACATCACAATTTTGAAAGCTGTTGGCGCAAAATTTGATTTGCTAAGTTTACCGTCTGTTGGTTTGATGAACTGATAGTAAAATTCAGAATTTGTTTATACTCTTTGCGCATCAAACTCTTTATTATTTGCGAGAAGACTCGCAACAGTTGTTTTGTCCTAAGCAGGCAGTCTGGTTCACACTAAGTTGTGTAAGCAGTGTTGCCACTCTCATGTTGTCGTTTTCCCTTACTGCCATGCCGTTTTCCCCCTACATTCTCCCACAGAAAATTCCATACTTCCCCCTACTTTCCCCTGCCTTGCGGAATATTACTCTACTTCCCTCTACCACTAAATGTACTTTTTAAAGTTATAGACTTATTGGTTTTTCTCTGTTTTACCAAGTTAATGATGTGTAATCATGACCTGGAAGCATTTCTTTACTAAATGCATGCATTTTTTAAGTCATACATACACCCGGATGCCATAGACTCAAAAGTAAAATATTACAAACAAAGAAAACGCAACTTCAATTCAGCTATAAAATATCATAAAAACATCCAGTTCTTTTGGAGATTAGTTAATCAATTACTGGCTTCAATATCCACCTGTTCAGATTGGGTATATTTTTCCATGCAACAGGTTCTGACACTGTGATGCAGGTTACTTTCCTGTAATTGTGCCTTGACACTGAGTTAATTCTAGAAGCAATTTAAACCCCTACAATTTTTTGCTTTTTTCCCCACACCTGCGAATTTTCCCCTGAAGGTTTCCCCTACAACCTACAAAGCCCCAAATTCCCCTACTGTAGGGATTTTCCCGTATGAGTGGCAACACTGTGTGTAAGGTGTCATTACTGACAAAATTAAAGTCACATGGCTAGCTCTGAACTGCAGACAGCAATTGTGAATATCGAAAAAAAAACAGATGTGAATCTCCATAAGTCGATTACACAACACAAATATTTGTTATCAGAGCATTTCCCTCCTTAATCTGCTGTGAAATGTCATTGCTACACAGAATCAAACACCATGTTCCGAGAAATTTAAGTCCAAAGAGTTTCAGTGACGTATTTGCTTTCGGTTCGTCCGAGCAAATAAATCAATTGAGCTTTTCTAAATCGACAGTGATATTATCCTTATTTCCGTTTTTCCATGTTTTTCTCTTGTTATCTACGTTTCGAAATGCCAAGGACAGCAACCTCGATTCTCTGTCCTTTGATATCACTCCCTCACATATGGCTCCCACACTCTATAACGTCTTTGAATATATACAAAATCAGCCCACTTTTCAACATAATTTATACTGTGCACTTTGCTTCACAATGTTGCATTTTAAATGGCTGGCTGCAAAGTTTTTACAGCATCAGGCAATTTTGATCGAAAATTGGAGACGTTTTCTTCATAGTGTTGACAATATTGATGATATTTCCCCTTTTTTGAAAATTGAAGATTTTGAAATAGAGTTTTACAAGAAAACGTGATAAGGAAGATATTAATTTATTTATTTTGAAAAAAGCAGCTGCTGCGAAAAGTAGACGACCAACCGATGATCTAGACCTGCAAAAAAGATCTCTTTCTGATCCGAATAGAGTTCTAAAGTGATGACGTCGCAAAAAAAGTAATTTTGGAATTTTTTTAATACGGCTCATAATAACTTTATGAGCAGTGCCAAAATAACAGTTATCCGCTAGGAAACTTTAAATCTTTCATTTGCCATACCTCACAAGATATTTTAGATGCTGAACTGATTTTTCATATTCAAAAGAATTTCATGATGTTCTTTCATGTTATATGGCTAAATTAAAAAGTTCTAAAAATAGTTTATTTGTGACGTCACACTTACGAACTCTGTTATTATCTTTTCAAATATTCCAATTTGGTAATGTCTTTTCTATTTAGAAATTTTATATATAAAATAGCCTTGCATTTTCCACCCGCGCTTTGCATTGGTTGCTTTGAAGTACATAAGATTGGTAACCCGAGAACAACGATGCAGGATACGATTCGCAAGGCATCAAAGGAAAATCTTTGCAGCTATTTTCGATGCTTAATGTCGCTGTTGCTGTGTGAATTTCTTTTCGCGTCTGGGTCATTACCCGCGGAAAGTTCCTTTCTTGATTTTTTTAGTGTTCAGCACAAAAGGTTTTTTAGTGCGAATGGATTTGGTGCAATTTTATAATTTTTGTGCAAGTTGTTGTAAAATTTTGATAAACCATATTTGCGACTCAAAAATATATCTAATTTCATAGTGGACTGCGGAATTCACTTGAAATTAAAGTATGAAAGGCCGCAATTTTCACTTTTAGATTACTTGCAACAGCGGAGGAATTCCAACATTCCTTTTGCTTTCTTGTCAAGGGGCCAAGTAGCTAGAGCACTTGACTGCAATTTGATTTGGATGCTTGTCTTGCCTCTGAAGTCGCTATTATCCACAATATACTCAATTATACTTAAATTTTATTTTAAAGGAGGAAGAAAAAAGCGAAAAGAGAACATTGAAATACATCGCACGTGATTTTAAGTCTGACTCAGCCAGTCAGGGTGTGAAGGAAGCGAATTTTACCGCGCGGAAGGCAGAAGCGATTTCATGTGACTTGCCCACCAAAACCTGTAATCCATTGAAACTTAAAAGTCCATGGAGTGAAGGTAGAAAGTTACAAGAGGAAGAAAAAGGCACAGTTAAACGGGCAAGTAAATTTCTGTACAATTAAAGCTATTATAATTTAAAAATTGTTCTCTTGCTACTTTGGTTTTTAACATTTCCACCGATTGTTATTTTGCGTTTTAACCCTTCAAAGAATTATCAAAGAATTTTAGAGAAACCAATCCAGTTGGAAAGACTAACCAATAGAAGTGATTGTTTGCTCTGTGCTTAACAGCCCCTAACATTTTTTATTTTAAATAAAACTTTAAGGTCTCTTCTCAGTATTTGTCCAAAATAAGAGAAATATTCCAACGTCATCTGTTATTGAGTAAGAAAATACATGCAAGGTTATTTCCCATTTCTTGACATTTTTAATTGCTCGCTGTTAAGAAGGTGCGTTCATCTTATGAATACCTAATAACTACAGAGTGATGGATTTTCAGCTGCGTATTAGGAAAACAAAACTTTTACCAGGGTACTGAAATGCGCTTTTACAAACAAGAAACCTAATGAGCTGACAATGCACATCTCTCTAATTGAGTTCAAAAATGATGATGTCACAAAAATCTATTTTTAGAAATTTTTGAATTTGAATTCCATAACCTGAAAGAGCATCATAAAATACCTCTAACTTCGCAAAATCAGCCAAATGTGTTGCGAATTGGCTGAGATATGGCCACATGCGTATTGGCTCTTTCCACACCAAACCTCTGTATTTTGTTTAGCTTCACTTCAAATCTTTCATTGGCAATATCCCAACTGATTTTGGACATATTTGACTAATTTTGCAAAGTATTTCATTATGATCTTTTATGTCATGTGGTTGAAATTCAAAAATTCTAATAAAAGGTTTTTGGTGACACCACACTCTAGAAATCTAAAGCCTTGCTATAGCAACGCCTCAATCTTCCTTCGGATAAAGTTTTGCCTTATTTGCCTTTTCTGAAATTTTTCCTTGGATTTTTCGAATAAAAGTTACCTTTGAATGGGGTTTGGGTAAAATAATCTATAGTTTGGCATTTAAGCTCTATCAGGAAATAATAAAAGTCCAAGTACAACGGAAAATTCCCTTTACTTTATGTAGTCTTTTCAAGTAACGCACTGGTTTCCCTCAGAACTGCTGCATCGTTGGATAACCTTCTTCCAGCTCACAGCCGGGGATTCCTAATGTTTATTTGGGCTTTGCAGCCTTGATTTGCTATCTCAATAGTAGATGAATTCTGATGCTATGAAAATCTTCATTGCTTCCAAAAAGCTAATTTGCCTTAACTGTGATCTTGTTGGTTGAAAATATCAAAACATTTTTAATTTTATCTGGGCTGTTGTTTGAGATTTTCACCCTCTGCTTGCCCAAGTCTTCTATCTTTGTCAATTGAGCTATTGAATCTTTGATAATTGAGTTCCCTGCCCTGCAAAAATACTTAATTAAAACACAACAATGATGCCTAAACACTTTGCTGGCTTTTTCATTTGAAGTAAAATTATAAACATGATGGTAAATGTGATGGTGGACTTGCTTTCAAAGGTTTACGCCTTTCAGCCGATGTTCGTCCAAATATCTGCACGAACATTCCTTTATTGTTCATATATTCTCTCAAGTTTTGTTATTGTGCTTTTCCTGTTAGCATGGTGTTGGATTATGCTAGCTTTACATTCAGTCTTCATTCATTCATTCATTCATTCATTGGCCACCAGTTAAATAATGCATGTTTAAGGAAATTCAAGCACTAATCCGAAATCTATTATTTAGTACAGATGTTACATTAATCCTCGAAATTTGTTGCTAGAATTGGTGCGACTGTGATAATCTCTTTAAAGGTGGCATTAAAATATGTATTTTTAATATATTCATGTTTATCTTTGCGTTAACGCTGTTAATCTGTAATAGTCTAATGGAATATTAAAGGATTTTTTTAAAAAATATTTTGAAGGGCTCCAAATTCGAAGAGAAGAATAGATAAATCGTCAGTATTTTTGTAAGTTACAAGCAACGTCTTTCTGAAGTTGTCTTGAAGTTGCTTGCAAATTATCCGGAGCTTAACTGATGTTTGGCAACATGTCTGGGTCAGTATATATTTCAGCTCTTTGGCGGGCAGCCAGTTAGAAAGCCGCATTTTCAAAGGCTGCTCTGTGATTTTCAGGACAAAAAGTTGTCATGCGCGCCAGTTTTTGAGTACTTTTTCTTATGAGTCTCTGTTGTAGCTTCCGTCAAATGAAGCTGTAGCCAAACAGAGGCTCGAGGAGTAAGTCCACTGACTGGCCTGTAATTTAAGTACTGGCCAATACTGTCAATTGATATGCAGCAAGGGCCTATAATTTTATTTTGAGGTATATTTGTTTATGGGGTTGTGTAAAAACTGGAAGCAAAGTAATATTAGTAAAAGCGGCCCATTCACATCACTACGATGGGTTAAGTATTCCACCGTGATAGCAATTTTCGACAGTTTACTCTATCTATGCCCTCTCGTGCAGGGTCATCATCGTAAAATATGATCGAAAACCAATAGTGTAGGCACCTGCTCGGCTTTGGAAGGCACTTAGATGCTTTCTTATATTGAGTACTCATACTTCTGAAAATTCCAGTTTTTCTATAGAACATCTTTGATACGACCATAAAGATTCATTTATCGTCAGCCTTATCCACCACACAAGTTGGCAGCCATGGATATTCATTTCACTCGATCAGCTACTGTCTTTGAATACTTTATTTGCTCTTGTCTGTCCCATTAGTATATTCTATATTTCTTGTTAATTTGTTGGGGCTCCTGTACCTAGAGCCGGCTTGTATTCGATCCGTGATTATGGGAAATAGTTTCTACAGCTAGCTTTAAGTCAAGTCAAAGTTAGTCAAAGTACACCAATTTTCCAACATTCCATTGCAAAAGGTCTCCATTGCAACACACCAGTTACAAACTTCAATTAGAGTTAATACTCAATCTAGCTTGGCGGTCAGATTTTGTTCTTTTACGAGTTAACACTTAACGCTTCCATAAACTTTGAAGAGTGCAGGTCTGAAAAGTAAGGCCTGAAAGAATAAACATGATAGTCAGTTGAAAAGTAGAAAAGGATAAGAATTGTTTTTGGCATTGCGAGGCTTAGGACAAAGTTCTTTTAACATGGTTATTTTCTTGTGAAATGTTCAGGTTCCCTTGAAGTACATTTCCTGACGTACATTTCTGCATTTGCATATAGAATATTCAAATCGATCTTTCCTTAGGTACCCGAAAAAGTGAAATATGAAGCGGCTTTTACTAAACGAAAACATCCGGAGGACGTTTCGCAGCCAAGCAAGCAAGCCAAAATTGTACCTTTCTTGGTGAATTCAACTGCATCAAACGAGACAAAGGCCAAAGAAGATCGCTTTCGTTTCACCCCAAATGAAGCATCAGCGCACCCTTCTGAGGGTCAAAAACGAAGCCGAAGTGTAATATACAACAAGGTAATCACTAATTTTGCTTTTTGTCAGCCAGGTATTTCGGCTAACCTTTTTATAAGCATGAAAGCTATATGAATATTGAGGAGAAAATTTCTGCAAAAAACAAGCCAGTACTACGCATACCCCAGCCCCAATGTATACTCAAGTAGGACCATACCAAGGATCGAATTTCTTCAAAAATTAAAGCATATACTATACCTTAACGCTGAATAGATAAGTCAAACAAGTACTCAAGTACCTCAATATATAAGTATGTGTAGGGGCTACAAAGAAAAGACTTTGTCATCCATGAAAATGTCTGACAACTACGCATCAAATCCTTGATTCAAATCCAGTAAATACTCTATTCTATCAAACATATATTGTTTTCCTCTAATAAGCGCTTTACCCTGTATAAAGATTTTCAAATTTTTTTTGTTAGGAGTTTTTTCAAAGTTAGCAAATGTTTAACGATGTGATAACCAATTGATAACGTCATACTACACACTACACACAACTTTTCACCCTTGATTTAAAATGAACTTTTAACCAGAAGACGTAAGATAAAACACAGATGTAAGTGATGAAATATCTTTTAAATTTTATAGTATCTTAAATATATAAACGTAATATATAGTAACTAACTTTTCAGTCCATGTCGTTGTGCTTGTCTTTCAACTTATCTTTATAATTCTTTTTTTCATACTATTTATTAAAAGAAGTTGTGTATATGAGCACATTTCTACGCTTGAACTTTCTATATTTTGGTTAAATAGTTAAAGGCATTGAGTCATGGTAAATAGGCCTTCTCTATAGGGGGTCATTTGGTTTCGGCGTGATCGCTGCTATTTCATGTGATATTTGCATCCGCTGTTGACAACTTGCTATTGATGAAAATTGCTTTGTCAATCAGTACGAGGTGAGTTCATGTGACCAGTTCCAGGTCAACCAATAGCATGGCAGTCATGAAAATCATGACTCAGCGGATTTTGGCACTTAGGGTATAACCAATCCATTTTATCATGACTCAATGCCTTTAAATTATAACATAGTTGTCCTCGGTGCTTGTTTGCAAAATCAGAATGGGCGTGTGTTGAAGGGTATGTAGATCAGAAGGCAAGTCCGAATTAGAGAAACTACTGTACGTTTGATGGATCTTCCTAGCACAATCAACATCCATCCATGTAGATGTTTTTAAACGATTGATTTCTTTGCCAGTTGCGTTTGTTCACTTCGCACTACTCATTAGCACCATCCCCCTAATAGTACTTAAACTTTAGTACATTTAATACAGTATTTTAGTACATTACATTTAATTGTCATAAAGTACATTTAACGACACAATGGTCGACACAACTGTTTATAAACACAATCAATTAATTCGCTGAGAAATGTGCTTTGCACATGTCGTAAAAGTTGTCTGAGTTTGTTTGTTCAACTATGTCTCGCTAAACTGTGCCATGTTGATGTCACAGAACAAAAGAAGGGGTTTTGTACAAAATCATCCTGGCCAAACTTTGATGCAAGTTTTTTATGTTGCGTATTTTGTAAGCTGTTTGTTAATTTACATCAGGCTGAGATTTGCCCAAAAAATGAACAAAATAAGAAACAACTCAAGAATTAAAATACAAGCAAAAATTGAAAAGGAAAAGAATTGCAACATAATGACAGAAAGCGATAAGCAAAATAGCATTGAGGCAACAATTAAACAAACTTAAAATGATAAAATCAGCGCAACACCATTGATATCAGTTTGAAATATGAAACAAAATAAGAAACACTTGAGGCTGAAATTCTGCGATAAAATAAGAAACGCTAGGCTGAAACTGGAACCAAGTGTTCTTATTAAAAGGATGTAATTAGACTCAATGATAAAGCAATGGTTTTGGCTGTTTTAACATGTTAAAAATGATGTCTCTCTGGCACATATCTAGCATATAGTTCACACAGTCTCGCTTGACTGAATGAACTACAATGCTTGTCTTTGTACACTATCGTCAGTTTTCAAGACCAAACTAAGCCACTCCCTACCTTTTTGAAAAATGTAGGTTTACTTATAAAAACGAAGGGGTTATAGGGTACGTTTTTCCCTGTGACTTCTATGATATGTTTTAAGTTACCAACATGGTTTGGGGGGAAGAGGGTGCAGAAGGTAGACTGTTCGGGAAAGGAAATGGAAAGGATAAAGCCCAACGCATACTGCTGGGTGTTCCAAGGACTTTCAGTCAAGTCCATTCAGTCAAGCAAGACTGTATTAGCTATATGATAGATATTTGAACAATGTTGGTTTACTGCAAAAAACATAGGAGATTCGGAAATACGTGTTTTCCTGTGACTTGCATTATATTTTTTTAATTATCAACATTTTTTGGGAGAAGGGGGTGCAGAAGGTGGAGGATTCGCGAAAAGGAAATGGAGAGTATAAAAACGCAACGCATATTGCTGGGTGTTGCAAGTATTTTTGGCAATGATTGAAGCTCGTACACTTAATGTACCTTGGCCTAGAACTGAAGATTCCCCACTCTTGTAATCTAATTGATGATTTCATATTGGTGAGAACAGATGCCTCCCTTGTCTCTTTTAGGCAAAGAACCGCAAATGGCACCCTAACAATCAGTACAAGAATAACACTGATAACACTGAGGACGAAGACGAGAATCCAACTTTGCAGGGTAAAAATACGTTTATGACAGCAAGGGATCAATACGTGAGTGCGGTAGAATTTTTTATGATTCGATTCTGGCTTGAAACAATGTCTTGCGAATTCTTAAATGGATAAACGACTTATTCTTATTTGCCAAAGAATTTAATAATTTCATATGTTGCAGTTACTGTTTTTGTTGTTTAGGGTAATTGTTAATTTTTTTAAATACATTAAATACTATTTTCATATATAACTACCGTAAATGCTCGAAAAAGCACTCTAGGTTCTATTAATTCAAGGTGTTTTGGATAGGTGCTAAATCAAGGGGGCTTAAATTACCAATAAAATAGCATTTTTTAAGTGTTTTCACTTCAGTCAAGTTCGTTTTGGCAGAAAGAAAGAATTTTGGAAGTCAAATCGTATGCAATTTAATATGTTATTTATCACGGGCTAAAAACGGGGTTGTAAAAAACCGGCGTGTCTTGGTGGGGGCAATTTGAACATGGGAGCTTATACGAGGGGGTTTAGCTCCAGGATTTAGGCTCTTTAATTAATAAATAACAGAGCGGGGGAATTTTTATTGATTTTGTCTCGACCAGTCAAAATCCTATAGCCTTTATGTTCGACAATAAAAATGACCATAAACGAGAAATGTTCTAGAGTTTTCAAAGTTTCTAAACCTGTGCAAAAAAAAATTGTGAACGGAACGACCGAAACGTAATTGACGCGTAAGGAAAATCAATTTTATTACCTTTTTAGTTTAAATTTACCGTTGAGTTTAGTTTTAGAATATTTTACTTAAATGGATATTTTATTTTTGCATATTTTGCCAAAGATCTTCAAATTTTTCTTATCATTTTTTGTGAGAATTAATAAATAGTATATTTAGAGGAAATAATTAGAGTTGATATCTGAAAATGTCACTTCTGAAGCACCAAATCTACTTTTGCCAAGATATCCTGCTAACGCTTTGTTTTTAATATTTTATCACCTTGATGTTCCATTGGAAGCAGTTTGTGTAATTGTTCAACAAAACCTTGATATTATAGCATATAGCTTATGGGAGGTTTGGGAAGAGTATGTGGGTGATAAAGTCAGGAATTGGTGTCAGAAAACAGCATAAATTTGCAAAGAAGTGTCTGTCAACCTTCAAAGGGGCGTGGTCACAAATAATGTTGCCCCGTCTTTCTACGCTTCGTCATGCCTCCAACTAGAATCGAAGCCTTGGCCACGTTATTGGACTTGAGAACCAAAACCATTTTCTGGGTTTGAATTCTTGCCATTTGCAATCCTCAAAGAACATTTTATACCGAAGATAAGAAAAATGCGGAAAAAATAGCTTCTGCTTTTTTAAATCCTCTCCTGAAAATTGTTTCTCTATCCCAACCAATACACCTCTCGTCGTGAAATGCTCTTCTATCCTTTGGAATGTCAAGAGGTCTTTTCCAAGACACGTTGAATTTTTGTTATCAAAACATGAAATATTTTTGACTGTCTCAATAATCTCTCATCAAGTGTAGATGAGAACTGCCCAACTTTCTAATTAATGGAAATATTGTACCACATTTGAAGATACATCATCTTCCAAAAAGTTTTTATTCGATGTCAATTTGTTATTCTACGAATCTAACTTCCCTCATTCACTCCTGTGTTTCACTCAAAAAGAAATTGGTACAGATAGAAAACAGAATGTGTGTTAATGAACTTCCTATAACTGTTTTGCTTTTTGTATAGGTAATCGACCAAAGAAAGAAGAACAAACCCAATTCATCCAACGAGAGCAAGCTTATTATGCATTCTGATTACGGCCAAACTAAGAAGTCACTTGGAACTCGGTAATGCTTTCATTAACTACAATTTGAGTGCCTTACATGTATTAAAGAAAAAATGAGCGTGTGACAGGATGAGGGTGGGACTCGATCCCCATCGATGAAACGCTGATTCTTTGGAACGACGCGCACTGTCGCTGACTTTGGGTTCGAGTCCTGCCCAGGACATGTCACTGGCTCATATTTTCCCTCTGTATAAACTACCATTTAAACATCAGATAATAAAAAAACGCTATAATTTTGTTTTTCAATATTTTGTCTTTCCACAGACAATATTTATTTTGCATCTTAGTTCATATACAATAAGTACCCGCATATAAGAAGCCGCTTTTTTAACTGAGGACATAGAAAGGTTTTTATTAACAGAGACTTTTCATCATCAGGGTCTAAATTTCTTGTCAATGGATACTGTCAAATCAAGGCAAGCTATATGACAGTACCGTCCTTGGATGTGCATTCAATGTTACTAGCAGAAGTGTATGATACTTGATATCTACAGTATAATTTTCCATACCAATAGATTACACACACTACAACCATCATAGAACATAAACAGAAAATATAAAACACAACTGTTGATACTTGGAAATAATAAACACTTTAATTTCAGGCCTAAAATTGTTTACTATAAAATGAGCCCCTTCTGAAGAAAATGAGGCCTGTTTCTTATACAAGGGGTTTTCTTATGCAAGTACTTATTGTAACAGAAGCTTTATTGTCTCTTGTTTCTTTATTAGAAGGGGAGGATCTAGCAAGTTCGTCCCGCCTGTAATGAACCGGGAGGCAAATGGACATGGAAGCACTAACAGGTACACCCAATCATTGTATTTGATACAATTGCTATTATTATTTTTTGGTCTGAAAAATCAGCTAGCAATTATTGAAAATATTCTAATTGATAATGAATAATAGGCATACAAGGCAGTTGGAGTTGATATTTTAGAAGGTGTTTCTTTAGTAATTATCTATTTTTTTCGAAGTTAGTTTATAATGTTTTGAAGCATAGCCATGGAATAAGAAATATTTTATATGTTTTGTATAATCGTAGTATTGTCTTCTATAGTATTGTATCTCGAAATCATAGAAGAATAAAGCTAGTTTTGTAAAAATGAAAACATGACGGTCCAGTTTACTTTTCAATCTATCTATGGTCACATATCCTGGTGATAATCCACACTTCCTGTGTATTGCGAAATGACTCAATATTGATGAGTATCGTAGTTAATAATAGAACATGACATTCTTGTAATAAAATCATAACACTATTTAGATATTAATTAGCGATTAACCCCAGCATAATTTGCTGTTGAAAAATGTTATTCTTAGGTATTGAATGCTATATAAAATATGTCGTGTTATGATTGTCTTTGCTTTGAATGAAAAGCTTGTGGTAGATGCTAATTTATATGTTTGATATAGAGGCTTATATCATGAATCGCCTATCTTGTTATGATTGAGAACTGTAGCCAAAACGTGCCGTCACTACACTGTTACATCAAGTAAGGTAATATGTCCCGACGCATTTCGCTATCCATTTAAATTTTCCATTTGTTAGACTACACCTTAGGGTGATTCTCGATATTTTCTTGATCATAAACGCGCTCGGGACGTAGTACTTTTAAGAAGACCATTCTGTATATTTTTATGGAACTCAGCGAACTCTATACTGGTCATCTTATTCTTGTTAAAAGCTTCTCCTGTAAGATCTTCTTCAACCTATTTCTTTGTTTTTTGCGAGTTGTCTTTGTTAATTTTCATGGTTAACACGAGCTAAAAAACATTTCATGAAGCATAGATTTTTTTTAGGTCGAGAAAACATTTTCGCGTACTCTGTTTAGATTTTCTACGTAAATTCGCAACAGGGAAAAGACTAAATTTGCAATCTTAAATTTCCTTTTTTATTTGACTGTATTTAATTTTGCTTGTATTTTTGCAGTAACGGCGACAGTAATTTTCAAGATGAAAGATTAAAAAACATCGAACCAAGAATGGTCGAAATGATTGAGAATGAGGTATTTGAATGTTGAAATCTTCTTGTGTTCAGAGCGTGTTTCCATGCAAAAGCGCGATCTCAAAGCTGCTTGAAAATCCTTAAAATGGGAAGGATTACCCAAAAAGAGAGAAATAATCGTAGTTAGATGCGGTTTTTGAGCGCTTGTGAGTCATGATTCGTCTCTTTCACAGCTTAAATACAAAAATGATATTTTTGCTAAAGAAACGGTTTTCTACTGAGCAGCAGTTCAATTCTCTGATTTCATGCTCAATATTAGCGATCCTCCTGAGCTACCACAAACAGGTAACTGCATGGTGCTTTTCCATTTCAGATTATGGACCACGGGGCCCCTGTGTCCTGGGATGACATTGCTGGGCTGGAGTTTGCAAAGAAAACGATTCAAGAAATTGTGATATGGCCCATGTTAAGACCGTAAGAGAATAAAGTTGATTTAGTTTGCTAGCCAGTTACATTGAAAGGAACTTATCTGCAATATTAAGCAATTGAAAATTCGATATTCCATTTGCCATGTCGGGATTCTTTTTCCGCACAATATGCCTGTCAGTGAATTGCGCCTATTTGCATGTGCCTGGAACCAGCGTGCTCATTTGCCTGCAGGTTTTGCAAGCTTACAGGAAGCGAATTCTTCTTAACCACAAGCTTCCCCCTTGATCTAGTATCATTTGCAACATCAACATTCTCTAGCCTTTTGGTCTTTTGCCTTCTTTCAAGCGAAACGATTTTTCAAAGTAAGATAAGCGCGTAAGAAGAACACACTTCTAACCAAAAAGGGACCCAATATTTTGCAAGTATTCTTTCCTCCTTTTAATAAGGCGAACTGTTCAAAAACCCAATGGCTCTAGCCAGCTGCTCGAAAGACCATTTATAATGAATTTCTGCGCTCCCTTAAAGATAAATAAAGAGCCTGTAATTGCTATAGTTGCTAAATTACAATCAAGCGTGACAAAGGTTTTCTTTACTTCTAAGACCCATTTGCATCATGGCCTCATTTAAGTAAATCTGAGTTTCGTATGTGGTCAATGTAAAGCATAAGAGCGTATCGGTAAGGGCACTTGTCCTTGTATCAACTGGGTGATGACGTCATATGACTCGTTTCTTTTCTCTACATCACTCGCTAATATGAAATTTGGTAACTGCCTTTTAAGAAGAACACTCTGTAACCGCACGGCTATTGGTTCCTTTTTTCGCTGCCTCAAGCCACTGTTTCCACAATGTACCCATTTTCTGCTAGAAGAACAATAGATGTGCATCCTTATCACTGGTCAAACCTGGTAGAGCTTTTCGTATGTCTTGGCAGCTTCGCTTACAACAAACAATCTGTGAACCTAATCTGTCATTTGTGCTGGTGCTCGTGCCGATAAATTTACGATTGCCACCTACTGACGCACAAGAACTATTGCTGACATAGCTCGCTAATTCTGACTTGTGACCTAGATAGCTCCTTGTGAGTTCTTTTCATATGTCCGACAGCAAACATACCAAACTTCGAACTATCTACTGTATGTAGTTTTTCTTTTTTGTAAAAAATAATTGTTATTTGTGGTTCAAGTATTAGATAGAAATGTAGTAGTTAATTATTGCTGTGAATGAAATGTTTTGAGTTTTGAGTTTGAGACTTGACAAAATTTCTTTCATGAGAACGAATATTTTAGTGTTTACTAGTTTTCCACGAAGCCACACCGTTGTTTTGTGTAGATACACTTGCTACGTTCAGTTCTTTTTGCCTATTGCGTTCAACAAAGCCACTATGTTGCATTGATGTCTCCAAAATCATTCAAATCACCCAGTTTATAAAAGCCACCACATCTCGGTTACTGGACAAATGATTTTAGTTACTCTGCTTAGGCCTGCTTACCTTATTTTTCCTTCTCGTACATTCCTTCACATTTTCACATCGCAGCACAGGGATCCATTACGTCACTCCCAATATCACGTATCCGTTAATCCCTATTCCTCTTTCTGTGCTGCTTTATTGATTTCACTTGTCACTGTAACTCGCCCTTCCGATAACTTGTTTTCCGCAACGTTTTTCGCGCTTTTCTTTGGAAAATCATAATTGTATAGATTTGTGTTAATATTGGCTTTAAAAAAGCAAAAATTTCAGAACATACTTAAGCTGATCGTCTGCCATTCTTCAGAGTAAAAAGCGTCAGAAGATAGATCCAAAATTCTACACTAGGAAATATATATACCCAGTTGGTGATCGAAACTGTCCGATCGCCGTTCCATCTGGCAGTTTACGAATCTATCTGCATAATCATGAAAAACCCGGTATCGTGTAGATAGAAGGGGTTCGTTTTCACCTTAGGACTCCATTCGTAAACTTTTCCATTGGCAAGCGGCACTGATTGGGCAACCTCAACAGTCATGTGCTCGCGTTTCTGATTGGCCTATTTCGATCCACAACTGGGTATATATATTTCCTAGCGTAGAGTTGTCGGTCTATGTTCTGACGTTTTAAACTCTGAAGGCGTGTCAGACGAAAATCTTTAGTTTACTCAATTGTTTGCTTTTTTCAAAGCCATTTTTACCACAAAAAGATTGCTCATGCTTTTTTGTTAGTTTTGTCCAGCTATCTCCCTTTCAATTCATATGATATTATTGTATTAAGTTGTATCAATGGTTTATGAGTTTTTTTTTGGTTATAAATGCATTGATCAGACCTTTTGCAAATTTAATGAACAATCTGAATGTCTTTGACATCTCCATCATACAATATTTATAATAGTGGCAATTGATTATGGCAAGGTACCAGTCCACCGATGGGCCTTCTTTAAACAAACGTACAGAAGGATGCCGTTTCTACTCATAATTTCTACGACACGGTCATTAATATTTGTTGACATTGTTTGACATTTTATTGAGTTAGTTATAGTGATTATCGTTAGCATCTCTATTACAATAGCCATTTTTTATATTGGGCTTTAACTACTCATCTGCCAGTTACGCCATTTTATATATATCTCAACCGAATTTTTAAAGATGTCATGTTTTTTTCGGGCCTAAATATTTGATGAATTTTGCAACTGATTCATAATGCTTGTTAATATTTAATTAACCATCTTTGTGACTGAAGGCATTTAAGTTTCACGTGGAAATCGCATTTCGTATAGCGTTCTGAATTTCATATGATGATTTCTGAATTTTCCATTTTTGGGCCTTCAATAGAATTTAAAATGTCATTGTTCGTCGGTCTGAACAGAACTTCTGTGTGACAATTTCTTACTCTTTCTTGAGACAATCTCCAAAAGAGGATTGAGAAACAATCCCAAATAGTGTTTTCTTATCCTATATTTAATTAGTCGCAAGCCATTCGTAACCTAAGACCCTATTTTATAATGGGTCGGGAAATGGCCCCTTCTCCATTTTATTGCCTCGTCTCCGTTTTTGCTTCATTGTCTCGGTTTTTGTTCATCGTTTCCGTTTTTGTTTCCTTATCTTCGTTTCAGTTGTCTCGGGCCCGCTACGGAATTTTGTAGATCCCCCCTCCCTTCATGAACGCGCTAAGACAACTGAATCAGGTACAATAGGTTTACGCAATCAAAAACCTATTTTCCTTGTTTATAGATATAAACGTTTGCAATAAAAACTCAAAAACAAATTTGTCGAATAATTTTTTAGTCTTGAGTTTAAGTTGATGTTTTTTCTTTTGTGTTTTCTAGCGATATATTCACGGGTTTAAGAGGGCCTCCAAAGGGACTGCTGCTATTTGGCCCCCCTGGCACTGGAAAAACACTTATTGGTATGCTATCACTCTCTATTTTGCTCTTTCCTGTAATTTGGAAGTTAAAAGAAGATTATAAGCTAAAAACGTTTTTCGATCAAATATGCCTAAGACGAGTGTTAGGAGTTAGATGGCAACAACATGTGACAAACGAAACTATAAGAGAAAAGACGAAACATGAGAAAACTTAGCGTAAATTAAGAAAGACGAGACTCATATTGTTCGGTCATATGAACAGAATGATCAACATCAGAATTGCAAAGCAGGCGATGGAGTGGAGACCAAGAGAAGGTCGAAGACGATCTGGAAGGCAGCGAATGACGTGGCAAGCAACAGTGGAAAGGACCTTCAAGGAATTGGCATCAACTGGGCAGAAGCGAAACAATTATCTCAGAATCGAGCGGACTGGAAAAGAATGTGTGCCCGACTCGGCGAAAGCTGAAAACGGAAGAAGAAAAAGAAGAAGTTTAGCTAATAACCAGGCTACACCACTCGACAAATATCATGAGATAAGATGCCCTCTATAGTTATATCAAAGGGGGCCACTCCCTTATATCACCCATTCATTACGTTCTCCAGTATAGAAGGGAAATATTTCGTCTCTCAAGTAAAAAACTGAACGACTCTTAATTTCAAGTTATTTTTGTTTTAAGGACTAGAAATTTAATTGTAATAATATGAAAAGAAATAGTTTTTCCACTTTTCAAATTTTCACGCTAAATTTTCCTGTCCATTTTCCACCAAGGCGTCAATTTATCGACCGTATCAACAAAAAGCTTTTAGTTAATATGTTGTGAAATGTTTGCTTTTTTCAAAGCCACTTTAAATAGAATTTTGTAATAATCTGTTTACAAAGAAAATGTGAATTTTGCGAAGGAAAGGTTTTGTAATGTAGAAGGTTTTCTTTTTTATTTCAAAGGTAAATGCATCGCCAGCCAGTCCCATGCTACTTTCTTTTCAATCAGTGCCTCGTCACTCACCTCAAAATGGGTAAGTAGAAGTTGTATACACATCCTGCTTTAAGAACTATGCAAATGTCAAATCGTACAAGTAAGGTTGTTTGAAAGTGGGCTTTGATGCAAGGGTAGCGATTTAAAGAAAATTTCTCTCTATGTATTTTCGTGTCAATTACATGGTTACAAAGGTGAATGCATGTTTTGTTTGCTCAGAGTATGGCAGAAATGTGACATGGTTAACACAAGATGGTTAACATCAAGCATTTGATTAGCTATTGTTCCAGTGCCTGGCCCTATTTTTTGCTGCAGCAGATTTTTGTGTAGTAATTAAACATTCGTGGTTCAATACCTAGAAGAAATGTTAAAGAATTTAGTATGATGTGAGAGCAACTATATTGACGGTGCTTAGAGACCGTTGCATACTGCTACCATTGCCCCCAAAGCTATTTATCTCACAATCTATTATCTCCTTTCTTTCCTTTCCATGGATAAACTTTGTACATCATAAGGGCCTATTTGTGATATTTATTCCTTTTTTCATCTTTTTAAATCTGAAAATTAATTGAATTTATTCAATTAGATTTCAGAAGGTTGGAGAAACAGCACTAGTCCATGTAAACATTAGTAATCCTAACGTAATCGCATTTTTATCCTGACGTAATCGCATTTTCATCGTGACGTAATCCTGAGGTTTGGATTTAGTTGTGGCACATGTTGATCAATTTAATCGCATATTTTCTTATCATAGATTGGAGAAGGAGAGAAGATGGTTCGAGCGTTGTTTGCAGTGGCTCGATGTCACGATTCTGCCGTGATTTTTATCGATGAAATTGATTCATTGTTATCACAGCGAACGGACGGTGAGCATGAAGCTACACGGAGAATTAAAACGGAGTTCCTTGTTCAGCTGGTAAGCTAATTGGCTTGGATTGACTTTTATTCAAGGCAACGAAAATTCTGTTAGTGTTGGGAAAAAATTGCTACTTATTATTTCTGATGAGTAGAATGTTTTGATATGGCTTTTTTAATTTACTTTTCAGCACTTCAAGCTTTTCGAACTAAGATTCGTTAAATTTTGGGTCGTTGGGTGAGGAAGATTCTTCCTTACCACCCATCTGCCCTAACCCCATCTCCCTCACCACACATCTTCCTTACCCCTTATCTTCCTTTCCACCCACCTTTCTTTACCCCTCTTTTTACTACCAATTTCCCTTACTCCCATCTTGCTATCTCCCATCTTCCCTACTCCCAACCTTCCTTACCACCCTTTTTTTCTACCCCTGTCTTCCCTACCATCTTTCTTTTTTACCCCTTATCTTCCTTACCACCAATTTTCATAAACCCAATTTATCTTCCCGTTATATTTCTTACCCCCATCTTTCTTACCCCATCTTTCTCACTCCAAGTCTATCTTACTCCCCATCTTCCTTGAAACCCGTTTTTCTTACCCTATCTTCCTTACCAGTACCACTCAATTACATACGCTATAGGACAATTGTACCTCTTTTAGGACGGAGCAACAACTAAAAATGAAGATAGAATTTTAGTGGTCGGTGCCACGAACAGGTATGTTTTGGCATTCTTGTCTGTAGAAGTTGGTCCACATTTGCGGCGCAAGCACAAGCAAAAACACAAGCACAAGGGATTTCAGCGCCAGTAAGAACGGGCTTGCCACAATCATAAACATACGTACAATACAAGCACAAGAGTGTCAAAACATTCCGTTTCTTCACGCACCTGCTTGTGCCTTGTTGCTTTGATTTTCAGTTAGGGCACTGACGATGCAAGTGATCTAGGAAATCAAGCTGAGCCATGATCTTGTGTCTAGACCGTCACCACGAGCGCATAAGGTCTTTGCTTGTGTTTGTGGCTGTGACGGTAGTGAGCACCAAGCAATTTTGTGCATTGATCCACTTACTGATTACTTGCATGCCTTATTTGATAATTACCCGACTAACCAACCAACTAACTTCCTAGCTTATTGATACACTGATACTTAACCGATAAAAAAATGAACTTTCAACGTACCTAGCTGTGTTTAGGTTCTAAACCAGTCATAACAGCCGATGAGTATTTCTTGGATGAATATTTTTATATTAATTGCAGTTTTGTTTTTTTTGTATGATAGTGGTGTTTCCAAGGTGCCAGAAGAAGCTATTTGTTTCCTATTCATTGTTTTATTTGATACACCAGGCCGCAAGAACTGGACGAAGCCGCAAGAAGAAGACTCGTGAAAAGGCTGTATATACCTCTCCCTGAAGACGAGGCTAGGAAGCAAATTGTTCGGAATTTAATGACAGAGCAAAATTGTTCATTGATGGATGAAGATTACTCAAAGATTGTGGCTTCTACACAAGGTGATTTTTCCTGTTTTGAAGTACCTAAACCTTCCCTAGCATCCTCATTTTATGAAGCTAAAAGGACCAATATAACTACTTATGATTTAAGGTTCAATACAGTCATATGATAGGGCTAAAATGCATCGATCAGACCCTTTTCCATGCTCATTTTGACAATTACCACATGTCTTCAAGTTCAACATTATCTAGCCTAGATGAAGATTCTCTTTTTCAGTTTGTAGCATTGATTTCGCTTCAGATAGATCTCGCCTGGGAACACGGTGACCCCCATTTATTGTTCATGGTCAAAACCCGCACCGAATCCCCAACTTTAAACCACCCCTTAACCAAAACAATTCCTTGATACTCTAGCATTTTAATGTGGAATGTGGAGGATACCTTAAGGAGCAAAAACCTAACAAAATTGTTAAGAAAAAGGCGGAAATTTCTGCTGTTTCCATCCTCCGTCCTCAATTTTCCCTCCAAATGCTCCTTATTCCGCTTTGTTGATTTTTCTTTTAACGGTATACTTTAAAGTAAATATTAAGATTTATCAATATTTGAACTATCAAAAGAGTGAACTTTGTTTACTGATCAAATACTTTGGCTAGATTTAAGGCAAATCTAAAAATTTAGAAGATTTCTGCAAGTTAAACGTCGGGGGAAACAGATTGATTATGATTCGTTACTATAATATGGTAGATGACCTCATCCTATCTACTGAAGGGCTTTTGTTTGATCCTTCTTAGCCTTACGTTATTCTCATTCGTTTTGTTACTTTCAAGGCTACTCGGGTGCTGACATGGCTAATCTGTGCAGAGAGGCTGCTTTAGGACCCATTCGAAGCATTGGCATGAAAGATATTCGTTTCATCACTCCTGATGAGGTAATTTTTCAACTAGATATGTGTGCATGATCAACTTTACTTCGTCTGAAAATGATTTCCTGAAATTTTTGTTTCCAAAGCTTTGACTTTTCAAAAGTGTGTCGTCTTTTGAAAAATACTGAAAATCTAGATAGCTCTTGAAATTTGGGCTTTAGAAGTGAAAATGCAGGAGTGGTCCAGGGCACCCATAGAACAAAGGGAGATCTCCTCGCTCTATCAATTCAAACGAAAATTAAACGCTCATTTGAAGAGCTCAGGAATCCCGAATTAAAACACGACTCATAGGAAGATCAGACGTCAATTTCAATTCACTCATATTATTAAATATTTTTTTTTAAATTTTGTCTTCCATTATTAGTTTTTTAGCTTATCATAACTTGTACTTAGGTTTCTGATGGGATATCGTGTTCAAATAAGAATTAAATAAAAGAAAGAACAAATAGAAAGCGGAGTGAGATGGCTGGCATAGGTTTCAGATTTTTTTTCTTTTATTCCTCTGATGTTAAGACTGTCAAGGCACCTCATATGGCCGCAGCCAGAGAGGAAGTCTGTTATGGTCCCAGGGCACCTCTCATGTTAAGACTGTCAAGGCACCTCATATGGCCGCAGCCAGAGAGGAAGTCAGTTATGGTCCTAGGGCACCCCTGTGGGCCCAAACGTCAAGTATTTTTGTACAGGTAAAGTGAAATTTCTCAAAGAAAGCCAGTTCACCCGACAAAAGCCTGAAAACTTAGTGATTCTATATGACTTGAGATTTTGAACATTTGAGTTCACTAAACCGGGCTGGCCTACTGGAAAGATCCTTAGGTAGAACAGCAACATCTTTATTTTATATATATTAAAGAAGTAATTGTAATAAAAGTAGTTTATTTATATTTGTATTATAGATGATAGGGAATTCGTGTATAAAGATTTTAGAATGAAATGAAAATGAAATGTAAATAAAAGAGCTGAAAATAGCTCGCTATCATATGCAATTTGACATCCCGCTGCCTTTTTGTCAGCCTGCGGAATTGGTGGCGCGGGAAAGTGAATTGAAATGGAATGCATGCTGGTGAACCTAGCCTGCCTGCAGACTCTTGAATTGAATTGCAAATGTTTATCCTACAGGAGGATAAACATTTGCAAATCAAATCAAGAGTCTGCAGGCAGGCTAGGTGAACCTGGCTAGAGCCATAATTTCGGCCCAGTTTGCCTAGATACCGCCAACTTAACAGCATTATTTGTCTCCCATCTCTTTGGCTGCCCTGCTATGAACGATTATCTGTTGAAACCATGAATGGAATAATCATTTCTAAACCCAAGCCTATTTTAATGACTTTATTTTCCTGAAATGGCTTTCCTATATAAGAACCAGTAAATTTAAGTTCAAACTGGTTGTTCTCAATTTGTTCTTAGGTTATTGGGGTTGCAGTGCAATTGCTAGCTAGTCTGCTCTAGAGGGGTGTTCAGGCCTCATTTTTGTCAACAAAGTGAGCCAGACATCCTTTATTCGCCAACAAGTTTGAAAATTCACCGAAAAACACCCCTAGATGACAAAAAACGCCTGAATATAAACGAAAAAGCGTATGCCAACATTTTCTCTGTCTTACTTGACATTATTTCACATTTTGCTGTGTCGTAGATTAATTCTCTCGCAGAATCCAACCACCTGCTTATTAAATTCGTGCACATTAAATAATTATGAGTAAAGTCGAATTTTAAATGCTCGTAAACTTGTTTCAAAGCTTATTTCCGCGAATTCGGATATTTCTTTACGGTCTATTGTTTGCAAATATTGCGTAATAAGTTATGTTACATTTTAAAGTCAGCTTATCAAAAACATTCAAACCTGTTTGCCGACATAAGTTTTGTCTCATTTATGATTAATTGCAAGAAAGCTTTTAGAGTTTGCATTTGAATCCATTTTCGTGCAACATTTACGCAGTATATATTGATACTTTCCATTGACGTAGTATCATATTCTGAATATATAATTTTTATATATTTTGTTCTCAAATTACTGCTTTCGTTTGAATTTTGTTTTAAAAGGTCGGCTTGGAAAACATGTTATATTGAACTTGACCTGTATAAATATACTAAAATGAAATGAATGAGCGTTTTTTTCTTTCAAGTAAGTTGAGTAAACCAACTTGTAGGTGAGGGGGGGGGGGAGGGGTTAGGACGAGTCAAGCGTGCGAGTGAGAAAGGGTAGGGCTAGCTTAACCCAAATAAAGAAAAAGAAAAAAATGGAGAAATTGAACTATCAGCCCCAAACCTCGTTGCCTCATTTTTATGTAGGCACATGCAGTTTCTTTTTGTTTCTTTAGTACCATGTTGCAGATTATAATCGTGGCTACCAACAGAATAAATGATTTAGAATACATATTTCATCTCTGAGCGTTCGAAGTTTGGTGAGATATCGTATTTGTTGATATTGTTTTAGGTTCGGCCTATATTGTTGCAAGATTTCGAAAGTGCCTTAAAAAGCATTCGACCAAGTGTGTCACAGAAAGACTTGGAGGCATATACATCATGGAACCAGCTGTATGGCAGTGGTGCATTTTAACTGGTACTTCTGAACTATTTTAGCTGGCCGAGGTGTTTAGTATCTCGCTCCAATGTAACTATAAATTTTGTTTCCCATTGTTATTTACATTTTAAATTTCTCATGTTCAAATCCCTCTGTTGTCAAAGCTCTTAAAGCTGCGAGGTGCCGCATAAGAATGAAAATATGGGATGGAAGAAGCTTCGTCCAGGAGTGCAGTTGGAGGCTATTACTTTTCGAAGAGGGAGATGTGGAGTTAAAATGTCCGACAAAAAGGTTCCAGAAGTTAATGATAATTTTGGTTCTTGAAGGGGCTGCCCCCTTCCATCGGAATCTCCGTTTAAGTTTTTTTGTGTCAATAAAGGTTTCCTTTCTCGTAATTCTTTATCATATAATGATGCTCCTATGAATTCTGAATTAACAAAGAACTTTGGTGAACTTTTCTGTTTGCGATTTTATCTTTGTTTGGCAGTAATTGGTTCACGACCCGAGTTTACTTGCTGTTCTCTCTTTGACTCTCATTGGATCATATTCTCGATTTGATTACTTTATCTTTTTTTGCAAGACGGAAACGAGTAAAACTTTACAGGGATGCAAAATTATGTTATGCTATGCGATGTTATGTTATGTTATGTTATGTTATGCTATGCTATGCTATGTTATGTTATGCTATGTTATGTTATGTTATGCTATGTTATGTTATGTTATGTTATGTTATGCTTTGTTATGTTATGTTATTTTATGTTATGTTATGTTATGCTATGTTATGTTATGCTATGCTATGTTATGTTATGTTATGTTATGTTATGTTATGTTATGTTATGTTATGTTGTGTTATGTTATGTTATGCTATGTTATGTTATGCTATGCTATGTTATGTTATGTTATGTTATGTTATGTTATGTTATGTTTGTTATGCTATGTTATGTTATGCTATGTTATGTTATGTTTTGCTATGTTATGTTATGCTATGTTATGTTATGTTATGTTATGCTATGTTATGTTGTGTTGTGTTGTGTTATGTTATGTTATGTTATGTTATGTTATGTTATGTTTGTTATGTTATGTTATGTTATGTTATGTTATGTTATGTTATGTTATGTTATGTTATGTTATGTTATGTTATCTTATGTTATCTTATCTTATCTTATCTTATCTTATCTTATCTTATCTTATCTTATCTTATCTTATCTTATCTTATCTTATCTTATCTTATCTTATGGTTGATAAACATGACCTCTATCGCCTGTACGGTAACGTCAAGATTTACATACCGTGTTGTCAGAGCTCCAAAATAACTTGGATGGTGAAAACAGGGGCGGATCCAGAGCAAATTTGAAGAAGGGGCAGTTGGTAGTGGGGAAGTTGAAAAATTTTGAGAAATTGGCGATGACTGTACGCTTTACACAACAATTTCAGACCCTAACTACTGATAGAAGGTTCTCCATTCACCTTGTAAGGGGATTTTCACAATATTTGTTGAATTTTTTGAGGTAATCCTCGAAGTAAATTAACATTTAAGTCTCAGAAACCTGATTCTCATTCTTCAAAAGGGGCGCACAGTTTCCGAAAAAGAGGCGCCAGACTTGCTTCAACTCAGTGAAGGACGGGCAACTGCCCCTAGTTGCCCCCCTAAATCCGCCTAAACTAGGTGAAAATGACCAGCTTCTCTTCCAATCGTTGGAATAAGCAACGGACATTGACCAGTTTGACGGGTCATACTAAAAACTATGGAATATGTTTGACCTGTTTACCAAATTTCCAAATATTTTAAAAGCGGTAGCTAATCGATATCAAGCCGCAAAACAAAGTTGCGGTTCATGGTATATCAACAGCTTGGCTCATTTAAATGTCGGTTCTTTAATTGTATGCCGGATAACCAATTATGATCGTACAGCGTGACCTGATGTCAAGCCGTAAAAAGAGTTGCTAGTTAATTAGGATACGGAATAAGATCTCAGCCCATGTTGAACTCAACCCGGGATGAAGTTTCTAAAACGGCTTTGAATAAGGCAAGCATTCCAAAATATGCTAAAGCTTTTGCCTGTCACTCTTCAGAACAGAAAACATAGATTGAAGACTCAAGACCAGGAAACATGTACACCCAGTTGTGGATCGAAATTGGCCAATCAGAAATGCGAGCACATGACTGTGTTAAGGTTGCCCAATCAGTGCCGCTTGCGTATTGGTATTGTTACCAATGGTGTCCAAAAGTAAAACTCGAACAACTTCTCTCTGCAGAATAGCGGTTTTTTTAATTTTTCTGTATGTAACTGCTAGATGGAAAGGGGACTGGACTCTGTCAATTATCCGAAGCATGTCGCAATTATACATTTTTGCACAACCTGGCTGCCTAATGGCAGAGTCACAAGTTTTAGATCTGCAACACCGTGGATGTTGTTCTCTCACGTTTAGTTTCTTATGTAACACAGGAGCACGCTGCTCTATTCTATCCTTAAGTTTTTGATTGTGCATCCTACATAGCCAGAATCACATTAACACGTAAACTCATAATTAACGAAACTCTTTTGTATGGTGCTAGGAGTTGTAATAGGGACATCAACTTTTGAATGAATGGAAGGGCTCTCCTTGCACCGTAAAACATGCAAGGATGACATTTTTAGGCACAGAGCTGCTGATGAGTTTTATAGACTCACACAAGCCGTAGAAATATACGTTTGTTCCTCCTTCTCACACAATATGCGTTTGCCTTGTCAGAAACCTACGAAAGATGAAAAATCCTCAGATCCAGTTCCTATTTTACACTTTTTTCCAATCAGTGCTTCTAACTACGTAACTGTCACAAACTGGAAAACAAATTGAACGCTTTGACCTTTACATTGAAGAGCCTTACTTTTTCTTTAAGCTTTTCCCTTATTCTCCAATGGCATTGATCTTCTTGATCTTAACCCCTTATATAAAACAACACTAGCGGCCCAACTTCTTTGTAACACGAATATCTATTGGGCTTTTTACTTTGACCCGATTTGTACGAGACGTGAAGTAAAGTCTGATTTCCAATTTGTGTTTTTTCACGCACGATATTTCAATTCCCTATCTGGAAATGCCTCTAGGGTTTAAAGTGGGCGATGACCTCAAAAGTAGAAGCTTGTTTTAATCACTAGGGGAGATCACCATTTACGTATTGAAACAGGATGGTAGCGCAGATGGCGATGGCAGAACTCTTCTTTACAACCAAAGCAGGTTTAAGTGCTCAAAGCTCAAACAATATATTACCAATCCACTTCCCCTCAATACTTCTGCAACAGAGCCTGTGGATGCCAATGCAACTGAAGTGAGCCTAGAGTTTTACAAAGACGTTTGTTATAATTTGAGTGGGAGAAAAATCTTGCTTATGGAACATAAGCCTTGGCTCATATAAATAAGTTTTTGGAAAAATGGTATGTTTAAGTTCTGTTTATGCACAGACGTTACCCAAATAGGCCATAAAATTTGTCTGTACTTATCATCTGTAAAAGTTATTTTGCACTAATTAATTTATACTATTAAACAACGTTATTCAACCAATAAGAATTGTCGTAAACAGTTGAATTCTCTGCTTCATTAAACTCATCTTTTTATCCTAGCGTGTTATCAACATGAAGATGATAGCAAATAAAGATGTTAGCAAATAAAGATGTTAGCAAATGAGGATGATAGCAAATGAAGAAGTTTACAAGTTAAATGTTAGCAAATAAAGATGTTATCAACATGAAGATGTTAGCAAATTAAGAAGTTAGCAAATGAAGAGGTTAGCAAATGAAGAAGTTAGCAAATGAAGAAGTTAGCAAATTAAGATGTTAGCAAATTAAGAAGTTAGCAAATTAAGAAGTTAGCAAATTAAGATGTTAGCAAATTAAGAAGTTAGCAAATTAAGAAGTTAAAAAATGAAGAAGTTAGCAAATTAAGAAGTTAGCGAATTAAGAAGTTAGCAAATTAAGATGTTAGCAAATTAAGAAGTTAGCAAATTAAGAAGTTAAAAAATGAAGAAGTTAGCAAATTAAGAAGTTAGCGAATTAAGAAGTTAGCAAATTAAGATGTTAGCAAATTAAGAAGTTAGCAAATTAAGAAGTTAAAAAATGAAGAAGTTAGCAAATTAAGAAGTTAGCGAATTAAGAAGTTAGCAAATTAAGATGTTAGCAAATTAAGAAGTTAGCAAATTAAGAAGTTAAAAAATGAAGAAGTTAGCAAATTAAGAAGTTAGCGAATTAAGAAGTTAGCAAATTAAGATGTTAGCAAATTAAGAAGTTAGCAAATTAAGAAGTTAAAAAATGAAGAAGTTAGCAAATTAAAAAGTTAGCGAATTAAGAAGTTAGCAAATTAAGAAGTTAGCAAATAAAAATGTTAGCAAATGAAGATTTTAGCAAATGAAGATTTTAGGATATGAAACTGTTAGCTAATGAAGAAGTTTGCAAATAAAATGTTAGCAAATAGAAATGTTAGCAAATAAAAATGTTAGCAAATGAAGATGTTAGCAAATAAAGATGTTAGCAAATGAAGATGTTAGCTAATGAAGAAGTTTGCAAATAAAGATGTTAGCTAATGAAGATGTTAGCAAATAAAGATGTTAGCATATAAAGATGTTAGCAAATGAAGACGTTTGCAAATAAAAATGTTAGCAAATGAAGATTTTAGCAAATGAAGATGTTAGCAAATGAAGATTCTAGCAAATGAAGATATGAACGAAGCGGGCAGAAAATTTGTGCACATTTTAGAATATTCTTTGCAGTCTTTTTTTGCAATCGTTTAAGGGCCTGTTCACACGGAGGCGAGTGTCCCGGCTAACCGAGTTTCCCGGCCTTTCTAAAAATGGTATTCATTACTTTATGAGGCCCACTAGTCCTCGAGGCACCGGGACAATTTTGCCCCTCTTTCCCCGCTCGACGGCCCTGTTTACATTGATCAGATGCCGAATAAGATTAAACTTGCTTTGAGTTTGAAGAGTAACTTTTTGAGGTATTAAATGTTATTCGAACATAGTTCGTTTATAAGAAGAATCTTTGCTATACGCAAAACTGCTGAGAGCCAACTAAATGCAGCTTGCGGTGATGCGAAATGGTATATTAAGCTATCTCGTACCAACTGCGCCATTGCTTGACATTGATTGTATATTAATATGCTTTTATATAGAGCACCAATGCAGCGAGGATAGTTAGAGTCATATCATTAAGCCTTCTTCATCCTAGCCTGCGTGCAGACTTCAATTTTGACAACAGAGTGTGCACGCAGGCTATCTTCATCCAGGCTTCATGCTGTATCGAAGAGACACACAAATCCTATCTGCTGGTAAAGTTACACTTTTTCAAAAGAGCTTTTCAGGATAGATAGGGCTACCCGGATTGTTTGATTCATTTGAAACATTTGGAAACAGTATTCTCGGTAAAAGTGTCTTATTCCCTCTACAATAAAGTAAAACTCCCGTTGTTTTTCGCTTTCACTAAAAATTCCTCTAACCCAGAATCACTTTTTCTGCCTTTTTATTTTTTTTTATTTCTTCAACACAGGCGAAATCGAAGCAACGCCTCGAATCGTTTTGACTGTAAAACTCTGTTATTTACTGCAGCCGTTTTTTATCTTCTTCAGGCACTTTTAGCGCCTGCAAAATGTCGTAGCTGGGAAAAATACACTGAATGGAAATCAGACTTAATGCACTGAATAGAAATCAGGTGTATTGCGTTTTGTTATCTTTCGCTCCTCCACACGCCCTTAGATACAAATGGGCGTGGGTCAAAATTGGATCTGGCTTCATGAATATCGGTTTGCTTTCAAGCACTTTCTTATTGCTAAGGAAGCTGAATCGAAGTGGAAAAAGATACAAACTCTAGGCCACTAAGAATTTTTATGCATTCGAACATCTTTTTGTACTGAATAGCTCTGGCAGGTTTCTGCACTCAGTAATATAATACTTATTTGATGTCGTTCATACAATCAAAAAGACATTCATGGTAATATGAATATTTGATGCCGTTTGACAAATATTTTCTAAGTCTATTTCCTTCACATCTTGGCAGCATTGTTCGTAAAGTTCGAAAGCCGTTGTCTTCACATCAAAATCAACTGATGTAAATACGCAATAACCCTTGCCAAATCATCCAAAGGTAAGATGTAATTTCTAATGTATCTAGAGCCTTTGAAATGTTATCATTTTGATCTACATATGACTTATTTTGATTGATCTGATCTGGTATGGAATAAAAATGTATCGTATCGCCTTTCTTTTAGAAAACAGTATCTTTCAAATATCGCAAAAAGCAACTATCTTTCGCGGATCTGTTTTGGCTACTTTACTTTCGATTTCTCAAAAGGTGATTCGTAGAAACTCTTTTGTCTTTATGTAAAAAGATTTCGCTTGTATTTTTTGAGTTACCGAAGTAACCTCCTCAATCCTTGCTAGCTCTTGAGGATAATTGATATTTCTGTACACGATATACAAAAAATCCAGGTAGAGAAATATCTAGATTAGAGTTTCTCGTCTGAAAATGTTCTAGTTGGGGATAGATCTTCTCATTTAGAAGACAAGGAGATCCTATACGTCACTGCAACCTTGCTCACCTCGTATCACCGCTGCAATCTTATTAACATTTTATATATGGAATATATGTATACTGGATGTTCTCTTCTCCACGAACGTAAAGGCGTTCTCTGTTCCTTTCAACTATCTATAGCACATTCAAATCAAAGATTGCCGTCGCCAATTTTGCAAACAGTTCTCGATTTCCGACGCGTTGCCATGTCTGCTCTGATTTGCGTGTTTATGCTCCTATCTCGATATCCCACTAAGTTAATTCAATTGATCTCTCTTTACCTAGCTCTGACAGTACAATTCCTTTTAGTTAACACAAATTTCCTCTAAAGCTCAATCGGATATCTCTACCAACCATGTCATGCTGCCAATTCTGTTAATGCTTTTTAACAAACCCTTTCAGTTGTTTACAAGCACCACCGTAACTTGTCTCGATTAGATTAATGCCGTATCGTCTAAAGATCTAAGAAAAGCTCTCCAAGAAAGTGTTCTGAACTGAAAACGTCACAAAACTCTTCTTTGATAATTTATTTTTCAATTTTAACAAAACAACCTGAAATATTCTACAAATAGATTTTATGACGTCATACCTTCGGAAGTCTTTTCGAATATGCATAGCTTTATTTTGGAAATTGTTTAACATAAAGACAATGGTTCTTTAATCATTCTTTGAAAAATGAATTCAGAGTAACATGGGTCATCAAAACTAATCCGTTTCTTTGTTAGAAGGCAGCTTTATTGACAGAGTAATAGCCTCGAGTTTTGATTAAAATTCTCATGCCTAGACTCCTTCGAAGATTATAAAAGATTATAAAAGACTAGAAGATTATAAAAGTATCGTCTACATAGCAAATGAAGCCTGGTAACTTTTGCTTAAAAGTCAGAAGAAGTTCTTATTATGGCAATGCTGCTTGATGTAGCCTTGAATTTTGTACCACTAAAACGATATTCTGATAAAAAAAACACTGCCACACAGTGGTCATAGATGTCTACTTAATCCTCAAGAATGTTAAAGTGATAGATTTGCCAAACGAATTTTAGATCAATATAAATTTTCTCTTTCTTAAAAACCTTTGTTTGCATTTCTTACCAATCGTTGTCTCGTTTTATTTCCATTGATGCCTTCTGTTATACCTGCACTATATTCTTTTCTGATAAACCGCTCTTAGCCCCTATGGTTTTAAACCATCTGCTGTAAAAATATTAGCCTCACTTCTCTCTACTCTTTTCCCTTGAAGTTCACCAGGAAGTTTTTAATTAAATCAAGATGCGATTGCCTCTAAAAATTTTGATTTTCAGTTTGTCAGTCACTGGATCAGCTATCGGCTTAAGACGTTAAAGCCTGTTTGCTAATCAATTTTTCACACAACACTAGCAGTGCTAGTTTGCATTTATTTCTTATAATTTTTTCAACCATTGCCCCCATCCATGCAGAGAATAACAACTTTGACATTCTGACATCTTTCTTGAACAGCTGTTTTGATATTCAATTCAAATTTCCCGACATTATTCCACCAGTTCATTTCTTCACCGCAAATACCGCGTCTCTCAATGTCCTGATTGACAGGTGGGATTTCATATTCTGCTACCAGTGAAGCCCTGGCATAACGAAACAGCATCGGCATAAAGCATCATCCAACATTTTGCATAAAACATGTTCATTCGTTTGGATAACATGTTTCATGATGTTTCATGATTTTTTGCAAAATTTGAATTCCATCAATCAATCATTTAGTAAAACATTATTTTGTTCTCATCTTTCGTCAACTATAAAGTACCAGAGTGTGACGTAATCTATTTTACAATGTTCTTTATTTTTGACAACACAATCTGAAAGAACATAAATTTCCCCTAAATGTGCAAATTCAGTTAAATATGTTCAAAATTGGGCGAGATATGGCCAAAAAAAGATTTGAAGTTTGCTAACGGATTACTGTTATTCTGCCCTGGTTCATAAAGTTATGAACCAAGACCAGCTTTCAGAGGTTTATGGGGAAAGAGCCTGTGTTCGAGTGGCTATACCTCACTCAGCCAATTCGTATCTCATTTAACTGATTTTGCTCATGTAGAAGCATTTCATAACGTTTTTTTGCTTATTAGTCAAAATGTAAAAATTTGAAAAAGACATTTGTGACGTCATCACTTTGGAACTCTACAGTAACTTAGTCCCTTCAAATTTAGCCTACCTTCAATTTTGGTTCCCTTTAATTTTCGCCCCCTTTTGTGCACAAGTTCGCTCCCTTTAATTTTCGCCCCTTTAATTTAAAAATGAATCTCGATGTACCTAGTGTCAATTCTGAGAAATTGATAGGATTTGAAATAAACTGTGCTTCTCAGTATGGATATTTTTTTCAGAAAGTCACTAAATGAGAACTGTAACAATGAAAGCAATCAACGCAGGATGAAAATTTGACGCGCGCAAAGATGGTTACTTGAAGTTTTCTTGAAGGGCCTAAAAACAAAGGTTCTATTATAGAAAATAGATTTTTTAAGGACCCTTTAATTTTCGCTACCTCTAATTTTCGCCCCATCCAATATTTCCATAATAACTCCTGGGGGATCAAAAACACAATTTCCATAAACACCTTGCCCAAGGCTGCTGTTCTTAAAATTAGAAGTACGGGTCACAAAAACATGACCATAGGAATATGAGTTAAACATATGTCTAAGTAGAAAGAGTTCTGACCTTGCAATCGTTACTTTTTATCTCAACCCTAGAAGGATGTACACCATGCATTTCCAGTTGCTTCTGCTCTGCTTAACTGGACTGATGTGGTCTTTCAAGGTCTCCGCAGCAATGAACGGTTAGTTTACGCCATCTTCTTTTTTTCTGTTTTCAGTATAAGTTTTACCCTCAAGTGACCGTTCTTTCATGAAATTCTTATATTTCCGTTAAGGTACTGTGTTGCCTGCCAAATTACCATGCCAAGAGGATTATTCTGATAAAAGAATGCACCTGATAAAAGCATGCTTTTGATGTATCTGCATCGAATTATAATTCAATATTAAGTTTATTTACAGCAGTTTTTGAAGTTTTTAAAAAATTGTCGATGTTCACCTGACATGTCTTATGAGATCATTTAAACACCGAGCCTATGACGTAGGGCCGACCAGTCTGACCATACATAGCGGGAAATCGTGATAACTTTTAAAAAATCTTAAACTGTGTCTTCCATATTTGAAGTTCAGAATTTCTGTGTGGGGCGCTTTAGCCTATGATGATGACGGCTGTGAAAAAGTGAGAACTTACACAGTCTCTGAAGAGTGGGGCCTCCCTCCCTAGAGCTCAGACCCCATTTTCGTTGCTAAGTATGTTTGTAAGAAGAACCACTCAAATAATGTCAGTAGTTGATGTAAGAGTGGCCCTTCAACGTTTTATGTATTTGGATGATTTAATTTTTTTATGATGATGATGATGATGATCTCAATAGTGACGTCAAAGTGGAAGCCCTCAAGCACTGTTCCATTTCAAATATATGTCTATGTTTTTTTAAAAATGTTCACCGTGCTTAAAATACTTCAAGCTCTGTTCTATGAAGTGTCTCTTATTGCGATACACAATGTCTTTGTTTATGTCCATGTCAATGGCAATTGCCAGAAAAGATAGATTATCAATTAAGGTAACTTGACTGGTTAAGACAAGTTTTGATAATAAGAGCCAAAGAAACAAAGCAGAGGAAGCCAAAGTTATCATTTTTGATGCTATAGATAACTGTTCTTCGTAACTAATCCTTCTGGTCGAAAAGTGACAAGAAAAAACAATTGCTCAATTTAGGGGTCTGAGAAAGTAATGACCCCCTGTCGGGGCCAAGGTGTATCACTGAATGTTCTCACTATTTCAAGCCTTTTTTAGAAAAATTTCCTTCTGATGTCACGAATTTCTAATATAGTCTACAAGATATGCGAAAAGGAAGGGAGCAACTTGAATCGAAACATTGTACCTCATGACCCCCTCTCCTACGTCTTTTTTTGCGTGCAGCTTTTAGTGTAGTTATAAGAAATGCTTGTTATGGACCAATGTTTTAGTTTATGGATTAAAGGAATTCCTTTTCTAGATGATTGTCTATCCTATATCGAGGACGGAAGTTGCTGCGCCGAAAGGTTCCTTTTTGGAGGCCATAATGCAACAGCGTGCTCCATTTATAACAAGGTTAGATACTGTAAAAAACCAGGATCAGATGTTAAGAATGTCTGCATGGGCCAGAAAATGCCAGGCAAGTACCTATGAAGACTTTGCGTGTTGTGATTTTCATAGTGGATTTTTATTGTCAATTTGATATTGGTTATTTTTATGTTTTCAGGGTTGGCTCACGATTCGAAATAGATATTTTTTATAAGAAGGTTCATATCTTTCGCAAAGAGTTGATGATACACATCAACCTTAACAAAAACGCATCAAAGGGTCCTTTGTTAAAACATTTCAAATGCAAAAGTTGCCTTTTTTCTGCTGGGTTGTTAATATCATTCTACCAAAACTGTGCTGTAAGGAAAATGAGCAGCTCTGACCTCGAGGATGTTTCACATGTGCTCTTCCACAAGGCTCCTACTTAGGACCTTCTTCTTTTTACTGTACATCAATCACAGACATCTATAACTTTGTTAGTCTGAGTTGATTTGGAACTTGAGTTAATATGGACCTTCTTAAAACTTGCTTGTAGTCAAAAAAATTGTCTCTCGACAAAGTCAAGACACATATTTTTTATTAAGGTTAAAAACATTGAAAAAGGCATAAAAGAGCGATTTTTCGTACGGTCTTGTTGAACCATGTATTCTATCCAGTTATGAAGGGGGTGAATATCAAGTCCCTTTTAATTAACTACAAAAACTTGCTGTGAGGAGAGCAACCAATGACCCTTGCAATGTTTCTTTGCAGCCGCTTCTTTTGCAACTATTATGGCTAGCAGTCCGAGAACGTAGTAACGCAAAATACTTCCATGAGGGTGTACAGGTCAACTTATAAGGGAGCTTCTAATTACCTTACAAAGTCTTTTTAATAGATCTTTGTTTTTGCTTTTGTATAATATATTTATCGATGCTGAATAACGTAATTATTTTTTTTATTAGGTATACGCAACGGCTATCCCCTCGGTATGATGTCTGGTGCTGTGCTCCAGAATCAAATATTTGTTTCCAATTCCAGCGGTTTCCCAAGGTTGTACGCAAACGAATGGACTACGTTGAAAGAGTATGCAGAAACTCACGCAGCTGTGATTAACTGCTTGAAAGGGTTAACTCAGATACCGATTTTTTTACTACGAGCTGCTCCGGTCTTTTTCCAGGTTGACTTTTTCCGCGCAAAGAAGATGACGTTCTTGATATTAACTAGCAAATTGTTGAATGCCGACGACAAAAGGCGAATAGCACTGAGCTATCGTGATATTACAGGCCAAATCCAAGGATACAGTGATGATGGCTTATATGCCAAGGTTCGTATTGATTCCTTATATCTGTAGCATACAGTTAACTATTTTGCGACATGTCAATTGTTAGGTGAAACGGCTAAAGCATTATGCTTCCATGCATGATTGTGCGTCTTCTCAACATCACAAACTGGATTATTGCAATTTATACTTGTATAAGCACACAGCGGCACATTAAAACTTTATGAAAATGCACAAAGGAGTTTGTGACATTTCAGAGAAGCTGAAAGAAACAAGAAGAAAAGCATCTTTTTCGCATAATCACACCGATACTTGCCTTTTGGACCGCCATGTTATTTATTTATTTATTTATTTGTTTATTTATTTATTTGTTTATTTATTTATTTATTTATTTATTTATTTATTTATTTATTTATTTATTTATTTATTTATTTATTTATTTATTTATTTATTTATTATTTATTTATTTATTTATTTATTTATTTATTCATCTATTTATTTATTTATTTATTTATTTATTTACTCTTATTTAAACACAATACCTTGTAAGCTATTTAACAAGTTAACTAAAAAACAACTAAAGCTGCTCTTCTATGGGATCGTGTTTGCGTCGCTCTACCTCAAGAACTCCTTCAATCTTACTTTAAAGGAGCTCAATGAGGCAGAATCTTGTATTTGTGTTGGGATCTCGTTCCATGTACTTGCTCCCTGGTATCCAAAAGACTTTTTGCGGTATTCAAAACGAAGCCGAGGAATTTCGAAATCATCAATTTTTCTTGTGTTGTATTTCGAAATATTCGAAGTAGGAGTGAATTTATATCGATGTGCCAACAGTTTGCAGTCATCATATCGCCATACTTTGTGCAGGGGCATCATCTTTTTTGCTTTCCATTATAGAATTTGTTTGTAGCTCTAACCAGACCCTCAATCCAGTCAGCATGTCCAAAACACCATTCTCTTCCTCTCTTCTTTATCATTTCTCTCAACAGTTTCTGAAACAACACCGAACTCTTCTAGGTCAACAGCAATTCACTTGAGCTTTTCTGCAGTGCTCACAATTACACCTACATTTGTGCTAAATGTCCCTTCTTGATGTTAGTCGACTTCAGCGTCTAATACTACCTAGTCCATAGAACAGGAAAGCCACGCGATGGCCACTACTACATGCTGCTTCAAGTTCTCCGTTTTGTTTTTGTCCATGATGGTTCTCCTTCCTGTTTGCGAGATGCCTGAATGGGGCCTAAGTAATTGACGTCATTGACCCTCGCTCTGTGCTGGTTGCGGTGTTGGTGTGGCATGATTTTCCGAATCGGCATGCGTTTCTGCATTGGTATGCGTTTCTGCATTGGCATGCGTTTCTGCATTGGTATGCGTTTCTGCATTGGCATGCGTTTCTGCATTGGCATGCGTTTCTGCATTGACATGCGTTTCTGCATTGACATGCGTTTCTGCATTGACATGCGTTTCTGCATTGGCATGCGTTTCTGTATTGGCATGCGTTTCTGCATTGGCATGCGTTTCTGCATTGGCATGCGTTTCTGCATTGGCATGCGTTTCTGCATTGGCATGCGTTTTTGCATTGGCATGCGTTTCTGTATTGGCGTGCGTTTCTGCATTGGCGTGCGTTTCTGCATTGGCATGCGTTTCTACATGGGAATTCATTCCTGCATATTCTAACAAATTTTAAAAAGGTTCAACAAAGCTAAAACGCTAACTCCATACTCAGTTTGGTAATTTCAAAGTGTGATTTTAAATTGTGCTGATGTAACCTCTATTTTATGTTTAGATCCTCGAATGTTCCACTGGTACAAATGGAAATTCAAAGAACGGCCACGAGTGTCGCTGGAAGCTGAAACCTTTTCGAGCGCAGTCATTAAGGATTGTTTTCACTTATCAGTTGACTGATGAGAGTTACGAATTCGCAAGCGAGCTAGGTGGTTTTGACTATATGGAAGGTACTTAGCAATGTATCATTCATTCTATTCCATATTTATCAATACACGCAGTTATACCTTCAAAGACTCGTCCTAGACTGCCTAGATGCTAAATATTGAAACTCAAAGAAGTAAATGTGAACCAAAGTTCCCCAAAGAAAATGAATAATATAATAATCATGACAGTAATCTATCTATTTAGAGTGAACTAAATAAAGGGATAGCCGCGAAAAGCTTGATGATGTCAACGAATAGCGAAAGATAAAATTCTTACATATTTCGTATATTTCATATTTCATGCTGTTCGACAATATGATTTTTTTAATAAAAAGCATTAACTTTTGTCGAAGTTCTGAATGTACATACACTTAAGGTTTTTCGCAATGTACAGAAACGGTATGTCCTTTAAAGGAAATCATTTTTCTGATGTTTTTTAGCAATACTCTATCAAACACCACTGTTACCTCAACACCAGTGAATAGCATCCAATCAATTTATAAGGGCTGCCATATGTTTCTCGTTTAACTTAGAAGCCAATGTCTTCATAACAATGACATCACGACACAATGTTGTTGAAACTGAAGTCCTAATTTGATAAAAATATTAGCCAAAAATCCTTTTTCTAGAGGCTTGTAATGTTTTTCGTTGACAGTGTGGTAGAAGCACACATATAAGGTCAAAATGGACCTAATTTTTAGTTCTTAAACGGGTTTGCTGTCAAAATCCTGTCAGCTGATTGGTCAATACCGTAGGAAGAACATGGAAATAGTGAGAGAAATTCAATGCAAGATTATTTCCTCCATGATGCTAATCTTTACATCCTCTTACATAGGCAAGGAAATTTCAGGAAATTCTTCCTCCTAGCACCCACACTACAGCTCGCACAGCCCTCCCGATACCCACACCACAGCTCGAACATTCTACCCAGCACGCCCCTTTTGTATATCTGTATTATTAGATTTTAGCGTTTATCGTTTTCTTTGTACAGGGCAGCTTGGAAAGCAATTTATGTATGTAGTTGATAGCTTTACCCTGTGTATATAATTAAAAATGAAATGAAATGAAATGAAATGATTTTGATTAAGCTGACTCTAATTTAATATCTTCCTTTAAAGCTGATCATCAGTGGCAATTGGATACAGTGACAAGCCAAGGCGGTTCTGTTAGCTTTGAAGATGAACGTGGAAACTTGCCATTGCAAACAGACATAGTAGCCCCAGGAGAATCATACTACGGTGGAGATGGTGCTGTTTTTCAAGACACAAAATTCGCCAACACGCAACAAATGGCAAATTTCGATTGTCTGTTTGATCCTGCTCTCTGCAAATATGGATTGTCCATTGCTTTCCATTTAAAAGGTATTTCATTTAATTTTTTCCACGAAACTGCATTTTCTAAAATGATGGCTTCCTCAGCAAACTGCAAGTTGTATTCTCGAGATTTTGCACACCTCCTCCTGCTTAATAATGACACCTTTACTACGATAATGCATGCGCCAAAACCTTGACCGGGGGAGGGGTTGGTTAGATTTTGAGATATAGAAACATGCTAGCCAACCTGTGTTGGTGTTTGTCTCAACAGCTGTGTCTAGTGTTTTAGAAAGTGGTGTAAGGCAGTTTTGGGCGCCTGTCTTCGAAAAATACGGGCCCCCGATTCAAGGGTGTCCCAAGTAATGTTCTAAATACCATATTCAAATGTTCTCTAAAATTCACTCTTGCTTTCAAAAACTTTAAAAATTTTATAGCTAAGGCATCCCCCTTGATCATATTTTTGCATCTTGGCATTCTGGGAACGTCATCTACCTCTCTCTCTGACATGCTACATCAACTCAGTATTGACTCAAATCAAACTAAATCCATCTTGATGAAACTCATGAACATTTCTATCCGCTGCACCTACTATATCTGCTGTCGTCGAAACAAACCATGGCTAAGCCCCGAACTGATTGACTTCTAAATATTGTAATGCAGATAAGCCAATTATATGATGCCTGTAAAAGCGAGTCGTATAATTGTAAATTTAAAATGTATTCAATGAAAATGAGATGTTTAAAAAATAATTACTCTTACTAATTCTAATACTATTACTTTTAATTTACTAACAAGCAAATATAAAGAGGACTAATGGCAGGTAACAATTACCTGCCAATCAGAGCGTTCGCCGTTTCTCATGAAATACTTCTAATAACATTGCCATCTTTAACTCTTAAGTATCAATTTTTAGCGAGCACTGCAAACTCAGGGAATTTGTTGATCACTTCTGGCCAAGACGATTCAGTTAGCTGTGATGGGGGCAATAGCGTTGGTTTCAAAATCTGTTTGAGTATGAATAGAGATCTTAAAGTGGATTTTATATTGCAAGATCGAATGTATACTGTTTCGTCCACTTCACAATCGATAGCAGTATGGGGAATGTATGTTGTGACTTGGTCCCTGGAAACTGGCATAGCTGCATACTTCAATGGACAGCTGAGAGCTCAGTCGAATGTTGCAGTTGCTGGCTCTTTCATTCCCGCGACACGCATGATATCTGTCCGTTCTAATGGCCTGAAATCTCATGTTTACAACCTTCGAATTTGGAAATTCACGCTTTCAAAGGATGAAGTCAAGGATATTCATAATCCAGGTAACAATTTGTTTTTTTATCCGACTAAAAGCAGGGAGCATGGAAATACATAGCAACCCTGCGACCATAACATTTAATATAACAACTTAACACTAATTTATGCATCTAAATATTAAAGATTACATAATACAGATAACAACTGCATAAAGTAGCAAAAAACACATAAAACACAAGTGAGGAGGGACGAATGTATCTCAAGGTTGCCTCAAGAATTTTTGTATTGGAATCAAAAGACAACTTTTCGTGACCCTACAGAACAATGTGTTTTGATCTCTGATATTAAATAGCGTATGTGATGAGTTGTTCCATGTGCTTTAGAACCCGTCCGGGACCACATAGATTCGTTTTCTTTTATCTTTTCAAGTTTGTAAAGTATGCTAACAGGAGCATCTTAACTAACCATGCAATGATGTACTGCTTATTGTAAATTTGTTCTATTGCTACAACCAGGACAAAGTTACACAAAAAAGTTCCAGTGGCGTATCATGGTGTTGAATAGAGTACCGAAGTGATGACGTCACAATCTATTTTTGACTTCTTCGATTTTGGCCATATATCTCAAAATGGCTCTATGAAATACCTCTAAAGATGCACAATCAGTTAAAGGCATCACGAATTGGCTTGGATATGGCCACCTAAGGACAGGCTCTTGCACCATCAAACCTCAGTAATTTGTTCTTGGTTCATAACTTTATGAACCAGACCAGAATAACAGTAATCCGTTAGCAAACTTTAAATATTTCATTGGCCATATCTCGTCCAGTTTTGAACACATCCAACTGATTTTGCATATTGAGAGGGATTTTATGCCGTTCTTTCAGAACATATAGTGAAAATTAAGAAATTCTAAAATAGACTTTTGATGACGTCACGCTTCGGTAACCTATAAAGAAAGAGCACACCCATCTAAAGGCTCTTTGACAACGCCCATTCGCAAAAAAAGTTGATAGATCATACCCATTTTCTCCACTTAGTGATAGATGTTTGGTCAGAAATAATCATGGTTCATGTTGTCATGATTTTGACAATATTTGAAACTACAGTTGAATCCTATTTTCAGCACATATTATAGATATTCTATCTTCTTTCATCTTATCATGTTTATTATATATATTCAAATTAACACTTATAATAAAGAGCTTTGCGACAAAAGCTGCCACTGAAAAGTTAGATTAGGACCCTTTCAGTAATGAAGAAGGGCACATTTTTCGCTTGCAGGGCCCTTTCCATTGCAGGGACACTTCAGCCCAGTGCCCCTGGTACCTTCGTCCAAGTTGTGTATGTGAATTTTTGATAGTGAATTAATTATCGAACTAAGCAACTGCCTGCGAAATATTTTAGTGGCAAGCCCTGTTTCAGTAACTGCTTGTAGGTCTATGATTTTTAACACTTCAAAGAAAAAACATTTCATGAACTAAGGCTTGTGACTTTAACTTGTTTTTAGAGCACAAGCACTGAAACATAAACTTATCAAGCAACTTTTTAAGTATTTCTTGATGCGGGCTCTTATTTATTGTATCTATGCAGTCCTGATTCGGTCGCAAGTCAGCTATTTAAATCTCATTAATCAGAGATGAGTCAGATCGCAACAATGTGTTTTGTCCGAGCTAAATAAGACCGAGATAAAATTTTTTGTTGCAGCGGGGGAGGGGGCAGCTTTGATAAAAAAGTGTAAAAACATCCATATTTTACAAAAATAAAAGTACTTATACTACTTAAGCTTTTTGGGGGAGGTCAAGGCCCCCCGGCCCTTCCCCGGCCCTTCCTCGTCCCTTCCCCGGCTCTTCCTCGGCCCTTCTCCGGCCCTTCCTCGTCCCTTCCCCGGCTCTTCCTTGGCCCTTCCCCGGCCTTTTCTCGGCCCTTCCTCGGCCCTTCCCCGGCATTTCCTCTGCCCTTCCCCGGCCCTTCCCCGGCCTTTTCTCGGCCCTTCCTCGGCCCTTCCCCGGCCCTTTCCCGGCCCTTCCCCGGCCTTTCCTCGGCCCTTCCCCGGCCCTTTCCCGGCCCTTTCCCGGCCCTTTCCCGGCCCTTCCCCGGCCCTTTCCCGGCCCTCCGGTATCTCGGTCCTTGATTCAATGTTTAGAAATGGAATCTACTGTTTACCGGTCTGTCATAGTGCTCGATGCTGTAAAGGCACACCTTGTCAGCTTTTGTGTATGAAACAGGATGGTTCGAAGTTGCAATTCCGAGATTGTGATTTTGCTTAATGTACGAGCCGTAACTTGATGATCAAAATTTGCATGTACCTTTCTACAAAGTTTTCTTAACCTACTTAGATGGGCAAACAATGAGAATCTTGCAATATACATCCGGTCTTTTATTCTACAATTCATGTTCTAATAATAAACACGAATTTGTTTTTAGGTTCAGGTTGGTTGGCGGTGAGAAAGAGCAACTTTCAGAAGTACCGTAAGTTGCCATTTTCTTTTCTCTAATTTAAAGCTTTGTATTGCTAGATTTCTTTTCGAAAGTTGTGACTTTTTAGAATCTCACATCTCTAGTTATGGAAAGTTTGCATGAAATTTCACAAAGACATGAAATATCCAGGCCCCTTTGTCGTTACGGCGAAAGCTTTCTGCAACCAGCATGCTTTGCGGTAGCTGTTTTCTTTCACGAGATAAAAAGGGGGTGTATTTTGTATTTTCATGCATTACGATATCAGGTCGGCTTTGTAAATATAGTTGCAAAGGGAATCAGGCTTGAGAGGTATTGAAAACGACAAGATTGACTTTAAACGTAATCATAAATTCAACAATAAATTCAACAATAAGGTGAGGCATGGAGCATAAGTTAAATTCTAATTACAAACTACTGTTGAAATAAAAACCTACGCAGAATCACGTGAAGAAATAGACCAAATATTAAAGAATAACTGGGAAAATGGCTCGCATTATATAAGCTTGAGCAGTGAGAATATGTAAGAAAAACTACCAAGTCATGTACTAAAAGTAGACACAGAAAAGGAATGAAAACGAAGGTACGCTGTAGGTAGAGCTGGAACGATATAATAAAAGTTAGTTATTAAACTGAGTGGCAAAGAAGCAAGCTATATATTGGCCATAAAATAGAGACATATATCGAAACGAATGGGAAAACCGGAGGTATCGTGAAATATCTCAAATTGAATCATTTTCTGCAATCAGAGCTTACTATGAGCTGATGAGAACTGCGGGATTTTTTTGAGCCTCTCTGGGGGTTATTGGAAGCAACGGAACATGTCATTTGTTATTCTAGGAACATGGGAACATCTCGTAATTTCAAGAGAACATTTGGACAAGATCTTGAGCGTTTTTAGGGAACATTCAAGAACATCTCCGGGAACAGGGGATATATTTTTAACTTTGTGGGGAGCATGGGAACACCGAATCCCTTTGGGGCTTCTTATTTTGTACTTTCTCGACAATCAGGGCTGTAAATGACTCCTACCAGTAGCGATCAAGCAATTAGAAATGTAAGTCTGTACGAAAATCTACCCAAAAATCAAAACAATTGACCTCTAAAAGTTGAAGACGAGTTGCTTATTTTCATGCGCAGTAATAAATAAGCAGGTATCTAAACACAACCTTGTGGGCAATTATCTAAAAAGGTTAATCCAGGCCATTTTGAAATTAATGAATGTTGTTGCTTTGCATCTAATAAGACCTTCTCTTTTATAGGGCCGGAATCATGCTTCCAAGCTATGCAAGCTAATGCTAATCGTACAGGCACTTATGAAATATTTTATGGAAATTCCTCGTTCCAACTTGGTTGTGTCCGGCATGGAAATGGGGCACGTTTTTATCTGTACCATCGTCAGCTTCCTAAAACGGCGAATGGACCAATAACTACCCCGATTGAACTGAAATTTGACTACAGTGTGTCCACGGAACAGATGGGTCGCATTATTGGCTCAGCCCAAAGTTGCACCCAAAAAGTTACCTATAAATGCTCATATGCTTCTATAACTGATAATTTGGAACTGAAAGGACGCAATGGGGTAACAATAAACCATTGTGTTAGTCCAGCATCATGTAACTGTCAGGTGGCCACGGCGACCGAAAGTACTGATGCACTGGTGTATAATGACATGAGCAAGTTGCCAATAACAAGCATGACCATAAAAGGTCTGTCTATCAATGCACGCCTTGATATCGTTGTCGGTTCACTCGAATGCATTTCAGGTTAGTTGATTTAAGATCTTTGTGCTATTGATTTTCTCATTAAGTTTTTGCTTCTTGCTTGCTACGACTTTGTATTGCGTTAAATTTTCCGATTACAGCGATACGTGAGCTATGACTTGATAGCGTCTTAGAATAACTTAGATAAGTTAAGGTACTAGTGACCATCACGTCAGGGATGATTATCACATAAAGAGGTTCCCATATATTTAGGGGCACGAAGGTACTACCTTAGCAAAGTATTGCTAGGGGCCGTTTGCGGGTAGCCTTGGTTTAGATTTGTCCTGCCATGGCAAACGATTCCTAAGATCAAAATGATGATTACAACGATTAGTGCTGTGGTGTAATATGTCGAAGATCTGAAGATGAAATGTTTGCAGTTGCACATTTCGAATCACAAAGTATATTTTCTGTTTTCCCACTGGACTTAGGAAAGATTTGGTTTAGGCAATGTCACTGAAAACGAAAGTTTACCAGAATTCCGTTTTCGCAAAAAGGACATACCACGACTCGTTGAAGCACTAGATGTACCCCAAATTTTTATCATCTACAGCAGAAGCATTAAAGATGGCTTGTAGATGCTTGTTCTTCACTTGCCCGTGGCACTGTAAGTCAATCACGTAGCTGTAGGTGTCGGCTGGGGGGGGGGCAAACTCGAGCAAGAACCATACCTGAGGGGGGCAGGCTTTAAAAAAAGAAAACAGATATATAACAAAGAGATATATTTGGACAAAATCAAGCTCATGGAATTATAATTGTGCCAACTTTTCAAAATATCATTTGGAAAAACTGTAGCCAGAGGGGGCAAGCTGTTGTCAAAATTTTCATTTGGGGGGCACAGCTACGTGGCTGCTGTAAGCATATCAAATATGGCTAAGTGCCGCCCGCAGTTTAAGGGAAGAAAACTGCTATATGGGGCATTTGGCCCTAGTATCATTCTTAAGCCTGCTTTTGAGGGACATCTTTGGTATGGCCAAACCTGCTCTTTTTGAACTGTTGTTGTTTGGTCAGCAGTTATAATTTTGAAATGTCAATTTTGAAATATTCCATCTGAATAGAACCCTGTCGGTAAATTTGTCTAGAGATTGACAGGACCTTGCAACTATATTTCATAGTTGTTAATGTGTTTATTTTAAGTAAGATAACCTCCTATTCGGACCTTTTATTTGTTAAATAACGATCAATGTAAGTAAATTGTACCAGGAAAAATTATATGTTAGCCGCTAATCAATCAGGTTTAATTTTGCCGCTAATCAATCAGGTTTAATTTTGATTGCGTGATTGATTGATCGTGATTTATCGTCCTTTTAGCAAGTGAAGCTGGCAAACCGCTTAGCATGTCTTTGGAAACACGTGAGTATATTCGTTACAATTTGTAACATTAACTAAATAAACATTCGTTTTTTTCAATGTATTGTGCTGCTTAAAAACCTGGTATCATTTCACAAAAGATAAGATGCTTTCGAAGTCATCTCATAATTCGAACTTCTGTGTATCCGATATCTTCTACTGCCTTAATAAATAACTTTTATGTAACAATTTTAATGCATTATTTTTAGACCCAGAAAAGATTAGATACGCACGTTAATTCTTTTGCACAATTAATAAGAATCCTTTAGAATTCTTTCATTCGCAGACTATTTCTGGAAATGTTGAATATACATCTGTAACTAAGATCTTAATATACAATCACTGCCAAAATTACTTGGAACACCCAACACTTTGTGCTGAGATTTCCTATTTTCATTTTGTTTTCCCGAATACAACTACTTCCGTCCCCCTTTTCCCCCCAAAACAATGCTGAAAGTATAGAAAAATATCATACAAGGCACACGAAAAAGCGGACTCCACAACCCCTTCCTCTTTTCTATAGTAAATCATCATTGTTCTTAGGGGGAGCGGGGGGTGGCTGAATCTGCCTTTGAAAACTGACGTTAGTGTTTCAAGACTTTTGGCAGTGATTGTAGGTTATGATCCCAATAAGGGTTATGATTACAAACTCTGGTTATTCAAAATGAAGATGGATGTCGTACTTCCATAGAACTCGGCATTAGCCGCAGCACACCTCCCAAGCATCATGAGAGGCTAATACCTCCCTGAATAGAGGCTAATACCTCCCTGAATAGAGGCTCCTAAGTTCAGCCATTGTTATGGAAATCTAATGGAAATCATTGACATGATCATTAAAAATTGAGATTCAGAATCATTGGATAATCATCAAATCCATAGAATCCATATTAGTAGAGGTTTTGATTTCCAGGTGGATAATGTATTTTTAGATTATTTTCTATCGTTTATGTGACAGAGACCGTGGAGCATATTACGGCTTGGGGGGGAACTGAAGATGTTTTGTGGGCTAAACTTGCAAAAGATCAAAAGCAAGGCGATAATTTCTTTGTCTAAAATACAGTTTTTACAATTATTTGGGGGGCTTAAGTCCCAAGCTTTCCCGTTTACGCAGTCACTGATAAGCGATCTCATGGGAAATGTTCCTCTTTTGTATTTACATCATAGGAGACTCGAGCTTCATTGTCAATACAAGTGTGCAGTGTGTCTTTCCTTTCACGTACAATACTTTGACGTATTCGGCCTGTATAAGCATTGACGCAGATGCTCCTTGGTGCTCATTAGATGCAATATATAATGGAAAATGGCGCTATTGTGATACTCAATTGCCAAAAGGTTTGTGATATTTTTGGCGTTATTAACTTTTTTCGTTCCGAGAGGAGGATCAATCAAAGAAATGTGGTGTAGTTGACCTTCCCCGTTTTTAAGGCCGTTTACGTCCTTCTCCCGACAATTCTTTCTCACACAGTCGTTGTTTTGGAAACTCTTGCCTAGTCGCAGAAGCATTTAACAGTAAATGCATTGCGTTAAAAAAATTGCACCTGCTTACACAGCTAGTTCCCAGTAGCATCTATTTGCATATTTATTGTATAGGTATATCAAGCCGCCGTGAGGCAGTGAATTTCTTTTAGTTAATTCGAAAAATTTGGGCATTAGAAGAAAAATGCCATAATAAAATTTAGCAGTAAAGATGAAATAGGAAGGTAGGTGCTTTTGCATCGCAGCGAAATATCATTTCTTTATGAAAAGCCCTTCTTAAAATCATTTAAACGACGAGATAAAAATTCCTCATACGGTCAAGTGTAACTACTAAAAAAAAGCAATTTGCTAACAGGCTTTATGGTGGCAATGAGAGGTTTTTGACGATAACTAACGCTCTGCGCAAGGCATGTTTGAGTTGAAGTCTCTTATGCAACCAGCATGCTTTGCGTGTATATTTTAAGAAAACCGGCCTAACATTGTTCTGATGACAATACAAAATACTACCCCTTTTGACCGTAAAAAACAGCTACCGCAAAGTATGCCAACCCCCCTGCCCATTAGTGCTATTTGTCTATTTGACTATGTTTTCTAATTTTTGTCTTCAGCTGATATAGACTTTTCAGTTAATTTGTTAACCAACTATGGTGACTGGAAGATTGGCAATGACTGTACTTTGGACTACAACAGTGGCCCTTGTAAAGACGTTACAGGCTCTTCAAGAATGTGTAAGTTGATTTGAATTCTAAGTTTAATTTTCAGAAAGAGGTTCATGTTTTGCTCATATCTCTAGTTTCAAAATGAAATTTATAACATTACACATATTAGCATAAACGAACGGATTTTGGTGGTCCGGAACACAATTTAAACCATTCGTAATTCTGAATTTCGCCCACTGAGGTACAATGCGTGCCAAAAGTCTTGCAACACTGATGTCAGTTTTGCAAGATCAAATTCAGCCATCCCCCTCTCCTCCAGAGAACAATGATGGTTTACTACAAAACGGGTAAGGGGCTAAGAAAGTACATTTTTTGGGATTCTGTTGTGATATTTAAATAAACTATCAACATTGTTCTAGGGGGAAGAGGGTGAAAGTAGTATTTTTTTTGGAAAAGTAATGAAGATATAAAATGCAGAGCAAATTGCAGGTTGTTCCAAGTGCCTTTGGCAGGCATTCTAGCAATACTGCTTGTGTCCTGTTAAATAGCAGGGCCCGCGCCAGGAATTTAAAATTTGAGGGGGGGGGGGCAAGGCTAAAATTTAGGGGGCCAAGGCCTTTTACCCCTTTTACGGCAGCTTTAAAACTACATGCTTCGCAAAAAAGTGGGGGCCATGGCCACTCCGCCCCCCCCCCCCCCCGGTGGCGCGGACCCTGAATAGATAGGGGACCACGCAAATTCTTTAATACTAATGCCACATCTTTGTTGTTTTATTAAGAGAATACTATGGTAAGTGGTATCAAAGGTCTCTCCTAATGGCTGATGTTTATTTTCTTTTCGATCAATACTGCTATAGCAAGAAACGATTACATTAAAAAGTGATGATATGGCTGAATATGGTTTGTAGTAGGCAAATAGGTTCTTGGATAACATATTGTTTGATGTTGTTTGATGTGGTGCTGTAGACATTACTATTTTTAGTTGATATTATTTGTTATCCCCCTGGAGATATCCAAAGTTTCAATTGCTTGAAGGTGTTAAACGGGGCGGGGCGGGGCGAAATTATGTGTTTGATTTTTGAATATTCGTTAAAAAATTTTATTTTGACTTCGCAAGTTTTTGGCAAGTTTTTATCTATACAAAGTTGACTTCGTTTAGATTTGTTAGAAACCGTATCTGCCCTTTTCGTATATGTAACATCCAATGTTTTATACTTTTACAAAATATTATAAGTAACATAAATTCTCCTACTATTCGTTAACAATTTAATCCTTTTCGTCAATGCATGATATCTTAATATTTATTTCCACAGCTAGTGAAAACCCGTTGCTTAGAAAACTCTTTTCACCCTCCAAATATTCAACCTTCAAAGATGGTAGCTGTAGAGATAACGATTTTGAAAATGGTGTTTCTTTGCTGTCGTCTGTAACTTATGATCTGGAAGGTACATCGACGCCCATGATTTTAGAGAGTGCCCACATGGTTTTGAGAAAAACCGGTGCTATGGGTAAGTTGGTAATACTGTTCTGTATTTTCTCTGAGTAATATCATGATTTCTTTTTGTAGACGACGCTGAACATGTCTTATGTTTCGATAGTATGTGTTTTTTTGATAAAGCAGCGTTGTCTGTTGAGTAAGGCTTTAACATCGTAATGAAAACTAGCCCACTATTTATTCGAATATTCATCATCAAACATCACCAACCATTGTCAATTGTCATCAAACGTCATCAAACATCACAAATTATTGCCAATTATCATCAAACATCAGCAGTCATCATCAATCATTGCCAATCATCATTAATCGTCGTCAAAAATCACCAATTATTGCACATCATAATTAATCGTTATCAAACATCGCCAATCATCATCAGTCGTCATCAAACAACGCCAATCTTTGTCAACCATCATAAATCGTCGTCAAAAATCATCAATTATCACAAATCACTGCCCCTAAACATCAAACATCACAAATCATCATTAATCGTCGTCAAAAATCACCAATTATTGCACATCATAATTAATCGTTATCAAACATCGCCAATCATCATCAGTCGTCATCAAACAACGCCAATCTTTGTCAACCATCATAAATCGTCGTCAAAAATCATCAATTATCACAAATCACTGCCCCTCAACATCAAACATCACAAATCATCATTAATCGTCGTCAAAAATCACCAATTATTGCACATCATAATTAATCGTTATCAAACATCGCCAATCATCATCAGTCGTCATCAAACAACGCCAATCTTTGTCAATCATCATTAATCGTCGTCAAAAATCATCAATTATCACAAATCACTGCCCCTCAACATCAAACATCACAAATCATCATTAATCGTTGTCAAAAATCACCAATCATTGCACATCATAATTAATCGTTATCAAACATCGCCAATCATCATCAGTCGTCATCAAACAACGGCAATCTTTGTCAACCATCATAAATCGTCGTCAAAAATCATCAATTATCACAAATCACTGCCCCTCAACATCAAACATCACAAATCATCATTAATCGTCGTCAAAAATCACCAATCATTGTCAATCTTCATGTACGGCTGCTTGGAAGTGCAAATGTCGTGTTTAGAAGTTATTGTTCATAATTTTAGTTTAAACTATTTTTAACTAATTTTATGTAGCCATGGTATTTGCCTTTAAATTTATATTGAGTTTATTTAATTGACATATTTTTATGCAAAGCATGTTTTTAGCATAAATCTTTTACTCTCTGAATTTGTACGTGTTAAACCTTCTTTAGATATGGAATGCGCAGTGAATTTATACGTTGTGGTTCCTCGTGACACAGAGTTTGACGAATTCATAACTGAGTGTAGGTACAAATCTTTCCGTGCTGGGCTTTATTTCGGCCCAATTACTTGGAAGTTTGGGCCAATGGAAAAATTTTATGACAGATCGCCAGATATCAAAGACTTGGTATTGCCAATTCTTCGATTTAAACACTCCAACATGAAGAAAATGCTGTTCCTTGTTTTTGAATGGCAAACTTACGTGTGTAAATTTTCCACTTCGTTAGAAGCTTCCTATCTCTCCGTTACATACAAAGAAAAGTTGCCAGGTAGGTTTTTTTAAGATATACGTAAAAGTTTTCACCTTCTTATCGACTTTCCTGTTTTCAGCTGAATGTACCTATTCTTACCTCAACCCCAACCGTTACCTTTCTGCAAAAGTCTTTTAACGTTACCTTTACCAACCGTTATCAACTAATTTGTACTCTTCCTAACGTTCTGTCGGGCACTATAATGAAAAGCTCGGTTTCGAACTGCAAAGAAAAACGAAAACAGAACACTTTATACCGATACACCGATTAAATTAATATCCAGATACAAGAATAAATATCCGGTGAAATTAATATCCGGTAGTTTGGAGATCGATCCCTTCCGGGGTAAACTCGCCATTCGTACTACCATTATACTTATGGATACCCGCCTGGATATAAATTTACGCTTACCTTTTGCTCACCATGCAAGGTTTTATACTTAAAAGAATGTCCAACAAAAAATGTACATTGTGGTAGGCTTTGTTTTAAGTTACCATGCTATTTTGAGTTAAAAAAATTAGCAGGAGCAATTCAAGTTAAATAGAAAATGACTCGGATAGAGAACAGGATAACTTTAGTGAAGTTAACCATTTAACACCAATATTATCTTTAGTTAATATGCAAAATAATCAATAGCTTTGCTTCATGTAATGTTTCCTCCGTTAGGTTGTTGACCTGGATTTTATTAATACAAAGAACATTTTACACTTACTCTTATACCAAAGTTGTTTGCATTTCGGATGTGTTGACTTAAAATCTTCTTTACCGTTGGGTCAGGGATGTCTATTGAGGATATTTTTGGACGGTTACGAAGTTTCCGACTGACAAAAAGCCAATTATAATTTTTTACAAAGATTTCAATAAGATTCTCCTTTCCGATCTTAACTTTATACGGAACGGTTACTTCCTTTCTTGACTGAGAAAATTATCGGCATAAGCATTATGTTGTTCTCTAACGGAAATAGACATTGGAATTGCGACTTAAATTTTCCCATTACTCTCAAGTTTTCCGACTAAATCAAAGAATTGGGAGATTGGGAGTGGGAGTTTGAAACCCCCACATACCCCCGATATTTACGTCTTGTTTGAGATTTTTCAGTCAATGCATTTGTAAAACCCTTATGGTCATCACACGCGAGTATCGGCAGTATTGGAACAATAAGAGTTTTAATAATCAGATGATTCATTAATAGCTTCTTTTCTTTTTCATATACGTAGAAAATTATCTCTACGCTGATGTTGCTGACGAGAAATTTCCTGGGATGCCCCTTGTGTACAAGACAAGATATTTTGACCCCACATCTAAATGTCTACAGTTTTGGTACTCTATGAATAATACTGGCAGCAGATCTCTATTGGTCAACATACATCGTAAGACAAGCGCCCATCTCTTATTGAAAATATCTGACAGCCAAGGTCAATACTGGAAGAAGGCTACTGTTCCCTTAGAGGCATTTTTGAATGATGGAGAAGACCTGTTTCAAGTGAGTTGAAAAATAAAACTTGATAGCAGTTTTTTATGTTGTGCCTACAGTAGTTACAAAAAGTTATCGAAATGAGTTGCTAAATTTATCTAAATTTAAATGACGGGCATTTGCGAATATTTATTATTTGATTATGAAAAAAGCAACTGTTTATTTTGCGTAGCATATTGAAGTGAAAATTTAATACGCTGCAGCATTTGTGTGTTTTAAATTCATTTCAATAATACGAAATCAATTCTTTCTACATAATTATTTAGATGAATCTTTGAGTCGAATTTAAACACATCTCAAATCAATCAAAGTAAGCCAATCAGTGTAAACTGGATGTGGCAACCAGATTGTATTTTTGAATTTCATTTCCTACACACAAATATGTTTACGAGAGTATTGTAGGTTCCATCCGCATGCATGTCGGCATGCCCTCCCATATGCCTAGCCACATTCACCATCGGGCCCATCCACAGGTCCCCTCATAGGTCCACCTATAGGTTCACACACAGGTCCATGAATATGTCCATCCACAGTCCCGTCCACAGGCCTATTCCCAAATAATTTGTGATAGAGACAACCGTATTAATGCTAAACGATAGAAGTTTTCGTCCTTTTTTAAAGTAATAAGTTTTTCTTCTACTCTAGATATCATTCGTTGCCTCTGGTGGTTCCAGCAATGCCAAAAGTATTGCGATTGATGATATCAGCTTTTCGAAGGAAAGATGTTCTCTTGTGCCTGCAAATCAATGTGAGAATCAAGCTAAGCTTCTGCCTAACTTTGTTCATACTGAGTTCAGTTTTCTTTTAAAATTTCAAAAAAAAATTAAATATAGGATGTTAAATGTCATAAGAAGCTATCATCAAACTTTATCTACTCGATCGATCGCCAAACGATCAGGTGACGTCAAAATGATTATTTTTGAGGCAAGCAAAAATCATTAACTGGAAGATTTTCAAATCGATCGATCGTTAACCGATCATCTTAATGCCGTGATTATAAGTGAGATAATCAACGAACGTAATCAAAAATGATCTGCTCGATAGATCTTCCATCAAGTATTTTGTCATCACAGTGATGGCCATTGATTAACTCAAAAATCTTCAAATCGAACATTTCCAAACGGCTCCAGAAGTGTGTTCGGCTCAAGAAGTGTGTTCGACCGCCTGGGTCTGCCATAAAACCTGAAACTAGCCTGATATGGGTGCTTTTTTTTCTTTCACCATCTTCTTTTAGTGGTTTTTTCTGAAATAATAAAAAATGAATACACCAATTCGACTTACGGCCTCATTTTGAAAAAGTCTTCAAATTCTTTTGTACAACATTTTTGACCTCAGATTCGGATTGACAGCAATGACAGCAAGTTTTCATTATGATATTGCTCACGATATTGATTTTATGACGACATAAAGATAAAACTTTATAAGGGGTTTGACCGTGATTGGCGACTAGGGGGTGAAGTTTCCACCGGAACGATTTTTGCGGTCAAATCCCTTACAAGTTTTCAAACTTAATTTCTCGGTAAAATCTAAAATACAAGCTCAAACAATATGAAAAATGGTATACCGCCTAACATTATGACGATAAAACCAAATCTGAGCTTAAAAAAGTCGTATAACTAAGTTTGGAGAAGTTTCCAAAACGAGGTCGTAAGTCGCATTGGTGTATTATCCGGAATCAATCGCCGTAGAGGAATACACTGTTGTGCGCCCGCAATGAGATTTATTTGAGAAATATCCGGACATTTCAGCCGAAATTGTCACCACTGTTCCACAATTGTTATGTGAGTAAGTCAATACAGAGGAGTCTCGTATTCGCAACAAAGGCCAAAAGACAATGCTCGGTTATTAGGTAATTAGTGTCTCATTCTGCAAAATATCGAAATTTCACGACAAAGCGGATAGAGGGCTAAAGTACACAATACCATATTATTTGTCATTCAGCATAGCATTGAACTTCTGATCTTGATCGAACTGTAGCCAGAGAAACCCTGTTCTTTAAATTTGTAGCGCTTATTAGCTTTAATTTTAGATTTTCGTATGAATGCAAAGCATGTGTATGTGCAGGGGGAAGTAAAAGAGGGCAGGGAGTTTGGGTTCGCCAATATTGGGTTCGACCTTCTGCAGATCGGAGAACAGATACTCTTAGTCTGTTAACTGCAATGTGCAGATGTACTGAGTTCGATTATTAGCACATGTTGCCTCTTAACCCTATCTCCCATAACTGTGTTGGTTTGGTTATGTAAAAGATTGAGAATATATATATTTTAAAATGTTGTTTGACAACGCTTTCAATTAAAAATGCTAAAATAATTTGTTTATTTTTTTGGCAACAATCTCTGTACGTTATTTGTAATATAGTCATTTCTACATTTTTGTAGAAAGATTTTTTGCAACCCCCCCCCCCCCCACATGTCAAACCTTAACTACCGCCGTACGTATATGGTATGAATTTACCATATTTCCCTTTGCGTCACTTAACAATCTCCATTCCCTTACAGACGACCTTGCAAGAGGGAAAAGTGTGGCAACTTCGGGGATACAAAGTTTTGTGATGAATGGCAATTGCGAGACAGTGACTGGTGAATGGCTTATGATAGATTTAGGAAGTCGTCATAAGATCACTACTATACGTATTGTCAATAACGGAGGAGGAAATTTGGTAGATTTGGGTGTTAAAGTCGGCAATACCTCTCGTGATATTCAACAGACAATTTTGTAAGCATCAGCAATTAATATTTTTATTTGCTTTTTTTGCCACCTGAAACTCGGCATTTCCACAATTATTTTCATCATAGAATGCTTTGTAGTGTCGCGGTCGGTGATTGTGCTAGTATCTTTCTCTAATTGTATGGCCAGAGTGCCAGAGGCCTAGTGAAAGAGATGGTCGAACAATGGTCGGACCATAGAGATAGGTCACTCTTCATCTGCTCACTCTTTCACTGAGGCTCTGACACCCAGGGTAGCCCACAGGGTGCAAAGGGGATCATAGACTGACAAACCGCAAAGCAGATTGATACTTAATAAGAATAGTGTCACGGTCAGGCCTGTTCCTGACCATTTATAAAATTGGCTCAAAAAATACAAACACTTCTACTCGTCTGCTTCAACTACCAAAACGTCTACATAAAAAAAAAATTAAACTTGTGTAGATGTTCTAAAAAGGGATGTTCTTCTTGCTTTTCCGGGGGTAATCTAAAAAGGGTTTCAATGTGTAACAACAGCCTGGAATAGCAGTTTTAGAAATGCTTAGTAAAATTGTTTGACCCTTTTTTAAACTTTTATTTAACTGTCGAAACATGCCATGCAACATCAGCAGCCTCAATACTAGCCAAAACGGACCTCTATTACCAAAACATCGTTTCCTTTGTTTTTGTCCACCAACTGCTCTGCCACGATGTCCCTCTGAATCAAGTTCAGTCATTAAAGCATAAACTAACTCTTTGGAACATTCAACTTATACATCTGTCTTTTTAATGCAGAGCTCTGTACCCAGGTTTATGCTAGTGTCATTTAGTTCCTTCTGGACTGTATCTTTCAGTTGTTCAATACTAGCAATATGGTTGTCATTCTTTACGTGGAACGTCTCGTCCACATTAGATGTTCATTTGTATAGGCTCCAGTGACGATAGGAATTACTGAACTGACATTCATTCAATGACATTCTTAATGACTATGCTCAATTTTCTTGAAATCGATTATGTATAATAAGTCTCTCTCATGTTTATGGTCATTATCCCTCACCATGTGACGACTTTATTCTTTTCCGACAAGGTGCCAGAGTTATAGTGGTTCAATGCGATCAGCGAAAGTGGCTCATATCCCTTGCAACAGTGTCATTGGTCAATATGTCTTCATCGCTCCTGCTGCTCTTTCTGGAGGTTTCACAATTTGTGGAGTTGAGGTGTATTCAATGCCAGGTAGCACTCAAATTCTAAAATATCCAGAAAATATCTGCGTATAAGAGTAAAGTGGATTGAAATTATGAAATTAGGCCCTCATCTAATACCTAGCATTCAGCCTGTCAGCTAGCTATTTTCACATTTACTTCAAGGCTAGAATTGAACCATCACACTGTCAATATCTTGAAAATCTTATGCTATCTATTTATACAGATTTTGTCGAGTATCGACTATCTTATAAAAAGATAGCTATCCTATATTATTTAATAAAACTTTAGCCAAAATGCATAGAGCGCAAGATAATATTTTGTTAGTGTTATATTTTCAAACAGAATTTACCTGAATGTAATGATTAAGGTGTTGTGTATTTAGAAATGTTCAGTGACGCAACATACTCAATATTTTACATAAAAACACTGCACCACTTTAAGAGCTCAAAACTGTTGAAACACCCCCCCCCCTCTCCTCTTCCATTAAACGAGAACATATATAAACTGCATTGCAGAAATTCACGCTCTTCATCGCGTGATTTTACTGTACTTATCGAAGCCCAATTTCTTTTCCCGAAGCAAATAAGGATTATTTTATTTAAAGTTAAGCTAGTAGCTAGGTAGTGGTAAAAAACAAAGTTCCCCAATATCACCGGTATTTAATGTCAAAGCCACCTTATCGACTTGAAATGATTTGAAAACTAAAATAAGCATTACATAACATAATCAATTAGTTTTTTTATTAGCTTATTTTCGTACGATCTACCGTGTAGAAATAAGTAGGAATGGAAAATCGCCGCAAATAGAAGATATTCGACGCCAAAGCTACCATGGTTAGCTCAAATAGATACCCTATCCGTTCCATCGTTGCATTTGAAAATATTCTTGCTCTGTACTTTCGCACTATTATGAAGTATACTCCATGTAATATTCCAACTCTTCTGGTATTCTGCTGCATTGCCTTTGCAATTCTATCAAGTCTGCAAGAAAACTTCTTCAATATGATTTGATCAAGATTTGCTTGTCCTGAGAAAATATAGATTTTTCATGGTTCCTACCTACAAATATTCCAATAGTGTAACTTCATTTCTAGAGTTTCCTATACCAGTGGCGGGCTAGATTGTAATTCTGCCTCATATTTGAAACGTTGTATAATATTTTGCTATGTGTTTGATTATTCTTTCCATTAAGTTATTAGTTTTGTTCCTCCATCTGAAAGCGTCTATACTGATGAGACTCTTATATCCTTTACTACCTTTGCCCAATTCATTGACGCAATGTGACAATTTAGATTCGTTTGAAAATAAATGTAAAAATTACCTTCTGGACAGAACAAAGTTGGGCTCTTTCAATAAGTATGGTTGGATTCGAAAGTAGCTTTTTAACTATCATCAATTGTCAATATGTTTATAGCTCATTATTTAAATTTTGTACTAGATTTTACTATTTTTCATTTCTTTTTATGCTGATTTTAGATTATTTGTATTGTTAACTTGAGAACCGAACTGAAAAAAAGCTTTTAAACTTAGTTTGCAATTCACATTAAAGATTATTTTACATACATACATATCATCGATTTCTTAATTAGAGACAACATACCATTTGATATTTAATCTTGTTAATTGTAGATTTCCTGCCACGTCTTCTGACCCTTATTCCCTTGGATCATTCCTACTACATGTATGGATCTGGGGAATCCTCTTTGTTCCAGCAACCAGCGCTTGTGAAGCCGACCCTCGATAAGTATGGTTATCCTCTTATGGCTGGTTATTTTAATGGAAGTAGCCATATCACCGTGAATTTCGGAAACACAGTCGAGATTTCGGCTGATTTCACGCTCTGCTTTCACGTCAAACCATTAAAGGTAGACACGTTTCGTTTGTTTACACTGAAAGGAGCAAATGATGAGCTGACCGTGGCAATGGAGAAGAACAAAACAGTTTCATTAAGGTAACTTTTCAACTTTGCTGCACAACTTTGCTTAGATACGATGGAATCAGGGAATCGCATTTTAAGATTCTTTTCTTTTTTCTTCTCCGAACCTTCTTATTTCCACCTTTTTTCTATTTCTCTTCCCTCTTAACTTATTTGCTCTTCCTCAATTTCTCTAATTCAGCTCCCATTTGCTACACTCTTCTTCCTCTTCTCCGATAACACAGGCGTGTGAATACCTGTTTCTTATTTATCTTCAAATTCTCTTTAGATTTCTTACAACTGAAGATACCTACATGGAACTTTACACACCAGAAATTCTTTCCAATGCGACCCTCTGGCAGTACATCTGTTTCGTTCATGAGGATCACCTTGGGACAATAAATATATTCATAAATGGCAAAGTAAGTATTTATTTTGTGTTTTGTAGCTTAATACATTCCAATACATGTGTTCTCATTGGCAAACAATCTATTTGAATTACTTGTAGAATGTGTGCATTGAGTTGCAGTATCGAAAGATGTCATGCTTCTCAACCTTTCTAGTTAGTCAAACTCATGAATTAAATTTCAGATGAAGATCTTGCTCTTTAAAGTTCTTGAATTGGTTTTCTTAAAAACAACGCAGCCTTTTTTGTTATAGTAGGAATGCAGTTGACGGTGACCATCTAGCAGTTTTTGAATCTATCTACATAAACATGAAAAAACCGCTTTCATGTAGACAGAAGGAGTTCATTTCACCTTAGAATCCGTTGGTAACTAGGCAAGCGGCACTGATTGGGCAATCTTAACTGTCATGTGCTCATGTTTCTGATTGGCCTATTTCGGGTTTATATAGTTCCTAGCTTATTTTCTTTAATCCATGTTCTGACGTTTTATACTCTGAAGTGTGTCAGACGAAAAGCCTAAGTATGACTGAACATTTTAGCTTTTGCCAGAGCCATTTTTGACACCGGTTTCTTCCGTTTAGAATGCAGTAATTCTATTCAGCAACATTTTAAACTCTTATATGTTTAGTTAGTTGCTGAGAAGGATACTGGTTTCGCTGTACCAAAAGTTGCTGCAACCATGGGTGTGCTTGGAGAGATACTTTCCGGGGGCGTCTTGGCAGAAGCATCGCTTTCTTGCTTGCAACTATATGGTCAAGCCTTTGATAGATCTGTCCTCAAAACTCTCGATCTTTGCCCAATTCACCATGGTAAGTTTTTTTTAATAATGTTTTGAAATATGTTCTTCAAGATTGATCAAGATGTCTCAATGATGATTAATCATTTGATCAATGATGATTGATCAATGATGATGATTGATCAATGATCAATGATGATTAACCACTGCCCAATCACCATTAGTGCTTGTATTTACCATCGTATTCTTCTTTGATGGACACCATAAGCAAGCTATCTGACCTTCTATTCCCCCTACGGTTATTCGTTACGTTCCTACTAAATGAACGTACACCTCTTGAATCGAGTCCAGCCCACTGAAATCATCCATCTCCAAGTGCACATCTTGATCCCGTTCATCCTTCACTAAGTCCTGTTTCCAATATTTGCAAGTTTCAGCCCTATAAACTACTAAACTCCGATCTATACCTATAATTAACCGTTCTCTTGTAGTGATGCCGGTATTTTTGAACCCTTGAGATGAACAGTCCTCTTTTAATTACTGATTCAAGGCAGACAAAAACTGTACTCACGGCGGTCTGCTTTTAAATCAACTGATTAAAGGGCACTATTTTTTTGTAAAAAGCGAGGCTCCGAATTAACACCTAGTTCTAACTTCTAACTTCTTAACTCCGAATTAATTTTTTAATTTTGGTTTTAATTCCAGTAGTAGAGGTCTCTTAGAGGGCATATGTCGCATTGCTTAGAGGGCATATGTCGCATTAGCAGTTGGCTAATAAAACAAAAGCGTTTGGAGTGGAATTTCGTTGTTTCGCGACTTTTCATTTTTTCTTTATTAATTTTTACTGCCGTAAAAATTCACCCTCGATTACATGCTTTGTACTAAACAAAAGAGATAATTGTATTGCATTAGCGAATCATGTTCACGACACATGCCCTTTAAATGCTGAAGAGGTACTTTTTAGAAGCATGTGATTACAGTATATAGAACGTCTAATAACTTACAAGGGGCTCTTCTTTCTATGTACCTTTGTCAGTTAAAGAGGAAACTGTCAGTTGAAGAGGAAATAATAGACGTAATAATGAATAATAGGAGCGATGCCTGATCGTTGAAAAAAATAACTTACATTCCATAATTAGAATGAGGATTTTCGAACAGTTTCTGAAGGTTGAGGTTGATCAGTACAACGCAAGGTCTGTTAATTAGTACGTTTGTGTGTTGAAAAACGAGTCAAAGCAAACAATTATGCTTTTTTAATCGATGACATGAAAAAGTATGCAAAGTTTTAAACTCTTTCAACTCCATGTGGCATTAAGCACTCTTTGGAATATTTTAAAGAACAATTTTTCCTTATATTCAACCAAAAACTGTCTAGTTAAAGTGATTACCATCAGAAATGTACCCCAGAACTGTACATCATTGGTGACATAATCCAGCCTTGAAGCACTCTATTTGAAAATGAAAACTTTCTATGATCGTTACTTTTAGGAAATTACAACAGAAGCGTTTCTCGATAACCCACCACTCATACATTTTAAACCAAACTGCTAGTTATTTCAGATACCCAACTCAGTGCGAGCAAAGTCTTTTGGATTATATGAGTTAAGTTTAATGCCTATAATGCGAGTAATGGCTTCGACCTATGTAGTAAACAAAATGGTTCTTTTCTTAACGTGAACTTTGAATCATCTCACAATAGGCCCCTTCTTTTTACACAAAGAGAAAAATAACAGAAAAAGTCAACTATTGTTAATTGAAGAACATTTTTTCCATTTTTATCAGTCTGCATGGCTGTATTACCGATTATGTGGTGCAAATATTTGCCCTGCTTTTCCATACAATCGAAATCCTCAACCACGAGTTGAATCCAATCGGATTCTAGTTTGGCCTACTTTACTGCATCTTCAACCTTGAAGTGCTACTGCAAAATCTCTCCTGAGAAATTCTGAAGCAGCTTTTCTTTACTCGTACCCTCAGTAGCTCTTAGGTAATTCCAAAATAATTCTATATAAGAATTTAAATGGGAAAAATGATTTCTTATGCGTTGATTTTCCCTTGTTGTTTGTATTATTGTTGTTGTTTATTTTTAGTTAAAGACGCTTGCTCCAGCGATTGCTCAAGTCCCTCAATCTGCAACCAACTTACCAAAAAATGTGAATGTCCAAGTTTTGCCAGCAGATTTGTCACAGAGAAGTGCACCAGTGGTACGTTTTGTTTAATATTGGTCAAATTAATCTGCCCATTTGCAAGCACAGACAACTGAACAACGATTTGGATTGAAATCCAGATTAAGATCTCGTTGCCAGATTTCTGTTAGATTACTTATTGTTTTCGGACCCTGGTAAACGATGATCCTGTGGATCTGCAGATAACTTGTTATAGACCTTCCACTGCCTGGATGAAAATAACCCATAACTGATTTATATGTGTTTATTGTTGTTCATTCTCATCACGTTGCGGTGTTACTTTTTTGCTACTATTTTATAAAGATTGAAACTGTTTCGAAGCTTCCAACCGGAAGGAAGAGTCCCAGATCTTTTGGAAACGGGCGAAATTCTCTGTCCATTCGTAGATAATTGTGGTAATGGATGCACCATACAAGGGTGCCGGGATTCTTTTTATGCTAAAAATTGTCTCAGTGGATAAAAATTGTTTTTTAACCATTTGAAGGTTTTCTGTCACAAAAAAGTGTCCATCTAGCTTAAAATTGTTTAATTAAATATTGTTTCAAATTATAATTCTTCTATCGGTAGTAGCTCAAATATCTTTCTATCGTTTTTAACAGCCATTGAGAGTACAGTTTACAATGGGAAGATTGTATACCATTCCTTCGATGATGTAGAGTACCCCTTCAAATTCTTGCCAAATTTTGCACATGCCACGAATAAAGTCATACCAGGCTACAAACTGTTTAGCAAGATGTCTCGCTTCTATATCCCTGGACCTGTAAATGCGGCAGGTTGCTTTGCAAAGGCAGCTGAAACGAACATCGAAATATCAGGGCCGTCCTGCTTCAGCAGTGAAGGTTGTGCTAGTGGATCAACCGTTGCATTTTGGTTTATGGTACCCCCTGTGCTTGACTGGAACGCGCTTGGTAACGTAACGCTTTTCACTTACGGTAGACTTAAGGTTATCTACGGCGTTGTTAATGACATGCGCAATGGAACTACCAAGCCAATCCCATCGCTGATGTTCGCCTATACACAAAATGGCGAAACCTGGCTTTGGGTATCGATGATATACGGCAGCTCGATAACCGAAGCTTGGTCTCATCTTGCCATCACCGTGGACTCCTCGCACGACGTTCAGGTTTATTACAACGGTAAACCAAGTTTTGTGAAAAAATCAGCCAAAGTGGAACCAGCTGAGACACAAATTACAAATTTAGTTAGCAGTCACCTTAGATTAACATGCATGGACGAATTGGTTGTATGGAATAGAATCCTTGGTAAAATGGAGATCGAGAACATCTATAATGCGACTATTTTCGGAGGTTAGCAGGCTTTTTCTGCTTATAGAGTTTAAATCATACTGAAGTTGATACAAAATACGGGTTATTTGTCTCTACTAAGAACGGTACCAGCCATTTTAAATATCAGTTTTAGAAAATAGTAAAAAATAGGAACAAACCATTATGAAAAGCTTTAAACAATCAAGATAAGAAGATTATTCATTATATAAGCATCCCTTCTGGAGTCAATCCTTTATTATAAGATTCATAGATTCATTTAAAAGGTATCCTGTGTTTATCTATACATCTTCTCGATGATTGCTAAGTTTGATATAGAAATTGTGTAACTTGGGATGAAGCGGGTATTTAATTGATATTCCCTTGCCTTGTAAGTTCTAAATAACTATCCATTATCCTGGGAAGCACAATCTTTTTATTTATCCAATTCTGTGTGATATCTAAACTAAAAATGAATTTCAGAATTTTGCTTTATCATTTGAATTGGTAACATTTGGAAATTTTTGGGTAACCACTGTACTTATTGAAGGAGCTAAAACGCGTGTGTCCTATGTACACGTTTTATAGTATATCATATTATATTTATGCTATGATATTATTATTGTAAATCATGATGATGATTTGACTGCGAATATGGGCTCATATTATTTGCAGCTAGATGCAGCCTTTCAGGGCGTGAAAGGATCCTAATGTTGAAAAATGAAAAGATGTCAATTTCTTTATTCAAGTTCAACCAGCTTTCGATTCACGTGTCACTTTTGTGCGCAACCTTCGGTCATTTCCTTTGTTTTATGGTTGTCCTATTGTAACTTTTAGGTCAGCAAGCCATCCGACAGCACATTGACATCAAGAAACTAACGCATCAGGAATCAAAGGGTCTCTGGGCTTTAGACAAATCCGGTGTTCTTTACAAGTATGTGAATGAGAGTTGGTTTGCTGTATCAGATAAGGGCATGCGTGCTGTTCATGCTGGTCCTTTGGGTGTTTTTGCAGTAGACCAGGAGAACAACGTTCTGAGAAACAACTACTCATTAGACACACAAAATGTCTCATCGTGGCATAAGTACACTTTAGAAGGTGGGTTCCACCATTTTTGCCATTGTTTTCATAATCCGTACCTCTAATGTAGCTTTGAATGAAAGGAGCTCAATATTTTTGTGAGGTTATTGAACTTGTAGCATGGGTATTCTGTGAATCTTGCGATGGAAAATGTGATTGTAAATGGTAGGCAAAAACAACGCAACACGAACAGAAGCAATCTAGTATGAAAAAATAAATTTAGAAAACAAAGTTTAGAATGAAGTAAAAATTGACAATAGCGTGAGGATGGCTCAGTAGCTAGGGTCGTGGACTGCATATCTAAAGGTCTGGGGTTCGATTCCCTTCCATGTCCAAACTTCCACTTGGAGTGAGGACTATCGCCAGATCTCTGTATTTCCAGGCACTAGAAGCATAAGGTTTTATCACCTCAAGAGGACCTAAGTTTCTTCTCAGTTTCCTAAAACCGCCTAAAAGATGGCAATGAATACAAATTTTCTCGCACCTGCATAGAAAGTGTTATATTCTTAAAATAAATTGCAACTTTATTACTGACGATATTTTTGATAAAATTTCTTCGTAATAGAAAAATTTTTCTGCGATTCTGAACATGAATGAAAACCGTCTTTTATTAGCAAGTGTTTGCAAATCTGATAACTTCTTTTTATTTTTAGCCGGATTTTGGGGTGGAATCATCGATATCACATCACTTGGAGATGGCTTACTCTTTGCAAAGAGCCTTTACCGGTGGCATTGTTATGACTTTCGATCGGCAGCAATAGCTACGAAATGGGAACCTCTCTATAAAGATGGTTCGACCATACTCTTAACTTCTGGACAGTTGGTGTGTCGCGAGTCTATGCCCTATGAACGAGGACTGTGCTGGAAACCAAACAGTGCATTGCCTACAACAAACCTGGTAGCTGCACACAAAAATGGAGATTGCAGAATATATACAAGAACTGACTTGGTAATTATAGCTAGATTTGATTTACATTGATTTTTTATTGATTGCAACACTTTTATTTTAATTCATAGATCATATTATTAGATACGATTCATGGTTACCGATACTGTATTTATGAGAGTATAAGCCGCCCTTGTTTCTAAGCTGCACCAAAAAACCATGCAGATATACTTGGTTTTGAGATGACAGATCAAAAACAGATAAAACTGATTATGTACTTAAACGAAAAACATAGATGTTAGAAGTTCAACCAAGAACAATATCGTTCAGATGACAGATCATCAACATCGTCCAGAAGTATTTCTGCAACATCTTCTGCAATATCAGCAGGGCAGGAAGGAAAGCTAGGCAGGATCTGGATAAAGAAAGAAAAGCCGACCTCGTTTATAAGCCGCCGTTGACAATAAACTGTAGCAAATCGTGCTAAAAAATAATTATAAACAGCGGCTTATTATCGAATAAATACGGTATACGCTGCGGACCACCTTAAAATGCTATGATAACACTTTAGCAAAAGAGTGTTTGCAGATGTATTTTAGCCGCTTAGGGCCTGTCTTGCTCTCGAAAACCTTGTAACAAACTCCAAAAAATTTAGCTGATACAAATTCCAGATAGCAAGTGAAGTAAACTGATACAAAATTCCATATAACTAGTGAGGTTACCTGATACAGAATTACATGAACTAGTGAGGTTACCTGATACACAGAATTCCAGATAACTAGTGAGGTTACCTGATACAGAATTACATATAACTAGTGAGGTTACCTGGTACAGAATTACATGAACTAGTGAGGTTACCTGATACAGAATTACATGAACTAGTGAGGTTACCTGATACAGAATTCCAGATAACTAGTGAGGTTACCTGATACAAAATTCCAGATAACTAGTGAGGTTACCTGATACAGAATTACATATAACTAGTGAGGTTACCTGATACAGAATTACATGAACTAGTGAGGTTACCTGATACAGAATTCCAGATAACTAGTGAGTTTACCTGGTACAGAATTCCAGATAACTAGTGAGGTTACCTGATACAGAATTACATATAACTAGTGAGGTTACCTGATACAGAATTCCAGATAACTAGTGAGGTTACCTGATACCGAATTCCAGATAACTAGTGAGGTTACCTGATACAGAATTACATGAACTAGTGAGGTTACCTGATACAGAATTACATGAACTAGTGAGGTTACCTTATACCGAATTCCAGATAACTAGTGAGGTTACCTGATACAGAATTCCAGATAACTAGTGAGGTTACCTGATACAAAATTACATATAACTAGTGAGGTTACCTGATACAGAATTACATGAACTAGTGAGGTTACCTGATACAGAATTACATATAACTAGTGAGGTTACCTGATACAGAATTCCAGATAACTAGTGAGGTTACCTGATACAGAATTACATATAACTAGTGAGGTTACCTGATACAGAATTCCAGATAACTAGTGAGGTTACCTGATACCGAATTCCAGATAACTAGTGAGTTTACCTGATACAGAATTACATGAACTAGTGAGGTTACCTGATACAGAATTACATATAACTAGTGAGGTTACCTGATACAGAATTCCAGATAACTAGTGAGGTTACCTGATAGTCCAGATAACTAGTGAGTTTACCTGATACAGAATTACATGAACTAGTGAGGTTACCTGATACAGAATTACATGAACTAGTGAGGTTACCTGATACCGAATTCCAGATAACTAGTGAGGTTACCTGATACAGAATTCCATATAACTAGTGAGGTTACCTGATACAGAATTACATGAACTAGTGAGGTTACCTGATACAAAATTACATATAACTAGTGAGTTTACCTGGTACAGAATTACATGAACTAGTGAGGTTACCTGATACAAAGTTCCATATAACTAGTGAGTTTACCTGGTACAGAATTACATGAACTAGTGAGGTTACCTGATACAAAATTCCATATAACTAGTGAGTTTACCTGGTACAGAATTACATGAACTAGTGAGGTTACCTGATACAGAATTACACGAACTAGTGAGGTTACCTGATACAAAATTACATATAACTAGTGAGTTTACCTGGTACAGAATTACATGAACTAGTGAGGTTACCTGATACAAAGTTCCATATAACTAGTGAGTTTACCTGGTACAGAATTACATGAACTAGTGAGGTTACCTGATACAGAATTCCAGATAACTAGTGAGGTTACCTGATACAAAATTCCATATAACTAGTGAGGTTACCTGGTACAGAATTACATATAACTAGTGAGTTTACCTGGTACAGAATTACATGAACTAGTGAGGTTACCTGATACAAAATTCCATATAACTAGTGAGTTTACCTGGTACAGAATTACATGAACTAGTGAGGTTACCTGATACAGAATTCCAGATAACTAGTGAGGTTACCTGATACAAAATTCCATATAACTAGTGAGGTTACCTGGTACAGAATTACATGAACTAGTGAGGTTACCTGATACAGATTGCCAGATAGCTAGTGAGGTTAGCTGATACAGAATTCAAGATAACTAATAAGGTTACCTGATACAGAATTCCAGATAACTAGTGAGGTTAGCTGACATAGAATTTCAGATGTCTTTCTTTTCCTGTCCTATCTTACTCGTATCCACAAACTTCTTTTCTCTTTTTCTTCTTCCTTTCCTTAGCCTGTTTCAGTTGCACGTTCTATTCAGCTTCAGTGTTTTCTTTTCTTTACCATTTCTCGCCTGCAGTATAATTTTCTTCCATTTTATTTTTCATCTGCCTCTTACCTTATTGTCTTTCTTTGTGTTGTTTGCTTTGTTATTTTCCTCATTATCTTTTCATTTCCTCTACTCCTCCTGCACTTTTCTTTCTTCTCTATTTTTTCTTTTCTTCTCTATCGTTTTGTTCTTTTTTTTCTATTTTTATTTTCCCTTCTTCATTACCTTTTGCTTTCTCTTTGTCGATCCAACTAGAGTCCTGCCCAACCTATTTATTTATTTTGCTGGAAGATTTTCTGACTTCGTTTTATTGGTTCAGTCAGTTGAACATTGTCTTTCTTCGTGCTGAACATACTTTCAAAGCAATTTTAAGTCCAAGTGATAGAGTGGCAATATAAAGAATGTACATTAGTTTTTGTTATTTCCACGTTTGCTGATTCCTAAAAAGATTCCTCTTTTTCTATTACTTGAAAACAGGGAAATGTAAATCTACTAGTGCCCATTAAGAGGATTTCATTTGGAAATTTCCAGTCTTCTCCATACGTGCTAATGAGTGATAGTTCAGCTTTTGCTGAGCTGTTGTTGAAACCAGATGATAACTTTGAAACAAAGCATCGCACGGAGCATGGAAAATTTGAAGACATTGCATCAATTTACGGGCTTCCTTTTGGAATTCGTCAGAACGGGGATATTTTTGCCTTGAAGAAAGGTATGCGATTAAATATCGATCCACAATGTTTTAGATACAAGGTTCACTCATTTTCAGGCTTATTTAAAATATCATTCAATTTATCCGTAAAAACAATTTAAATATAGCACGGTAAAGTGGTATTTTGATATAATTTCAATAAGTGCGTAAACATTTCTTATTCTCAGCCTTGTTTATCTCGCGCTGATAATTGCATCTTTTTTTTTATTTTTCTCCAATACCAATTTTACCCATTTATTAATATAAAATATGTTGCTAGAATATGTGTTCCAATATTAAATGAACAAATGAATTACGTATTTCTACTTTATGCAATCTTGTGTTTGTCTATGCAATGTCTATTGATTGTTGCTGTTTTGAAGGTTGAGTTAGAAAAAGTTTCCAATGGTTTCTTATAGTTTTAATGCTTGTTTTTGCCTCTTATTTCCAGTTGAGCCGTTTCTTTTGGTCAACCAAGGTGGGAAATGTTTACAAAAAAAGGCAAATTTGGAAACTTTAACTTTTGGCCAAGTTTGCAATGAGCTGTTTTATTTCGATGAAAAAAACTGCCTTATTCATTTAAAATCAGAACGTAGGCTTTCTTTTGATGAGATTCAAGTCAAGATCAAGGAAAATACTTGCAGCGAAAATGACGTCGTTGTTTTCCATAGTGATGGAACACTCCGCCGGAAGAATTTTCCAGACCAATGCATTGCTGTTAATGACAATAATGTATTGCTAAAGGAAAAACAATGTGACAGTACTGCTAAATTTGTTTTACAGACAGGTAAGTTTAAACATGTGTTCCATCTTTTTTAGCTACATCGTCAGTTTTAGGAAAATAGTTTATTTGCTTGTGACAAGCTTGCAAAATGCCCCAGAATAGAAAATTCATAAAATTCATAAAGTCAGATTGTATTTGGGCCTCATTTACATAAGTAAAGAAACAAGTATCATTTATGTAACAAAAGGTACAAAACTAGCCCTAAAGAGGCTCGTGTGCAGCTTTAAACTAAAGAGCCATTTTCGAATTTGTCCTGTTTTGACAAGATTTCTAAGTGTTCCAGTTCCAATCCTAAGTGCAGGTTCTATAAGGGACCAGACGTTTTACCAACAGGGTCCAACTTTTCCCGTGTATAAGAGGTCTGAGGAATTTGCTTTTCTGTAATTGAAATCAACTGGCTCTCTGAAATTGAATTAAAAATGAAGACCATGAATAAACGACTGCGAAGAATGTTGATCTATGTTTTTTTGTTAATTTTTAGTGAGTCCGTTTAAAAAACTATCTAGTTTCAATCTGGTGAATTCCACGTACACCGTAGGTAAGTGTGTAGCTTTCACTAATTTCAGGCTTTTTTATGGTCAAAAATACATTGCTTCTTTTTAATGCCATACTGATAGCTCAGTCTATGTTGTTGACTACTTACGATGCTGTCAAGTCATCAATGTAAGCTATTCAGATGGCTATCGATTTCCCCTTTTTAACAAAACTCCTCCATAGTATGCCTTGCGTTGTTCAGTGTTCTCTTACAGGGCCATCCTATCGCCTCCTACTTATTCTCCTTACATCAATTATTTTTGAAATTTCGTTAATTTGACAGTCTTAATTCCATGCTCAAGACATCTTAAATTAAAACCAGTACCTGAAATATCTGTTCATTACTGCAATTTATTTTTGATTGGTGGCCCACTTAGCTTCTCCAACACCAAATATCTTCATTAGGAAACTTAGCCACACGTAGTGAATTTCATTATAATTAAAATTCTCCTATAGGATTTTCAAATTTTCAAACTTTTGCAGTCTACTAGTTTTTATGCTTGGTTGAAGATTCTTACATTCTCCCTTATAGAGAACGCCGAAGTCCGCGTAGAAGTGAAAGCAAAATTCTTGGTGCCTACCAATCGAGAGTTATTAGACTTCCGAAATCCATTTTCACCTTGGACTAGATTCGCTTGCCATAAAATTACAAAAGAGGTTTATACTCAACTTTTCTTGACATTTTAAAGCTATTACCGTTCCCTGATTGCTGTATCTTTATTCTTCTGATGCCACCTTTTTAAAGTCTTGATCAAATGTTTTCTGGACAAAGAGCTGTTTGCAAATGGAGCATGATCAGGATAGTAATTGCTAGTTTTTTCACCATGAAGTTAATCTATGAAATAATGAAACCCTCAAATCAAATTTCTCTGTATTTTGATAGCATTTATTTTAGCTAATATCTTCAGTCTTGCATGCATTAGAGCTCAGTTTAATTTGAGAATCGGCAATAATTTTTCAGCTCAGTCAACAGTTTGCCGCGAACGTCAACTATTTAGGCGCTCAATGTGGCATTTTCGGGTGAGTACCTGGCTTCAAAGAATATCATCGTTCACCTCAATTTTAGTCAGCTAATGTTTGGCTGCCCTGTAAGAATCTTTTAAGCAACATTATACAATTCCTAAAATCATCAATACATCAATTCATCAATACAATACATACAACATCATTACCTAGAGTAACTTTGATGTTCGTTCCCTGCTTTGCCTTCGTGTGCTCCATTTTTACACTTGACTATTGGATTTTCACTCGGTTTTTGTTTCTTCTTTCGTCAATATCTAAACAATTTTTAGACTTTTTATTGAATTAAAAATAAAATGCATTGTGGAAAAGGTGGAAGATAATAGATGCTTGCCGATTTTTGATTATTGACTTATAATTTCCGATTGCTGATTACTGGTTACTGGTTACTGGTTACTGATTTCTGATTACTGATTACTGATTTCTGATTACTGATTTCTGATTACTGATTTCTGATTGATGATTTCTGATAACTGAATTACAATTACTGATTTCTGATTAAAGTTGGGTCTACAAGCTACCCTATGGAAGGAAATTTGAATGGTTTATCGGTGACATTGGACAGATGTTAAAAAAAGTGAATTATTGATCAGATCTTATATCTATCAATTTCTCAATCAAAAAGGATTTTGGATTAGGAAAACGAAATGTTAATTATGATCAAGAATAAAATTAACGATAAAAAACCGAATACGAATTGATGGAAAGCCGCAACCTATAGCCTATACAATGTGTTGCTTTGAAATTTTTACTGAGAACTCTGTATGATCTTTTCGTTCATATTTGAGAAGTGAAGCACATTCACATTTAATGAAGGCAAATGCCTTGCTTTTCTTGTTTATTCATGATTTTGTTATTTTAGCACTTCGATCTGCGATGATAGTCAGTGTCCTTGGGAGTCAACGCTTTCTCTTAAATTTCGATACCTTGGGGCAGAGGAAAAAGCTATTATGAGTTCTAGGAAGTTCTCTGGCCTTTGGACAGATTGCCAAGGATGGCTGTGTCAGTACAATTTTCCCCATCAGGCTTTAGGGGGTGAGAAACTTTTCTTCTAATACTTTTGTTCTGTTGATTTGCTAAGTTTAGAAAATATGACAGTATGCGAGCTTATTTAGTTGTCTATTCTATGCCATGATTTTCTTTTTCGAAAATTTTTGATTCCCCTACACAATAATAAACCTCGGAATACCCTCGTCATTTCTGTCTGAAATTGTGTACAAAGTAACTATTTATTAAATGTTTACTAACTACCCCCAACTAACTACCATGGATATACGACAATTAATAGTACTAAATTTATTTCTTTTTGTAAACTTCTTGGTTGCTTTGGCGCTGAACAATTAAGCTGCAAAGCAAGCATATTTACACCAGTTAACGCTTGACAGATAACAATTATGTAAAATTGAAAGTAGCCAGTGATGAGCCTTGTCTGGCGCCATAAGTTGATGATTTCTTTTTCAACCTGAAAACAAAACTAATTTTGCTTCAGTCATATTTTATAGTAAAAAAGTTAAAGCGACCTTTCCACTATGAAACTGAAACTGGATTTGAAGAAGGAATTTGTTGTTGTTGTTTGAATAGTTCTGAATTTCCTTTTGCAGTTGACTTAAGCCCAGTCAATTTATGGGTGGCAAATATCTCTTCGTTTTCTGCAAATTTGAATGCTGTTGGTGACTTCAAAAGCACTGGATTCGCTGCGCAGGGGCATAACGTGACGATAGAAGGGAGATCCAAGTTTGTCAAAAACTGGATTACTACTGTTAGAATAGCCGTGTTTAAGACCGGGGGTGTCATACCCCTCAAAGAACTTTTGCCCTACTTCACCTACAAGATAATCGTACAACCAATTTTTGTGCGAGGAATTGGCCGGCCGGTTGAAACAACCTTTGACACCTTGGAAAGCAGTAAGTAAATACTATCAAATCATGTGTTGAATCTTCTGCATAAATATTTCCGATTCCTACTGACATTCTGTCATACTGTGATGCTGCAATACTGTGGTGGTGCAATACTGCCATATTGCAATACCACAAAGCTGGTACTGCCCTACCGTGATACTACAACACAGCAATAATGTCATACTACAAAGCTACTAGACAGCGAAACTGCCATATTGCAATACTGCCATACAGCGATAATGCCATAAATCAATACTGCCATACTGCAATACTGCCATACAGTGATACTGCCATAAATCAATACTGCCATAAATCAATACTGCCATAAATCAATACTGCCATAAATCAATACTGCCATAAATCAATACTGCCATATAACGATACTTCCATTCTGCCATACAGCGATACAGCAATACTGCCATGCTGCCTTGAAGCGATACTGCCATGAATTAATACTGCTATAAGACAATACTTTCATACAGCGATACTGCCAAACTGCCGCTTTGCCATAATGTCATAGAGCTTACAGCCATACCCCAATACTGCCATACCGCAATATCAATTATAGCATTTCTTAACTATTATGCGTATTTTTTTGTGAAATGAATTGAGATTAAATTTTGATCACTTTTTTTAACCAGCGTTCAGTATTAATTTGGTTTGTGGCCTCTCTGTATCCCATATTTCATTATCTGAGGAGCTACAAACGATGAAAAGGTACAAGTAAAATGAAATGCGAATAATGCTGTTTGGAAATGAAAGTACAGTATCCACTGTTAGGAAATGTAGCTCTATTTACAGAATTTGACTCAATTTGATTCAATAGTATATTATTTAGTTACTTCTAAAAATCACTGACTTCCTTTCAGACCCTACTGAAGCGCCTGGTATCAATGTATACGACAAAGATCGCACAAGTATTAAATTCAATATTATTGCTATTTCAATGACGTCGTGGAGTGGTTTTCCTATCGGGTATCGAGTCTATTACCAGTCTTTGTTGAATCTCAGCCTTCCAATTCTGCTCAATGACACAGATGCAATTGCGGCCACCCATCTCCATATCAACATAACAGACTATCCCAATGTTCACGGAGAACTCAACAGTCTTGAAGATTTTACAAATTATTCTATTATTGCTTGTGCCTATAACAGTTTTGGAGTTGGACCGATGACTCAAGTATTCAACAGAACAATGCAAGGAGGTAAAATATATAAACAAATATGGATTTTATCCCTATTGATTTTGATTTCAACAATAGACAACTAGGTTTTTCAAATTTGTTCTGTTGATAAAAATTACCTTGGATTTACAAAGCTGTTCGTGATTAAATCTTGCTAGGGGGATTAAGGGTCAACTGGAGCTCCCAAGCCCCCACCTAATGACGCCTATACTGGGAGGGGTTTTTTGGAAGAAGAAAACCCGAATTCTGACTTTTAAGTCGCTCCTTGAAAAATTCCTATTCTGAAGCGTATCTTTGAAAAAGTATTACAACAACGAATTTAAGTTTGTGAAGCCTTTCTATGTGCGTAAACCCTGGATATTTCCTTTTCATATATTTGTCTCTTTTTAAAAACTAAAGACCTGATAAGCCCCTTGGGTAGACGGTGATACCATCCCTACCAAGACAGTATAAAATGGCAGATTTTACTTCTATTCGTAACTTGTTATATTTCCCATTGCTTATACGTTATAAATCTAAAATATTTTATAGCACTTGATACAATAGCAATACCTATGACAATTTTATGATCCCTCTTATACAGAACCTGAAGTACCACCGCCAGGTTTTAACTTGGCATCTCTAAACAGCACCCACATCCAAGCAAGTTGGTCACCAATGACGTCGGATATCGAGCTTCTCAATGGATGGGTGTTGTCGGGCTACACTGTCGTATTGAACGAGCAAAATCTCCCGAGTCTGTATCCCGATGACCACTTCCCAATAACAACTATTCTTTCGCCGGGCAACCTGACACTTACGTTTGGGCCTCTCGAAGAAGGCCGGGATTTTAGCGTGTCTGTTGCTGGCAATGTTGAAGGTCGGGTTGGAATTCACACAATGTTGTGTGTTCGGACAAGAGAAGCAGGTGTGTGATTAACTTTATCTCACTATATCTTTGTATTCCATGCTATATTCTGTTTTCGTTATCACATTGAATTTATCCGTTTTATTCCATGCAACATACCGCCTTCAATGCAACTAAACATCAACTTACAAGTTTCAGTTTCATGTTCAACCATTTTTTCGAAATCCTTTCCAGTTTTTTTATGCCCACTTTCTTATCTTTTCAGACAATATTTTGTTACTTTGTTGGAAGTTCCCCAACCGTGCGAGTTCTTTCGCGATAGAAACTTATTTGGTAAAAGCATCAAGCGATTTGCATGCGAATTCAAACGTAAAATTTTACAACTTAACTGAAATACGATATGCGAAATGACTTTGACCTGATTATGAGATTCTTGTGGTACTGTCTATATTCAACATAACAAGTTTGAATAACAGAACAAAAAATGCGGGTTAAAGGTCCTGTAATATTTTCAACAACTTGAATAGAATTATTTATTCAAAGAAGACTATTTTATAGCAAGCTTCCCCTTTTAAATCTTATCTTTTAAAGTATGTACGAGAAGGCTGTTGAATTTTGAAGTTTTTTTAATCTGTCCTAACCTCCTATCTTTCTTCATATAACATGAGAAATTGTATTTCGTCATTCGTTTTAGTTCCGACAAGTCGACCAGTGGTTTCCGATTTGATCAATGTTACATCGGATGTTATCCTGTACAAAGTCGGCTGTTCTGCTATAAAAGGTGAAAACGGTGTTATCCTCTACTACAATGTAACGGCCACTGACATAGTCACAAACATCACAAGTCATTACACAGCACATATCGAAGAGAAACAGTGCCTACCCAGCAACGGCACTTGCTTGGATAGGGCATCTGATTGCAATTTCCGCGAAAGAAATGAACATATTTTCAACAGATCTTATTACGAAAACAACCATTCTTGCCAAGCCGCAAAAACAAATTTGCGAAATACAGCATTTATCGTTATGCATCCTTTAGATAACCTGAAGTTCTGGACAAACTATAGTGTGCGTTCGGCCCTCTGCAATAGTGTCGGATGCGGTCCTTATAGCAATCCGATCTTCATACGAACAGATGAGCACGCCCCGACATGCGCTCCGAATATTACCGCTATTCAAAATACGTCATCAACTTCAATGTTCATCTCATGGCTCGAGAATCCGGTGCACTGCACTCATGGTGTTCTAACACACTACAACGTTTTCTTTGCTCTCGAATCAGAGTTATCAGGAATGGAATGTTTTAATACGTCATCTTGTTGGGACACCTTTAACCCAACTATGAAAAAAACGAAATTTTACGTCACAAATATAACAAGCCTAAACGTGTCATTTACTCAATTAAAGAAGTATAAAAGCTACTGTGTATTTTTGCAAGCTGTCAATATAAAGGGACGTGGTCCTGCATCCGTCAGATTCTGCAATCATACAGCAGAAGATGGTATGTATATCTTTTTGCTTTGCACAACATCATCATTGTGCAAATATTTTTATGAACATGCTACTGACACAGGTCTATATTTCTATTTTATTTGGAATTGCGCGTTGCATGAATCTAGCTGTTAAACATTGCTTGAATTCATCGAGACAGGTCATATTTTAGATTTCACTTTGAAATTCAGTCTTCGACGCAGCTATGTTCGACGCGCACCTTAATGTAGAAGAAGATATTTGTGCCCTGCCAAAGTAAACACGATTATTAAACGTTTTTAAAATAGACATCGAGGGGCTACCATGCTACATTCCTTACTGGCAAGATAGAAAAACTGGATTATGTAGTTTTTTCCCCCTCGTCTCCACTCAGTCTTCCTAAGATGTGAAATTCGTAGAGCCAGAAGCTAACGATATCTGTATACCCTAAAGTACATAGAAAACAGACCTCTCTATGCTTATAGACCCTGGGGGAGGGGAGGATAGAAGAGGGAGGGCATGGCTTTTTTATTCGTCCCCTACAGTAGGCTTAATTCTCATTAATTTTAGGAAGTACAAGCCTTTGAATGGCTAGTACTAAGTTTCACCTTTTTTGTCGCAATGGTCACAATTTTGTCACAATGGCCTTTGAATTGTTGAAAGTGTCACCTTTTTTGTTTCTAGCCCCTGAAGGCCCTCCAAGCAACGTTTCTGTAAAGCCAAGTGGTAGTAGCAAGTTAAAAGTGATCCTGACGCTGCCTTCGGATGACATTGTCAATGGAATAATCAAAGGGTACACCGTACAATACTTTAAGTGCGACGGAGATGGAAATCGTTTGGGACCAACGAATTCGACTGTTATTCTCCGCAATCCTGACGAGGTTGCTACTACCGGATTCATTCAAAAATTGACAATCTTTACCTGGTATAATGTGTCTGCTTCTGCATTCTCTTCTGTTGGTAGTGGGCCATTTGGTTTCAAGACGATGCTTACAAGAACACAGGAAGATGGTAGGTCAGACATAAACATTTATGCAACGGTTACGATGTTATTCATAAGTTTATTTATGTCTGGTTCTTATCTCTGTGTATAAATTAAACATATCGAGTAAATTTAGGTGGACGGTTAGATTTCATCGGTTATGATGCAAAGCTTAAAAACTCTGTACCTTCGGGTGCTTCAAGATTTAGAGATTTCGCGTGAAAAGGCTGAAATTTTGCAAGTAGTGCTAAATATGTTTTTGTTTGTTGCGTGTTTCGGTTTTTTCTATTTTGTTTTATGGATTTTAGAACTACGTGTGATGACTTATAGGTAAACAAAAAAATCAGTGGGGTGTTCTCTAAATATTTTCAAAAACATCTTCTAAAATTTATGGCTAGTTTGCCAGTTGTTTTCTTTGGACTTGATTCCATTTTCGAGAGTTAAACAATTTCAAGATCTAACATTTCTCTTTTCTTCTCAGTTCCATCTGCTCCTGTTCGCAATATAACACCTGAAAAGACAAGGAGCATAAGCACTGACATCCTGTTTCAACAGACAGCGCCAAAAGACCTGAACGGGATATTTCGAAAATTTGTTTTGACACTGGTAGAATGGAGGCGTGATAACGTAAAGAAAAACTATACTGTAAATTTATTGGCCTCAAACGTTACATCACCCCCTGCAATCGTACCTACAACTGGCGCATCCACTGGTCCACTTATGGCGAACAGCAGCGGTAAAAGCAACATACAGAGAGCATTCGCCTTCTTTACAATTAACAGTCTCGATTCAAATGAGATCACAAATCTCACTTTCAATTCCAGTTCGACCTACTTTAGCATTGGTGTGTCAGGACTACTGCCGTACACGATTTACGATTTGTATGTTTCAACTTGCACGGCTGTTGGCTGTGGGCCTTATGGATCATCCACCTTCCAGACCAATGAAAGCTGTAAGTATGCATAAATAAAAGTTCGGTTGCTGTATGATGTGAATGCAAAAGGGACCCTAACGACGGGGTGGGGGTCCTTTTTGTAAGCAATGTTTTTGCATTGAGGTCATATCAAGTAGATTTTTTCGTGAAAATTTTTTTGATTATAGTGTTACTTACAAATTTTTCTCAATGGCGATTTCAAGGAAGTCAGCTCATTTTTTGAAAAAAGCATTTGTAGAATTTTTACCATGTTTTGAATGGTGTGCATTTAATTTTCCTCCAGACCTCATTAATCTGCGCGAGCGGCGCTCGCAGGCACAAAAGCTCATTCTCAAGAATTTCTGCAGGCACAATTCTGAATCGATTTTTATTTACCTTAATTGTATCAAAATCCTTCTTTTTAAACATCTTTCTTGGTATTGAAATTGAACGGTCAAATAGAATATAAAAGGCAGCAGTTGCAAGTCTTTGTTACCAAGATGAGAGAAGGTCTTTACTCTGAAGGCGCGATTTGATTTTCCAAATCAAGTTGGCTGTTTGTCTCTTTTGCTTGCAATTATTGTATTGCTTTTTCACAGTATTATGTTATGACTTGTAAAACTAAAGTTTTCAAGCTTTTGAATCTGGTAGCTATTGATTTCTAACCAATTTGAGCAAAATTTCAAGGTAAACCTCGAAAGAATTCATCAAAAACAAACATTTTCGACAATTTTTGACAACAAAAACAAGCCTCTATTTCTTCAATTTTTGGAAAGAGAGCATTTTCACAATCAAGTCTTACAAGCATGATAAACTCAAAGCTAAAAAACGGAGTATCTTTGTAAGATACTATGTTTATTAAGACATTCCAACGAAAGTAATTGGGGATAGAATCTTTCATGGCTATTTTTCATATCTTTGAAATAATTTCACAGACCTTGAAGATGCTGTTCTAAACAAAACTGCACCCTTTAAAGTAAAGCGTTTAAGATATCGGAAAGCCTTTGATGAAAACGTGAAGATGTCTCTATTTGATGAAATCGATAACAGGGATAGGCCCACTTGACAACGCAAAACAACCCGTAGATAAAAACTGGAACAATCCCTTTCTTATGTAAAAAATGTAACGCTAGTAGCATTTACTATGTTATCTGTTCAGTCTTACATGTAGTTACATGTAGTTACATGTAGTTCATGATTATATTGATCTGGTATCTGCTTTTGACAAACGTAAGTTGGTGTAACAGTACTGAGCGTAACAGGGAGGTTCTCAATTTATCAATATCTGACTGTAAATTGCATCCTATTTTACATACAGGCACATTGTTACTCGTCTTTGTGCTCGCAGGCACAAAATATTATTAATGAGCCCTGTTTTCCTCTTGTTCGGATAAAAGTTCTTGTTTCATCTTTCTTCTTCATCTTCAACGACATTGTTCCATTTTTAACGACTGATAGTCATATGTTTATTGTCTTTGCGGAATTGATTAAACACCGAGATTGTGGAAACATTTCTAGCAATCAATCCTATTTTTCATTTGTTGACAAAAAACTTCATGATAAGGAAAATGATAAACACGCTTAGACAATGATAAGTTAAAGAGCCCAAAGTACTTTCTGCTTATTAAGCAAGCAGTCTCTGCATATAAGTGAAGAATATTGCACCTCTCCCGTGTTATTGCAGTGCCCATTGCTGCACCTGTGATGCACTCTGTTGCGAGAAGGGAAACTCATTCGTTGACGATTTCATGGGATGAATTAGCCATAATGGATCAAAATGGATTGATTGAAGAGTATCGTGTCAGGTACATGAAGAGTTGTGAATACGCCCGCCTTATTAGAATGCCTGAAGTTGATGACTGCGAAAGAGTGATTTCTGAAGACATCAAAGAGTTCCAAGTACGTACGAGAGACAGCAACGGTACCGAGCTAACCCTCTATGACCTTGCCCCCTACACGTTCTATTATTGTGAGGTATGTGCTAGAACAAGTGCTGGATATGGACCATGTGCAAATCAGACGTATCGCACTGATGAAGGAGGTAGTTTTTGTTTAAATTTTTTCTTTAGAATTTGTAAATCAGAATGTTTTTAAACCTTTGCACTTCAGAACTTATACCCAGGCAGCAACAGATCGATGTGGTTGGCTGATCAATCTTTCCTCGCTATCTACAGCATGTTTATAAAATGAATATTCCAGATTGACTTCTATGTTTATCAGATTGTTTCCCTATTTTATTAAGATATGAAAAGCTCAATATACGCTTCTTGAAGGAATCGACAGGACTGTGGCCCTTCAGAATTTTAGCACAGCAGTAAAAAAAATTGTAGTAGCTTCGACAGAAAGGACTTTGCCACTCTATGTTCAAGTCCTATTTTAATTGAGTTTGATCTTATAACACGTAATGGTGAATAGCTGATCATACTGTGTTTATTCCAACAGTACCTGTAGAAGCACCAGCGATAACTGACCTTTTAGCAACATATGGAACTTCCATCAATTTATTCTGGGATAACGTACAGCCTCCTTCGCAAAATGGTATAATAATTGGCTACCAAATCAAATATCAACAAACGTCACTACTGAGCGTGTCCGATGAAAAATTCAACGTAATCAATGTGACGTCAATTCCACCACCAAACAGTTACGAGGTGACAAAACTGGCTCTCAAGTCGAATAATACATTCAAAATAGCAGCCATGACGTCGAAAGGAGTTGGTGTATTCTCTAAAAAGTATTACGGGGAATCTGGGGATTATAGTAAGTTGATTCGTTTTTTGTGCACTACATTTATGCCAAACTCTGCAATCCATCAATGCTTTTACAAAAAATGAGTCAGAGACTTTGTTATAATAAGGCTGTATTGTTTGAAAAATCAATAAGAGCCATGTTAAAAGAACTTGATTTGCCATGCCAACAGTGCTATTTGCCATACATTTTTATCGTCAAAAACACAACTCTCTTTAGGAAAACTGCTATTTGGCTGGAAAACTCTACTCTACATTTTCGTTGTTTTTCTTCTAGATAGATATATCGACTTAAATGTTTGATATCTCTATCTGGATGTTCCACATGAATTTTAGGCTTACAGTTGGACTGGAAGGTCTTTTAAACTGATCAAAGTAAATAAGTAAGTTACTAACAAGCCCTGATTTTACTAAGATAATTTTATAGAAGTTTCTTCAATGTTGCCAGTATGTTTTATGGCGATGCTCTGTGCTGGCAATTAAGGCAATATGCTTATAGCAATACAATATGGCAAAGGCAATACCTTTTGCTTAAGGCATTCCCCGATGCTAATAGCGCTCATTTTTTAGGACATGGCAATTGGTCGCAATGGTCTAACTGGAGCCCGTGTAGCAAAAGCTGCGGAGGTGGAGAAAGTATCATGCGCAGGGATTGTAATAACCCCACACCCTACAATGGTGGTTATGACTGTGTAGGAGTGAACAATCGAACTAAGCAATGCAACAAAGAGATCTGTAGTGGTAAGTTATTGAATGTCTAATTAAAACTAACCAGACCAACAACCCAACGTTCATTTATTCTAATAGCAAGCAAGTATGATTTTACCCACTGCCTGGAAATTGTTTTGTACCCGCAATGCAGTGTTTTTCAACCACGATGCCGCAGCCCATTTGTGTGACGTAAGATATCATCTTGTGTGCTGTGGAAAATTCTCCAATTTCACCTAGTTGGTCTAAGAAATTGAAAAAAATTATCCGCAAATAATTTTCCGTGCTGAAAAGTCAAATGATCTGCAGAGTAACCACATAATACTTTTCCATATCTCTTTGAGAACGACTTTTTATTGTAAATATGGCCCACAGGGTTTCATTTTATAAAATTTTCTATTGGTGATTAGCTTTGTGATTTTAAAATGAACAAATATGCCATGGTTTAAAGATTGTTGAAAAACTCATTCTGGACATTACCTTTTATAGGACATTGCTTTCTGGACATTACCTTTTATAGCTGTCATCAAGAGATGAGATCCACCTTTTAGTGATAAATTTGTTAATAGCCAATGCCTTTTACAAGTAACTTCCGGACAATGGACATCGCTCTACAATAGTCAATATCTTATCGATGGTTTACTGTGTATATATCAAATCACACTAGAACAAGAGCGTGTACACAGAATGTGTATAAGAATATCCCGCTAGGCCCCCGTGTCTTTTTACGCCGCTTTTCATCCTTCTGTTCTTGCTTTCTATACTATCTCTAAACGTTCCCTTTTACTTGGCTTCCGCCTCTTGGTTTTTCTTTCCTCCAAGGAAGAGATTAGACCTTTAGTGGCTTAAGACCTTTGCGATTTTTAAAACTCTCATACCATATATCATACCATATCACTTTATGTATAATGGTAGCAACCTTTGCTAAAGACAATAGCAATGTTTTTTTACGTAACACATAACAAGCCTGGTTCTTTGAGGAGAGCCATAGCTCTTGCTCCCCTCCAGGCTCCACTCAAAGGCTCCAGCGGAGCTGCAGATTGCTCTCTTAAACTGTTGAAAATTTCCCTATGAATTTTCCTTATTTCTATTTTCATGCATAAATGAATAGCTCACCTGGAAGCTACTAGGAGAGCTGTTTACTACTCCTTTGCTCAAGTCTTAAGGCCAGTCCTGACTTAACAAAAATAAATAGATTATTTAAATTGGTATTGCTTATTGAAGTTTTCATTTTGATTCCTGTTTCAAATTTATGCAACATTCAGGAGTCTTTTTTTTATTTTTTTTGCCACTTTATAGAAACAATTCAAAGAGTGTCTTGAAAAAGTAAAACCACTTTTGCTTTCAATCTTCAAAATCATGAAACTTTAAATAATTTTTGTTGCTTCTGTTACATTTCACTCAAATGTTTATCAATTGTTTCCTTATGTATTAAGAAACTCAAAGTTTCCTTCTCGACGCCCGTTAGGGCTGCAATATTGCGAGCTGAACGGACTAATGAAAAGTTTCATTTTCGACTAGGATATTACATTGGTGGGTTGGAACAGAGCTGCACTACAGCTTGTAGGAATATCTCCTTCTACTGCAATGTGGATATGGTCATGGATGGCACCACAGCCCCATTTGAAAAGCTGGGTGTCACGTGTACAGATGACACTAATGCAAAATACAGTTCGTTGTACCATCCAAGCCATTCAGATGGCAAATGTGAAGGATATCAAGGCCTACCTAAATTGTTAAACTGCACTGCCAAACCACCAGTAGATGGGAAGACCAAACGACTTTGTGACTGTGTTTCACCTGGTAAGCTTTCTATTTCTGCTTTTTTACATACAGTTGTTTTGCATTTGCCTGATGATCGCATTAAGCGTGAAACTCGGACTTGCAACTTAGAACCGTCCTGTTCTACGGACCAGAGCGTGCACAGCTCTGCCTATACGATATCAAGCACTTAATGACAGACCGGTAAACTAGTAAATTCATAAGTTTTGCATTTGGAATTGTGTCTATAAAATGAACTGCCTCCCTTACAGGAGAAATACAGTTAAATTTTCTAGCTAAATTTTCTATAACTATTGAAAATCTTGTTATAATGTTATACTTAGGTGACTGTGGTTGCTCTCAGTGGGGCACTTGGAGCTTGTGTACTGTTGAAAAGTGCGGAGGTGGTGTCCAGAGTCGCACACGGACCTGCCTGAGCAAACCTTGGTGTCCGGCTGGTAGTTCGATCCAACGCGTTGAATGCAACACTGATCCGTGCCCAGGTCAGTAGTTAGGTTTCTGTTTAGTAGATCAGTATTACAGGATTCACATCGATTCCTGTCACCGTAGTCAAGCTATCTGAATTATAATCAACATTCACAAGAATTCGTAAGGACTGCAGTGCTGTTGATTCCCGTGTTTCCATGGAGGTTTCTGTGATATTGTAGGAAATGCCCGATTTTTTTAAGTTTATAACATGCCGCTATGATACATTGGTGTCCCAAGTTAGTGATGCGATTTTGAATGTTCCAACTATGTGATTGTATCTCCGATGATGCTTTTATAAATGCATCCTGGCTATAACAGAACGGTTATTTTGATTTCAGTTGACGGAAACTGGGGTCCGTGGTCTGCTATTACGGCTTGCAATAAGACGTGTGGTTATGGCTATAGACACCGGTACAGAAAATGCAGTAATCCGGCACCAGAGCATGGTGGAACCAAGTGTCCCGGTCCGTCTGTCTATGTTATACCAGAATGCAATGTGCACGTGTGTCCAGGTATGTTTTGTTGAATGCATCTGTTTCTGCTTATGCATTATATAATATAATATAATATAATATAATATAATATAATATAATATAATATAATATAATATAATATAATATAATATAATATAAATATATATAATATAATATATTATAATATAATATATATAAATATATAATACTATATAATATAATATAATATAATATAATATAATATAATATAATATAATATAATATAATATAATATAATATAATATAATATAATAAATATAATATAAAGCTCATTGGGAAGCTGGCGAGTTCAAGTAAAGGCATCTTATATTTCTTCAGTTATGTCGAACAGCATCCTGGGTAACTTTTTAAGTTGAAGGCACCTGTCAACAGTAAACATACTATGGTATTTCAAAAAGCTTTCAATCATTTCAAATATAAACCGTTCAGGTTTTTAAAATCAAATTTTTAGCTTTTAAAAAGAGAATTTTCAAACTTGGTTTACCTGTAAGTTTAAAAGTTATTTTGTGATTTTAAAGTCACTTACGTTGTCAGCTCTAAAGAGCTACGCGACCCTTGGTAGAATATCTAAATGTCTATTGAATGTGATTATTTGATTTCCCCCTGTTTTTGATATTGTAGTTCATGGTAATTGGGGGAAATGGGGTGAGTGGCGCCCATGCGATGCACCTTGTGGAACTGGTTTAAGTAAAAGAAAAAGATACTGCAACAACCCTTCCCCTAAGTATGAAGGAAGATCCTGCGAAGGTGAAGACACTGAGTGGAAGAGGTGCTCCTCTAACCCTTGTGAAGGTATATATTGTAACATGCTATGAAGTCTATGTAGTAACCTAATAGACTATGCGCATGAGCATTTCTTCATGTGACCCATGTTCATATAGAGTTTCATATTACAGTTTACAGTATTTCATTTATGTGTGTAGGCCGTTTGAAGTTAATATAAAGTTATCGTTCTGTTCTGTTCAACGTTCAACCCATGCGTTGTTCTATCCCCTTCACATCTCAACAGTCTATTTGAGTTCTTTGGCTTCAGAACACGAGCAATGCTTAACTTGTTTGCTTAACATGAGCATTTTAAAGACGCCAACATCTTATATGCATAATTTCATCTTGGAATATATATGTGGTCAACAAAGATATTATACATTTTAATATTTATTGAAAGTGCACTTCTTGAAGAGAGTTTGATGATATTTTATTGCTTGCCTTAACTGTTAATTACATGCTTATCTTAAGTTAAAATTTTTTTTTTTTTAAAGGCTTGGTCATCAGGCCAAAAAATTTTATTCAAGTTGCTAAGTAATTAGAAAAACTCACTTCTTCGCATCAAATAAAGTCTTCAATGTGGCCAACGAAGAAACGACGATCTTTCTATGAGAGAGAATTCGTCTTGATAAAGAGATCCAGTTTGTTTGTTGCTGTGCGCCCATTGTCGTTACGGTTAAAACTAGGATAAACAAAACGTTTTGGTTCCAGAGATGCAAGAGAAACTTATCTTGTACAAAATTTTACAATAGGTTTATGTTTTAAATGTTTTAAAAACAGAAGGTTCCAAGAAAGTCTGAGCTAAGAAGCTAATATTTGTATTTACTTCCGGTTATTAGATGAATATGTAGGTATCTAATGGTGCTAACGCGTGATTTTTTAAAGCTAAGAAAGATTTTAGAGTTTACATTGCTATAAAGATTTTTAAGCAATATACAATTTAATTTGGGATTAATATAACAACCTGAAATGGTGAAGTGATTATCGTTAATGCATGCATGAAATTATTTCAAAATTAAATCTTGTGAGGTTCTTACTTGAAATAAACTAATTTTCCCTCTCAAAGTGCGAAAATTCAAGTAAAAATAAAATTTTTGAAAGTTATTTCATTTGTTCTGTCGTAGGCGTTGAGGTGCTTTTTACAATCAAACTGACTGATATAGAATGGACCTTTGAATACATTTATCCTGGCAAGCAGGTGACCCAGGAGTTGACAGCCCTTTGTGCGTCTAATGTGAGTCTCGTTGTTTCATACAATTTTATAATCTTCAAAGCTTTATATGCTTTATACATTTATAGGTCTTCAGAGTAGTTTTCTTTGATTAATAGGTTCAGCACTTTAACATTTTGTTCAAGGCTGTTACACGCCCCTCAGAACAAGGTTGCTACACGTCTGGCTGGAAACTGCCACATTTAATTGAGCTTCTAAAATTATGCCTATAAAAAGAGGTAACGGGTGGAATTGAAAATTGCATAACCATAGTGAAGTCTTCTTAGACTTTTGACAGACATTATAAGGATCAATTGTAGAAAAATGCCAATGAAGAAACGATATACATGTTAATTTATTAAGGGAGTATGAATTCTAATTAGATAAAGCAGTGGTCATTTGGAAGTGTTCGGGTCTTAGTAGTAGGAACATGAAAAAGAAAATTCTTGCTATTTGTAGAAATTTGTTGATCAAGTGTAGAAATTTTCGTATTTTACAAAGATTAAAAGTTTATAAAGCTGATGTCAGTGTTTTATAAAACAGTGTTTTATGATGATTCATTCCGGATTATTCCGGAAAATCCGGATAATTCATTCCGGAAAATCAAGGCTTGGTTTTCCTTAGACTGGATTTTTGACAGATATAAAATGCTAGGTTTGTGTTAATCCTATTCGTGTTGTCTTGTTTTCAGAACTTCTAGTTCTAAGCCTTTAAACCATTGTCTAGCATGCTCGAGTATTTGTGGAATGGAAAGCTTTTTGTTGCATTTTAGCTTAATTATTTTATTATATTTAACTTACATATTCATATCTTTGTGGCAAAACCTATAAGCGTTTACGTTAAATCTGGGTCTGAAAGTTATTTTATTCCCTTATTGAGTGCTATTTAAAGTAGAGAAGCATTACATGAAATCATGAGCTCGTTATTTTAAATGTTCTCACGAAGATGTTTCGCAATTTTACTTTGCAAAAAAGAGTTTTCTTTGATAGAACTGAACTCTGTGCCTGCTTCTCAACCCGACTTTTCGCGCTATCTTAACTTGGCTCTTTCCAGATTACAGGGTTAAAAACGATCGGTTTTTGTAATTTTTGTAATAGATTAGTGTAAATGTTGTCCAACCTAGTAAAATTAGAACTTGTTTTTTATCTCTTTTTTCTGCGATTTCCTTTGTCATAACTTTACTTTTAAACTGTTTTTTTATTAGGTCCATGCGCTGTATAATAATTCAGCGATCATCAAGAGAGTAAACATGCTGAATTTTGCGTAAGTTGAATTTCGAGAACTTTCTTCTTATCGCTTTTATTATAATTGCAGAATGAACTCGAAATTTTCTTTCGAAAAGTTTACTTCTTCAAGCAAGTATATTTATTCACGTGTTACAGTTGTAACGGTGTGGCCAGGACTTGAATACCTTAGAATTGGCAAAGATGCTTATTAAGGAATGCTGGAATGATTTCAAGTGGTCAGTTATTTTGAGTCTTTAGAGCATACAGTTAGTAGGGTATTGAAATCTGATATTAAACAATTAATTTAAGAAATAGTGTGATCGATATTTAGATACAAAACTGAGATACTAGAACTTTTTTTGGTAGTTATGGCATAAGAAATATTTGAAACTTAAGTCAAAATTCTAGCTTTTTATAATGAGTTCGAAATAATTTGTGTCAAAAATTTTAGGCAAAAAATACTTCTAGTAAATATATATCATAAGCAATGAAATGGTTCTTTGAATCTGATTTCTTTGACGAGCATTCATGGTTTTCAGCTGTTAATATTTGTTTTATATTTTATTTGTACTAGCTCTTTGTCGTTGTCTTTACTTTTGTTTAGAAGTCATGGAATACTTTACAGGCGTAAACTTTCAGAGAAAGGGCTTTGTGTTTAGTACTTGTCTGATGAAATGCAATAATTAAGCTTTGAAATGTAGCCAATCTTATAGAGCATATAAATATTGCTGATTTCATTTTCTAGAAAAGGAAGTGTCATTGCAAATTTTACGATATTTTACGTGGAAGTTAGGCAAGCTGAAATTCTGCTGCTCCAGGATTATGTTTCAACTACAGGCAAACTCTATAACTTGTCAACAACAGTTAAAGAAGTCAGGCCTATACAAGGTTTGTCATGGTATCATGTTTAAATAAGGCAGATCAAGAAATACTCTCTTATGTTATGGGAATGAATTACTTCTCGTCTTCCAGTGACTCAGCCACTCAACCCCTCCACCTACACCTCCCCCTCCACCTCCACCTACACCTCCCCCTCCACCTCCCCCTCCACATTCCCCTCCACCTCCAACTCCACCTCCCCCTCCCCCTCCACCTCCACCTCCCCATCCACCTCACCCTCCACCTTCCCCTCCACCTCCCCCCTCTTTGTCTCCCTTCAACTCTACATCCCCCTCCAAGTGATATCATTAGACCCGTGGCCTGTAGTGTTAGCTACTATAGACAAAGCTCTTGAAGTTTAGTTTTCTGATCTAAGACCGAGCTGGATGAACCACTGAAGTGGACATATGCCAAAAAAACTAAATTGGTCACATGACCATCAAAAGAGAGTGTAGAAATAGTGTAACAAGTGGTCTGTTTTTAGCTTAGAATTGCCACTACTTAGCACTACTTCATCTACTTAGCATCCGCACTAACCTCCAATTTACTTCGACTGAGTATGCACATTTACACTTTAGTATAATCAATAAACTATTTACCAGTTGGTTCAAGTGTATTTCTTTTCTATTCAAAGTTGTCACAGATCCACCTGGAAATCTGAGTGCTGTCTCACACAGTCCCTTTACAATGCAGTTGTCTTGGACTCCTCCGTCAAACATTGAAAATGTTGTAAATATCTCTGGATATTATGTTTTCTACAGACAGTTTGATAGTCCTCCAGGAAAATGGGATGTAGCTGGCGTTCCTGATCTACGAAGTAAAGATTTCACATTAACGGATTTGAAGGCGTTCACGAAATATCGGTTCAGAATGACGCTTGCTGTCACCAGTGGCAATGGCCCTGCAAGCGAAGAAGTCATCAGCTCTACGAAAGAAGGAGGTAATGTCGTCACGTTTTGTACCAGCTTTAATATACTTATTCCAAAAGTTTTTCACATATATCGAAAGCCATGCTGTACCCCCGTGTTAAAGTAGGCTAAAGACTTCCAACTCTCTATTATATGTATGGCTCCTTGCTTATGTCATTCACAGTGACGCCTTTGTTTTACCATGGATGTTTTCAAGTGGATGTGACTGTAGATTATGAAAGTATCTATTGCTGGGTTAGTTTTTGTTTAGAATATTATACCTTAAATATGTTTTTAACATTGTACCATATTTTCATTTTATACTAATTCTTCATAGATGGTTGACCTTAATTAGATTCTTTATAGCTATTGAACTTTCATCTAGTACGCCAACTGTAAAGAAACTATTTATTATTTATTTATTATAATTATTATTATATATACCACCAGTTCCGAGCGTTGCACCGAAAGACTTCTCTCTACTGGCTACAACTGCATCGAAAGTTTATGTCCAATGGTCCAAAATACCCGACTCAAAGTATCATGGCAGTAGACTCGGGTACCAAATCAAGTACAAGCCGTATAACAAGAAAGATTTTGAAATCAAGACCATCCCGAGTTACCTAGCTGAGGTAACCATTAGTAACCTCAGGGCTTTCACTTTATATTATTTTGAAGTTGCTGCGTACACTGGGGCTGGGCTAGGACCCCCGGTGGCTGATGTTCTCAAAACCCCTGAAGGAGGTAAGAGAAATGATTTGTTTTTTTATCAGTTCTTGTACGATAAAGTTTATGTTGTTGGTTTTGGTTGAGTGAGATTTGGTACACCCTTGTTAATTCAATTCCGATGCCGCCCGGAAGCTGTTATGACAACAAGCTGCAACCCTCGCCGAAAGCTCTAGGAACACCCTGCAGTCAATTAAAGATTTTAATGAAATGAAAGTTTCCGTTTGTAAGATATAGAGATAATCTCCCTTCCTTCCAAACAATATTGGTTAAATAGCATATTACTTACCCTAGCTGATAGAGTTACATTGGTTGAGTTTCAAGCTTTGAAACTTTTGTTATTCAACATTGTTTCCAGGGGGAGAAGGGGATGCTACATACTGTACTGAACTTATGCGAATTTTTAGCGTAATGCACCAAGACTTTTGGTAAGCAATATACAACCTTTCCCGGGCAGAACTTGAAAAGCTGTCTGTGGCAACCAAATAGCCAGACAGTATCTGAGCGCAGGGCAGTCAACACCCAGCTCAGGTCCAGGGGTGATTTACAAAACTGGGCCCCCAGAAAATTTTCTGTGGCTGCGCTCTTGAGTCTCCCGGAGAACTAGAGAAACGCCCTTTTAGTTGCAATTGTTGAAAAAGTTTTTTAAGGATTTTAACGAGATTGTGGAAAATCACTTTCCATGAATCAAGGACATGTTGGTATAGTATTTCTTTACGATAAACCTACAGACGTTGATTCAGTGTAAGTAGCTGAAATAGTAGCTTTAACATGGTGAATAAATCTTATGCATTATTACGGGCCCCATCGGAGTACGGGCCCCGGACCTTTTGCCCCTCCTAACCCCCTCTCTCGACACCCCTGTCTGAGCGTGATAACTTCTTTTGCTAAAAAAGGTTTTTCTGCCAGCGGTCCGTCGTTTACTTCGTTTTTTCTACGTTCTCCTTATTGCGAAATAAAAAATTACCAACAACCATAACCATCGTTTACAATCATCATCATAGTAAAAGCCATCATCAATCCTTTTCTTCGTGAAAGGTATTATCGTCAATGATCGTCAATCATCTTTATCATCATCAATCATAACCACTATCATTATTTCACTTTTCAATTATCGTAAATTGTAACCGTGTTTTTCAAAAAATCTTGAAACTCAACCACAGTAATTTTCAGTCATCATCATAATCATAATCACCAGAAAAACCATCACCTCTATCACCCTTAACAACACCAATAGAACAGCAACTGCAATATAATTATTCAGCGACATGTTTCATTCTAAACTCGCTTTTTGACCACAGTCTTAACAGTTTTTGCTCTCACTTGCCAGCTCCTTTGATCTCACCGCCAAATTTCGCTATAAAACCGAACAGCATCTCCACAACTTCGTTGGTTGTCACGTGGGCCGGAATTTCTGACGACGACGCGAACGGCATTCTGCTTGGTTACAAGATCAGATACACATTAATCAAAGTATCTGGACAGGACTCTGTCGGAGAACGAATCACTAAAGTGATTGATCTTGACAGATTTACATTCTTATACAAAATAACAGGCCTCCAGAGCTACACAACATATGAGGTCAGTGTCTCTGGCTATACTGGCGGCGGTGAAGGGCCCTACTCCAAACCACTAGAAGCAAGTGAGTATGACTCTGTTTCCATTTAAAACTGCAAGATATGCTTTCAAAACCATTCGTAGCAAGATTCGTAGCAAAACCATTTTCCGATATGTTTTATGTACCACAAAATTTGAAGATAACGCAAAAAAGCTGAAATATAGCACATGTACTTTTCGTGCGACAGTCCTTAGAGTATTAACAACAGATAATGACAAAGGAAACCAATAATTTATATCCGGATGTGGAAAGAAAGTAACGTCAATGGAAGTATGGTGCGTTTGATTGATTCCTTGTTTCCATTTTCTATTTCAATTTTTGCTTGACTGATTCCTTGTTTCCATTTTCTATTTCAATTTTTGCTTGACTGATTCCTTGTTTCCATTTTCTATTTCAATTTTTGCTTGACTGATTCCTTGTTTCCATTTTCTATTTCAATTTTTGTTTGACTGAGTCCTTGTTTCCATTTTCTTTTTCAATTTTTGCTTGATTGATTCCTTTTTTACATTTTCTTTACTTTTTTCCCTGCAATACACGAGTATTCATGTAATAAACGAAAAGTGTACATAAGCTTGAAGCATTAGTTATAAATAGTAACAACTAGCAATAAATCAACATTTCCTGATATTTTAAGCTTCAAGTTACCTTTGCAAAATATAATGTGCTAAGCAATAACATACAGTTCGTCCTGTTAAAAAAATTTACATTCCTTGCCTGAATCTATCCTATAGGAACATGCAAGTGTCCAAGAAATGTGTTCCTGAATTGGTATTCCAATCCACCTTATGTTGAGGATTCACCAAGGAAACAAATGACGGGTATCATGGCCGACTTAGTCAAAAGCATGATCAAATCTTCGTGTGGAGAATGCCAAAATGAAGAGTCCACCATTTATGAATACCAGAGTTTGTCTGGAGAAAATCCAGTGAAGAAGAATGAGCTAGAGGTTAAAGGATCTATTGGTAAAGAATTCCATGTGTCCTTCCCCGTATTTGGGTATTCCAGCATTACGCGATACATGGAGTACCATGTGTTCATTTTGTTTATCGAATCGCTGGGAAGTGCAACAATCGTGAGGAATGAAGTCGACTACGCTAAAAAGACTATCACTGCCTTCAAATCGATTGTGAATATCTGGCCAATGTATTTAATCACGTTTTTGATCACCGGGGTGTTTGGCATTTTCATCTGGCAATGTGTAAGTACTTCCAATGTAAAAATATTTAACTATAAGTTCGGATTAGATCAGAGTTTGATTAAGGTTTAATTTCTCTCCAGTCCGGAATATCCCCCCCCCCCCCTCCCTAATTCTTATTCCAGCCATCATTTCAGAATCTCGAATATAAAAAACTGCAATGAGGCTCGCCGTAGCAGTAGAAAAGGCATCGAGAATAGAATGAATGAGTGCAAACGTTCTTTAAAACTGAATTCTTTATCATGCTGTTATAAGTACATTTATTTTAGTTTAAGAATCCAGCGTCTTGTTTTCATTCCTTCTGTTTCCAATTTGAAGGGACTGAAAGCCTTTCATCTGGCTCATTATTGAGTGAAAAAGTTTTTACCCACCCCGTTTATTCCATATATTTTTAGTTCATTCCAGACTCGAGAGTGTAGTTTGATTGTTTTATGAATATGAATTTTTGTTTTTCAAATGCTCTTTTTTATAACGATTTTCAAATGCTTACTCTATTTTTTAGGAGCGCCATGGGAATGAAGAGTTTTCGCAAAGCTACATCTTGGGTACGTTTCAAGGTTTCTGGTGGGCATTCATCTCAATGACAACTGTTGGGTAAATAACCTTTAAAATTGTTTCATATTGCACAATTTTGACCATTGACATCAAATATTGTTAAAAGTAATAAAACTCAATTTTTTAATGTTGTTAGTGTTATCTGAAAGAATGTTATGGAATATTCGCGATTAAGCATTTGAATCTACAATCCCGGACAAAAATGTTGAGACAAAAACAATTTTTGTAATATTCTACTTTACCTTGCCCCTGTAAATTCGAATCCCCCCTTACCCACCAAAGCAATTTTGGATTTGTAGTTCTATCATTTCTCCTTCAAAATCGTGCATTCGACATTGAATCGGGGGAAGGGGAGAAAGTTATTCTTTAAAGGAAAGTAAAAATATAAGCTTTCCTTGAAAAGTCTCAGCCATTTTTGTCCGGAATTGTAACCAACATTGGCTACCCCAAACGAACTTTTTCACTTTAATTTTAAACCTTTGTCATATGAACCTGGCTTCCCTATGTAACTAAGCAAGTTAGGGCTCCTGTTCTGTTCTACAGTTAACTGGTCCTAGCCTACAGGTCTGTTTTATCCCAGCAGCTGATTTCTATGGATAGATTGTGCTTGTTTGTCCCAATATACTTTATTTCGTCGATAATTTCAAGGGCGTTATATCCTTTGATTCATTTTCATCGATGAATTTTCGTGTATCGTTTGCTAGCGAGTCTTTGCAATTTTTGCATACAAATATTACATTGTTTAACCTGTATATGCAAACGTTTGCTGCAAGTATTTAATTTCTCTAAGTTTCATTCTAGATCTTTTCAAAAACCTCTAACGATACAAATGACAAAGATAGTATTTTGTACATTTTTTAGACAGTCAGCAATAGTAGTTCGTTATAATCCATTTGATAACAGATAATTTTGAACACTAGCATTTTTTAGTTCTTGTACTTTTGAAATGATGGAAAAAAATTTCAACTAATCGCCTTTTTAAATGAAAGTGACATTTGTCATTTTTAATGTGGAATCTAATGCAAAGAAACAATTGCATTTTCTCAATTACCTGATTTTGCTGGTATAGTTTTTATGGCCAACTCTGAAGTTTTTCTAAATACAGAGCTCAGAGATTCCGATTATTTCTGTAGCCATGAAGTTTTCATATTGTTTCATCTTTTACTTGTTTCTGCTGGTGATACCCTTGATTGTACGCTTGTCAAATATTTTGTAGGTACGGAGATATAACTCCAAGAACAATCAAAGGCCGCATTGTTGCGATTATATGGACGCTAGCTGGCCTGGTCCTCTCTGGTATCCTTCTTGGTGCCCTGACCTCATCGGTGACATCATTGACATTGCCCCCAGAAGTCCAGCTGTATGGAACTAATGTACGTGTTGTTTTATACTATGGTTTTTCATACAAGCATCAGATTTAGTCTGTATTTACATATTCATTTGAAAGATTAGTTTATAAATAAGTAGTAGAAATGATGGCATAAGAATGCACGCGAAAATCTGGGGATAACGTAAGATTTGTTTTTAAATTTTTTGGATTTTGAAAATATAACCTGAAGGAATACCAAAAATAACCCTGAATTTGCAAAATCAGTTTCCTCTTCAAGAAACTTTTATTTGGCTCTGGTTTCAATGTTTGTGAACTAAAATAACACTAATTCATTAGCAAATTTAAAACTTTTTATTCGCCAAATCACAAAAATTTATGACAGAGTTAGTTGACTTAGACATTTGGAGGCATTCATGTATTCTTTCTGGATCAGAATTTTGATAGTCTGTAAATTTGCTGTTGACCATAGTTTTATTTTATTATAGTTTTATTTAATTAATTTTTGCCACTTTCAAGGCAATTTTCTAAAGTTCATCGATGCAGTTGGCATAACTGCCTGGTTGGTTTTCCAACCCTTCCAGGTATATAGACGATCTAAACCCAAAATCGAAGAGATTTCTTTTAGTGTTGTCAAGGGCCTAATCTAACCAAAGTGTATGTCTTCCTTTTTTTATTTTGTCTTTCCTGGTTTTAGTGCGCTGCTGTCAACAATTCTTTCGAGTACAACTTAGGAGTGCGACGAAACAGCAACGTAAATCCGAGTACGTCTTTTGCATTGTCTTCCGTAGATGACTTTAGTTAAAACCTTTTTTAATATTGCCGTTAAGGCTCTACCCTTTTGCAACTTGATAAATAAGTGTAATTTAAAATCAATTTTCCCATCTTTTTGGACCTGTTTTTTGCTTGCAATGTTTAAGAAAAGCCGCAATATAATGTGCCATGAAGTAGCTGTTTTAAATGAAAATCCACAGTTCATTCTATTAAAGTTATTGAATCCTGAGAAGCTCACCAAATTCTTTATTTTCCATACAGAAAAGCAATACCAAACAATAGAACAAGTTTTGGAGGCCCTGCGGAAAAAAGAAGTGGATATTGCATTGCTGGATGCGTTTACTGCCGCTGGCTTGCAAAAACGCCTTACCGCTAAAGGCCTGAAAGTTAAGAAAATAATCAACGCCAATGCCGGATACGGCATTGTTGTGTCTAAGGAGTTTGTGAGGCTTGAAAGAGATTTCAGGAGTTATATTGCGTCAAACCAAGGAAAAATTGCTAGCTTTACATCAAACATGACAGCTGAACTTGAAGTAAGTGTTGCCAAGTTTCAAATAGATTAAAGTAGCTATGTTCTGTCATTGAACTGTCCAGGGTTAACAATAGGCTCTGTGGATTGGATAACGTAACAATAGCATATTGTATAATCAAACCAATGGGAATTTAGATGACCTCCAAGATTTGTCAAGACTTGATCCTTTAATGTTCTATACCAAACAGGAAAACGAACTTAGGTAGCCTATACTTCAATAAATGCTCAGATCTTGCACGAAATTCATCTTCATGAAGTTTTTGCTTCATTAACGCTTGAATAACATTTTACCTTCGCTGGCCCTTTTTCTGCTAAACTTGTTGTTGCTCTATGATGTAAAGAATTGGGTTTATCTTATACTGAATAGTTTTCAGTTTTCGCATATTTAGGTTAGATTATCGAATTTCTATTGGTTGAGACTAAAATGACCGTACTCCTTCCCATTTTACAGATTGATAACACTCCACAAGAAGTCCCAATGCTTTTCGACCCTTCAACTGATATCTTCAAGCAAATGCTACAAACAGAGGGAATACTTCTTGGCGTCTGTACTCTTGCTGGCCTAATCTACACTTTCATCCAGTTTGTGAAGAAGAGAAAAGCTAAAATCATGTCTCTTCGAGGTAAGTCATATTTGAATTATCCCTATTACTGCAAATTGTTGACATACCATCTTAAGTATTTATCCTTTGATAGCCAGGCTCGGTGTTTCGAAGTTTGGATTTTTATCTAGAAATTCTTCTAAAAATCTTGTTTTTACAAGTTGTTGCTGCCTTACCCTCTATTGCAGCGGTCTGGTGTAAACTCAGTCTACACTTCCCGATTTGTTTCTCTAGATCTCTAGATTTTTGGCAAATTTCATTCCTAGATAGATAGAAAACTTAGAAAAAAGACAACCAAGTGTATTTAGAAAAAAGACAACAAAGACAATACCCCTTCCGACCCCCCCTCTAACCCCCTTCTCTAGCCCCCCTCCAACCCCCCCCCTCCACCCTCATTTCTATCTACGCCACTGAAAGATAATACAAGATATTGAGGCGGCATGTTGTTGCATCAATCTGTAGTTTTAGCCATTGCCCCAGCCTGCCCGTTACTTAAATGCACCAAAATATTTTGATCCATATTAAATGCCTACCCCCTTTTGAATGCCTCTGCTAATTGCAGTATCATCTTTTTCTAATACTACAGAGATACAATTGAAAAAGATGGAGGCTTTTGACAAATCTGTAGACGATTTTGAAAAGCGTGTCAATAATAAATTGGATCGTTTATCGGAAGAGCATCGTTGTGAGATGAATGAACTGTTCCGGCTGAAAAAGAGTTACCAACGTCATTTGAAACGACGGTATCCGACTTATATGGAGCAGATTATTGGGAGCAGGTAGATCTTTACTAAGGTCGGTGAGATGGTTATCGATCTTTTATTGAAACAAAAAAAAACACGGTCAAAAGACCAAACGTTTGTAAAGATTCTACTTTTGTGAATATTTATAATGTCAACAAAAATAAGTCATGTTTGTATATAATAACTTTCAGATAACGACCTGCAATGCAGGAAAATTGCACTTGAAGTAATGAAATTACCAAAAATTGAACTACAAATAAACTGAAAATTTTTAAATGGATATTTAGTTTAATGACCTTTAGAGATGCCAAGTAAAGAGGAAGTTTGTGTCCTGCTTAAAGGCGTTCATTAACTGATATATTTACCTGGCATTCTAATATTGCCTTGAGTCATCTCGTATACGGGGCCACATAAGCTTGTAACGAAAACTTTTGTTAGTAGAAGAATTCACTGATAAATTCGCCTCCCATCTCTAAAACTGTCTAGAGCAATCTTCTCTACATGGGTAAATAAGCTAAACAAATGCTTTGTTTGATCCATAATTCCATTAAAAACGTGATAGTAAAAACTTCATACAGTAAAACATGCGTTAAATAAACAGTTGTCGTGTTCCAACACCATTTCTGCAGTTAGGCCTCTAACAGACCCATCCACACTGCGGACATTTACTCCATGCCCCACAGTGCTCGTCCATCCCTCTATCATTTCTTTATTTGCTGATGATTTAAATACTTAAAGAATACGTTAAAAATATAAAGAATAAGTTGAGAACTTAAAAATTAAGTTAAACAATTGCAGAAAAAGTTTAAAACTAAAGAATAAGCTAACGATCTAAAAAATGAGTAACCAGGTATCTATATCCTATTGTTTTTTATTGTAAATCAACAATATAACCTGATTATTTAATATATTCTCTAAAACATTTAAAAATAATTCTTAGCTGTATATCTGCTAAATAAATTGTCAATTATTACTGTTTTATTGCCTTAAAATATCTGTATAGTTTTTTTCACAGCCAAAGTTATAATCATGATTCTTGTTGCGATGTTTTGTCGTTTTACATGTTTGAAATTTTCGTATTTGCGCACGGCCTACTGTCTTCTATATTTAATGTACACTGACAAATACTGAAAAATAGATTTTCTACCACCATTGGAATTCTTTTTAGAAGTACAGTCAGCTCTCTCTATCTCGAACTGGCAAGGAACTGGTTAATTCGAGTCATGTCGAGATAGAGGAAATTCGAGATACGGGATAAGTTCTCCAAACTAAGAAAAATGGATCGGACATCAGGCAATAGTTGAAACAGACTCATAAATATGTTCTCTTGTGAGTGGAAGAATGCTGCAATTAAGTTTAGTCGTAGTTACAACTAATTTACACGTCGAAAAAGTTCTTTTCTTTACTTCTTTGGAAGAGTTCAATTGTTCTGTTGATATTAATTTCACTTCTTGAATTGAAAATGGCTTAGAGAGGCTTCTTCTACCCTTGAAGAGCGTTTATAAAGGGCCTCTTCCTTTAGCAGCGTTCGATCAATGGGTTAAAACTTTCCATAATCACTCTGACATAACTTCATTTCATGAATGATCTTCCTTCTAAAGCAGCTAATAGCTTTTTTCTGATTTAATCCAAAGTTAAGGATGTATTTTAGGTATTAAAGACTTTTACAGAACCATAGTTTTATACTTTTCCTTAGTCATTCCTTATCATAGCTTTCCACTGACGTCACAGGTTTCCAGTGATGGCTTTTTCACAATTTTTCTTTCTATCAATATTTTATGCAACTTTCCTGCTCAAAATATTCCTCAAATTTTACATCGAGTGCGGGGAAGCTCGACGTAGATTGGGCAACATCCACAGGGGACCAACATCGTACTCAAAGTAAGGAAAACTTTTAGACAGAAGTTTGAGGTACGAAGAGATAATGTCGAACTGTCGGATTCACCAGAAATTCACCAGAACTATCAAACCGACCGGAACTTCAATTCGAGTTGGAAAAAAAATCAAGATTATCAGTTTTGATCTGTTAAATGTGAGGTTCAGTATTTATCCTTGGTACGGATCCAAACGGGTACGGGTTGAAAACGAGTCAATAAGAAGCCGGGGGTTTGTTGCAGTCTTTTCCAAGCCTTATATTCCATGCCAAAAAGAAAAGATATTCATAAAAGTCCTTACCAGAATTTTTTTCCATAATATCTCATTCTTACAATTTTGAAAGATATAGAAATCTTTTTCAATGATCAGAAAATGCTTCGTCAAAGGACGACTTGGTGTAACAAAAAAATCCCTAGCTCCACCATTTCAATTATGATCTCGTTTCCAGCTCGCAAAGTAGGCACAAGACGCAATTTTTAGCAGAAACGCGAGGGCGTATATATTTTGAGAGATTTGTACGTCGGCTTACGAAAAGTGACGTAATCTCGACATGATAGCATCGACAACCTATCACTGCCATTGCCCATTTGTGGGTTCTTAATCGTTCCTGCTTAAGAAGCTTAACCAATTTATTCTAACTCGGGATATGAATGACGAGGCAGTTTAAGCTGCATTGTACACTTCCTAGATTTGTATGTCATGCAATCGTGCTGCGGATGGAACACTTTATAAGGAAAGGTTATGTTTTAATTTCTCGGCTGAATCAATTTTGTATTTCGTCTAAAATCGATGAGAAAATTTTGAGGAAGTGGTAATATGAGGCAACGTATTTTTTGAGATGGAATCCTATGATTTTCAAACTGCTTCTACGTAACCAAAAGTTAGTCATGTTCCCTTCAGGTAAAATTGGCATTCTATGTTGGTAAAAGAGCGTTTCCTAGTGGTAAAAAGGGCGCGGCCTTGAAATGTTTGTCTTGTTTCCCCAAGAGCCCCTGAATCTGGCGCTGCCATTGGTTTTAAGTTTTATTGTCATAAAAATTACAGGATGTTATGTTATGCTATGTTATGTTATGTTATGTTATGTTATGTTATGTTATGTTATGTTATGTTATGTTATGTTATGTTATGTTATGTTATGTTATGTTATGTTATGTCCAGTCTAACAGACATAAACTCAAAAACACTATTGTTCAACAGCTTTTCAAACGTTGAAGGGTTCAAAGATCTCCAAATTTTTGTCTGAGCTCTAAATACCAAAATCAAAGCCTGACACACTGACTTGACATTATGACTAATTACAATTCGATGGCTGACAAGAAGTAAAGCAACCTTTATATTGATTATTACTACTATGGCTGCTATCCTGATGTAGGCCTGTCTTGACGAAACAAGATTTAAACGTCAACAGAAAAAGGCTTGAGAAGATTTTTAATTTTGCAAAAAATTTATCTTGAATACAGCCACACATACGCAATAATAAGGACTTTTGCCAACAGACAGTAAAACTCACAGTAACTTAAGTAAGCCAATTTTCGGTAACTAGTCTAAATATTTCTTATATTAAAACATGTACTCATAAACCCTGCTCAAGCAGACGTGAAATCCGCCTGGTAAAAACATTGGAAAACTCTAAACATCTTTGTTCTATTAAACATGCCCCTCCTATGTTTGTCTGCCTTTTCGTAATTTCCTCTCCTTGTGCTCTTTTTATGAGTAGCTTTGCCTAAATATCGGCTCGAGGTTGAGTAAATCAAAGTAGGCTGAGACAGGCTAATCCCTCTCTCGTATGTCCGCGATATGAACAAGAATCCTCAGATTATGGAAAAGATTTTTGCAACTCTGCGTCTGAGTTAAAACAAACAATTCGCGTCACCTTAAAGCTGAAATTAAATAGCAGGAAGGGTGTAAGGATTTTTTGATTTCCAGTTTTGCATAATAGTGAGCTTTCTCGTAAATAAGATTGAAGAATTAAATAAGATAAAGCTTCTAATTCGTCTGACTGTATTATCAGTTTCCAAAACGCACCAGCCAGTTTGGCCATGCCCCTCGTACGAACCCCTTATTATAAGAAGACACGCCCTCTCAAAGTTGAAATTTGCAATAAAAAAACAATTTCTATTCGGTCTTTCTAGTTTAGCCACAAGATAACTTTGCTCCTCTGCTGCATCTAAATCATTTTGTCTTACCAACCCCCACTCTTTCTAAAGCTCTAGAATAGCAGTATGCAAAATCGACTTGCGGGGAACAGGTCAACCATTTAAGCTCACTGATAACACAAAAATAAAATGCTGTGTTGAGAGTTGAACTCGGGTATCCATACGCTAGGGTGTGTGCGTTACTTTTCGACTCGAATTTGAGATTGACAATCTCCAGCTAGAATATTATATTTGGGTATGAACTGTTTAGGATATATTTTAGAGATACGAATTATTATAGTTGTTTTCGTCTATTTTTCTTTATAAACATATTTCGGAAGGTGCAGTTGGGAAAACCCCCATTTCACCAGCCAAGCTATAACTCTTTATAAATGACATTGAAGTTCTTTCATGTTTACGTCAGTTTAGATTTCGCGGGGAAATCCCATTATCGTTCTAGGTTTCCTGCAAAAGCAGTTTCTTTATGAAAACTAATCGCCTCGATCAATTCAATGCACATCTCTGAAAGAAAGGCAGTTGTTATGATGTAAACTATAGGATTACTAACACTGTTTACATGGCCGTGAAAACATGGGTTTTCATAAATCAAACATTTTGCCCTCATGACAGTTTAGGAGATGACAACAGAATAAGCAAACTCTGATGGAGTCAAAAAATGACCACAAAATCGTGTAGGAATTTTTTACTATGAATTTCCAGTCAAAGAAATTCCTTTTAATCATTATGTCTAAATTAAAATATAATTGCTCTTTATCTCACGCGATCAAAACAATCGTAATCATGTTAGGTGGCTTCCAGTATTATGCAAGAAAAACGCTCGTCTGAACTTAGAACTTATGAATATCAACTAAAAAATATAATTAAATGAAAAATATCATTTCATTTATTCATTAAATACTTTAGCTAAGATTAAAGGCGTTGAATTCATAGCTTGCACGAGCAAAAGCTATCATCAGTTTCTGAGCTCGAGGAAATACTGAATTATCCACACCTAGAAAGGATTGTCCAATCGCTGAATGTCGTCAGTGATTGCTTGTAATGCCACGCGATTTTCCCATATTAATCCCAGCAGCATTCGCCAACTTGTTTGTACCCATCTGCAAACCAATAATCCCTTTCCCAGCCGTTAGTTGGTCATCGGTGAATTCTCGTACGTTCCTTGTTGCTTCTCTAGGTCCGAGTGCAGGGCCCGAATATTTGGTATGCGCTTTCCTTCCCAATGCATGTATACCGTTTATAACTGCGACCATGTTTCTATATTCAAATAGATCGACCGTTTGAAACAGATCACACTTTGAGACACCATACGATTCACAAGCCGATAGAAAATTCCCAATATTTTCCATCTTGAAAAATGGCATTTTTTGATGATTGACTTTTCGGATGCTGCCAGGTTGTAAGACATTAATCAGCTCGCAAAGAATGATGCCATCTTTGAGTATCGAATGCACGGCATTTGGCCCCGTGATGTCGTCGAATAGACCAGGTTTATCGAGCACCGCCTCTATCCATGCTAAAGCACTCCGTTCCTCCTCGGCGTTGTATTTCTCCATTTTTTTCAACTCAAGCTCGGCTGTTAAACCATACCCCATTGGTCGGTTCGCTCCTTCCTTTTGACTTGACATTTCCCTCAACTTTTCTTTGCCTCAGATCTCACCACTAGTAAAAAGTCTGGTTTCGCAAATATCCAAAGTATTTTAGAAATATTTTCGCCCGTGGGTAGCAAACACAGGAAACTCTTTTCAGCCAAAATCCAGAAAATCGTAAGTAAGCCTTCCCCGGTCTTTTTCCACTTCTCCAAGCTACTGATGTCTCTCGAACAACACAACTTTTGTCACGGAAGACTGGCGCTGACTTGTTTTCAGGGCTTTCTCTTGTCAATGATATGCCGTCGTGATTTTATATCCAAGCTAGGTTTTGATCCCTCGCAAACAAAGCTGTATCTTACACCAAACAATCAACTCGTTTATTTACCAGTTGTTGTGCTTTGATGCTATAAAATTTTCGTTTCAATGGAGCCAACAATTGCCCATCCGCCTCTGATAGCGTTCTTTCTAAAGTGCTCGATCGTTGCGTGGCCTCGCATTAACTTTGCATTTCTACAGCGGTTGAGGCAGCCTGTGTAATTTGAAACATGAATGAATCGCGCTTGACCCGCAACTAAAGCCCACTGGTAAAAACACCTAATCACGTGACCTAATCCGCCAAAGGTGTTCAAAGGATGGGAAATGGGCCTTGGTTTGGGATCATGCCGTGAGAATTATGACGTAGAAGATAAGACTTTTTCCCGCGACATTGCAACACTCCATTTAAGGGCATTTGAAGCAAAGCCCGCAAATCCATTCGTGTAAGGGGTGACTATTTTATCACTATTTCTATTTTGAAACAAAGTGTACGGTGACAGATAGCATCTGTTTTGCTGCAATGAAAAATTGACACCCTTTGGAAGTTGCTTTCTGATTCTATAGAATGTCATACAGAAACTTGAGGTTCCTGAAAAAACAATCAAATAATTCTCAGTCTTTCTCTTCCGTTTTTATAGCCTCTTCGTCGTGTATCCGTGTGTTATTTTTTCATTGCATGCGTTTTGCAACTGCCTCTACTTCCAGCAAAATTTCCACTGGTTCGTTTAAAGGCAATCTGTCACGACTTTGATTGATTATAAGAACAAAGGGATTTTTTATTGTTTCCAGTCCCCCTATAATTTATCGCATTGTAAAAAATATTGCGGAGCGCTGGAATCGTGTTTAGGCTATTGTTCCAGCTATTGTTTTCGTTAACCAATCCACAACGAGACATATTGCCTTTCAGGGACGAAAACAAGTTGCTAATTTTGGGGGGGCGTGGAAGGATGAAAATTCCAATCTAAGTAAGAAATTTTTCATTTGACCAGTAAATCTACTGTACCTACTAAATTGATATTTGTAAATAGCCCGAACACCATAGTTCTATTTTCTTTATAATTACCAAAACTTTACTCAATAATTAGCCTAAAGCATAAAAGCCTAAATCTCTAAATTTTGATCAACATGAAACAGACATTTTAACTTACAGTAAGAAGTAAAGCAACATTTAAGCAAAACCAGTATTAGATATACTTAATGATTAGTAGTATTCTTTCAGATCAATTAATCAATTGGCGCAGATCAATCTTATCTAAAATACATTTTTTCACGATATAGAAGCACCAAGAACTTGAGCCTTTAATTTTTGTTCTTGATCGAATAAAACTACTAACAATTTTCAGAGGGCCAAATTCCTTTTCATTCTTTACAATTGAAATGATGATTTGAGAACAAACTTGTGCATATGCCTGATCCGAAAGATAAAACACTCTTCTTTGATCAAATACTTCTACTGCAGTTTTTGCAATGTGTTCTTGCTTTACAGCAGTTTTGTCCTAGGAATTTATGATAAGGAGTCAAGGGCGTTAACAAATAACAGGGGGAGTTTAGCATAAACTCGTTTTTATAAGAAGCGTTGAGAATTTTTAGTACTGAAAGATTATTAATCTTTTATTGAATTAACTACTCGTAGTTTCTTAAAAAACTCCCACTCTAATACTTTCTGATCAATACGGGAATTATTATTCCAAACTGTAAAGTTTCAAGTTTCTTATCCGGAAATTCACCTTGCCTGCTCGTAATTTGATTCAACTCCCGTCAGAAAGAAAGCAAACAGGGCAATTGTGCAATTTGGATCCAGTGGAGACGGGTCAGCTTCAGCCTGTGAATTTTAATGTTTAGAATTTTTACATTTAAAATAAAAAAACTTCTTAAAATATAAAATTCACAAGTTTGGTCCTAAGATAAAATTCCAAGTCAACCGTTATGTTTTCCAACTGTAACTGGATTTTCCAAACTTTGGGGGGGCGTCACGCCCCCCACGCCCCCCTATTATTTACGTGCCTGTTGCCTTTTAAGCCATAGCTTCTTGTAAATACTCTTTCGAAAACGATATCATGTCGCCTCGTGATTGTGATCAAAGATTCACAAGCATATTCCTGCCTTTCAAAGACAACCCGTTCATTCATGAGGTTCCTTAAAACGGAAAAAATTTGTTTGGCAAACCGAACTCCCACCAATAGGGGCATATCTGAGGGGGATGTGGCGTGGGATGTGAGGCATGGGGTGTAAGGCGCAGGGCTTGGGGTGTAGGGCATGATGCGCGGGGTGTGAGGTAACGGGCATGAGGTATAGGGCGTGAGATGTGATGCGTGGGGCGTAAGGAAACGGGCGTGAGGCTTGGGGTGTGGGGTATAAGGCGAAAGGCGTGAGGCGTGGCTCAGCTTTTGCCAATAAAGTAGTAAACTACCATTTATCATTCAAACGATAAACCTAAGATTGGTCTGTTGACAGTTTCCAGAAAAATATAATTGTTACGAACTTTGCTTATTTCGAACTGCTAGCAACTTTGAACATAATGTCTGCTGCCTTGGAATACTCTCCGTATAATGCACTCTAGGTATAATAAACATCTACCTGGCTATTCTAAATACACTTTATAGTGAAATTCTAATGTAGAATTAAAATGGAATGCCTTGGGCACGTAAATTAGCTATTAAAACCTTAAAACACCATATTGTCTGGTCTTACCTCAATTGCGAGCGTTTTTTGTTGAATTTGACAAATTCAGATGTTGATTTAACAGTTCCCATCTTCAGGTTTTCAATTGCCTTTTGTGATACAAAAAATCATGTTTTAATTGAACGATTTGTACTCCAATGTTTTGCAAATTAAAACTTTTGGCCATCTTTCATATTACCATTAAATATTGCCATAGAAACATTAGTTAGGTGTATCCAATTGATTCTATTTTGCTGAATTTGTCAAAATATAGAACCGATGAGCTTATTATAGGCCATGCCGGAAAAGCTATAGAGTAAAAGTCCCAAATTGTGAGCTTCAGAACCAATAAAAAGCCATAATTTTATTTACTAAAGCTGTTTACTATTTACGTATGATTCTATTTTGCTAAAGTTGTCATTTTATAGAACCGATGAGCATACTTTTGCATACACGGGGAAAGCTATAGTGAAATTCCCCTAATTGTGACCTTTAGAAGCAATAAAAAGCCATAATTATATTTACTGTATAGTAATCAAATTAAGCAGGCATCTGTCTAATACAAGCCGTGGTGGATATGTCACTATTGTTCTCTTTGCTCTATTCAGCTGCGGTTACAAGAAACATCATTCGGATGTTAAATCGATTTGTTCTCCCTGCCTCAAAAAGTGCATCCGACATTGATTCGCCTGGGTCGTCCGAAAATTTGATTATTCAACTAAGTTTATCATGAAACTAGATGTTTATCGTAACATGGCATCGGTACTGTTGCATTACCCTTGTGGTATTGGCATTTCTGCTTCAAGAACATGCAAAAAAGAGATTTCTTTCTGGCCACTAATGCCATCATGATGCGAATTAAGTGCCCACACTGTAATTAGCAAGCGGCTTAGCCTCATTGAAGACGTGACCGGAATTTTGAAACATTAAGAAGGAGGACCTATGGAAACCTTTGGAAAAGTCATACGGCTCAATGAGGTTGATAGGAAAGGCTGTCACGATACATGAATGACTCGCACCCTCTTCACAAAGCCTCTATTCTCTAGATAAATACTGTGCCGAATGACTCATTCCGGGAATTTTGACATCTTAAAGTCACATCAAGGTTCTGTGCTGTTAAAAAGTGCGGCAAAACTATTTTTAGGTGGATCATGAAAATGAAAGGCTTCCTTGGTGATTGATGAAAATTATCAGATTCGTATGTAGGTACCAAAAAGGTTCTTCTACAGACTATAGACTATAGCCTTGGAAAATTGTTCGATTTGTCCAGATGAAGATTTCTGGCTAAGGCCATGCTTAAACTTTTACATATCATCACAATCATTCTTTTATCATTTTTTTTATATTCACATAAAATTTTTACAAAACATACACAAATTTACCAGGCGATACCACAGGGAGCATGGGAATACATAGCAACCCTGTTGTAATTTACATTCAACATATAAAACTAAATTAACTACAATTTAAAGATGCAAAGTGAAAAAAAGGAAGGAATAAAAACTATTTCTAGAAAGAGGAGAAGAGAGAGGAAATTTGTTGTTTGTATCGCCAGTTTATTCAAAACGTTTAAAGGCCTGGATATAATTTAGCGTTGCAACGAGAATTTTAGAATTTGATTCGAGTGGTAATTCTTAATGGCCAAATACGACGATATTATCATTTTAGCTAATGAAAAGATTTTTTCAGGTGAAATTTTTTTGGCTAATTCCATCCTTAAGCTCTTACATATGATCAGAATCGTCCTTTTATCATATTAGCTGTGGAAAAAAAAGTGTATATTTCAAGAAAAGAGTGTTTCCCAGACGCACTCAAAATTGCAAATAACGTCAGCCTATAGCCTTAGAAAATTGGTCGTCTTTTCAGGTGAAATTTTTTGGCTAATTCCATCCTTAAACTCTTATATATGATCATAATCGTCATTTTATCATTTTAGCTGAAGAAAAGAAAGTGTATTTTTGGAGAAAAGAATATTTCTCAAACGCACTCAAAATTGCGAAAAACGTAAGCTTATAGCCTTGGAAAATAGGTCGATTTTTCAGGTGAAATTTTTTTGAATAATTCCATCCCTAAACTCTTATATATGATCATAATCGTCATTTTATCATTTTAGCTGAAGAAAAGAAAGTGTATTTTTGGAGAAAAGAATATTTCTCAAACGCACTCAAAATTGCGAAAAACGTAAGCCTATAGCCTTGGAAATTGGTCAATTTTTCAGGTGGAATTTTTTTGAATAATTCCATCCCTAAACTCTTATATATGATCATAATCGTCATTTTATCATTTTAGCTGAAGAAAAGAAAGTGTATTTTTGGAGAAAAGAATATTTCTCAAACGCACTCCAAATTGCGAAAAACGTAAGCCTATAGCCTTGGAAATTGGTCAATTTTTCAGGTGAGATTTTTTTGAATAATTCCATCCCTAAACTCTTATATATGATCATAATCGTCATTTTATCATTTTAGCTGAAGAAAAGAAAGTGTATTTTTGGAGAAAAAAGTATTTTTTAGGCGCACTCCAAATTGCGAAAAAAGTAAGCCTATAGCCTTAGAAAATTGGTCGATTTTTCAGGTGAA